TTTACTTTATAGACTTCCTATAAGCTCTAACCCGATCCCGCCTAGCTTAGCCTTATAGCTTAGCTTAGTAAGATTATCGAGATTTTATATCTTAACACCCTGCTCTTTCTTAGCTTGCTAGGTTATGCCTATATAAATAGTACTTAGAGTTAGTAACGATATAGATAATAATAGCTTCTTAATATAGATAAGATCTATAGTACTACGGTTACGCCGGGCTTATAACCTATTATATATATATAGGTCTACTAAGCTAATATAAAGMACATAGTAAAAGTAACTAATTAACATATATGTAAAAACTCTGCATCTAAGATGCGGCTATATCGACAGAGCCTTAGTTATCTGTAGGTCACGTGCCAGATCCACAACACTTGCGAGTGAAGCACTCACCCGAGGAAAGCCCGGGACTAGCGTGTATGGTCGACACACAGTTGATACTTGATGAGTTCCTTTGCCACGACCACATTACATTGCTACTCATTCGAAGACATCCATAGCCGATCGTACGCTGAAACGCTAAGCTTGGCATGGACAATCATTTCCACGACTTCATGCGCCAGAGTCCACTCCAAACGAGAGCCGCTGCTAGCAATGGCTAACCATCTACCTCGTTCCCGATATCATCGCAGTCCTCTCTCCGCAAGCACGAGCTCCAACGGGTCAAAAGGAACGATGTAAACCATCGGATTGTCCCTCTCGCTGACTCTAGTAGCGAGCCGACTAAATCGCGCGTCGACATCATACTCCAGCATCTGGCCAGACAATAGATCCTGGCCAGCCAACACCACAGCGTCCTCATCACTCAAGTCGACCTCGACCCATGTGCGCAGTACATTATGCTCGATACCACACGTACATGCACTCAAGTCTTTGATATCCGCATAAGGACTTTGGTCGTCGTAGCGGCATGCTTCAACACCGGGCATCATGAATCCCTGACCGAGGATCTTGAACTTGTCTTCGTTCACTGGTCGCAGCACCAGGAAATGGTTTGCGAGAACGTACTCGTTCGCAGTGATGAAATCGCCTTCTTGCAGCTCGCTGCACCCCACGGCTACGATCTTGTTCTTATGATAGATCGCGCGAGGGTCCGAATCGCCTTGACATGTTCTAGCAGCGGCGTGGTCGGTGTTCAATCGTCTGAGCTTGTTCAGCATCTGATCTTGTAAGGCCAAATGGGTTGGATTCATCACGCGAGAGTCCTGCCACAAAGAACACGTCAGACGTCCTTTGCGATCAGAACCGACCTTCAGACACTGAAGTTTCTCAGGTCGAAAGCTTCGTCTTTTCGATGGATTTTTCAAGATCAACGCAGGAGCTTGCTGTCTCTGTTGTACTAGTGCAGTCATTCCCGGATCATTCATTGTCACTTCTAGAAGCTGTAACATGCGGCCGAGCTGTCCCCAGTACACATGCGTCGCCATGCTGCATGCTAATTGCAGCGTCGTCCGTGTATAGTCGGGCGTGATGGTGTGTTCCTCTTCCTCAAATTGGTACATGCTAAGGAGACCATAGATCTTATCACGGGGATCATAACACTGAAACCCGTTGATAGTTCTGGCAAAGTCCTCAAGCGGGACGACTTTGTCAAAGACCAACCATACAAGGCGCGAGAATCGTTCGATGTCGGGACTGTGCTCGACGGGGATCGTGTAGTGATGCAGCCAGGGTAGTCTTCTTACAGCTTGCCAGGATCTGACCTCCCTCCCAAAGAGGATGGAGACGGACTTTGAAAGCGTAATCTCTTGCATGATCCACACTCTTTGCCAGTATGGGCGGGAAAGGAAAGCAAACATTTCTCCGGCCAGGGCGACTATGTCTTGCTGACGGTGTCGTAAGATCCATTGTTGACAGAACTGCTCAATTGGCTCAGTAGGATCCTGGACATCGACACTACCATCACTCTCTTCTCCGAAAGATGAATCGAAACCTGGATGCTTTCTGATGTCCTCGTACTCAAGCTTAACTTGGCCTAATTGAGAGATGAAGTCTGCCAGCAAATCATGACCATCTTCCGCAGCAGGACCAATGCATGCACAGGTGAAGGCAGCACGCTTGTAAATGTCACCCATCATTGCCACCTGGTGGCTCTTCTCACCAAGATTGTCCTGCTCGATACAAATGGAGTCTAGCCAGATGTATGAGCCTGGATGGTGTAAACGTACCTGCCACAAGGCATAGTGACAATTCGGCCATACCTCGCGTGGCCTGCCGTTGATATACACCGTCTTGTGGTCCCTGTTCTCGCCCCAGGTGTATGAGATTGCCACATAGTCGGGCGCAGTCTCAAGATCCCAGGCCGTCAGCTCGAATTCCAAATCATCGCCTTCAAGCCCTGAGAACATGTACAGAAGACGGATCTGTCTGGCCGGATGACTCAAAGGTGGATGCCATCGCGTCTTGGCCCGGAAGTTTCTTGTGAACTTTGATGGCCGCTTGGGCACGACAGAAGCTGACTGCTTCATTTTTGGCATATCTCAACGCTGCCGTGGGCTAGCACCGGACTTGGAGTTGGTGCTGGAGAAGGCAGACATCCTTATCTCTCGAAACATGACAGCCGCGGGAGACAAGACGAGGGAAAGAGTGTTGATGTGCTGAAGTGGGCCCGGTCTCATCAATATTTGATGCCGATCAATGAATTAGCTTCTCTCAACATCACGTCCTTTCCCATCAGCCGCGAGGTCGCAACAACACATCTCAACGTTGCATCGGTAGTCCACTGCACAGAGCTCCATCCGGCATATTAAGGCAGGGCTGTTGCAGTGAGTGTCTGCAATTTCTCAGAAGCATCATGTTTTCCCCAATGCTCATTTCATTCTCACCACGCGACCCGCACATCCTCTACACGCTTTCCATGAGTAAAACGGCCCAATGTCCGCCGAGAAGTACGAAATGAGCACGGAAGATGCGGAAATAGTGTACACGGCAGTCAACTGCCACAATGAGTACAATGGGACTTAGCAAGATCCAGCGTACAATACGCAGGAATTGCATGCCTTCCTCTGGAGGGCAGAGATGGAGATCGTTGCAGCTACCTCTGGCGAATTACCCGGAAATGGAGAGTCGGACAGCAACGATCGAAGTAAGCAGGGAATAATGGAACAAGTCATCGCATTGGCCGCTCGGAGACATGGACTTGGACCAAGAGAATAGACGGTTGTCTGCGCAGGTGGCGGAGCTACAGATGCATTCYAAATCACAGATCCCAGCTTCCAGATTGAATTGCTCTGAGGCTCCACTTTGCCGGCCATTGAGACAATCTTCGCCGACTGCATGTCGGTAATCCTTCGAACCAGAGTGCAAGGGATTGTTATCCCAGCATCGCGGGGAAATGTCTCGTTTTTCAAGGAGGCGAAGAGGTGCACAGATCACAGTGCCAACGAACAGGATACTGTACTCCGGTGTTCCTGCCAAGTGATGTGCCTTCATCACGGCGAGWCATCGGTAGTATCTGCTTAGCGGGCGCCGCAGCATTCCTCGATTTTCTACTGTACTCGATCTCACCGCTCCACTGTGCAGTAGAGTTACATTGCCCGGCCATGGATTTATTGAACGACGACACGTTTCCCCCACTCCTTGAGCAACCTTTCCGAACTCCAAAAGGCGCCGAAACACTGAATATTGAATCATTTTTGGTCATTCTCACCGCTGCGATAATGGAAGATCACAGTACTTCCACCTACAGTATTATGCAAACCCACTGCCACCCGGATCTGAAGATAGCAGACTTCACAAAACACGAATGCCTGTTTCCGCGAACCGAATCTTTACGACAATATCTATCTCAGATCGATGACCTGAAGCACAACTCTCCAAATTTGCGTTTCAATCCCTTCAATTTCTCAGTGACATTCGATCAAGACTGCCCAGACCGAGCTATCGTGTGGTTCACGCTACCTGGCATAGAGAAGACTGGCGACGAAAGGGAGAGTGTTCATCGAGTGCATTGGAGAAGAAGGGAAGATGACGACGTGTGGGAAGCCTACATGCATTCGGCACTGAGAGGACCCGGGACTCTGTTCTTGCAGTCGACTGATTCGATTAGGGAGGCAGAAGATGTCCCTGTGGATTATTTGCCTACCAAGAAGTTCTACACGGCGAACGAGTTGAAAAGCTGAGTGCTTCCTTGAAGATCGGTTCGCCCAAGGTTGGCGGACATGCATGCTCGCTGTGGCTTTTATGCCCTGCAGAGTTGACCAGTGAAATTGTCTGAATAGCAACGCCAAACTTCTCAAGTTCAGCCATAAAGGTAGGTCACGACACGGAAAAATGCCGGGACAGTATACAAGATACTCAGAAGGTTCATCGGCTGATGCAGAAACGAGCAGGTCAGCTAGGAGTCGAGTGAGAAGGAAGAGAAAAGAGACGCACTATACCTCTCACACAGGACGATTTCAAACTTCGGGAAATCTTGCAGGCCGAGCCCTCAACATTCCACCGCCGGCATTCAAACATAGAAGCGACTGCAAAATGCGTCAAGCTTTGAATGCCACAACTCAAGATGAAAGCCAGGGTGACGACCATCAAGACTGGCTTCCATATCAGCATGAACCGCAGCTTCAAAAAAGCGAGCTGCATGGGTATCCTCCCCGCACCCGAACTTGTTAGCTGCCTCTTCAATCACACGAGAGAAAAGACTGATGGCGAAGGACACGATAAAGTTCATCATGCCAATGGGGAAGGCATCGAGGAATCTCGGTCCGCGACGAAAGTTTCACCCGTGAATATGAAGTCAGACGGTCCTACAATGAGCTCAGCTGTTCGTGATAAAAGATCCTGAGAGTACGGGTCCCACATCTACCAATGGGCGTTCCGTCATACAGGTGCAAGGCCAACAGCACTCCACCCCAGGCTTTTCGCAACTCCAAGCCCAACAGGAAATGCAAGTTGTACCTCCAGCTTCCAAGATTTCACCAAATGCAAGGCAAGGGTGCACGCGGCGCCGAAGGGGGCAATTGTTGTGTAGACTCAACGGAGCGGGAACCAAACCAAACGAAGACTGCTTGCGTGTGATTCCGCAGCGAAAGCGCCACGAGGTCTCTGACATACTGCCGATACTTGGCTGTCATTGGGGGTGGCAGAGATTTGTGGTAAGCAAAAGTTTGCGATGTTGATATATTGAGTTTAACCATTAAAGAGAATAGGTTCCGCCTCCGAATCTTGATAGACTGCTCCATTATCCTCCAGAGCACCCTCCAAATCCTTCATGACTCCTTCTTCAAAGCTTCTACACCTTCCATCGAAACCATTCATCTTTGCTTCGAAAAGAGTCCCCAATAAACCGCAGTGAACCAAGCTCTCAAAAGCACCTTCAGAATCAACTCCCACATATCAACTGTCGGTGAAGCCCTAGCCTGGAAGACCGTCTCAATGAGGCATCCACTGGTGATGGATGTTGTCGCATACTGAAGATCCTGATGATAGCGGGAGCACAGCGCGAAGCAAAGCTATCGATATGGCCTTACTCTTCGCAGGGTCGACGACCTTGGAGCTACTGGGGCTCTCCTTACCAGCAGAGTGGTCCGTCATTTAACGGAGAGTGCAGTCTGGGTCTAAAACCTTCGCTGTACTATGTTGAGTGCGGCTCCAAGAAGGATCACGAGAAATGATGCGTAGTAGTATGGCCAGCGTTCCGGTCCGGAGTTGACCTGGATAACAGAGTGGAGGAGGAATAGCGCGGCACCGAAGCATATTCCTACGTACGCCGCGAGCTCCACCGAAGCTAAGTGATTTGATCGAACTGCTGCAAACCCTCCACACGTAATAGCCGCTGCAGCAATGAGCCATCCGTTAATTTTAGTATGACGCTGCTTGGTCTTCTCGAGCGCTTTCTCATTCTTGGCCTTCTCGAGCGCTTTCATCCTCGCTTTCATGGCCTCCTCGTCCGGAGCGCCCTGCGAAGCTTCGGCGTCGGGAGCATTTGTCCTGGTGATAGGGGTGAGACGCATACTGGTAGGATATTGTGGCGGTGGTGGCGGTGACGCTGCGGTATTGTCATATCTGTATGCAGGCGGAGGAATTTTGGATGCACATGGCAAAGTCATCTTGAGCTTTCTAGTAATAGTCTCGTAGATGGGAAAAGTTGTAGCTGGGGAATTGGGAAAGATGGAACTGAGGTTTATATAATGGAAAAAGGTCTCACCCGCCAGCTTTCGCTTCCGTAGAAAATTCAGACTCCGCAGCAGGTCCGAAAGTGAGAAGGTACCCGTGGAATGGTCCCGTCTGTAATAATGAGCCCTTGGAACGATCGAGCTTAAACCAGCTGTACACCTGGATGGTAATCAGGACACCTGTTCCAGCTTTCGTGTACATAGTTTTCTGGCAAGCGTGCCATCTCAACGTCAAGCGGACCGTCAAAGAATTAGACATTCACTATTAACAAAATTGGCGCTGCGATTGGTTCCGAAATAAACTGTGAAAATGCTTGACCGTCTAAACCGACTACTGTCGCTAGTGTCTATTTTCCAAAGTGAATGAAGTTATCGCACACCCATATAGGAAGGACGAAGCACGAAGCAAAGCGTGATTAGCCTATGATACCTATATCGCTATCAGCTAATATCCGTAAGACTCCAAAGACAAGGCATGCAGACAGCCGCGGCCCTCAGGAAGGATGCGTAGCGCTGTCACCGCTGGTGGCGCGAGTTTAATGATCCTTCCGCCATATTTCAGCCGCATTATTCTCACCATCCCTCTCCGTGACTTTTTCATTATCAGCTCCCCCCGTCCTCTCTCTGAAAGCTGCAAAAATCGACACGCAACAGAATCGTACCCGAACATGTCGTTTCACGTAACAAGAACCGAAACGAAGAATGACGAGCCTCTGGTACAATATCGAGGTATTCGATCAACAACATGGGTTACACCACCCTCTGGCAAGAGCGTCCTTGAGATACAGACGACGCATACACCAATGGCATTGCAAAAGGTTCCGGAAAATCTCAACTATCTCACACCACCGCTGCACTGTAAAAAACCTTCCCGTATCATTAGCAAAGATTAGCAACTAATACCGATCAGGGCACTGGTATCAAGACGAATATTTCCACATCAGAGAAGGGTGAGACAAAAACTATTTTGGGGAGATTCAACAACACCTACCTAACATGATATCAAAGCCGCTACATCTTCACCCTCGAAGGCCAAGACAAATTAATCACAGCCTCAGACCCTCAACCCGTGCACATTCCCGCACGAGCAAGACATACATTCAAAGTCGACGATACCTACGAAGGGCCCTGCACCATTGAAATATCCACCTCCACCTCGCCGAGAAGTGCGATTGGTGACCCCGAGGCTGAAGGCGCAACTTCCAAGTTCTTTCGTAATATATATTCGTACCTGGACGATTGCTACGTGCAGGACGTGCAGCCGAGTCTGCCGCAGTTGCTGATGATGCTGGATTCTGCCGAGGCTAGTATGGCTTTTCCAGGGCCGGGTTTCGTTGCTCGGCCGTTGAGTTATGCGTTTGGGGTTGTGTTTGGGASGTGGTTGGGTGCAATTTTGGGATATAAGACGAGTTATCCGGAGTATTGGAATGGTGATGAGAGGAAGACGAAGTGAGCTGCAATATTGCGGTGATACTATGATTCAGATGTTCGGGACACTTGATCACAGCAGCTGCATGAGAGCTTTAGCTCATCGAGTATTTGAGGCATTGCCTTTTTTTCTGCGACAAGTTTGCTGTCATCCGCATGGTCGGAAAACGTAACACAACCACTCGACGTCGATTTGAAATGTATCACAATTGTCACCTTGTCCATCTATCAGCCTCAGTCGACTATGCATGGCATGAAGAAGTCTCCCGACAATTCACTTGATGCATGTGACAAAACGTCTGTGCGCGTGACTTCTTGGGAACATCCCTGGAAACGAAGGATTCGCTTACACTAGCTCAGCCGCGCCACTTTTGTGACTCGAAACCAAAACATTCCACATCTAGAGTCCGGATCACTTCCACTTCAAATATCAACGACATCCCTTTGCCTCTTGACAACTATCGAGTCAAACAGCCATTGTCACAACAACAACATCACATCCAACCAAAAAATGTCCACCTCCGACCCCTTCACCTTCCTCTCCCTCTCAGCCCAAATCGTCAAACCACCAATAACAACAAACTCAATCCTAAACTTCCCCCCAACCCAAATCCTCTCCGACGCAACCTCAACCCGCATCATAATCCCCCAAAATTTCCCTTCCCTCCTCTCCAAATTCCTCACCCACAAACTCACATCCGGCTCGACGCCCGAGAAGATCCTCTACCACAACCTCTCATGGCAAGACCTCGTCACCCGCCTCCTAGCAAAACGCCCTCTAATGTTCATGGGTTCCACCGACCACACCATGTTGCGCAACGGCACGCATCCTCGCTTTCCAGCACAACAATGGGATCGCAATGGTACTGATTCCGAACATTTGAATCCGGGTCTGCGGCTGGAAGAATATCTCTCCTATGATGAAATCATGCTGAGTTCCTTGATTGGAGTCAGTGGGCCTTCGCATTTCATCAATTCCGGCTCGAGATATAATGGTGGGGTTCTGGATCCTGTGGGTACTTTTGAGGAACGAGGGATTATCATTGGATTGGTGGGTGCGAGATTCGAGAGGGGGGATCGGATGGATAGTGTTTTCATGCTGCCTGCAGTGGAGAGTCCGAGACAGCATCCGGAACTCACGAGGCTGTTTTTTGAATTCTTTGGGGTGGAGAGGGGGGAGGGAGTGAGGGGGTTTGATGTGGAAGTTTATAAGGCGAGGATTCGAATCACGGCCAATGTGCTTCTTTTGGAAGCTAATGCGAGAGCGAAGGATGATGGGAGGACGGCGTATGTGTATGTTGTGGGGCTTGGGTTGGGAGTTTGGGAGAGGGATCGGAGGCAGGCGGAGGTGTATGTTCAGACTTTTGGGGAGGCGATTGAGGAATTGGAGATTGGAAGTGTGAGTACGGTGGAGTTTGCTTGGATTGATGTTTCGGAGAGGACGCAGCGGTTGGTGAAGAGCGCTGGGAGGGAGAAAGGGACTGAGATCGTTTTCAGCAAACGAGATCCGGCGGCGAAGTTGGAGAAGGAGGGAGAGTTGCTTGTGTTGAGCTATGCTTGGGATGGGAACAGCTTTCCGGGCAATGAGTACTGGGGAGGATCATTGATGGGTTCGGGAGATCCAGCGGCTGCCTGCATGAGCACTATCGGAGAGCTGCACAATCCGCTTGTGAATCCGGGGTATTTGAAGCGGATCGTSATGGCGGGAGAGGCGGTTTGACATGGTCTTGGAGGATATTCCCCACATGGCGATGTAAAAGCCATGCTCCGTCAATTGATTTCAACACAGTCTTACACCGCAGAGAGTCAGTCCCTCGTCAGTGACTACTGCCTTCTTCGCAAACCACGTTGTCATCATTTCCTGCACGAAGAATGCCCTATCAGCATCACTCCATCGATCAAGTCCCATTTGCCGGAGATCATCTCCGGTGATCTCAACTTCATCATTCGAAATGCCCTCCTCCGCATCATCGTCCGCTTCCTCCACGATATTCGACATGACGCCAAGTATCCTCTCCGTGACACGGCGGAAGTAGGCAACCAATACCGTAGCCGTAGCACGAGCATACTCAGCCTCACTCTCAGCTGCAGATTTTCTTTCAGCTGTGGGAGACAATACGCCCATATCAGGTAGATCGAACAACAGCTCTTCGTCAGCCTTTGCTTCATCTTCCTCCCACGCACTTGCCTCTCCAGCAGAAGCCMACCACATGAAACCACGGTATGCAACTGCTGTCCACGTAGGAGCTGCCACGGCTTCATCGTCATCGTCCCGATCCTGCAAGTTCAATCCATCGATACCGTCACTGGTCGTCCGTCGTTCCAGCAAAGGTCTTTGGTCATCCTCGTTTACGTCCACGCTCTCCACCGCGATGTCGTCAGAGTAACTCCTACACATCTGGATTCGCAGTCTTCGGAGTTCTCCTCGTAGAAGCTTCCATCTCCTCGAGTCCCGCTGGGAAGCCTTGATGATCCTCCCATCCGATGTCTCTAGTTTTGGCCATGTTCTGTTCGGAGATGTGTGTGACGGAAGGCGCACTAGAACATCCCACAAACCCTTCTTCTCGCCCAGGATATCGTCCGTCGTGCACGCCAACCAGCCATTTCCGTCTTCTTGACCCGGCAGAGTGGAGATGTCATGTATCCCGACGCTAAACAGCGGCATTGTCTTCAGCAAGCCTGCATCAAGACCTCCTTCGACCTCCCGCGATACATTCCCCAAGACAGAAGCAAGCCACACAGCCAGCGCATTTCTCCTCACTGGCGCACTCCCCAGGAACAGTACCCTCTTCCTCGCCAGCACAGCTCTTTGTAGTGGGAATAACAGCGGTCCGAAGAGATCCATCACATCGGGCACCGCCAAAGCCGGATGTTCTTTCGTCCATGCATTGCTCAAGTCAAACGCAGGTAGAGTAGCTTCCGACCCTCCTCTCTTCCTTTTCTTGCCATCCCCAGACACATCACCTGCCACCTTCTTCTTCTCCCAAAAAGCCTCCAATTCCTTGGTATCTTCCGCACTCCTCATTATCCCCTTTGCCAATCCTCTCAATTCCTCCGCGTGCTCCCAGACCCTTCCCAAAGCTCCACTCAGCGGCACCAGAACGCCCACAGCCACGAAATTGGCATTGCGATGTTCGGCATCGGCTTCTCCGCGGAGGAATACGCTTGCGCCGGAGAAGTTGCCATGGCGGTAGTAGATCAGATCTTCCTGGACGGCATGCAGGCCCGAGGGAAGGGATTTGTACTCGGCGCCATTGAGGTCGAGGTCAGGGAGGGAACGTTTCCAGGTGATGGTGTAGCTGTATTGAGGGATATATTGTTAGGAATTGTGGTGGTCCTGGCGGGGAATAGAAGGGTGACTTACATACCCTACTCTTTGGTCGAATGTGACGAGAAACAGTGCGCTTATGGGAGGAGGTTCCATTGTTGTAATTGGGAAAATGGTACATGGAGGTTGTGAGTGACGTACGTTGGAAAGGTGAGACGGCTCGGCTTTAGGCGGCCGAGAATTAGGGGATTAGGGTCAGGGTTAGGGTTATGTCTGGGATTGTCTCTCGAAAAGGAGATGGCTAACACAAACAAATCCTTCTGCGTAGAAGCTGACCGGAAATACATTTATATTTTGCACACCCCGCGAGTGGAAGTGAATTACGCCCTGGCCACTAAACAGAATTCGACATAAAGAGGGAGTAACCTCTACACCGCTTCGCCCGCGAATTACAGCCGAGCTGCCTTTGTAGATAGTCACTACCGGGATACCTTTATCTTCTTTGCCGCTAGGTATTGCTGCGAGATATCGTGGGCTTTGTCGAAAGGGAACACCGGCCGCCCAGTCTTCAAGCTTTCAGCTTGAGGAGCACGGCTTGCCAGAGCTGTCGATATGAGGATTATTCGTCGGGATGGAACACTTCTAGTCTTCTTTAAGACGTCTTTAGGTCTTGCTCTCCGCAGAAACAATAACTCTAGAGCTACTAGAGCCTTTATTACTAGCAGAGTGCCCCGTGATTCAACGGAGAGGGCAGTTGAAGGCGCGGTCTTCTTGATCATTCTCTTGTGTCGACAGCTCTGCGGCTTGCCACACAGCCTCAATTCCGGTCATTTCCCAGCGAATTTGTATCACGGTTCATAGTCGTAAAGGCCTGTGGCCCCGTGTCGACACACTTTGTGACGCTCTCTTGCAAACGGATTTGTTTCATTGCACCCGACAAATCTTTATGCTGTCAGAATTGCGGCGGAGCAGAAGATTGGCTCTCGATGATAGAGCAGCCAGATTCTTGGCCCACCCTCAAGATCCCGAGTTTGGAAAGTTTTCCCATCTGGACCTCTTTAACTCGTAGCAAAGATTTTCGAGATGATTGGTCGAGTTTTGGCATCCTGCCTGCCCTACGAATGTAGATATAGGCAGGCGCAAGTCTCGGAAGGCGCGCATGAGAAGGAGGTAGCTTGGTCGAGCATTCGGAGAGCGTGAGAGACACGTGAACCGAGGAACCCCATGACAAAACATCAAAGCAGGATTGTTTGGAGTAATATGATGTAGATGAAAAAGACCAGAAGCCAACCTCGACCTTCTTATAGCTTTTTCAACATACTTTTTGATATGCTCTGTCAAATTCGCGACAACACCACGTTCAAAGCACGAAAATCCGCGTAGTTCGGACCAACGAAGATCTTGTCTCAGATATGGTGCTTTCGGATGGAATCTCCCAAGAGCTTTTCATTGACGCCTGCTTGGGAGACGACGGCTGTGCCCCATAAAGTACAACCTAGTTCGATGGATTTGAGGGAGGACGGGCTCGGTTTGTTCGAGGGAGAGTTAGCTTCCTAGACCGAAGCTGAGGCCTATTGCTCCGAAGCCTAGGATTGGGACCTACCTTCACGGATTTGAACGATAGTAGCGTGCGTGATATAACAACAACCCACATGACTCTGCGGCGTAGTGCGATGGGTATCGACAGAATAGACGTAGAGCACGGAGACGCTCGCGGCGTTTATGCCTATTTCTGCATACAGTATTGCGGAGTTAGTCGGAGGCACATGAAAGCTTGGCACTTTCTATTTTTCTCGTTCGAGACTTTGAGAGTACTGAACACCTGGCAAACCAAAGAAAGAAAACGAGAGCGCCAACTTTATTTGCTGGAAGATGTCAGGGGAAGGTCCCAGATGAAAACAGTTTGTCCCAGAACTGTGGATGTTCTCTTGCTATTGCATTCACCTCGTTTGGTTCATTGCCCAGTGCATTCCCGTTGATGCAGTCACTTGTAATTTATTTGCTCGAATCTTCATTGACACAGCTTTTCCTAGAACTCTTTGAGGGAAAACGTGTGAGAAGTTTGCCTGCGAATCTTTTGTGTCCTCAAACTTAATTTGCGTATGCCCTACGCAGTATTTAACCACCCTTCAGCTGTCCCCAGATTCTCTATCCACTCATCTCATTCCCAAAATGGCAACGCCCAAATTTCCACGCGGCGATGAGAACGCCCCACCACGCAAAAAGTCTCCTGTCAAGAACATTCAAACTGGCTCGTCATCATTGCGAGTCCCAGATGGATCAAATTCGCCTTTCAGCCCGACTGCCGCCTCTTTTGTTTTGGGAGAAGTCACCCACAACGAAACTCACGCAACGCTCTACACCTCAAAGATTCCTTTCTACCACCCACCGTACGAAAATCCCATCGACGGGCGATACTGCCTCCACTTCGACACATCCGCCGAGATGAAGAAATTTCGCCCGCAAGAATACGAAGCCGACCCCAAGGGCATGTTCTCACGCGAATTCATTCAGAAGATGGTACGCATGATGGATTCGCTAGAGCCACCAGTCTCTGCAGGTCTGGAACTTTGCACTTGCGTAACCTCTGCTGCTCGTGCTWCTGCTGCCGCGAACCGCGATCCCGAAGAGTCGCCACCACTCTTCTGTATCGATTTTGGAACTACCGAAGGTCGCGATATGTGCGAAGTCTATGATGCTTTCAAAGACCTACTTGAGACAGAATTTCCTCGCGCAAAGTATCCCGAGTGCTATCCGAAAAACGGCGAGTTGATCATCCGCTTCATGGCCAGCTATGGAGACATGCCTTTTGCGCAAGGAAAAGCCAAAATGTCGCTCGGACAACAGCTCCTTACTCCACCAGAGCCGTCCAAGGCCCTGCCACCAACTATCGAAAGGGAGTATCAACACGACAGAGTCCCCGGCGCCATTCAGTCCAAGATCTTCGCCGAGCCTTACCGCGAATTCTTTCCACCAGACGAGAATTTGTTTGGCGCCTCTCTTTCAGTGTACGGTCAGCGTGGACAGAATGTAGTTGGGACAATGGGATGCTTCGTCTATCTAGTAGATGACCGCACTGGAACTTTTGTGCTTGATGAGAATGAAAATCCTCAGATCTTCGGTATGACCTGCACACATGTCGTGCAAAACACGTTCGAAGAGTTTCATGCAGGGATCGACGCCCCGATCGTGATGGCATGTCTGAGCCGACGGGATCGCGAGAATACCTACTTCTCACAGCTCCATCGGCGAGAGCAGATGCATGAGGAGATAAAGCGGCTTGCCCCTAAAGCAATTCAGTACAAGCCGGGCCGGGATCAATTTGAGGGTCTTCTCGACGATAAGAATCTAGAGATCAAACAGGCGTTCTACACTCGCGAAATGATGAAGCAGCAATACCTGAAAGACGAGAAGATCAAGTACGAGGAAGTTGCTGAGCGACGCATTGGGACTGTCTTCTTGGCGGGAGGCCGCCACCAAGTTGCTATCACGGGACAGCTTGAAGGGTTCGATAAACAGCCAGGTCGTGATACCATTATCTCTGACTGGGCTCTCATCAAGATGGACCCGAGCGTGTATCCCAATTGCAAGAATCAATTTCCAGAAGCCAAATTCCCGCTGTGGCACCCTGCAGTTGCCGACACTGCCCGATGCCATCGCTCTCTCACATCCGTCAAGCCATTGAAGCCTGAAACAGTCATCGTGAAGGCTGGCAGATCGACCGACATTACCTATGCGAAGGTTGGAATAGTCAGGGAGCGGTACAATGGAGACGTGAAAGCCTTTGACGGCTCCTACGAATGTTGTGCTTCACCATTTGAGCCAGGTGCATTTTTCTCTCGCGAGGGAGATTCAGGAGGTGCAATCATGGATGTGAGCGACGGCGCGCTGGTTGGGATCGTCATGGGTGGGCGTAAAAACGACATCACCAGAAACTACGTCCTGCCCATTCAAGTCATCGAGATGGAACTCAAGAAGWCTGGCTACAGCCTGAAACTGCACATGGGTCATCTTGACGACATTCCAACGATTTCGGAGACTGTGATTAACGCTGCTCTAGCACGAGCGACAGCAAATGCTGTCCCGGGACAGGCGTGGGAGGATGGAACTGRCGGGCATGTCCTTTCATGTGGCCATCACCGCGACGGAGAGCTCTGGTATCACGTCAAGCCCGAAGGAACTGAGCAGACAGTACAGGTGCCAAGACAGAGCTTGAACAAGACCTGGCAAAAGGCCATCTCGGCTTTTGAGGCGAAGGTCAAAGTTTCTCAAGGAACACCTCTGAGAAAGAGACCAGTCGCCACCACAGGTTTTGACGACTCCCCTGGTGTACAAGTGTCGGAGAGGGTCAAGCAGGCAAGGGGATTGCGAGACTTGCCCAACAGATCAAAATGATGATTTTGTGGTGAGTATGGGCGTTGGTAGCATAGTTATTTGAGGAGTTGGAAGAGCGTCATGTTCGGGAGATGGGGAGCGTCACTCTGGAATGACAGAGCTGCCTGGCCGTGCACCTTGGAGATAGATCTGATAGTTTGCAATGAAATTTGAATGACGCGAAATGACTCTGTGTCTACTTCCCAGGCTGACACTGCTGATCAAGAGACCTCCAAGACGCCAACTTCCAGCCCTCCATACCTTCAGCATGTCGGAGCGCAGAGTAGACGACAACGCCCCATCGGGAGGCAGTAGAGCGCCTCCACTCGAAATCATCACCACCATGGGCTTGCCTGCTGCAGACACCGATATGCCACGCTCGCAACTCAACTCCGCGGCGATGCAACCCTGAACCATCCCCGGTGGATCCACTGGTCGCTCCAATCGAATACGTCGCCAAGATGCCGTGGTACCACCCTGACTACGAAGATCCCATCGACGGCCGCTATCCCTATCACTTTGACTCGTCGGTCGGGTTTCTCAGCTACAGAGATACGGTCGATCGGAACGATGGACGAAAGTTTGGCACATACACTATTCGTGGTAAGATGAACGATCTACGACTTCGTCCCACGCCGCGCCTGAGACCTATTGATGTCAGACTCTACACCTGCATCACCTCCATGACTCGTGCGGCAACTCCACCGGAGAAGCCTAAGCCATCGCCCCCACTGTTCGCAGTCTACATGTATGCATCAGACAGTCACAGGTGGTCAGAGTTGTACGATGGTTTGGAGGACCTTCTCGAACAAAATTTCCAAAGAGTGACTATCCGAATTGCTATCCCACTCCCGCGGGCCAGCTCATCATTCGCTTTTTCCTGGAAGACGAAGACGAGTTATATGCTTTCTCGGATGGACAGTAGCTGTGAGCTTAGCATCAAGAAGTACGAGAGCATTGTCACGGGGGTAAGGAGAAAACGCCGCTTGGGAAGGTGAGAAGAAGCCCAGAATCTTCCTCTCCAAGTGCTCAGGTGGCCAATCGGTTGAACGTTGGGAGGAAGGAGGAAATAGAGAGACGAAGCCTGATGAGCTCTCAATTGAAGGGCGGTTTTTGATCGGCCGTAAGAGGTCTCTCGCTCAATAGCGAGAAGAAGCAGTGGCGAGAAGAACATACTTATCGGGGTTTGCATCTACAGTACTTGTCAGAAAGTCTGGATGCTTGGCGCGTTTGAACTTCGTGTAGCTTTCCATCTATGTGCTTATTGCAGCAAGGGGATGGTACACTAGGTATTGAGTACACATGAATTGAAGTCAGCAATCACACCTTTCATATGAGCCAACAATGAACACATCCMATCAACAATTCAAGAAGTCATGTGGTATGCAACAACATGGATTTTGGTGATGGTCCGCCAAGCTTTCAGACTTCTTAACGTACTGTATGAATCAATTTGATACCGAGATGTCTCATTCACATTGTCATCCATTAGTAACTCCACACGCATGATTGGTACTTAAAGCCACTCAGTGCCACAATTCGAGAACTCTGTTCGTAGCAGCAGTAACTTTACTCTACTTGGAGTTCGAAAAACCATCCTCAACATTCCTACTTCCTTCTCAGAACCTTGGATTGCCGCCCGTTGCTTCTTATTACAAAGACCCTAAACCGTACGTACCTACCTTACGTATAGACAAGGTAGGAACACCGCAGCTACGGAAGTCACACCCATATAGGAAAATCACGAAGCGTCTGAGAAGGAGGCAGCGACATTCACTCTTTTCTCCAATCACATAAGAGCATCACGCCTCAAACCTTTCTTCACAATCATACATCATTTCTTCAAGCCACAAGTAAAGCACAACACTGGTTTCCACGAAATCGACAGCATTCCCAACCTCAAGCTACAGGAGTAATGTCGAAATCACGTCCCAGCTCCAGTGCTCCGACTGATGCGGAAGTGAGCGGCAAACCAACTTCATCGAACATCATCCGCACAATCAGCTTGCCCTCCAACCACCCACCATACGAGTCTCCGATCGATGGTCGCTTTCCCATGCACTTCGACACCTCCGGCGAATTCCACTGGTACTTCCATAGCCAGAGCAAGCATCCAATTGGAAAGAAGTTCTTCAGCACCAAGAACTCCGACTTCCTCCAGAGAATGTTGACAGTCACCTCATCCATGACACCTCCACTACACGTGAGTCTTCGCATTGAGACATGCATCACCGCGATGGCAAAAGTATTCGATCCGGAAAATCCGGAGGTATCGCCGCCGATGTTTGTGTTTGAGGTGCAGAAGAAGGTCGTGGGGCAGCAACTGACGGATGGCTATCATGCGCTGAGAAGATTTCTCGAAGCGGAGGTCCCGAGAGAGGAATTTCCGGAATTGTATCAGGATGGGAGGATAATTTTGAGATTTCTGCGCAGGGACTACGGTGGGGATATTGGTATGCTGTACTAGAAGAGCGATTTGAAGTTCGACGGCGAATTCACTTCTGTAATTATGTCCTCTCAAACCAAACAAGACTATGGGTCCTTGTACCTTGGCCAACCTCCGCGCCGTTCGCGATCGATAAGGCGAGGGAGAGGTAGCCTGAACTCTGCTTCGCCTAACATCGGTGATGAGCGAGTTCAAAATATAGAGGAGAGGATGATGCCTTCTTGGGAGGTGGAAGAGCATCACCACCAGGAATTCAACGATTTCTCCGATCATGTGCGCCGCCAAGATGCCATGTAGTGAATAGCTCGATGATGGACAATTACTTTTGTGATTTTGCATGCCGATGATCCGACACGTTCCGTTACGTCACGTTTCCGCTTTTTGTGTTATTGGCGCGTTATGCTTCCTTGGCATTGGAGGTAAATTGGAAAATGGATGAGATACACAGGGATTATTTTGAGATGATCATGAACCTTATTCTTGTCCTTCATCCATCCTCAACATCTTCATGTGACACCCCCACCCCAGCAAATCTCTTGGCATACGTCCCCATCGATCTCCTCCACCCATCATTGCTTGATATCTAGACATGGATTATCCCGAAGCTTCCATTGCCTAACCTTATGGAAAGATTGTTCCTATCGAACTCATGTTCATCCACTGGGTCAAATCCTGGTTGACGATAGCGAAATCATGGTTTGATAGCTAAATTTGAATCGTTCCGAGCTTCCTTTTGCGGGAGCCTCCGGGAAGTTTGTCTGCTCGCTGTCCTCAAACTTCGTCAAACTTTAGAGTTTCGATTCATCATCTGCCCAACACCGGCCTCTCGAGACTTCGACCTTTTCTTCACTATCATCTCACTCATCCGCCTCACAAAAGCCCATCCAGCCACCGAGCAAAAACTTCACTTTGCTTCCTGTCATCCCAATCATCAACTTCACTCCTTCTCATCCCACTCACCAAACACCGATGGCCAACCCAGCCCACCTCCGAGGGGATGAAAATGCGCCACCAGGCAAGAACAACCCATCATCAAACCCTGCCATGACTTCTGCATCCAAGGCTTCGGTCACGGTTCCGCCGACTGAAGAAACTCTCACTCAAGCCCCCGACTACCGTCCCAAGGCGCACGTAATCCACATGCCGTACTACCAGCCTCCGTACGAAAGCCCTATCGATGGCCGTATCTGTCACCATTTCGATGACTCGGAAGATTACAAGCAATATTGTGACGAGCAAGGCAAAGTCAAGTTCCCTTCTTTCACTAAAGCGTTCTACAAGAAGTGGCATGATTTGAACCACAGCATAGCGCCACCTCTCTTCTCGAGCCTTGAGATTCGCACTTGTGTGACTGGCGCTTCCAGAGCTACCACGCCTGATGACATGGAGCCCGAAAGATCACCGCCGTTCTTTGCTGTTAGCATTGATCAGGCTGCGAGTCCTCGATTGGATCAAATCTACCAACTTTTCAAAGGCTTTCTTGAAGTGGAATTTCCACAACGCACGTGGCCGGAGTGCTACCAGAACGATCAAATTTTGATCCGCCTTTTTGCGATTCCGCGAGGTGTGCCATTCTAAGGTCTGTAATCGAAGCATCAGTAGCCAATGCTGCTGCTACTTTGGATGATCCCGAGAAGTTACCCCCATTCTTCTATCTTGAGTTCAACGAGATTGCAACAAGTCAGACGGAGGAGGTGTATTATGCTTATAGCCGGCTGTCAAAGGACGAAATGCCCAGAGCTGATTGGGGAATGGTGATGGGGTTCATGTCGTTTGATAATGATTACGATGATTGTGCTTAGGGTTGGAGTTGAAGGCAAGAGTAGCGACACAGGTAACAGCAATCGTAACCGCCATGTCGTCCAACGAAGTGAACGGTCATTCCCAGGCCCAGACTTTTCAACCCTCTTGTCTTCCGGGACGGTCGGAAGGAGGGCCGGACTTCCACCAATCCCGTCGCATACTTCAATTCCTACAAGTTGCCAATGTCTCGAGCTATTTCCATCAAGCGACCTGACCGATTGAAACACTCCTCGTGTCAGCGCGGTCGGTCTATCATCAATGCCATCCCTCTAAGGCCTGTTATTCATCTCCTGTAGATCTACCTTAGTATACAACACAGAAGCGCTCGGCGAGTGTGACTTATCGCAGTACGTTATTTGAACTCCAGCCAAAGTAATGGCCTTCTTGCGCGGATTCTGGATGGATTACATCGGAAAGAAATTGTAAGGCTCTCGGTCTTGGAGTCGTTCGGTGAGGACTTCTTCGGAATTTTACCCCTTGGGCCTGGTTGATGAGACGGCGGAGAGTGGAAACCTAGATGCCTAACAAATTCATCGTTTACTAGGTAGGGCCAATGTTGTCAGTCAAAATCGTCTTCAGGGCGTATTCTTTCCCGAATAGTGCATGCAACTCTTCCAAGTATCGCTCTCGCTCCCGAAGTTTTCTCTCCACAAATTCGGTATCAGTGGGTCGTCAGAGACTCGCCAGAAACTTGTAGTCAGTCGTCTGAATCTCCTCGGCGATGTACGAGAGATGATAAGGCACTATGCGGTCGTAAAAGATGGTCGTAAAGCTGATTGGATCCTTGATTGCGAGAGTGGCCCAAAAGCTGCCGCTTGCCCATGCTTGCCGCATAATAGAAGACAGAGAGTTGGCTTCACTACGGCCTAAAAGCCGCTCTTGTTCCTCCAGCACTTCAACGAACTGCTCATGCTCAGGACCAAAGGTCTCTCGATCTACCTCATCGATCAATTGCCCTCCCAGCCAGTATGGAGGCTGTTGGAATTCGATAGGCCACGCGCAGGAGAATTCCAAGTCGATAATGCTCACAATGTTCCAGTCGTCATCCACGATGATATTGCTTGGATGGAGATCCGTGAGACTGAAAGCAAAAGGTCCCGAGCGAAGTTCCGGGCAGAACATATGTGGAAAGGCGGCCCTTGCTGCAGCTAGACCGGCCATCTGAAACCATCCATCACTGTAATTTTCTACAGCATTCGGCTGATGGATCATACGCGTGTCCAGTGCTGCCAATTGCTGCAAGATGAAATCGTCCACGGTAGAAAGGGTGGCATTCCGCGGAACTTCGAGTGGGATGCCCTCATTCTCTTGCATAACGAACTCCATGCTTAGTGGCCGATTGTCCAGATGCAAGTAGCCGTTATCGTCAAGTCGGAAGGCTCCAATGCGTGGAAGTGGAATGCGAGTGAGGGAAAGTAGTGTGCAGGCGAGACCCCGGTAGAGATTATTTTGCAATCGTACATCGTCATGTTTGTCCTTCCAAGTATCTGAGAGCATCTCACCGCCGACAATGGTCTCAATAATCAAATAGCCAGTTCGCAGAAATGGGATATAGCTGGCGTTGTGGCATGCATAGCGGGAGGGTAGGGGACGGCCGAGCAACGTAAGAACCAAACGACGAGCTCGCTGGAGCCAGCGAGACCACCAGGGAAGGCATTTGAGATTAGTGAACTACATTGAACACGCTTAGCAACTACTTTGGTGTAGGCAATAGCGGGATGCCATACCCGTTGGCCGGTGGACAAGCCGAAACCATATAGCTGGGGAATGGGCACCGAAGGGCAGAATTGCTGTATCCATGCATAAGCGGCTGCCTCGCCCCTCAGCTTTTCGTCAGCGTTGCCTGGACGCTTTGCTTCTCCGACGCGGTATGGAAGCGGAAGTCGGACCATGACAGACTTCGGCAGGGAGGGGTCATGCGCGGAAACGCTAATGGGCACGCAAAGCTTGAAAGATCCGTGTCGCCAGTATTCCTGCGGGGAGACTTCGCACTGTTCGGTAGCGACGCCCAAGTGATGCGCGACCACGGCACGGATGGTATTGCGCTGCCCTTGTAGCTCCTCGTAAAAGGCATGCTTTTGTCGGGGGTACTGGGAGGCATGGATCACATCGTAACTCTTTTCTCTCGCGGCCGATAACGTGATAGGTCCGCGAAGCAGTTCGATAACGCCCATAATAGGGAATGTTATAGCAATGCAAGAAAGAAGCCGAAAAGCGAGGCCATGAGAAGGTAACGGATGAAGCAGATGAGACGTGAAGTGCCCGGCTAAGCTTCCCGATAGGATGAGATGGGCACTACGCCGCTTCGAGCCGAAGCGCCCCGAGACAAACGGAGTTCTATCATTGGACAATTGCTGTCATTTACCGCTACTATCCACCTCCGTATCCTTTTCTAGCATCGTAAGGGCTCTAGTAGCTTTAGGGACGCTATCTATATAGAGAGCAAGTTTTGTCTTGAATCGATGCGATCTCCTTATGTTAATAGCTCTAAAGTCCCTTACGAATACGTAAGAAAAGAGCGTCTAAGAACCTTAGAAGGAATTAATGCATCGGACGTAGCAGAAATGCGGTTGGCAGCCCGAAGGTCGTTATTCGCTTACAATACATTCACATCGAATTAGATCGGATTTGAAAACAGGACATAACAAACATCTCCATATCTGATGTCGATCAAAAATGGGAAGTGAAAGTAGTCTTCATGTGAAACTCCCRGCGCCCGCAGATATCTTGGCATACGTCACCGTCGATCTCCTCAATCTCACATCTCACGTCGCATACACCCCTCATTCCCCTCCAAACACCAACCTCGCCCATGGACTCCCTGAAAAACATTTCCAAAAATGGCTGGAAACCCGGCTCCTCCTCCTCCTCCACTTCCTACTCCTCGTCGACAGAAAAGAAATCCAGCATAACAGGTCTAGGCGTGCGCTCCAAACTCTCCGACGCCAAAGGCAAGGCCACAGGAAGAGATACCGCAAGTTTGAATCATCGCGAGAGTGCTTTGAATCACCAATCAAGACCGTTGGCGAGTTTGAGGGATCCGGCGAGTTTTGCGCCGCCGCCGAAACATGTGGCTGCGGGTGGGGGTGCGGTTGGGGGTGGTGGGCAAGGGTTGATTGGGAATGGAGGAGGAGGAGGAGGGGCAGGAAGTTCCACGGCGATGGTGGCGGTGAGAAGGAATGAGGGACCTACAGGTGGCTTGGGGGCGCCGGCTGTCGAGCCTGGGTATGCAGCGAGAAAAGCAGCCGAAGAGCGGGAAAGATTAGAGCAAGAGGAATTGGAGAGGGAAAAGAGGAAGGAAGTGGGATATCTCAAAGATACATCTGGTCTACGGACTGACCATCTCCCGCCTCCGCCTGTAAGACGTCCAAATCTTCAAGACGAAGCCAATACTGGAGTAGGATCTGTAGTGAGAAGAACAAGTCCCGCTCTCCCAGCAAGAACTACAGCATCAGGTCCCGCACTACCAGCAAGAGGAGCAAGTCCCGCTCTACCCCCTCGAGGAGCAAGTCCCGCCCTCCCATCCCGAACCTCCCAACAATCCCCCGCCATTCCCCCCCGAAGAACAGCCACAGGCCCACCACCACCCCTCCTCCCACCTCGACAAAACGAATACCCGGACGAACACACCCCAGCTCCACCACCAGCCTACCAAGAAGCCCTCCGCCAACCCGCCCTCAACTCCCTCGCTCAGAACTCCTACACCAAACATTCCAGCTCCATTAACAATTTCGCCGCGCAGAAACTCGGACAACATGTAGGCGCCACACCCGCACAACAAGAAGTTTTGAATAACCCCGCCGTGCAGCAAGCGGCTGTGAAGACTTATTCACAGAATTCGGGCGCCATTAATCAATTCGCCGCGGGGAGATTAAGTCAAGCGGGAGTTTCCGTTCCCGGGCTGGGGATTGGAGGAGCTTCTTCTTCTAATAATCCAGGACCTGCATCCGTACAGCAGACGACAGCGACGAGGAGTGGAACACAACTCTCCGAACTCCAGTCTCGTTTCTCTCGATTGGGAAGTAATCATACCGATACTTCTACTCCGCACTCTGTAACACCACAACAACAAAGACAAGAAACGGGGAATATAGCGCGACCACCACCAGCGTCAGCAGTAGCGCAGAAGAAACCTCCTCCTCCCCCTCCACCAAAGAAGAAAATCGGTCTCGCTGGACCGGGAAGTCCAGGTGGAGCGGCAGGAGGAGGAGGAGCAGGAGAAGGATCTTCTTCGAATAGTGCTGCCATTGTTCCTCCGCCCTTACCGTTGAGCAGTAAACCTAGACTACCTTGAGGTGATCAAGGAATGGAATGTGCGATTGGATCGCGTTGAGGTTTTGGTAGGATTAGCGTGGTTTGATCTGGTCGCATTGCATTGCATTGCATCGCATCGCATCGCATCGCAGGTATKGGATTAGAGTGATTTAACTGTCAGCGAGCAAATTCAAAGTCTTCAAAACGAGTATTTGTGTCGCTGGCTCGACAAGCATAGTCTCACTTTTCTTTTCCTTGTTGCTTGACTCATTAGTTGTGACGACGTGATCATGCCCACCCATATCTTCGTCGTTGATCTAGTCCTTGACATCAAGTTTCAACTTCAACGTACAATACAATAGTACAATACCCCATATGTCCCATTTCAATACACATATACATCAAACCACCACGCCATCAACCCTGGATATCTCCCTCAACCGCTCCCTCGCACCCTTGACCCTCCCATTCGCCACCTTGCCACCCGCACTCCCCGCACTTCTCACACTCTCCCGACTCCCCCTTCTCCTCCCCAAACCTCTAATCCCTCCAACTTTCCTCCCAACCACCTCCCCTTCCCCTTCCGTCCCCAACACAAACCCTAGCTTAAGATTCCCCAATGCCTCTCTCGGATCCTCCACGCGCACACCCCAGCCTTCTTCCAGGAAGACTTTGAGATTCCAGCCAAGTAAGAATACGGCGTATTCGAAGCGGAAACGAGGGACGCTTTTGGAGAAGAGCGGGTAGGTGCGGACGTCTCCTCCTTTGGTTTTGCTGTGTGCCGAGGTGGAGAGGAGGCTGATGCCGTCGTAGATGGTGGAGGTGCTTCCTCGAGGGGTGATGGGATAAGGGAGGGGATGTCGGAAGTAGAAGGATAGTAGTTGCAACACATGCGCGACGTGGCCCAAGGCAGCGGCTACTTCTTCAGGTGGGAGGGAATCCAGTTCTTCGGTGTGTGGGAGTTGAAGACCTCTGATGCGGAATGCAAGAGGTTTGTTGGGGGTTGAAGTGATGGGATAGCAGACTTGTAGGTCTTCGCAGATGCGTCGGCGTTGGGATTGGATCTCTCCGGTGCATTTCTGGTGTTGATCACGGAGGGAGGGGAAAGTGGGTTTCGTGTCGGTCATTTCTTTGAGGAGAGACTTTCGAGATGCAAGAGAGGATGTCATGAGTTCTCTTCGTTTGGCAAGAGAGGCGCGTTTCTCGGCTTGTTGAGCTCGGACTTTGGCGAGTTGCTTCGAGACTGTAGATTTGGCGTATTCGATGGTTTTGAGGCGGTCATTGGTCTCGGAGAGTTCATCCTGTTCCTCAAGAGACTGCTTGTTGGCTAGAAGGAGATGTTCCAGATCCTGGGCAATTTTATTCCGTGTCTCGAGGGCATCCTGAATGGTATCGGTGAGTTTCTGAAGGCGAAGAAGGGCATCAAAAGTGGATGTGCATTTGATATTCCTGGCGGAGGGAGGAGGTTTAGTTCTCCGTGGTGGGATYGGAGCAAACGGAGAGCTGGGTGTAGTGTAGACACCATCCGGAAGATGGAAAAGCAGAGCATTGGATGGGAGGGAGCGGGTCATATTCGCCAGCTGAACAATTCTCACCGTCAGTCATCAACAACACGACAAAACCTCCACCATTCTCACTCACATTCTTCCCCACATACACCAACCTCCTCAAATCCACCTCCATCGTCACAACCAAGGCCCAACCCTCCTTCCCTTTGCCCCAAACCTTGACCAACACCTCCTCCCCTCGTAAAATCCCCGCGCCACACCCGGCCCAATCAATACTTCCAAACGTGGGATTCATCGTCTGCTCCACCATTYCCGACACATATACCGGTACTACCATCTTAACATCAGTCCACAACATCCAACATCCCTCGGATATCCAAGCATACCTTCAATCCCACCCATATGCAAACTGAAAAAGACATCACCCATCCTCTCCCCCATTGCCGCTTCCCATTTCCTCTGTCGTGTCTGCGGCGTAGCATTGGCCCAGTCGATTGTACTTCTCCTCCGCAATCTCCTCACCTGAGGCCTGCTCTTGCCCGCTTCCTTTTCGACATGTCCGCGGAGATCCGAGTGGCTGCGGGCATGATTGATCGTGTGTTCTTCATTCAAGGCCAACAGTTTTGCCGGGGAGTGTAGAGTTTGTGGGAGGGCGTCGTCGTCGGCGGTGGTGCTGGTGCTGGAGGATGTTGAGGTGGAGGGGTTGCTGGAAGAGGCCAGACGGAGATTACGGAGGGAARTGGATTGCAAGTTGCGGAGTTTGAGGGATGTGGGGAGGAGATATTGCGAGGGGGAGGTCGAGTGCGCCATTCATTATTCGTGCTGGGGTCCGGGGAATGGTGGGAAGTGGTCGAGTTGCGGGTGAGCTGGAGCTTGGAAGTGGTAGGTAGAGCTGTACGGTTGATTTGATTGGGGCCGTCAAATATTGATTGGTGACGTCGGCTAGCTCGCTGCATTTCAAAGGGACCGCCGACTTCATCTCTTCCCGATACATCACCATGGCCAACCATATGACTTCGATTACTCATATTGAATGATGACCTCGGTGAGACGATGACCCAGTTCAAAAGATGTAGGTAGCCTTCCTCCAATATCAGTGTATTAAAGACAAAAGGCAGACTACAACAGAAGCTGTCAAATCACACATGTGCCATAATCCCAAACGCGATTCTCCATCCCTCAGATTCCCTTGATCTTCTCCCAACAAGCAAAGAACAAAGCACAGTCAGCCTCACGACTCTCTGCCTCAGCTCTAACAAGTCCGAGAAAACCAATCAGAAGAGTGTCTCACACCTTAGATCGAGAGAGGGGTCGGAGTAGCCGAAGCAGTGCTGATACCGGTAGAAGTAACCGTAGAGCCCGGGGACTGCTGAGTAGGAGTGACAGTGGAAGAGGCGGGCTCAGTGCTCATCGCAGTGGTCGTAACGCCAGGAATTCCCATGGTGGTGCTGGGATTGACAGTAGAGGTGGCGTTGGCAGACGTTCCATTCTTCGGCTCAAGATTCATCTTCTCAATCCTCATATCCTCCGGCACAAGTATGAGGAGGAGATCAACCAACGCCTTCGCCATGATCAATTTTTCTCCTGCTCGAGAACCTTGCTCACCAAAGTGGCTCGCTCAGACTCTGTTAAAGGGGTGTGAAGACAATGCCAGCAACGCCGGTATCCCAGTCTAGCAATGTCATGGTTGAACGGCTCCACCAAATTTAGATAATTCCGCTTCGCTCTGCGGAGTTGCTTTACGGAGGCTGGGAGGGCGCTCTCTTCATCCAGGGTCAGCCAATTGGTGTGGTATTTCGCAGCGTCTACTTCGATACGAGTGGGCAATTTTGGCTCTTCAGTGGGTGTTGCAACAGCCGAAGAAGTGCTTGAAGATGATCCGGTGACCGTTGGTGATGCGATGACCGTGGACATGTTGCTAGAAGACACCATGCTCGTGGGCGGAGAGGAAGATGTGGTCGTCGTCGTAAAGTCCGAAGGTCCATCGAGAACAGGCGTCTCCACGACTTGCCTCTTCTTTAATTTAGAGCCAGAAGGCTCGACGATCCCATTATTGACTAGAATTTCCATCCAATTCTGCCGCATTTCGGTCGTCTGGCAGGATATCCAAGATTCGCGGTCCAGCCCAGAACATCTGGCTGCTCCATTGCTCCACAAGTGGATCCAACTAGGAAGTTCAGGACCATTGCCATTCCGGGCTTTGGCCAAATCCCGTGCTATGGTGCATTTCGTAATTGGATTAACATGGTCGAATTCCCGTGGAAGGATCAGATTGGTGTCGGTCGCATTCAACGCTTTGACTTCTTGCTCGCACTTCTCAAGAGACTCAATAGGGTCATCCAACACTTGACTCCTCTTGGAGTGTTCAAGAAGCGGAACGTTGGTTGCAGTTGCGGGAGAGGATGCAGGCGAAGAAGAAGAAGCGGCTGTGGCAAGCGCAGACGAATCACTCTCCCAATCATCACTATCCCRGTCTTCTTCCAAGCAGTGGTACAGCGGGTGATCGCAAACCTTTGGGTCTTGCAGATCACGCCTCTTGACAAAAACAGGAGGGAACTGGGGCTTTTCATGAGGTTGGTCACCATTCTCATCCTGCTTATTCTGCGCTCTCATCAACTGTATTTTGCAATCCCCAAGAATGTGCTCAGGGGCGGGAACCATATTCGTCGTCTTTGGCCGCCAAGGCGCGTTGGGTGGGAAACGCACWTCATGTCCGGTCAGTTCTTTGAACTCATTTCTGCACTCGTCGATTTGAGCGTGCACTCCAGAATCGAGGTCGTCCGGCAGTGGCGCCTCTCTCTTTTCTATCGTCTTCGTGGGGACAGAGACTTCTTCGACGTAAGTTGCAGCTTCCATGCCAGCGGGTGGTGGGACGTCGGATGGGAAGGGGTCGGATCCGATGGTTGGACGCACCCAGGGGCCAGGTTCGATGACCGAATTGCGCACTGGAGTTGGGACTGCTGTGGGGACTGGGGATGGGATTTCCGTCAGGATTGGAATTGAAGGTCTCGTGTTGACAAGACCTTCGATGATTTTGCCATGCTTATCTCGCGGTTTCGGGGATGGATCAGGAGGTGTGGGCATCGATTTCGACCATAGGACGTCGATGAGCTGGTCATTGAGTAAGAGAGCCATCTGGGGGATGGTTAGCGATGTCTCTAGCGCAAGCGCAGCGACTTCTAGTTATCTTCGACGGATTCAGGCTCTCTTCATTAGCAGAGTTCCACTCTCTCTGAACAGAAAGCCCGAGGAACTCGCCGTAGGACGCGCTTTCAACACTGCAGGGATATGCTAGGTTACTTACTTGCAAACGAGCATCCTCAGGGCCATCCAGTGGGTGACCTTTATTCTTGTGTTCCAATATCTTCTCCAGAGAGTGACGAGTCTTCTTAGCTGAATGAAAGGCTCGCTCGAAAGCTTGACGCTGTTTATTGGTCGGAGCCTTGGTATCGGATTGCAGACTCTTTCGAGAGATCGCAGGAGTATTCTCGGGAGTCTCAGTCGCGGGAGTGGGGTATTCACCCTCAGTATTGCGAAGATTAGGGGGGCCGGCGATTGTCGGGATTTTGTCAGGGAGTGTTTCATCCTTCTCGAAAGCTGGAAGAATGAATGTACGATCTACCATGTACTGGCGGACCACATCAGCGAGTCTCGACGATGGACGCGAGACCTCGGCCGTGGAGTTGGTAGCGTTGGGTGCGCTTGGCAGCACAGGGGCGGCATTGGCTACTCCCCCGAAAAGGAGAGCGCCGATGGCGATGGTCGGGTGAAGCCTCATCTTCTGGTGGTGTTTGAGGTGAAGAGAAGAGGAAAGAAAGAAAAGAGCATTGGAGATTGGGAACCCCTCAAGATAAAGTGTTCTGGGGCGGAACTGCCGAATTGGGACTGTGTTTCTCGTGAGGGGATTTCATAGCCTCCCATGGAAACTTCGCAAATTTGACTGGTTGAGGAGAGAGTGTACACGTATTGCATGCAGGATCTGTTTTGCTCTTTGTGGAATAAGAAAGTGCATGGAGTGAGAGGTGTGTAGGCTGCAGTTCAAGGGAGATGAGAAGGGCAGAGTAATGAATATTGGGCAATGTAGATCAATGAACCAGCAGATACTCTGACACGTTCATGTCCTAGAGCGCTGAAAGTTTTCGCAACAAGATTAGTTGCATCTCAAATTCCTTCCAAGTTCTTGACAGTCCAGTGACATCCAATCGTCATCCTCCCTAAAACATTCTTTTTCCAAGCCACGAAGAGCCGTCTAGTCTATCTTTGACAATCTGGTAGAGACTGGCCACAATCCAACAACCGAGCATTCTCCGAGCTCTTCTCGTTCCATTACATCTATTCTACCTTTAGCACTCCAGCAGAGATCAATAGAAACCCTCTCACTTACAGATTTTCCTGTGATCACCATAGTAGACTTAGCATACCCTCTTTGCTCATTACAGCACAATGAACAAGCCCAATATCCTAGACACCTCACCCTTGGTCCCCTCTACAGTTATGGAAAGACCCGAAGTCCCATCGTTTAGAAGACGGTAGAGACCAAACTCCGGCAGCTAGAGTTGAAGCGATACTACACGAGCTACGCCGTACAATCTCATTAGCGATTCTTCCACAACGGCTTCAGCTCTCGTCGTGGAGTCTGCCTCAATCACCCCTAATACTCGCGMCATACGGTTACCATTGAGAAACAGAGTAACAGCGGAGAAGCGCACGATGGACGAATTGATCGAGTCAGTGAATTGAACATCAGAGACAATCCAAAACAAAACATACAGCAGAAAACACCAGTAACAAGGAAAAATGCAAGTCCATCCAATGAAAGTCTCCCTAATCCAGCGGGATTCGTTATACGTATTGATCTAGGCTTCCAGTGGTAAAGGGTCCAAAAAGGGGGAAAGGTTACGAAAATTCTCGAACTTCATCTTTGGGCCGTACTTGTCCACAACAAAAAACAAAGGTGAAATTCGTTGTGGGCTGACGTGATCAGCGCCGAGTAAGAGCTGCGGAAGGGGATTCTTTCTATAACGCAAGGCTGAGAATTAATCACAAATCATCTTGAATAGGAGCTGAGGCTTATTCCTAAAACTATACTCACGACGTAACAAAGATTAAGAGACCCTTCCAACTACTTCCACAATAGTAAAGTCTTRATGAAAGTAATAGTGAAAATACATGGACAGATCGGCCCAACAAACCTCACTTCTATAAAGATAGGATTAGTCCGCCAAGACCCAAAATCACTCACTAACAACTTATTTCACTCAATCTCTCAATCCACCATCGACTTAAAGGACACCTCAAGAGACCCGTCAGATAAATCTACAACAGCAAAGTCTGATTATAAATGATGGCGACATAAAACTCACATCCACAACGACAAAGTTTTACGCCAAGACTTCAAAATCACTCCCTAATAACACGTATACTCACTCAGTTCCGTAATTCAGTGGTAGAAGAATACCAAGCCTAAGATCTAGATAATCAAGCTAAACTATCAAGACCCCACCCAGATCTCCTCTCAGCATAATTTCCCCCAAAAATGAAAAACTCCTTTTGCGAAGAAAATTCAAGCACGAATTTCCCAGTCCAAGGCTCTCGCGGAATGTTTGATTCCAGAGCCATCTAACCCGATACAGGACTCCCTGGTCCTCGAGTACGGCAGAGAGAGCGCCTAGTCTCAGCGAGCGACTCTCGAAAGCTTCACTGCCGCGCAGTCATTGCGGGAGGAGCATCGACAGTCTCAGTGATGGTAAACATGCTAGATTCCTTAGGAGCATCGACAGTCTCAGTGATGGTAAACATGCTAGATTCCTCCCGCTTGATAGAAGCGGCGGGAGTGATAGTATGAAGAGCCGGGGCGGTGGCGGTGACGGTTGTGAGGACAGTAAGCACACCAGCATCGGATTGCTCGGGGGTAGCAGTAGCGGTGGCGGTAACAGAGAGAGTCGTGAATGGGGTCAAAGTTGAAAGAGCCGGAGCGGTGGCGGTTACGGTTGCGAAGGCAGTCTTTACGCCCACCTGTCGAGCGACAAGTGCATCCTCAAAAGTGGAAGCGGTGACGGTGTGCATGATAGTGTTGTGGATAACCTCGGTGACCACGACAGTCGAGTAGACCCCAACGGCCCTGTTGGTGATAGGAGGCGAAGTCGTAGTAGTGGAGCCCATGGCATCCCCCGTGATGGTAGAAGCAGCCACAGTCGTAGTAGTGACGACGACAGTATCGAAGGTCGTTGGAGTGGATGATGTGGCGACTTTTTCAAAGTCAATGACCGAAGCTGGAGGTGGAAAGAACGACGCCTTGAGAGACATCGCGAGGGGGCTCTCGGTGGTGACGGCGACTGAAGTAGGTGGATGGATCCCGGCTCTAGTTGGGAATTCACCGCCGGGCTGGATATATTGTTAGCACATGAGTATGAATGATTAGGGAGGACTCTATGTGAGATTGTTATCATACCAGGACGAAGATTACGTGGTCTTGGGACATGGCAGCACCGTAGGTGGAGCCAGCGAGGGCGAGGGCCATGCTAGCGATGTTGATGAAGTGCATCTTGGAAGTGTTGTCTGTGATTGGTAGTGGTGAGAGTATTGTAGTAAAGTAGTAGTAGTGAGTAAATATCAAAAGATGAAATGTGAAATGAGCGACGAGACTCAGTATATAAAGAAAAATTCGCACCGAGAGGAACGGCATGGAGCAACGTAGACTTCTACAAGTCCAATGGATCGCAGCACCTTACCATGCATGTGAAATTTAATGTGGTATGGGAAATTCCTCTCCGTTTGGTTCCTGGATATTGTACCTCTGAAAACCGCTTGGATACTTTCGATATGCCTCGTGACTATCAAGAATAGATTTCCGGAAAGAAATGTATCTCTATGAGCGAGTCGGAATCCAGGGATTCTCAATTAGACAAAAGCTTCTCCTGATTTCATGGCAAGCAATATTAGAAGAACAGGTGTGTGAAGCCTTTCTCCATGTCTATGCCACACTCTACCCTACCACACCAATAATGGCTCCATGGCCCAGAATCTTTCCCGCCGTTCTCAGATCTAAGTCATCTTGGCCCGCGAAATCTACATCAACACGACCGTTGATGACAAGTGGCACGTTCGCCGTCTTTTTGATCTTGTGAAGTTCCTTGGCGATTTGCACGAGGTGCCAGATGTCTTGTCGCGCAGCTGAAAAAAAGAGGTGTTGTAGACAGCAGCAGCGTACGAAATTATGACTGCCCCTTTGCTAATTCTTCGGTACATATACATCCCCCCAAAATCAGAAGTAAAYCATTCCCACAACATCCACAACCTCTTCCCACGCGCCCAATTTCTCTCCCCACAAGAAATCCTACTCCTAAAAAAGAAGCCCAAATACCAATATCCTCAAAATTGTTACATCTGCATATCCATCCCATAAGAGGAGACGAAAATCCCCAGCCTCTCAAGATGCCCAAGCCCTCAAAAACCCATAAACCACAACAACAACAACGCCAACAAATCCAATTAMCCTCCTTTTCTTCTTTCCACGCAGCTCATAACCGCTAAGAAATCCTAGCAGTGAGGAATCCCATTTTCCTTGCAAAAGGCATTAAAATCAACCCTCTCCCTCCCTCCCTCCCCCTCTTCGCTATAAGTAAGGAAAGAGGAGCTCGACGATGTCATGAAATCGGCTGGTACTTCATTTCCATTCTACCACTGCGATAGATATGTGATCATTCGAGATGATTTATGATTTCAATAATTTGATCATACAGCATGCGAAATGGACGAACGAGTAAGTCTCTCTCGAACTCTTTGATGGAGGGCGTTTTTCGGGAAGGGTTATGAAGATGAATGAGTGAAGTGRGACATAATACGAGTTACATCTCACTCGTAGCAAAGGGAAAACGAAGAAACGATCAAGTAAGTATCTCCTTTCCTTTCCTTTTCTTCCCACAAAATTTTACCATTCATCATCCACCTTCTCACACCTCCCTCTTATCACCTCCCCACCATCCTCATCATCCAGAGAAAGAACAAAATCTACTGCAACATCCCCTCCAAACTCTCCCCAGTAACCTCCTCAATCTGCGCAATCCACCTCCCAACCTCCCTCTCAACCTCCCCCTCATCATCCTCCTGCAACTCCGAAATCACAGGCAACATTTCCGGCAAAAGACTAATCCAATCCACATGCAAAACTTCCGTCAACCTCCTCTCAGTCCTCACAGCCATTAATCTCACCCGTCCACTTTCATGCCTCAAAAATGACATTAAGAGGGTATTGAGAGATTTGTGATGGTCGGGGGAATTAGCTGCTTGAGCGAGAGCTGTGATTGCCGGGATGATTGGGGTGGAGGAAGAATGGTGTGCGGGAGAAGCAAGGAGGGAGAGGATTGGTGGGTAAATGATGTTGAAATGAGAGGGGGATTGCCAGAAGCCATCGGAGTCGTGTTCGAAATTCGCCGTGAGGGTTTCGAGGACTTGGGATTGGAGGTGCAATGTTTGGTCGTCTGTGGATCCTTGGTGGGAGAGGATGTCGGCGGCGCTCTCAAGAAGGAAGCCCGCGTAGCTGGTGACGAGACTTTTGAGTTGGTCGAAGAGGACGTGGGCGAAGGAGTAGACGCTCATGTAGCGGTGTCGAGTTCCTTGGATGTCTTTCTTCGGGAGGGATCCCGCCCAGGTGATGAGTTTGGTGAAGAAGGGGCGGAAGGTGGAGTCGTTGAGTTTGAGGACCGTTTGCATTGTGGCATCCGTGACGAGATCGTAGGGTGTGGATTCTTCATCTTCATCTTCACTGCTGGAATTGTCATCCCCTGTAGAAGGGGGGAGTTTGCGACGGAGATCGAATGCTTCAAGAAGAATGGTGAATAAGAGGGGTGCGTAGCGGGAGATGACGGCCTTTTGTTGATGCTTGATGGTAGAGAGGAGGGTTTCCATGTGGAGACCCATGGCATCCCGTCCAAGAGCCTCTACCTCTGGCATTGTTCGGTGGATGGAAGAGAATAGGTCTTGCGCGAAAACAGTCTTGGAGGCAAGATCGGTGAATTGCTTGGCATGGTAGTTGTTGGCTTTGGCGGATAAGACAAGGAGAGGGTCGAGGAACTTTCCAGTCAGCATAAAAGGGATGTAATCCAACACCGCCGTGGCATAGCTGAAACAAGCAGTGATCATGGGATGATCCCGGAAACGTTCCTCCTCATCAAGCTCTTTCCGGAGATATTCAATCGCGTGGTTGGTAGTGTTGACAAAGATGGGAATGAAGGCGTCTCCGAGCACTTCCAGCATACTAGCAAGGCAAAGCAGGGAGATGCGATGAAGATCGAAATCGTAATCACCTAAAGCGGCCGGTCCAGCAATCTTCTCGGCAGCCTTCATCACAGCATCCCGATCAGTCTTGCCGAATTTCTCGGAAATATTATCAATGCAGGTGATGGCGGCGATTCTGGTCGCGGTTGGTTGGGAGTCGGACACGAAAATCGCACAATTGGAGAGCGTCTCTCCGAAGATTGCCTGCAGGGCTGCATCGCCACGTCTGGCAGACTTGACGCGCTGTTCAAGAGACCAGAAGACTTGCTGGCGAATCTCATTGGAGCCGGTTTGCATGAGCATAGCACTTGCGTCGATGAAATCTTTGGTGGGCATCAAACCGAGCAAGGCTGTCAATACTCTATTCGCACTGTCGTGGAGAGTCTCATCCGTCTTGAGCTGAAGGCCGAGCTGCATGGACTTTTCCAACAAGACGGAGTATGTGATGCGGAGGTTTTCTGCACCTTCTGGTTTGTTGAGTTGCTTGGCGAGCTTCTTCCGGAGAGCGTCGCGGGAGAGGACCTCCGATAGACCAGTGAGAAGGTTGGACGTTGCCATTCTGGATTGATCGGCATTCTTCTCACCATATCCGAGAATGACATCTGACAAGCCTCTCTTTGGCTTCAATGTATCAGAGATAAGGTCAAGGTATTGGCTTACAGCGTGGAGTTGAATATCGACGTCGAATTCACCCATGAGCTCTGCGACAAACGGCAAGACGTTGGCCTGATCAGGATATCGCTCCACCAACATTGCAACAACAGCGAAGAGAGATTCACTAGCACCCAAGGTCTGCACCAAGTGTCGGAAGAGACCTGCCCGACGATGAAGAGGAATATGCTCAAAGGCAGCGGTGAAGCTGAGAAGCAATTCTGCCGCGCCGCTGATCAAATCTTTCCCACGCTTCTTCAATGAGGCTGCCAATGGGGGGATAATCCTCGCGACCGTCTGATCCGTAACGTGAGCGCTGTAATCATCGCCTTGCTTGAGGATGGTGGAGCTCATAAAGGTGAACAATGGCATGACGCTGTGCAAGACAAGATCAGGCGCCCAAGATGCAAGTGCTGACATCAAGAGTAACGCCGCGTGATGAACTTGTGTGCTAGACGTGGTTCGTACGCATTCCACGATGAGGTCAGCCCGGATGACGGAGCGATCAACATCTTTGTTGGATGTCGATTTAAGCCCGTTGACAACATCCAACAAGCCGTTGATGATCAAGCCTTGCAGGTAGACCAATTCAGAGTTGAGGAGAATCTTGTAGTGGTGTAATTCACTGAGGAAGTAGAACAGTCCCTTTAGCAACGCCGAGTGGTGCTCGGGGTGGGATTCCTCCACCAGCTCGAGGACCAAAGTGATGCGACGGACAGCAGCGTTGATCTTGTCTTTGCTGATGTTGGCAGTCTTTGTGACATCCGAAACTCTGCTTGTTCGTTGCTTTTTGGTGGACGTGGGCTGACCTTGCAAGTCCCCGACTGTTGGCAAGCGCTCGACAAGATGGACCAAGATTGGTGTGGAAAGTGTCAAGCTGCGAAGAGTATCCATTGCCTCCGTTTGCGTCTCCTCGGATGTGTTGGCGTTCAGGCTAACATCAACAAGCCAGTCCATCAAATCGAGCTGAGATGCGTCCTTGGTAGCAGACCACAGTTCTCGCAGACGATTCAATCCAAGCTTGACTCTCTCAATCCCGCATTCACCAAGTGCCAATGCTTTGAGAAGCTGCATTTCCTCGGGAGAGCGGTGTGTCAAACAGCTGACGAGTGCTGCGCTCAAAGTTGTGACTGAGGGTGATGTGGATTGTGAGGCTGTCTCTGCAAGGTATGCGCGAGCATACGGTAGGATGATGTGAGCGCGTGAAGTACCAGCAATCTTGCCGACTTTGCAGAGAATGGCGGCAAGTCGAAGCTTGACATCTTGCACTGGTGTTGCCACCAGATGTGAAGCCAAGAATCCATACACACTCGTACGAATCAAGKCTTTCAGTTCCTTCCGCTCGGTATGGACGAGGGCAGATGTCGCATTGATACTGTCCGCCAAGTATTGGATGATGTAGTTGGAGTCAATTGTGCAGTCTTCCAAAATGGGCAGCAAAGCCTCGGACATGAATCTCTGTGCGTCTGCGAGAGACAGTCGCTGGATTTGGGAACTGTCGGTGCCGTAGAAGATATCCTTACTCCAGACTCGCACATCACCTGTAGCCTTGCCCTTACCTGACTTGCTTTGATATAGACCACTCAAAGCCCGGCAGGTAGATGCTGCAGCACTACGAATGGATTTGACAGGATCTGCGAGACCTGCAATGACATATGGCACGAGCGCTTGCATGTCGATGGAGTGTTGACCTTTTTTCATCTCTTCGAGCAGTCCACGGGTGATGTGGAGTGCCTTGAGTCGTGCAGAGTTGGAGACGGGAGAAGTCCAGACACGCGCGAAGAAGGAGAGGACGGCAGGACGTTGCTCGCATGTACTTCTGTGAAGGGAGTGGAGGTTGAGGAGAGCCTCGAGGTCCTGATCGGAGGGAAGGGCTTTCATGAATGCAGCCAGATATGCTTCGAACAGCTCCTGGTTGGTGGTATCCAAGAAGGAAGAGTCCTTGGAAGGTAATTTTGGGAGCTCGCTCAAATTGAGAGATGGATCTGATGGTGCACTGCTGTCCAACATCTTGACATCTTCATCGGATTCCTCTTCCGATTGAGGTGCRGCCTCGAGTTGGAGTGCGAGATTTGCATCCAACTGGGCCAAGTCGATCTTGGACCTCTGAGCTGCCAGTTCAATGAGTTGAGTGCCGCCGGCTTGTTCGCCCAGAGCAGCGAGAGCAGCAAGAAGCTCCTTGCGGCCATTCTCTTCCTGTTCCGCTGGAGACAAGTCGACAACAGCGTTGATAGTAGCCTCCAGGATTACAACAGAGTGGCCTCGCGGGAGGGTGGCAGACTCCAAAATGGCGAGGAGCATCTGAGCAGCACGTGGGTCACGTTTATCGACAATCTCCGAGATGGATCCCTGTGCAACGCCCACAATGAGACGGTCCGCACGACATTTCAAGCCGATGCGCTGGATGACATCCCACGCGTCATCTTGGTGGAGGATGGCCCGGGTGACTTTTCGGGGGAGATGGAACTGCTGCTTCTCCTCCGCCAACACGGCCAAACATGTCAGGCCATCTTCTCTCGTCTGTTCCGTCCAGCCCGCAGCAACGGCCTCCATCATAGCATTCAGCACCTTGTCAGCCAGAGAAGCCTTGCATGCCAGGATTGTCATGATCATGCAGGATCCAAGATACAATTCATGCACTTTGATGCCCAGCGCCTTTTGGAGGGTGGGGATGACGCGCAGCAAGACATCCTCCTCCTTTTGCTTACGAATGGCCTCTCTTCCCGACCGTGTGGCATCCACCATCCCATTGACGGCCTGTGCCGTGACACTCGCCCAGAATCCCATCAAGGGTGCGGATTGATATCTCCATCTCGCGGCCTCACACACGTAATCGCTGAACGCGGCGAAGAAGGCGGGATTGTTGCTGGCGGCGGTGACGACGGCATGTCGTGGAGGACTCTGTAGGGATGCAACGTAGGGGTGGAGGAAGCGGAAGTTGGGAGGGAGATGTTTCGGTAGGATGGAGAGGAGGGTGGGGAAGATGGGGTGGGCGTGGTAGGGAAGGAAGGTGAGGAGCAAGGCTTGGGTGTTGTATTCGTGCACGCGGAATCGTCGCACCATCCACTCTGCCGCTTTCATCCCCGGCGAGAGGAGCAATCGGCCTCCCAACAGGGCCAGAAACCTCTCAATGACTGTATCCAACTCGCCATTCTGCTGCGCCGTCATGCTCGTCCGGTCCTCATTTTTGCTCTGTTCGCGGAAGAGATTGCGGGAAAAGGGCAGGAATCGGGAGTCCAGGTGGCATAATTCGTCGAAGCCCTCGAGACAGAGGTGGTAGATGGTGTCGAAGTTTTGCGTGGCGGCATCGCGCGCCTCGAACAGCAGCGRCTTGCTGTGTTGCGCCTTTTGCGCTTTGAGGTCGAGTTGGTGGGTGCTGTTGGCCGCAATGGCAGCCAATTGTTGCTGGAGTACCGTCGCCATATCGCGTCCAGTACCGCAATCGTGCGGAGGTGGTGGTGAGGTGAGCTTCAATCTTTACATCTTCCGCTGCCGATATCGATTGGAATAAATTTTAGGTGGAGACTAGACTTTTACTAGCTTCAGATCCAAACTCCGAGCTCCGATGGCCCCAACTATTAATAACATCCATCAACAACGACATGCCACCAAAAACACGTGGGATCGATGGAAGTCCCCAAATTTGGCAGCTTCAAGCCCAAGAAGAGGATTGTAGCGGAGGAGGACGTTAAATCATCAACCAGAGAAAAGAAAAGCTCGTCCAAACAGACATCTTCACATGGCGTGGATAAACGGCATCACTCGAGGGAACATCATCGACGGAATGATGATGGCAAGCGTGAGAGACGACGTCGAGATGATCGAAGACATTCCCAAGACCGAGAAATCAGCCCCAAGCATGACCATCATCGATTGAAGCAAGCTGGAAACGACCAATCCCTTGCAAGCAGGCAACATGAACGGGAAGAATCGGATCTCTTCATCATCGWCCGTCGAGGAGATGCCAAGAATGTGGAATATGGAAGTTTGCATCGTTATAGTGTGCCGGCCTACCGACGGACGGGTTATGGCCATCTCATCGGCGGGCCATCCTGGACAAAGATTGACCGCGAAAGCAGCACCGACAAGGAAGTCGGTCTCGTCAGTTCCMTTCCAACCCAACGCGAGAACCAAAAGGTCGCCAGGTTATTGTCGTCCAAGTACGGTCGAAGTGGTGAGACGAGACTGAAATTTATATCTCCTGCCGAACCCGAACCACAGCATGACGAACCAAGCGACTTCATCCCACTGACGTCTTCCAAAAAGCGGAAGCGCGGTGCCGACTCACCAGAAATTGATGGCGGGGTGGACTACAGATCGATTGAAGGCAAAGCCAAGGCCAGCAACAAACCCGCAGATGAGGATGTAACATACGCATCGGACTCTGATGCCGCCGAGCACACCAATCTAGATCTTCGTGCGAGGCAGGAAAGTGCTCTCCTCTCCAAAACAGCAAAGGCCGATCCTCTCAATCTCGATGCATGGCTGGCACTGTCCAAACATCAGAGTCAACTCATCCGCCCGGCTGTAGATCCCGCCATCTTCACGACTTCGGAAAGGACGACCTTGGCCGAACTGCGACTCGCCATCCTCAACCAGGCCGGAAAGCATATTTCTCCCGGAAAGCTGGGCCGCGAACGACTGTTGCTCGCATTGATGGAAGCAGGCACTCCGATATGGGATCAGACGAAGTTGGCCGCCAAATGGGGCGAAGTTCTCAAAGAGTGTCCATCTAGCATCCTGCTGTGGACGAGWTACATGGACTTTGTACAATACGATTACTCCTCCTTCCACTACGATACCTGTAGAGATGCCTACTTGAAATGGCTGCACATCCTCAGGACCACCCACGAACAATCAAGCGGAGAAGAGAGGACACAAATCTCCCACACCCAAATCTATGCGTTGTTGAGATTCACATCCTTCATACGCGACGCCGGTTATGACGAACTGGCCATCGCAATCTGGCAGATTCTGCTCGAATTTCACTTCATGCTGCCCAAACAGTTGGAGACGAGCAGTTTGGAAGCTCGGATTGAAAGTCTGGAAGACTACTGGGATATTGAAACTCCTCGGATTGGGGAAGAAGACGCCATGACTTGGGCCAAGTTCGATGAATTGGGTCCCAGTCATGCAACTCCAAGACCACCCATCACCCTCCATCATGACGCTCCATCTACAGAGGAAGCAAAGCTCACGAGGGAATTCATCCTCCCTGCTTCCACCGAACACGAAGATGCCACCGTCGACCCCTTCCGATGCGTCATGTTCAATGACCTTCGAGATGTGGTGGAATGTTTGAGCATGAATCTACCGAAACGAGATCTCATCAGCGCTTTTCTGCATTTCACAGGACTCCCACCACTCCCTCACGCAGAATCTCACACCCAAGCATGGTTATCCGATCCCCATCTCGCCATCGTATGCGACGATATCAAAATCCACTCTCACCGACAAACAACCCTCACTCTATTCCAAGACGCTTTCGAGCCCTTCAACAACCTCCACCCATCATCATCAACCGAGAATAATAGCCTCGCAAGATTCATCGATCGAGTCTTGCAAACCCTCCTCACAACCCAACATTTAAGAGAAGATGACATCCTCCACGAATACCACCTCGCCTTCAAAACCACCCTCTTCCCCCCCTCAGCCCCCAAACTCGCCAAAACCCTCCTCAAATCCCACCCAACAAACCTCCGCCTCTACAACGCCTTCGCCCTAATTTCCGCCCGCTCCAACGAAAATCTCAACAAAGCCCTACAAGTCTGGACCGCAGCTCTGACACTCCTCCCTAAACTCCCTCCAGAAGCACAAAAAGACGCCATCCTTCTCTGGCATTCTCGTTTCCTCACACAAATCTCCCAGCAGAATGAGCAGACTGCAATGGAGACTTTACTAACCACCATCATCATCGACACGGGATCAGAAACCCACAACAACCCCACCACAACAACCCAACATCTCCGTCTCCGCCGGCACCTCGAAACGAAATTCGACCAAATGCACCTCTCCCACAACTTCTCCCATGCAATTCTATATTCCAACCTCCTAGCCTGGCTCACCTACCTCATTCTATCCCCTCAGGACCTCCAAGCGACTCTCGAAATTTATAATTCCCACCTCACAACCCTCATCCGCTCGGGAGGGTCTTCTGCGGCGGTAGAAGAACTTCAACAATTGAAAACTCACCTCCTAACCCACCACCTCGTTGTCCACCATCGACCATATACCCCCTCGATAATCCAAAAGGAGAAATCCCACGCAAAGGAACTATTTCCTAACAATAGCATTTTCCGGGAAATCTCTGACAGAATTGAGGGGATGGGGAATCGATTGCGGAGTGTGTTAATGTCGGAAGCAAAGAAGAAGACGATGGGAGACGAGAGCGATGATGATGATGATGATGATGATGATGATGGGGTATTGATTGTGGAAATATGTTATGAATTCCAGCGCGAATTCTTCCGCTTGCAAAAATTGGAAGGAGAAGGAAATGGAGGAGGAGGAGGAGGAGGGGAACAAATCCTCCGGGCGAAATTTCGAAAGGCACTTCTCGGACCTAGGGGAACAACGGGGAGATTTTGCGTGGGACTTTGGAAGGCTTGGATGGAATTTGAAGTTTCTAGGAGAAGTGGAGATGATGAAGAGAGGAAGAGGAGGGTTAGGGAAGTCTGGTTTGAGGGTTTAAGAGCGCTGCCTGGGAATTTGGGATGGGGAGTTTTGGGGTTGAGGATGCTGGGGATGCTGGGGGAAGGGCAGAGAGGGAGAGTTTTGGAGGGGATGGTTGGGAGGGGGTTGAGAGTTTCTCTTGGTGGTTGTGGTGGTGGTGGAGATGGAGACGGGAGGTGAGATTTCCTCTGGGGAGGGGAGGGGAGGGGTGGTTTTCTTGTATAGTATGTACGATACCATCTAACGGCAATCTTCTCTGTTTGGTTTCCCTTGGGAGAGAGAGAGAGAGAGAGAGAGAAATTGCTAGTCGATGAAGAAGGCAACATTGAGATTCGATGTTTTCTTCTTAATTTCGTGGTAAGAGGTCTATTGATTCCTATGAATTAACTTACTTACAACTTGTATCCAGTCCAGCAGGACTACATGTAAGCACAAAGGTAGGTTCAACGTTCTCAAGTTCAAGTTCAAGTTCAAGTTCAAGTTCAAGTTCAAGTTCAAGTTCAAGTTCAAGTTCAAGTTCAAGTTCAAGTTCAAGTTCAAGTTCAAGTTCAAGTTCAAGTTCAAGTTCAAGTTCAAGTTCAAGTTCAAGTTCAAGTTCAAGTTCAAGTTCAAGAAGAAGAAAGAGCGAGAGGAAGGGTGAGAACGACGTCTCCGGAAAGCTAAGGTAAGGTACTAACTACCTACTACTACTATTCCCGCTATGGGAGGAGCGAATATCAGGATCTCGGTTGCTTTTTCCATTCCAATTTCGAATCATCCTTCTACTGTCGTGTCTGTATTCGTTGAGGATAGCAAGTAAGACATTGCCTCACACATTGGAAGAACGAAGAGAGAAGATATAGTCAAGCAAAACACCGATTAGTATTCATTCATCCGCACTCGAGACAAGTATCAAACCCTTCTACCTGATATTCGAAATTCCACGTCTTAATTTCTCATTCATACCTTTTCCCTCATTCTCTACTCTTCGTCCCCTTCCCACTTATGCCTTTTTCACTCATCCCCTCCTCTTATCCCCTCCTCTTATCCCCTTCTCCTGATTCCCTTCTCCCCTTCTCCTCATCCCCTTCTCCTCATGCCCCTTCTCCTTATCCTCTCTTCCCCATTATCCTCTCATCCCCTTCTCCTCCTCATACCCCTACCCTCCTCGCCATAATCATCATCACTATCATCACCACTATCACCATCCTCCGGAATGCCAGAAATATGCCGTTCCAAATCCGGTCTCCCACTCAATTTTCCCCGGCGGTGAGAGGAGGAAGAGGAAGAAGAATGGGAAGAAGAAGAATGGGATGAACCTTGAGAAGTCAAAGGCATAAGCCCCACAACTTCAAAATCCGAAGAAGAAGTGGAGTTTTTTTTTCTTATGTTCACTTCATTGTCATTGTCGGCCTTGTCGGTGTTATCATCGGACTTTAATGGGCGTTCGGACTTTGATACACTGTCGGAGGAGGCATGATGATGACCAGGAAGATGACCAGGAAGATGACCAGGAAGATGACCAGGAAGATATTTCCCAATCTTCTGCTTGAGAGACTCCTTGTGGTTCTCCGATGATGAAGGATCCATTTCATCAATCTCATCATCATCCTGCTTAGCAATCGCAGTGATATGTTCTTCAATGATAGGTTTCTTATCTTCGATTCCCGGTCTTTCATTGAGAGGATCTCGACTATTGTGCAAATTCATATCTGGAGCTACTTCGAACGTTGTGGAGATTTCTTTTTGGTCTTGGTCTTGTTGGTTGCTTTCGGGCATTTTTGGGGATTGATGTTTTGGGTAGTACATCTCGTGGTTGAGCGGATATATGATTGAATTTGTGAACGTGTGGATGATGATGATGATGATGATGATAAGGTAGATGCACAACAGTAAACAAAACCTCTCGGAATCAATCAATCAATCAAGAAAGAAAGACGATGACCCGTTGAATCGTGGGTACATGTACTCACAACATGTCGTGCCATGTCGGGTAGCCATTTCTTGGAATCCAAGAGTCTAGCCCCGGCCAAAACAGCGATAATCCAAAACCTGCCAATTTGTTCTTCTCGATTCCTTCCCGTTGAATCGATCTCGACGTGGGTGACAAGGGAGGAGTTGCAGGGATAGGAAAGGCGGCTGAGCTGCGAGAAAAGCGGAGAAGGTGAGATTGATCGACGGGGTCTTCTCCTCCTTACTCGCCTCACTCGCCTCTCTGATGATATTTCGAAATTGGAGAGGCGTGGTTTTTATTTTGGGGATGTGGGAGGTTTGCTGCTTTGGCGGTGGAATGCGAAAGTCTGCACTCATAGTATGTGCTATCATGAGAAATAATCTAACATCACATACTAGTAACAACAAATCTTGCTTGAATACTACCTCCAATATCGAAGACATATCCCACATTCACAGTAAAGCCCTCTCGAGTTTGAATCGCTGCGATGCAACAACCACCGGCGCATACCCAGCAACCAACACACCCAGCAGAAATGTCAGTAGGGCTATTAACAAAACACTCCGGAGTGATATCTGAGTCCTCTCCAGCTTGATGAATTGATGTCTCAACTGAGAACTCAGCTTGAAAGATTCCGGGCCAAACGGAGCAGCCGGCGCGTACGGTCCAACCATTTTATGAATAGGCTCGACCTTTTCCTTTGCGCCGGTATCCAGACCTCGTTGCATAGCAGGCAGACCATCCATAGACCAAGCATTCTTGTACGCCCAATATCTATCCAAAAAGTAAGCCATTGGACTCTCTCAAGCTCGATCAAAGTCAAGTCAATAAGGTAGGTACATGTACTCACCTATCCATCCCATCTTCCTTCTTGCCCTTTTCAAAATTACTCTGCCTCTTCTCAAACAATTGATTCAACGTCTTGCGATGCGCTTTGAATTCATAATAAGGAACCGAGTAACCGCATGATGCGCCAACTTGATGCACATCCACCACGATAATGGATCGACTGGCAGGTATAACCTCGACCTTGTTTTCGGCAGCAAAGGTTCGGAATTCCGATGACTCTCGCTCGAGAATTCTCCCTACAATCAAATCAAATCAATCAGTCAATCAATACACAAACAACAACAACATTAACACGACACTTTGCACATGTCAAAATCACGCACCATAACCCCACAACCGCACAATACGCGGCGAACCCGAAAACTCATTAAACATGACCGTGATCCTCCCATTTTCCCGCAAATGACTGATGGTTTCGCTTCCACTGCCCGTGAGATCCATGTACCAGAAGGTCTTGTTGTTGAGGAGGCCAAAGTATTCTCCTCCTTTGGGGCTGACGTTGATATGGCCGGTTTTGGAGAGTGGGGCTGTGGCTACCCAGAGCATCTTTTGCTGGAGAATCCATGTGTAGATGTGGTCGGGGAYGTCTTCGTGGAAGGTTCCCATGGTTGAGGTGGTACCCTGATTGTATTGTGTTCAGGTTGGATTGTGTTGGATTGGATATTGTTCAAGTGTCGGGTGTTAACAGGCAAGATTCATGGATGTGTCACACAACCACGACACCCAAGGGCCGATACCGGGCCGGTGGAATTGGCGCTAGTGTGTCCTGGTGAATACCTTACCTCCCTCTTTCACATGCATGTACTCCTATGTATGTACATCAACAGCCACCCACATGTCAGCTCAATGACGGGAACACCAACATGTGCCCTCCCATCTCTCATCTCCATCTGGCAGGTTGAAGCTATATTTGACACATCTAGACCAACAGTGGCTGACGTTGAGTGATTGATTGAATCTCTTGAACGCCCGCCATCACTTCGCATTTCATCCACCTACACTCTTCAAGCAGAGGAGAAGACGATTGCATAGCATAAAATCGCCTCCCACCCCATATAATCCCCCAAGCATACAACCTCTACATCCCATCTAAGCGATTCCTGAACAAACACAAAAATTCCCCAACTGAATCGGGACCGCACCGTGGCTAAATCATTCGGGAATAAACAACGCAACCCTCAACCAACATCTCACGTCGTACACTATTCCTCAAAGCTGAAATATGAGACCACAATGCCTGGGGACAGACCCATGATTCTACTCCGCAGCTGAAACATGCAAACCGGGGGAAAAATTGGTCTTCCTCACCCGCATAAACAAACAAACACACCATCATCATCATCATCTCCTCCAGCTCTACGCATGAATCCTCTCCACACAAGCCATTGTAATTGGATATCGATATGCGGGCTCGGAAAATATTTCCTCGACTTTGCATGTGCAGAACGCAGCAAGGACATATTCAATACTGCAGTGTACCTCGTTCCTGTCTGTCAATCAGTCAATCAGTCAATTAGCTGGTTTTGAGACGGGCTTACTGGTTCATAGCCACAGATGGCGTGAGTCCTATCCTTTACTGTCCTATTCTGTACTGTACTGTACTGTACTGACCTGTGCTGTACTGGTAGAAAATAGATTGTTTACATGACTTTGCGCGACTTGACAACGCATTGCCCTCTCAAGACATATTTCTGCACGCAAGTAATTGAACAGTTCAACACAAGTATAACCCTAAACCTCCTCCTCCTCACCACCCTATCCTCCGCCTCCACCCCCTCCTCCTCCCCATCAAAACCTTCCCTGCCTCCCAGAAAAAAAAAAAACCAGCCCCCCTCCAATCCCAAAACCTCCTTACCCTCTTCCAAAACCACCTACACCCCAACCTTCATCAACACAGTCCTAAACCCAAAAATTCCACCGACCAACCAACCAAATTCGATTCCGTATGTAGCCTGGTTAATTTTCCAACGACTTTGCACAAATGTTCCTAAAAAACAACTCGGCGGCGCGTAGTTTGCAAACTTTAGATGATGGGGAGAGAGAGAGGAATTCTAATAATCGCGCATCTAGGCTAAGTTGGCGGTTTTGTTGGTTTTGATTTTGGATGGTTGATTTAATTGTGACGAGGTGAGTTTTCTTGGTGTTAATTAACTAACTAACTGAACTCTTTTGTTGTTGTGGGGGATATGGAGGGAGTGCTGATGATGTATCATGGCTGTAGGTCTTTGTGCGGTGGACATTCGATAGAACTATTCAGCCGCAACAAGTCCAGGGCATCGCTACGAAGTATTTTGAGTAAGTCATGTACTTACTTGCTTACTTGCTTCTCCTCCTCCTCCGAGAAAGAAAAAAGAGTCTCCGGGCATGTTTCGTTTGGTTTGGTTTATTGCTGACTTCCTTTTGCGCTTGTAGATACAATTCCCAACCCAATTAATGGAACAGAACAGCCTAACAATCATTCCTAGGTAATCAAAAATGTCTGTTTCGGAATTCAACACGGGCGCTTTCATTCACGCATAATTTGGGGTATTATGATGGCGTGTCGCCTTGTAGTAGTAGTAGCTCCGAGATTTTGATGCAATGTAGTTCTGATGGTGGTGGATTGATTTTTCGGGAGGAGGAGGTAACTTATGTGGTGTGATTGATTCATGGAAGTATGTATCATCACAAAATTTGGGAGTGTGTTTGTGTCAAGATGTCTCTCTTTTTTCACAGCGAGGAATTGGAATTCATCATCAATTGATCCCATTCTCCAAAGTAGTCGTCGGTGATGAATGGATCCTGGAGTGAAGATATATCCATATCCAATTCCATAAACCACGGCATTCCATCTGGTGGATTGTTGAAACTATTGCTGGGCTCGCTTGCAATCGCAGGTAGGTCATTCGGTATATGGCCAGCGAGCGATGGTGGGAGATATTGATCCAACCCTAGCGGACGCTGTATTTGATCCGTCTGTTGTCGTGTAGTAGTAATATGTATATTCCCCAACAAAGGTATCCTCAAAGTCAAACCTTGTGAAGAAGAAGTATCAACAGCAGGATTCCTTAACAGCGTCATAAGAGATTTCACCGCCGCAGAAGCCTCCCTTGCGAAATCCCCGCTGACTTGATCGGAGACGGATTCCATGGTATTGAGAATATCCCTCACGGCTTCCTCATTCTCATCTTCCAACGAAAAAGCCTGACGCATCCGTGTGGAAATTTGCTCAAAACACGACAGAACCAAGAATATCGCAGCAGAGAATATCTGCATGTCGATGATACGACAGATGAAGAAGCCAGGAGGGAGATTTCGTCTCACGTATCCATATCGTTGCGCCAGACTTCGACAGGCATCTGAACAGACTATACGGCTGTATTTGTACTGTTCATGCTCGTCCTTGTCCATCGCCGAGTGAATGTGAGTGCGAAGGAGTAAATAAAAGTGCCAGAATTGTACCAAATGGTCTCCAGAGATGGCACCATGACCTTCCTCCCACCAACTTCGAGGCGTCAATGACTTGAGGCTTTGTATGTCACTGTCGATATTCAGAACTTTTGTATAGACTTCGGTTTTGGGTTGTCCGGACGTGTGGCTTTCGTCGAGCTCTTGTACACGCATAGCGATCCCGGCGAGTTCGAGTAAGTACTGATGGAGATTCGTTAGCGTTTAGAGTGATGCTATCAAATTCCGACAATCTGCTCACCGGCTGCGATAGTACAATTCCAGCAGGACCCAAGATCTGTCGGCGTGGGAACTTGTGGGTAGCAGTAGCCACGGGAAGATTAAACATCATAGAGCTAAGTCGGTCTGTAGCACAGATAGCCTCYCATCTGGAGGAATGGAGTACCGTATCAGCGATCTATCTCGGTTGACGTCAAGTATAACTCACAGTGCTGCCTTTTCGATGACTCGAGGATCTCGATCAATCTGTTCAATATCTGTGCGTTGGCTCTCGAGGTGATGGCTGGTCCACGTTCGTGGAAGACCGATCAGCTCAGCCAAAGCAATCGTTCGGCGAAGTGTCAGCCATAATTGCTTGATTTGACCAAAGCCCAATTGCCTATCTCAAAGTCAGCTGCGAAGAGGATAGAAGGACGAGCATCTACTTGAGACTCACAACCGCAAGTACAGTACCGTTGTAGTCAAGCCTTCAACAGTAGATGCAATCCCGGAATGAGAGACGATTGTACTCTCAACAGCATGCAACACTTCCTGGACGTACTTTGGCACATCTTCGCAAGAAATGGTCAGCATGGGGTTGTTATTCTGCTCGCCGAATGTTCACACATACATACCCTTCAGCGTCAATCGTTGCTCACCAGGAGGAACTTGTCGAACAGTAATGGCGAATGCAAGCAGAAAGGAAGCGATATCCACAATCTGAGCATCCGGTAATAGCTGATCTTGATACCTCTCAATCATGACCTCGCTCGAACCGAATTGCAGAGGGGTCGCAAACAAGCTCTGGTGTAATTGCATCCATGCAGTACCATACCCAGCAGCAGCTCGAACATCCTCCTCACAGGGCATGACATGTTGGAGCTTAGCTCGAGCTTGTGCGAGGTACTTTGGTGAGCATGGAGGACGTATTGCCTGTTGCTGGGTATCACCACGCTRACGGCTGGGAGCTATCAAGGAGTTGTCGAAGAGGAATCTAAGATGTGCAGGGGGTGTTGTGGCTGGTCCTTCTAGTTCTTGATCTGCTGTGATATCCTCTACGGCTGGAGATGTGGAAGAGGAAGTGGATGGATGAGAGTCGATGGGGTCGTTCCTCTGAACGGCAGCTGCAATGCGAGCAATTTGTCTTTCCAATCTCTCGATCCGWTCTGCTCGGGATGACTCGGTTGTATTGGTTGGTCGCTGTTGATATACCTGCGGTACACACCGTCGTTGTCGCGTCTTGCCTGGGAGGGAACAGTCGAGCAATCAGCGATTCCTCGGATGATGGCAAGTATGAGATAGAATATGCGTTTGCCTCTCTGCTTAGACTCAACTTACATCCCGTACAAACTCGATCAATCTCAGTCTCCCAAATACATCGAATCTTGCGCTGTCGACCTACACAGCACGAAATATAAGCAAGTATACTCGTACATCCCACGAAGTAGGTTAACGCGCTGTGTCTCACATTCAACACAGCTCTTAGTCCCCTTGCGAATTCGCTTGGTAGAGAGGTCCGAAGAAGTATCCATGTCAGTTCTGATATCATCAAAAGTCAAGCAACGGACGAAGAAGCGGACGAAGATGGTCCATATGGTCCATAGATCCATCCATCCATCCATCCATCCATCGGGAACCGCGGACGAAGAATTCCGTCCGAAAGACCGAGGCTTGACGTCCAATTTGATGACTGGACCAATCAATATTTGACACCCACTTCTTCAATCCTGGATCCTCTCGGACGAAATTTCGTCCGTTTGCGACATTCCTTGCGACACGCGATCGTATCGTTTGACAAATGTCGCACGACAGCAGCAGCAGCAGCAGCAGCAGACCCGAAGTGATGGAATCGTCATCATTAACGACAATGTACTCGAATGCAGTCACACGGTCCGAATGTCCGATGCATATAGATCGGCATAAAGCATATGACTTGCCGGTGAATGTATATACATACATACCTTACACATCTCGACCATTGTAGCCACAAACTGCTTTTCTTGTAGAATATAGTGTTGATACAAGGAAATCATGTCCACCAGCCATGAAAACCAGCAGCAACGAGGGGTAAGCAGACAAGAATCCCAAACGACACAGAAACCAAGCTGACCTTCTCCCTCTGAAACCCAGCCCCCCTACGCCCCAACAACAGCAGGACTAGGCGGCCACCCAACCCTCGCAACCGACATCCCCATCGCCTCAATCTTCATAACCCTCTACCTAATCTCCGCAATCGCCAACCTCCTAACCTTCCGAAAAAACCATCGAAAATCCCACAAGTTCCTCTTCAACATCCTCCTCCTCCAATTCTCCCTAGCAAGAATCCTCACCTGCGCTCTACGAATCGCCTCAGCAGTCAACCCCACCAATATCAACCTCGCCATCGCAGCCAACATCTTCGTCAATGCGGGGATTTTACTCGTCTACATTATCAATTTGAATTTCGCGCAGAGGATTCTTCGTGCGAGACAGCCAGAAATCGGATGGAATCCCTTATTCCGAGGGACGGTCAAAATTTTATATGTATTGATGGCGATGGCGTTGATGTTGCTTGTGAGCTTCATCGTTGTGTCGACTTATACCCTGGATGTCGAGTTGAGAGATGTGGCGAGGAAGGTGCAATTGGCTGGAATCACTTATTTTCTTGGCTTCTCTGCTCTGCCATTATTGGTTCTGGGGATGAGTTATATCTTGCCGGTGTCTAAACGCGCCGAGTCTTTTGGGAGTGGGAGTATGGTTTCCAAAACTTTGATTGTGGTTGTCTCGACGGCTTTGTGTATTTTGGGAGCTGGGTTCAAAGCGGGAGCTATTTGGGAGACTCCCAGACCGATTGAGCATCCCGCTTGGTATCAGGAGAAGGCTGCCTTTTGGGTGTTTCTCTTTGCTATTGAGGTGGTTATTCTGTACTTTTTCTTGGCTGTGAGGATTGATGAGAGGTTTTGGGTTCCGGATGGAAGTTCGAAGTTGAAGACGTATCGGATGGAAAGGGCGGTGGTTCGTGAGGGTGCGGAGTTGCAGAGAAGGGAATCTACGAGCAGTAAAGCACGAGCTTCCATTGACGACGATAAGAAGTCTTTGGCTTGATTGGATTGTGAGGGAGGGTATGCTTGTTCAGCGGAAAGGGCACAGAAGAGAAATTGAATATCGACAGACAGACAGACAGACATACCTCTTTTTGATAGCAGTAGATGGAGACAGCCGGTGTCAATGTAACGGCCGATAATGGATGGCATGCTTATCCGTGATTGCAGGTGCACCTTCAGCTCAAAGTCAGAAGTTTCGAGACGTCCAAGGGCCAGTGTGAATTTGAAGATTGCCGCTTCTCCTTGGGGTAAATTGACGACAACGCTGCTTACGAACAGGTAGCTATACGCACAGAAAGCAGCAGCCTTGCGGAGAGCCACAAAGTTCCGATCGAATAATGTCTCCTGAACCGTCCTGTCGTAAGAAAATACAAGATTTTCGCATGTTATAGGTAGGGCGACAACCTTCAATTTCATCGGCCCTTGGTCTGATCGAAATGTGGTCAAGACAGGGCCATCCGCAAAGAAATGCAACGGTAAGGTATTGCAGCTCGACATCCATGTCAGTCAGCTATGAGATAAACCCACCATACCAAGTCCCTCAGAACAAAATCTCCCACCCAATAGCTCAAGAGCATGGTATGGTATCATCACGCCTTCCTCTCGCTCCCCCCATTCTTCTCCCAATCCAACCAACTACCTCGATACTCCGCCACATTCGTATAACCAATCTGCTGCGCAAGTTGCGCAGCCGCATTACTCCTCACGCCCGATTTGCAATAAAAAACCACCTCTTGATCAGCCGCGGGTTTGCTGAAACCAAATCTCTCCTCGAATTCGTCGCCGGGGAGAAACATGGCGTCGGGCTGGGATTTGATGGGGATGTTGATTGCTGTGGGGATGTAGCCTGCTGCGTATTCGGAGGGTTCGCGGACGTCTGGGTTTGGTGGGTGTTAGATGGATATGTGGCTTTGATGTACTGGATTGGATTGGATGGAGGGATTATTATGGTAACACGCACCGATGAGAATGACATTTTTCGAGGGAGTCTCGACTAGTTTCTGGATTTGGTGGAAGTCGTAGAGTTTGGAGGTGGAGGTTGGTGTGGAATAGTATCGTATACTCGTCGAGGCCAATGTCCTTTGCGCCAGCTGTTGCTGTTGTCGTGGTCGTGGTCGCGGGCCAGGCAGGGAAAATGTGCGGAGGGATGCTACTCTTCGGCATTGTGTACACACATTGCGGCCGAGAGCTGCCGTTGCTGCTGATCGTGCAAAAGCCATGGGGATATTAATGTATTTAATGTAAGGAGGTGGTGGAGGTGCAAGAATACTTTCTGGTGATGATACTTAGTTCAGGTATGAGGAGATGATGATGATGGGGAGCGACATCGGGCAATCATTGTTCCATCTCCATCTCCATCTCCATGATCACGACCCACCATCATGCCACCATTCCTTTCTCATCCACGGAGGACTCTCTCCCCGTCATGGAGATGCTGAGATATCGTGTGCATTATTGTTTGTCACGTCCTTCATGACCCAAAAAGGCTGACGCCAACCAATGCAACCCCCTGCCATCACCCCCGCTCTGGGTGATCATTGCCCGAATCCTACCAAAACCATGCCCCAGAAAAAAGCATGTAAATAACTAAGATGATTCTCCCGAGCAGCTCTGTCCAGAAGCTCCTCTTTTTGACCATCGTTGCCATTGTGGGCATCATGCTGGTAATATATCACCGTCTGTGCTGCTTCTCCGGGATTGTCACCACAGCTGCAGCATCAAGCGTCTGGCACGACAATGTCGGTGTGCTCCGCCATGTCAACCCCAAAATTGGTACATATGGTGTGACTCCCAATGGCAATGGCGGGATGATTCCCAGCGTCTGTCCGCCCTTTGGTATGACGAGATGGACGCCACAGACTCGCGAGGTATGATGATCTTGTTGATTGAACAAAAGCGATACCATCTCATATGAATACAGAATTTCATCAGCCAATGTCCATACAATGATATGGATGGGTATATTCATGGCTTTCAAGCCACCCATCAGCCTGCAATTTGGATGGGCGAGAGTGGTCAGGTAGTGCTGAGTCCAGGAGTGGGGGAAATCAAGCCTCTCTTTGTCGATCGGGCTCACAAATTCAGGAAAGAGGACGAAATCAGCACGCCGTATGTGTATGAAGTTACCATGAACAGCAGAGCGGTGACTACTAATCATAATCTCACCGAGAGCATCTACTCTCCCGTCTCAGGCGGCGCACAGCCCGTCCCTGAAGAAGTATCACAAGGCGCTAATGGTCGTATAAGAAGAAGAAATTCGGACCAGCAGATCAACTTTGCCCATATGTACGCGGATGAGAGTATCCCTCCACTGGTACAGGAAAGCTTCATCAAAGTTGCCATGACGGCCACTTCACATGTGGGACGACTGCAAGTGGACTTTGACGGCGAAGAAGATCCATACATTTTCATCCAAGCTACAAGACAGAACTGGACGGGCCATATCGATATCGATCCCGCGGCAAGGGAAGTATCCGGAAGTAACCCCCAACGACAAGACTATGCTCTCGGACCTCTCCCAGCGTCCCGCTTCTCGGGATACTTTGTGTCGAGGTTCTCGGAATCCTTCAGCGCTTTTGGAGTGACGCATGGAGGGACAGTCGCTGCGGGAAGTATCATCGGCGAAGGGGAGAATTTAGGAGCATACGTCCGTTTCCCCAAAACCTGCAAAACGGTCGACGTTCGCACGGGAGTCTCTTTTATCAGCATAGAGCAAGCTCGCAAGAATCTGGACTTGGAAGCTCCTGAATCCATCTCATTCGATCAGGCTGTTGAAGATCTCAAGCAAACATGGCTGGAAAAGCTAGCCCGGATCAAAATCGACGGGGTGAATGCCACCGATCCCGAGCACGACCCACGCATTATCTGGTATACAGCTCTCTTCCACGCATTACAATACCCCTCCGACTTTTCCGAACCCACATCCACCAACCCCGAAGCCCCTCGGACTTTCTACAGCGGATACACGGATAGCGTACACATTATGAACGACTCCTATTATCAATCTTGGTCGATTTGGGATACCTTTCGCGCAGAACACAGTTTACTCACGCTCTTCGCTCCGGAACGAGTGAATTCCATGATGCGTTCTCTGGTTAGGATATATGAGTGGTCGGGAAGACTTCCCATGTGGGCGAATGTAGTGGAAACCAACATCATGATCGGTACACATGTCGATGCCGTGCTCGCCAATGCCTTATCTCGAAATTTCACGGATTTTGATATAGGAAAAGCATGGGAGGGTGTGCGGAAGAATGCCTTTGTACCACCACTCAACGATACTGATCTTCTATACTATGATCGAGAAGGCTATACGCCGGATGAAGCACGAGCTGGTTTGACGACTTATATGGATAAGGGTTATGTGGCTAATGATCGATGGTCTGAAAGCGCCAGTCGTACTCTCGATTATGCTTTCGATGACCACGCAGCTGCCATTATCGCTTCCCACGCCGGCGATCACGAAACAGCGCAACATCTCCGCGCGCGCAGTAAGAATTACAAGAATCTCTATAATCCCACCACAGGCTTCATGGAAGCTAAAAACGACAATGGCACCTGGGCGGGAGGCAAACAAGGCTGGACAGAAGGTGATGAATGGATCTATACTTTCAACGTCATGCATGATATCCCCGGTCTYGCAGCGCTCTTGGGTGGGGAAGCGGGCATGAAAATGAAATTGGACGAGTATTTCAATGGGGGACATAATGATCACTCTAATGAACCCAGTCATCATGCCCCGTATTTGTACGCTATGATTGGTTATCCCGCTGACACGCAGAGGAGAGTGGGCGAGATTGCTTGGGAGGAGTATAATGCTACTTCGGCGGGACTTTCGGGGAATGAGGATTTGGGACAGATGAGTGCTTGGTATTGTTTTTCTGCTTTGGGGTTTTATCCGGTGGATTCCGCGGGGGAGGAGTATATTGTTGGAGTGCCGTTTTTTGAGAGGGTGGAGGTGAGGTTTCCTGTGGGGAGGGGAAGGGGGGAGGGGGAGGAAGGGGAGGAACATACGTTGATTATTAGTGCGGTTGGGGCGAGGGAGAAGAGGTTTGTTAAGGGGTTGAGGGTTGATGGGGTTGTGGTTGATGGGCCGGTTTTGAGGCATGGGGATGTGGTTCGGGCGAGGAGGATTGAGTTTGATATGGCTGCTACGCCGCAGGAATGGGGTGGGAGGAAGGTGGGTTGATTGATGATGGGCTGGATGATGTATGAGACAGTTTCGGACTCTTTGCGACCGACATGTGATTGAGCAATGCCCAGACGCCTTCCTCCTCCTGCAGCAGCTCGTCCGTTGATGGGCTTTGTTCGATAAGATATTCGACCACCCATACTTGACTCCCCGAAGGCTGCTGCTTTTTGTGCTTGTAGCCACCTGTTCGTACGGAGTAAGAGTTGTCGTCGACTCACTGCAAGGAGAGGCGGCAATCTTCAATATTTCGGCGGCCCTGGGTCCGCTGGTCCAAGTTGATTAGCGCGGGGCACCTTGATACAAGACTTGACAAAGTATTGATCCGATCTTTATCGAATTTTGATGGGCTCATTCAATTTTCGATGGGAAAAAACAAGGCGAAGACATCTTTTCGAGCACTGCAAGTAAGGTATGGATGGTTTGGGATGCAGGGTGGATTCGGATGTAGAAGCGACTGCACTGCGGGGCCATGGTTGCCTACCTTACCTCTACCTATAGCTCCATGGCTGACACGGGCTTGGTAGATYGATCATGTGTTGGTGTTGAAGACATGTGTGCACGATGATGAAGGGGATAATCAGTGTACTCAGCCATCTCTGAAGATTGTCATAAACACATGAATATATCTGTAAAGTGAATGACGGATAAAGTTGCCAATGTCAACGCGTCGTCATCGGCTGAGTCGGGCGGGGAGCAGCGACAGCGGACCTCCAACCACCAACCAACCAACTACCAGCTTTCCGAAACCCGACAAGCCTCACCAAGCTTCGCATTATGACGACTGCAGCACGTGTCTCTTGAACTGGGAATGCCTGTGAACTAAGGTACCATCTGCATTACATTAGTTCGCATACTACCCTCCCTCCATCCCACCCCATCCCAGTCCAGCCAGCCCATCATGTTCACCGGCAAAACTTCCCATGTGGGCGGCGAGAAGGAGCAAAAGGAACACAAGCTCGCCGAGGAGTCTGCCCAAGGGTTGAAGAAGAAGTTTCACAATTTCAAGGTACTTTAATGACACATGGTCGAGATTGGGTGGATTGGACTGGACTGAACTGACATTTTCAAGGTCAGCGCTACTCATTTGAAGCATCGAGTGGGCAAATTCCAGAATCTTCTCAATCAAAACCATCGCCACGATGAGGAGCACGAAAAGGAAACGGATGCCAAGCGGACCAGAATCGGCGAGGGCCATCGCTTCCAGTCCTTTGCTCCGGAGCGGGAAGGGAACAAGATCAAGTGGTATATTGACGGCAGAGATTACTTTCATGCCGTTTCCGTCGCATTGGAGAGGGCCACGGAGACCATCTACATTGAAGATTGGTGGTTGAGTCCCGAATTGTTCCTTCGCAGGCCTCCCGCTACTAACCAGAAGTGGCGTCTCGACAATACTCTCAAGCGCGCCGCGGAGCGGGGTGTGAAGATCTATGTCGTCGTCTATCGAGAGGTCGAGCAGGCCTTGACTTGCAATTCCCAACACACCAAGAAAGCCCTTCATGACCTGTGTCCCGAAGGATCCCCCGGATATGGAAACATCCGTGTCATGAGACATCCCGATCACAATGTGTTTGAAAACGCCGCTGATATGACCTTTTACTGGGCTCATCATGAAAAGTTTATTGTAATCGACTACAACCTCGCTTTCATCGGAGGCTTGGATCTGTGTTTTGGTCGATGGGACGATCATCAGCACATCCTCGCAGATGCCCACCCTGCCGGTGTGGACAATGAAATCTTCCCGGGTCAGGACTGGAACAACAACCGGATCATGGACTTTCAGAGTGTGCAGGATTGGAAGAGCAATGAAGTCTCCAAGGCCGACTACGGCCGCATGCCTTGGCATGRTGTGGCCATGGGAGTCATCGGACCTTGCATCTACGACATCGCCGAGCACTTTGTTTTGAGGTGGAACTTTATCAAGCGTGAAAAGTACAAGCGAGACGATCGCTATGACTGGCTAACTCTCACTGGCCGCACGGGAGATAACGAGGATCTTGTGGGAGTCCAAAGGCCCAAGCATCCAGTGGGAGAGTACATCCACCACCCTCTGACGCCTCTGGAGAATAAGTATGCCAATCCGAAGAGGGGCAAAACAGCACAACACCCTCATACCGATGCAAACGAGTCGACTCATGGCGTGGCTTCCCATGACAACCCCGATGACGGCTTCGACGCGGAGAAGCGGGAGATGGATGAACATGGATATTATAGTGACCAGCATCGACGCGGCCATGGACTGGGAAAGGAACTCAAAGAGCGCGGCATCACCCTCCCGCACCGTCACAGCCATCAAGACATCAATTTGACACAAGAAGCCGACTCGCAGCAGAATGCTCATGTTACTGGGAATGACCCCAAAAATGAAGGAGTCATCACAGCGTCCGGCGGACTGGAAGAAAAGCGCAAAGGATACCCATCGGAGAGGGTGGAGCAAGGTGTGGTGGAGCTGGACGGTACTGTCCATGCACAGCTTGTACGATCATCCGCCGATTGGTCTTCTGGTATCCTGGCCGAGTCGAGCATCCAGAATGCATACTGTCAGGTCATCCGAGATGCAAAGCATTTTGTATACATTGAAAATCGTAAGTGGTGGCGGACGTGGAAGATTGACGAACAGTATCACTAATTGGACTGTAATAGAATTCTTCATCACCGCTACTGGAGAAAWTCAGACTCCAGTCCACAATCAGATTGGAGCTGCGATTGTTGACGCCTGCGTCCGAGCGGCGAAGGAGAATCGCAAGTTTCGGGTCATCATCGTCATGCCAGCAATTCCGGGCTTCGCAGGAGACTTGAGAGACAACGCGGCCATGGGTACCAGGGCTATTATGGACTACCAATACAAATCCATCTGCAGAGGTGATCACAGCATTTACGGCAGGATCAAGGAAGCGGGGTTCGATCCCACCGAGTACATCTTCGTGTTCAACCTACGCTCGTATGATCGTCTGAATAAGACGCCTGCCTTGAAGCGACAAGAAGAGAAGAGTGGTGTCACCTACCAGGAAGTCCAGCGTGCACAAGCCGAGGAGGTCATGTCTGATGCTGTTCATGGAAGTGAGAGCTTCGAGGGGGGAGGAAACGCTGGAGTCAGAGAGACTGCCAAGGAGGGAGGTATCAAGGGACTTTTCAAGAAGACTAGAAGGACGAGCATCGACTACAGTAAAGGTGGCGTGATTGAGCCCGAGGATCCCAACGACGACCCGGAAGTGTTGAGAAAGAAGAAGGAGAAGTTTGAAGCAGAGAAGGAGGTGGAGCAAGAGGCCGAACACAGCGCCGACTCCATTGCGAAGAATGCCATGCTGGATCAGAAGAAGCCGAGTGAGGAGCCATATATTGGTCGTGATGAGAATGGTAAGAGAGTGGGTACTGAGGATGAGGATGAGGAGAAACGACAGCAGGAACTGGAGAACTTTGTCCAGGAAGAGCTATACATTCACGGCAAGGTGAGCATATCCACCACCATCCCCTCTTGAAAACATCTTACTAACACAACCCTCWCAGCTCCTCATCGTAGACGACCGCATCGCCATCTGCGGCTCCAGCAACATCAACGACCGCAGTCAACTCGGCTTCCACGACTCCGAACTAAGCATCGTAATGGAGGACACCACTCCCCTCGAATCCAAAATGAACGGCGAGGACTTCACCGCCGGTCTCCACGCTGCCACTCTCCGCCGCATGCTCTGGCGCGAACACCYCGGTCTCCTCCCCCCACAACCCCACGACGCGACCTCAGACCCCAACGCCCAACCCCCCGGCGACGCCGATAACGACTGGCACTCGGGCGACGAATGGGACACCTTCGTCACGGACCCTTTATCGGAAGAATTATGGAAAATGTGGACCAAACGCGCCACAGTCAAMACGGCGGTCTTWCGCCACATCTTCCACGCGGATCCCGACGATAATGTCAAATCCTTTGAGGATTATGATAAGTTTTTGGGGGCGAGGGGCAGTAGGAAGGAAGGGCATGTGTATGATTTGTTTCAGCCGGTGGATGTTGCTCGGAAGGAATTGGATAAAATTGAGGGGCATTTGGTTTGGTTTCCGTTGAAATTTTTGGAGGAGGCGAATATGGCCGAGACGGGGTTGCAGGTTAATTCTATTACTGAGAGTGTTTATACGTAAGGGTTGTTTGGAGGGGGTGGGAGGGAGGCGTGGGGATGGGGATGGGGATGGGGATGGTGACGATGGGTGTTATTATGGTTTAGGTAGCATTATCGACGAGTGATTGATAGTTATTCTCGGATTATATTCTTCTTTTTTCCCTACATTTCCAGTCAGAATCGGCGTCGCTTTTAGCTCTAGGACATCTTCTTATTCGTGGAGAAAGATGGCGGATGGGTATACTAGCTAATAGCTGATTGCATTTCTCTTTGGAGGATTTATCTAGGTGTTGTGAGCATTTATAGGTGAGGTGGTGTGCATGTTAAAGCGTAGTCGTCATGTTCTAAAGGTGTCTTATGTGTGGTGATATTTGAGACAGTAAACGTAAGTATGGGCGTTGCTGATGCAGGCGGCGATAGCAGCTTATAAGTTGACGTGGATACGCCTGAGCTCTACTTACACGGTAGCTGGGCATAGCGTATACCTTCCACGATAATGACTGTCTCGTTGACTTGTGACTTTATGTCCGTTCTGATGTTAGGGTCGGGTATTGTATACTTAGGCTTATAGGGACAAGGTAGCGCCTAGAGTCATGGCATGATTTGCGCCTGATGTGAGATTCCTGATCGTTGGGAGAGTCTGTAAGTATCCTGTAGATAGGGAATGATGATAATGATGGAGATTGAGACTACGATATCTAGGCTGTGCTATATCATGCTTCCTCTTGTTACAGTCAAAGATTGGCTTTCAGAGTTGGAGTCGGATAACATTGCACACGGAATGGCTGCTTCGAAGTATTTGGGCGGAGGATTTCTGCCTCTCTGCTTGTAAATGGTGCGTATGCATGGACCTCGTCTCTTCTTTCCGCACTTCCGTAATTCATTTCGGAGGTATGTACAACGCAAGACCCAACCCATCCATGTACCTACCCTATTGTAAGCTATTTAAGAAGCAGCCAAGCAAACTCAGCCAATCAATCAGCAAGCAAACGGGTGGTAATCCAAGGTTCTGAGAAGGAGATAGGGACCTCGAGAACCAGACGGAGTAGCAGCGGGAATCATCAGAAGCTTGTGACGATCGAGACGAATTGCTGATGCATGTGCACATGGACACACCACTGACAGGCGGCGTCATGTTTCACAGCCATGTGCTGTAGACGGCATGAGCAGAGTTGTGCATGCTAGTAGACGAATGAGGAAAGGTGGACAACTGAAGTGAAGTGAAGGATTGATTAATAATGATTGTGGAGCTGGTCCGAGCGTCGTCACCTCCGATGTCCGCTTCTCCGCCGAGCAGCTCAGCTTGTCATATCAGTCATACATACCTCACTTTTCCTCCCCTTCGCGTCCTTTCTGTTTCTTCCGCGGAGACATGTTTTGCCTTCCTTGTAGATGAGAAGATGCCCCTCCCCCCTCGGGCTCCCCTCCGCGCTTGGTCCCGAGTCCCGCTTCCTCGAGTCGCGAAAAAATGGGCGCCATCACGAAACATCAGCACCGCGCCGGCCGTCGACCATGTCGAACCTTTTGCTCCCCCACCACCGCCGCCATCCTCTTCCCCTCGAGCGGAGAAAGTGCGCAATGCCGCGCCCTTTTCCGCCTTTTTAACCGACACGCACTCTCGACAACACAATTACCTCCGCATTTCTCTGACGGAACGATGTAATCTCCGATGCACCTATTGCATGCCTTCCGAAGGCGTTCAACTCTCTCCGGACCGAGATATTCTCACAACTCCAGAAATTGTCTATCTTTCCTCGCTCTTTGTCAACCAGGGCGTCACCAAAATCCGCCTTACCGGGGGAGAACCTACCGTCCGCAAAGATATTCTACCATTGATGCAGCAAATCGGGGCATTGCGGAGAACTGGACTGAAAGAGCTGGCGTTGACGACGAATGGGATCAGTTTGCATCGGAAATTGGAGGGAATGGTGGAGGCAGGGTTGACGGGCGTGAACATCAGTCTGGATACTCTGGATCCTCTGCAGTTTCCCCTTCTGACCAGAAGGAACGGGTTTGAAGCGGTGATGCGGAGTATAGACCGCGTCAAGGATTTGAACCGAGCGGGTGCGGGCATCAAGCTGAAGATCAACATTGTGGCCATGAGGGGTGTGAATGATGATCAAATCCTCCCCTTTGTCGCCATGACCGAGTCGGAAGACTTGGAGGTCCGATTCATTGAATACATGCCTTTTGGCGGGAACAAGTGGAGCCAGAAGAAAATGTTGCCCTATGAGCAGATCAGGCAGAGAATACAGGACAAGTGGCCCACCTTTGAGAGAATGAGAGATGAGAGGAATGCTGTGAGTAAGACTTGGAGAGTCCCGGGCTTTGTCGGCAGAGTCGGCTTCATCACGAGCATGACCGAGGACTTTTGTGGAACCTGCAATCGATTGAGGATTACGAGTGATGGGAATTTGAAGGTCTGCTTGCATGGCAATACCGAAGTCAGTCTGAGGGATCTCCTCCGAGCGGAGGGAGATGGAGAGCCCATGGATGAAGGAGCTTTTGAAGCTCTTCGTCAGCTGGAACTCGATCGAAGCGGAAACGGTAGCGAAGGCTGGATCACCAAGGAACGACAATTACTGGATGTTATTGGTGCAGCCGTCAAGCGCAAAAAGGCCAAGCATGCGGGCATGGGAGAGCTGGAGAAGATGGAGAACCGGCCGATGATTTTGATTGGTGGGTAGGTTTCCGCTTTCTTCGTCGTGAGGTTTGGGGTGGGAGACATTTGCAAGCGCGAACAGAGCGGATGATCTGATGTCGTTAATGAGACCACGAACTTGCATTCACTCATTTCGTTCCTATTACTCCTCTTCTCCACACTGTCTGGGAACGCCGAACTAATGATTCCCCGTGTTGCAGGTAAGCAGAAGGCTGTTTCTCTTTCACATCCATCTTCTAGACCGTCTCGTTCTACTCCACTGCAAAGTCCGTCTAGGAGTTTGCCCTGGTCTAGCATTCCGCTACATCTTCTTCATCCAGCCACTTTGCAATCATATGCGAGGTTCTATTCCTCGAAGCCGGGCGATGCGGATTCCAAGTCCTACGATGATGAGAAGATTACAGACGATCCTTCGTCCATTGAAGCATCTCGGACCACGCCAGATGTAGAAGCATCACCAAGTTCTGAGGAGTACTCTGGAATAAATGCTCCGACTGTGGAGAGGGCAAGCACCAGTTCAAAGGATGTCTCGCAAACTGCATCTTCCACACTCAACGAGAGTCCCGCTTCACCATCCCCTTCCTTCACACCTCCAGCTTTTGGCTTTCAGAGTCTCAGTGCACTCCTCCCAAAGCCAAAGTTGGCACCACGGCGACCTGTGGAGGATTACAGGTTACTGAAAGTAGAGGAGCCGATTCGAAAGGCCCCGAAACCCGAGAAGGAAGGCTGGGGTTGGAACAAAGACAGCGACGAAAAGCCGGATCGTTCGTCTGAAAGATCTGTACCCGATGAGCAGACTGCGACGGAAGATCGAAGTCGAAAGCCTACTTCGAGGGTCCATGTTTGGAGACCTGGCAATGATAGTCCCATTGCTTGGGGTTCAGACGGAACCAAAAATTCGACCGAGAGAGCCCAGATGAATCCCAAATCCTATCCAGCTTCACGTGCACCGGAAGAAGCAGTGCCATTTAAAGGTGACAATTCCAACACCACTGTGAGAGCGGTGAGGAGACGCAAGAATCCTTTTGAAGAAGAGTCTCCCACCGGCAACAACAAGACTCTGGTTGAGGGAACTGATCACAGACGCCTCACTCCGCCTGGCATGGTACATGTCGAAGCAAAGAGACCTTGGGGATTGAGTAAAGATGAGACKGTCAGTATTAATTCAGTCTTGGATCCAGGATCACAGGAGATTCCACGGAGTTCGACTTTAAAGGAGAAAGCTATTCCTCCTCGGACAAAATCCAGCCCTGCTGGCACTTCCACCACTTCATCATCTTCGTCAAAGTCAAGAGGCGCGGCGAAATTAACACACCTGAAATCCAGCGGAGAAGCACGCATGGTCGACGTCGGTTCCAAATCCAACACCCGACGAGTCGCCATCGCTACGGGTACAATCACATTCTCCAACCCGGAAGCTTGTCGCCTCATATCAGAGAATGCGAATAAAAAAGGCGATGTCCTGGGTGTGGCGCGTATAGCAGGAATCATGGCGGCCAAGAAAACCAGCGATATAATTCCACTCTGTCATTCGATGATGTTGACCAAAGTGGATGTTGACGTTCGATTATTACATGGCAATGAGGTTCTTGGGATGAAGATGGGAGGACATGGGGCTGTGGTTGTGCAAGTTCTCGTGGAAACTCGGGGTCCAACGGGGGTGGAAATGGAGGCTTTGAGTGCTGTTATGGGAGCTGCGTTGACGGTTTATGATATGTGTAAAGCTGTGGATAAGAGGATGCAGGTTGGGGATACTCGAGTCGTGTATAAAATGGGAGGGAGGAGTGGGTTATTTTGTGAGGAGAGGTGGAKGGAGGGTGTTGGRGAGGGGTTTTTTGTTGAGAGGGCGTTGGTTTTGCCGAGGGGAGGAGGGAAGGGGGATGTTAGGGAGGGGAGTTCTTCCTCTGCTGGGAATCGGGTGATGGGGGCAGAAGGGAAGTCAAACGTACAGGTGGGAATGGCGAATTCGAGGGAGGTTGACGATGCTTCTTCTCGGGCGTCGTCACAGCTGCGGGAGCAGAGTGGCGAGAATCCTTCTTCGGTTGTGCGAAGAGCAGTGCTCGAGGAACCATATCGCGCCGCTGCGTTGATGATGGGCTCTTCCACTACATCGACGCCTGCTGGTACTGGGACCAATCCGGAAGGAAACCACGCATCCACTCTCCGGACATCGACACTATCAAACACCACCTCAACAACAACATTCTCCTCCTCTCAAAAATCCCCATCCCCCGAAAACAAACCCAGCCAAAAAAAATACATCTGCAAATACTGCATGACCTCTTTCCCCCACCGCACAGCCCGAAGAGAACACATCCACGCCCAACACCCGGACCTTGTCGATCCCTCGGTTTTCACGCGGAACTGTAGAGTCTGTAAGAAGAAGTGTGTGGATACGGATGCGGAATTGGAACATCTTGTCAAGGAACATGGGTGGAGGGTTAGGAAGTGGATGGGTGAGGATGACTGGCAGGGTAGGAAGGGGGTTATTAAGGCTAAGGAGTTGGTTTATGAGGCGCCTGGATGTGGGGGTTGGAGTGGTGATGCTGGGAGTGGTGGGAGTTGAGGTCTTGTGGGTGGAGGGTGAAGTTTGAGGTGGAAGTATGGGGTTTTGTGGGATTGTGTTGGATGTCGATGTAGGTGGGTGTACTGTGCTGTACTGTAATATACGGCTGTAAATGTTGCTCTGGGCCCGTGGGATCAGGAATGGGTGGTTTGTCGTGTAGAAAGTATCGATGGCAGCTAGTCAGCTTTGTCAAAAGGGGAATTGAATGGGGTGGTTGTAGAGCTGTATTAGTGGCGATTAATGTACTCGACGAAACATAGCGTGTATATATAGGCTTCTCTCTTTAACCGTCCAGAGGAAAGAGCCCTAGCGGACGTACTTTGCCTAAAAAGGAAGGAAAGCTCGCCAAGACTTTGGTGCGATAATTCAGTGAATGATTCTCACGTTGACATTCAGGCGATACAGTTTCAGTAGACGGCTTTTGCACAGATTATGTCCGGAGTAACTTACTCATGAGTATTATTCGCGACCAATCGCGGTGTTATAGTGAGGGAGTCTCGGAAGTAGTACCGAAGTAGTCGTAGTAGTGAATTATCAGATTTCTCTGTCGCGCTCTGACTTAACTACTCGACAATTGATTCCTGCTTTGCAGACAATAGAGAGAAATGCAGCAAAAGAAGACATATATACATATGTAAAGGCCTAATCACGTAGAGCAGACAGATAACATTCAGCATATTCTCCAGACCAACGCGTGACAGAAGGACAGATCATACTCCACACTTCACGCTTTATGATTTTTTGCTTTTTCCGGCACTGGTTCTGGTCGGGAAGTCTGTTGACTCCCAAGGAAAGGAATCGTCTTTTACCTTCTTCCTCTTCTCCGCCTCCTCCTCCTTCTCCTTCCTTACGTACAATCCACGCGACCCACTCTCTCGACAAAAATCAAATCCCAGCCTCCCAGAACCCACAAGCGAAAATGTCAATGTTCGACTTCCGTAAGTCAATCATCATCAACGAGTGAACAACAACCCTCTGTCCTCTACTCCTTCCAGCTCGGTCACTCAATCCCCACCGCGTGATAATTCTCGCAAGATGCTAACGCGGAAAAAATCCAAGCGACTTTCTTCACCACATGCATCATCGCCTGCATATGTACGCTCATCATCCGCTACTACCAAGGCAAACTCGCCGCGATGAAGAAAGGTATCTAAACCTCCTCTACTTTCAACAGCAATCGTCGTGCTAATCCTGAGTCTTTTTCCGATAGAGATGCAGGAGATGGAGTTTGCGTATCAAACGAGTAAGTCACCGGAATCCCCAACAATATGAGATTTATAATCTAGAGGATCAGGTTACTTACACTCCAGCAGCAATCTGGATGATGCGTCAAACGCACGAGAAACGTACGTTGTCGTCCTTCCTCCTTGAGAAATTCTGAATGACATGCACGTGCTAAAATGCTAACTAATTTCCTTGGCATAGATATCATGAAATTGCAGGCAAAGTTCACAAAACGTACGTATAAATAACAATCCCCCGTAGATGATGATTCTTGCTTACATGTTATTTTGATATAAACACAGACGCCCTAACTCCCAACAAAGAAGAAGAGGAGAAAGAGTCTGAGGCAGTCACAGATTCTCCCCTCGTGAGCGAGAATGATGATCCAGAACGGAAAGATCTTTACTATGGGTTCGAGGATTGGGATAAGGAAAGTTGAAGAGGTTTCAAGGCTGAATGATTAGAAGGAGAGCTTTTCTCGGGTAGGAGTCGATCGATGATATGTTGGATGTGTGATCCATCGGCCTGCTCTACGGAATTGATCGCAAGATTAAGACACGAATGCAACTACTCCAGAGCTGTCGATATGAGGATTCTGAATCAAGAAAAGACATCCTTAGTCGTCTTTATCACGTCTCGAGGCCTTAATCTCTGCGGAAACGATAATTCTGGAGCTGCTGGAAGCTTCGCTACTGGCAGAGTAGTTCGTCATATAACGAAGAACCCAATCGAAGGACGCTGTCTTGTTGATGATTTTCTCATATTGACAGCTCTGAACTACTCTACCGATCAGTTCTGAGCAAGCGGTAGACTTTCCCACTCCACCCACCAATCCCCATCCCCGCATCCAGCCAGATACACCGGAAACTAGGCTCGACGTATATCACAAGAGTTCTCGACTCTTGCTATTCGTCAGACTTGTGACGAGGGTTCACCTCCGACGCAATCAAAAAGCCCGGCTGGTCGTCCCGGGGACTGCGCGTGATCATCCAATAGTGTACCATATCATCAAAAGTATGATCGATCCCCGTCAATGAAAATATCTCACCAAATCTCCCACCGCTACTAAGTTTTATCTTCAACATTTGTAATGGAGCGGATTCAGGCGCTTTCGAAGACGTGATGGTGCGAAAAATGGAGCATGCGAGGTCCACGTCGAGAACGCTGTTCCGGAACTTCTCACACTTCTCAGCATTGAACACAACTTCGCTTGGATGGAGGGAGGAAGGACTTGGCTGTCTAACATAGCCATTGTCATCCGGCACAGATGATATGTCGAAGATTAGACCAACGCTGATCAGATTTTTCATCGAGCCGAGGAGCTGACACATTGCGATTTCCTGGGCATCTCTTTCCGTCCGGCGTAGGTGGAAGCTGAGATGTYGCAAATTTGGGCACAGGTTCCTTATGAGCTCAATCTTCTTCAGATTGAATGCATCCTCCTCGACACGGTATCTATCTTTTACGGGCCTGAAGTGAAGTCGGCGTAATGCAGGGCCATGATGGTCCAAAAGCAGAAAGAAACACTGCGGGATGCCGCAGATATTCAGTCCTTGGAGTGGCGGTAACTTGGGAGACAGAAGAAATATTTCCTGACGATTCCAATCCGGGTCAGAGCGAGCTTGATCAGGTGTGCATATTTCATGCTTAATGTAGAGATCAGTGAGTGCACTGAATGAATTTTTGACCGTCATAAGCATCGCTAGCTCGGCGTTGTTGAAATAACATCTCAGATCCAGTACCTTCAGAAGTGAATGATCGGTCCAAGCAAACCACGGTCTAAGCAGGTCAAAGCCCGAGGCTCGATTTGGTGTGGCTCGATTTGGTGAGTGAATGCGTAGGATCTCTAGAGTACCATTCACTCGTGGACTTCCTGGTTCAAACCATGGCGAACAGCGAGGAGAGAAGGCCTCGCGGCTCATATGGTCATAAATGACACGAATTTCTTTCAGTTTTGGGGGGATTTCCTTCAGTAGGCTACCAGAGAGGGTCTCCTCCAGGTCGATTTTTTCGTTACGGTGCAAGGTAAGGCAATTGAGCAGCGGTGAATCCAGCATGGCTCGGTCCTGGCGAACAAGTTCATGAGTTGAGGCACTGTTCAGTCGAAGCTTGATTCGTTGGTTGGTGTGGGATCTTAACGCATGTAGAATACATGACGGGAGCTGATCATCGCAGGTGAATTCGACGACGACCAGACCGGGAAGTTGCTGGATCAAAGTGGCAAGGGGCGACCAATCTCCATCTTCAGATCTCGACGAGTGATCATGCGCCTGTTTGATCCAGTTTTCGGCAAAGGGATCCTCTAGATCTTGCCATGGCAGACTTAGAGGTCTACTTAATTGATGTTGGTGAAGATTATTTCCTCCTGACGGCGACGTCAGTCTCATCGTGCCAAGAATTTTGAGGTTTCGGACATGCTTCAGCCCAGCAGACGCCTTCAGCACTTGCAGACAGTCCGTGACATCAGATGCTAGAGACTTGGCGTCTTTGACAGTAATCCGGATGTTGCGGAACCGTTCTTTGGTCGCAGCATCGTAGTATTGCTTGCTGGTGAGAGCGAGGGAGATCAGACTGGGATGGTGTTCTGCATTGATGTAGTGACAGATCCTTGTGTGCAACTCTGGGGGAAGTTTCTCCATCTTGGTGAGGAATGAAGGAATGTTGATGAAGTGGGAAGCCTCCGAGCAGGTAGAAAGTAAGATACTCTATGATGAAGTCGTACCAATGGAAGCCACGATTAGTCACTCACTCAAAGCGAGGTATAACTCGCCGTGATGACACTTCGATGATCGGGTAACAACGATCCTGTCAACCTGGATATTCGATCCCGTGTGCGCTAGATGAGAATGGAATGTCGTGGATGGTGGATAATGAGTGCATGTTGATGTAACGTACAGAGCCCTTGATGAAGTAAGAACAGCTGTAATACACGGTTACTCCACCACTCCTTCCTCTGTGCTCTTTCATAGTTACGGCTATGCTTCTGTATGTCTCCTCTCCAACACCCTGTTACTACAATGTCGTTGTAGTTTTGTTGTAGTCTTGCTAAACAGTTCTCCTATACCATCTTCGCTTTCTCCGTCATCTTTCCATTACTCACCAGACATAGTTCAGGATTGCTTGGTTGAACGCAAAGTCGGACAGACAGATACATGCACGAAAAATTCTTGAATTCCGGTACATAATTGATGTCTCTCTGAACATCTCGCTATCGGGGGTAATGGGAAGACGAGGGAAGCTTCAAGATGGGGGTGGCGTCCCATAATAGAGAGAGAGGGATAGGAAATCATGCACATCTCCATGCAAGGCACTAGATATCCTCCCCGCCCTCCCAGCCGAACTGCCACTCCGGCCTACCAAAAGCCCACTCATCGAAACCTCTATCATCCCTCCCAGGCATTTCTCTACCATCACTGAGTCGAAGTCTAGGAAAAGAATCCTGTTCCCAGACATGAGTCTTGGCAGCGGCAGGTGGATCAGGCGCAGCGGTTGACGAGGATGAGGAAGCTGAGGACTCCGACACGGAAGAGCCGTTTCCTAGAAACTTCTTGCCATAATCGACTGCACTTCCCCACAGCGTTGGCGTTGTCTCTGGATTTTCGGGCTCAGTGGAGTCCAGAGTGACCTGTTCGATTGATTTTGCAGTGGATACAACGGCCGCAGCATCCTCTTTGACCTCCACAGCAGCTTCCAGAGTCTCTACTAGCTCATCGTTGACTAGGACAAGAGCTCCGCTGTGCCATCCAGCTGCAGTCACACCGAGCGCAAAGTAGGCGCCAAGTCCATCATCGCCAGCATCAATGGAGTATTTCTTGCTCCAGTTTCTAGCTTCCTGCTCGATCCATTCGCTGACTTCTCCCTGACATCCACCGTCTCGGTCGCTGGCAGTTGCCATTTGTAGTCTGCCCTCTGCTTCTTCTCTATCATGACCTCCCGCGGCTAGAAATGACAGCCATTCCCTCTTCGGTCGCTCGAACCACACTTTGCGGCCCTCAGTATAGGCGTGTGGGAGTAGATGCCCATCGCCACCCACGCCTCGAGTCCGGATCCCACGAAGTTGTGCAGCAACACCTCCATCGCCGAGTCCCAGCGCTCCGCAGTTTTGAGGCTGATATCCATAAGAGGTTATGTGACCAGGCGCGTGTAATGCGTGGAAGTGATAGTCTCCGAATGCCAAAGCAATGACGGATTTGTTCTGAAGTGCCGGGATGCGAGTCCACAGTCGACTATCACCACTCCCTGTCAAGTGTGGCATCAGAGCATCTTGCTTGCTCGTCAGCACGGCTCCAGATTTGAGAAAGATGGCAAAATTTTCAAAGCTGCCTTGAACGTCCGTGACAAAGGCGTCTTGCGGGATGGGGAGCTCAACAGGCTCTGAAAGAGTCTTCCGATCCTCAGTCCAAGTAATGAGAGAAGCAAACACCTTGCCACGGCTGGTGTTGAAGACGATAGAGTCTGACAGCACGATGAAGGACTGGACCTCTCCGACTGCTTCCGCCGGATCTTCTGTGGTTGAGGCGCCTTTGCCTTTGGTGTGGCGAACGTTGACATGACCGGTTCGCAGAATCAAAGCACTTTCGAGAACCAAAGCGGCATCAGCAGTTGAAGCTACTCGTCCGTTGGTGACCGCCCGGTCTGTCTCGTCGCCTTCCCGATCCAGAGGCTCCCACACCACAATACCAGTTCCCTCGATCAGTGCAGCACTCTTATTCCAGCCGGCCACCACCTTCTTCACCACACCCTTCCCCCTATCCTGCCCACTTTCAACCATATCATGGTCCAGGAGTTTCACATTGACAGCGGGATGCTCCATGTTTGACCAGCTCCAGATTCTACCACTGTCACTGAGTGCTAGTATGTGTCCTCTGCCAGCGGAGAACTGCTTGATTGCCGTTATAGCATCGTATTGGGGCCCTGCTTGCGAAAGGTTCGATGGAAATGCCAGAGGATATGGCGATGGATGTGATCGATGACGATATTCCATGCCGTTTAAAACGCCCACCGTATACAGTGCACCCTTGGCTGTCAACAATGTTGTACTCCATCCGCCACTTTGCAGATCTGCAATGACGCCCAACTCCTTAATGCCAACCATCTCCTCGGGAGTGCCCGTGTGAGATTTCTGCATCATACGTCGAGGCAGCACCCTGCCCATCATCCTCCCTCGCAATCTTAGTCGCGGATCAGGTTCGCTCGGGTCTCTACTGTGTCCAAGACATTGGCGGTCATTATTTCCCCCTAAGTTATGAACGATCAGCTCTAACCCATAAAAATGTCAAAGAACGCGTACGTACAGGCGAAGATGCGACTTTGAGTCCTCATGCGCTTGTATAGCTTCATCCACCGCTGGCCATCATTCGCGACGACTGGCTGATTGGGCACGCGAAAGTCTCGCCGGACACGTGCTGACCAGAAGAGTGGATCTTCACGTACGGGAGCAGAGTGCAAGGCTTGGCAGGTGGATGTGAAGGCGAGGAAGGAAGGCGTGTCCAGGTGCGGCGTGATGAGAACCAGCAGGTCCAGCGGGAGATTCAGGAGCGCCATATTGTGCTCTGATCAGAAACGTTGGTTGTTCAAGGTGTTGGCAAGGCAAGGTGGTGATGTAGATAAGCTAGTTGGGGCAGTGCATGTTTGTTGGAACCACCCACTCTCCAACATCCTGCAGCTGTTGCCAATGTTTACATCCCTACGTCATCAGATGACTGTTCATTGTTGATGGTGGGGTGAATGATGGAGGGGCAGAATCCATTTCACCGCCTGCCAAGCTCGGAGGTCACTGGACACATCTGTCGCCAGCATTTCCCCCATCATCTCCACTTCTTCAACAACAACATAATACCTTAGTCCAGCAATTGGACGTGGAAAAGGCAAGCCATACGGGACGTCCACGAGGTGAAATTGAAAATTGCCGCCACCTCTTGAATTGAACCGACGACAACGCTCACGAACAGGTAGCTGTAAGCACAAAAAGAAGCAGCCTTGCGGAGAGCCAAATGGTCTATACGATATGTGTTCTCGTTCTTGCTGTTGACGGTGCAGAGAGGCGAAGATCTTTCAGTGCTGTAGGTAGGGCGGCAATCTTCAATTCCACCGGGCCTTGATCGCTACTTTGCTGGCACTCCACAGACGTCGACCTCCCAACTGCTCGATATGTTCTGCCATGATTTGGAATGCAACATGATTCTTCCTTTTCCGGCTGTTGAGCCTACTGGAGATGAAGCGTTGGGCGTCGTGGTGTGTTGGAAGACTCTTTACACTTCCACGCTTCAGAAGCACTGTTCAATCTCGTCACAAGCTACGGCCAAAAGCGGTTTGCACACCTTGTGTGATCGGGACATTCTGCCAACATTTCACGCATCACGCGGCACGCATGCCGTAAGACCGACTCTTGCAGTATGCAGAAATGCAATGGTTGGCGCCGGCTCGGAGCTATTTCATGCAGCGGGATGATCGGCCCAGTACGCTCATGCACAGATGATGGCTATCATTCGCTCATTCCTCCCGAAGAAAGGGACACGGGACAGGCACAAGGCAATGATCAGCTGCCGGCAAAAATAAGCCGTAGGGGGTGTCATGCATGTGCATTTATACATGTTGTCCCCACCGACCCCACAACGACCGTAGGGTACGCATGCATTGCAGATTCGCATTGGGAGCCCGTCTGGCCGCGGGCATTTGGGTATGAAGATGCCGCACTTCCGCCTATCCAACAAGTCTGTCCAGCAACGTGTCATAATAGCTGCACGCACGAATGCATGAGTCAAAATCGCTCATCCACGCTTGACCTTTTCCCTGGCGGAGAAGTGCTGACGGTGATTTACAGCATTGGGCAGCCTGCAAGCAAAAATTGCTCTTCTGCCAATGCGAACGAAGCCAATGAATCAAGTCAACTCGATAACTCGACAGACGGTTTGGCGACCATTTCTTCTAGCTCACGGAACGCTCAACACGAAATGCTGTGGCCATGGTATGAACTCTGTTCTCGACGACGGCATTACTGAGCTTGGAGTGACCAAAGACATACATACGATTACGTAGCTTGTGAGTTGCCGGTCGCACGTCCTTGTTCATCGCACAAAGTTCCGCGGGCTCCGTTATTTCTCTTACTGATAGAAAGAGGGCTTTCATACAAGATTCCATACTCGGGAGTACAACCAAAAGGACGGACAAGCCCTATGCGAAACTTTCAGAATGAACGAGAACGCAGATCCTAGAACGGATTCCAAAATCTACGATGGCAGATATGCCGATTTACGCTGCGGATACCCATATACGAGCAAAGCTTGACGCATTAGGTCAACAGCTTTCAGTTCTCATGGGAAACATGACCGCATCGTTGGGTGCAGTCACCAAACTGAGCCCGCTGCAGCTCACCCGCAGCCATCCGCGTCTCTAATTGGTAAAGGGTCGATCAGACGGGATGGAGCACAGAGTGGCTTGCGTCAATCGCCCGGGCAAGCGATACCAAAACTAGCTTCTCGTCAATCAACTGCCGAGTCAGCAAAATCTTGGCATTGAGATTGGGATGAGGTTCAAATCGCTTCGAGCAGCTTTGAGTTCAGGGAGCAATTCTCTAGGCAGGGTCAACATCAACATCAACAGTGTTGACGCTCCATGTGCGGATGCAAGACATGGGTGGGATCATGCTCAATTACGAACCCGCAGACTTCGATCCACCAAATGACGGTCACCCAAGCTTGTCACGATTCAGAATGCCATGAGCTGTCCTCCGGGCTATCGGAAAAGGGTTCGAGCGATCTACAACGTGCGTCTGATGGACGCCAAGAATACTAAATCTCATTAGCGTAACGGACCTCACGTCCAAATCTCAAGTCCGCTGGAGTCTGGACTCACCAACCGCATGGTCTTGACCCACTTGATACCACGACACGAATTCAACGGCATGTCTGAAGAGTTCGAACTTCAAGGTTGGTGACGATGATTGGGAACTTTGGCCTAGAGCTCCGCAGGCTTCGTGAGCCCGCCAAGAGAGTGCGGACTACCATTGCAAGATCACTGCCAGATGAATACGCTAGTGATGTGCGACCGCTCCATGCAGCACCGCCGTCGAACATTGAGCCAGACGAACTTGCAGAATCTGTTGAGTGATCCATCGATGCTGCATGAAACCGCTGTAATGACAACATCCGTCGAAGAGCATCGCCTTGTGCACCGGCATCGCTATAGGGTTCGACGCCAGGAATATCTCCGCGGATTCCGGAAGATCTGCAGATCAAGTATCAAGGTTCGTCAAACCACGCCAACTGGAGTCCAAGCGAATCCTTCATGAGACGGCACGTCGAAGATTGTGATCCACCCAAAGACGATCAAAGAAGAGACTGCTATTTTTCTGCGCAACGTGGCGGACGTCAAGCGTATTCGATTCGGCAAGAAACTTCAATAGTCTTCCTGCGGCAGTAGCATGTTGCAGGCGGTGATGGAGATCATAGGATGTGAGTACGCAACTACGCCTCTCAGTAAGTCAGCCATGGCGGCCTGCCAGGGGTATAAGACGAAGCAGGTTTGCCCAGCAAGACAATCTTTTCTCCAGGACTTGCATCCCACGATTTCACCTACTCATCACCCATCTCTTATTCGTCTTGAAGATGAAGTCTGCAGTTGTTGTGGCAGCTGCCATTGCGCAGCTCGCTGCTGGTCAAGCGACGCTGAACTACGACCAAATCACCAATGCAGCAGCGCCGACTGCCACCGCACCCCCTCAGGTGGCCTCGATCGACTCCGCTGCAATCCAGGCCTCGTTGAGCTCTGTTCTCACTGCTGTTGAGGCGAGCTACACTGGTGTTCCGGCCAAGTTCCGTCTGAAGCGTGAGGCTGTGCCCACCTTCGGAAAACCCAAGCCCATCGGCGGTACCAACCCCTTCGATCCTGTGGACGAGTTCTGTTACTTCTTCCCGTGGAAGTGGTAAGCGTCCTCCATTCCACAATTTCTGGAGCAGTCCAGCTAACACATCCCTTAGCTCCAAGCCCGAGCCTGAGCCTCAGCCTGAGCCATCCAAGCCCCAGCCAGGCAAGCCAAGCAAGCCAACAACCACCTACCACCCTACCCCCACCGACAACCCCGCCCCACCACCAAAGGACGACAAGTGCAACGCCCAGCCGATGGGCGCTGGCCCAGCTGTCCAGCCCGACACTGCTGAAGCCTTCACCTCTTTCCCAGGTTTCAGCGCCGCGGCCAACGCTGCCCAGACTCCTTCTGGATACAAGCAGGTCTTCAAGAACTTGAACGCCGCATACTCTGGATACTCCTACATCACCTACACCAACCTCAACAGCTACGACCCCAAGGCGTGTGCTGATGCTTGTGATGCATACAAGGGATGCTCCAGCTTCAACGTCTACTTTGAGCGTGATCCAACTCTTGCTCCTGGCCCCAACTGCCCGAACCCACCATCCACCACCAACATCCGCTGTGCTCTTTGGGGAAGCGCCATTGATGCCGATGGTGCAACCAACAACGGCGAATACCGCGAGAAATTCCACGTCGTGATTACCGGCAGCAACGGCTACAGTAAGCACCACCACCCCAAATTCAATTCTACAGCAGTACTGACATGATCACTTCCAGCCAAGCCCGGTGCCCCAATCGACGTCCCACCATACTACCCACCAGAGAAGTGTCCCAACGGCGCCATCGGCGACAAGGGCAAGCCATGGTTCCTCGCAGACCACTTCTTCCCAGGATTCTTCGCCCCAGAGCTCTGCAAGGTCTTTGCGGAGATTCAGCTCGAGAAGAACAAAGCCGATTCCATCGCCAAGAAACTCGACCACTACTCGCCTATCAATGGTTACAATGTCTTTGAGCTCTGGGAGGAGGGCAAGATGATTGGTACTTATTGCAAACTTTACACGGAGCCTTTGCCGGTGGGTTACGCTGATTACAAGGGTGAGACTAAGTTGGAGAGACTTTGGGAGGTGAAGAATGCGTGGTTCTATAAGCTTCTTAACAAGGACTTTGGAAAGTTTTAGATGTTGTGCGGCAGGAAATGGAAGATTAGGAGGATTGTTTGGTCTGATACAACCATTCGTTTATCTTTTCGATACTCTTTGAGGGTTGTGAAGCTCTCAAAATCCACAGCAAAATGTCGCCGATCAATTAATGCGCATCCATGTCAACGCCGCAGGTTGGCCCGYCCAAAGATCTAATAGGGGGACTAAGGGCGGGTCGGTCGTATTCGATATCGTACTGACCTTGCGAGGCAAGTAGACCGTAGGTGTGTGTAGCCCAAAGACAGATTCCGGAAATCTCACGTCTCTGCCCCATAAAGGTGACGAATTGCTCCTCAAGTTTTATTCTGGGTTCGATACTGATGGGCTAGATTCTTCGGAGCACTCAACAATTGAGAGGAGGGACTTCCTGTAAGCCTTTTGCTGCTTTGAGAATGCTCACTCGATTGTGAACACGTTTACGAGCTTGAAAGGACTGATAGGGGTTCAATGATTCATTGGCAAGTATCCCCTTTCCACAGCCCGGACTTATACCTTCGCTTAACTCCTAGTGTATGAGACATAGTCTGCTACTATCGCATGTCAGCCAAGGTGAAAGTTGCTATGGAAACGAGGCGAAAGGAGCAGGATGTACCTAATGCTAGCTAGTGAGTGTAGCACGCTAGGTGTGTACTTCTTTCGCACGTTGCATTTCATGTAGCCCCTTCTCCTTTGCTTTCTGTCCTACTTTAAGACTGCTGCCCCCGTAGCAGTAGCAGCAGCAAAAACAAAGACGAAGACGAAGACGAAGACGAAGACGAAGACGAAGACGAAGACGAAGATGAAAACGGCTTTCCCTCGCTTCTCTCCCTCCTCCCGCTATTCCCCCTTCTCAACTGCTTTCTCGATTAATAACAGGCTGCTCAGCAAGTAGCAAGGGATCTAGCAGGCCTAAAATCGTAGAAGCTATAGAGAGCGACGATCTACGATATTGTAGGGTTCCATTCATCGAGCCCGATCTGAAACTTCCTCTACCGCTCAGCCTAAATCTAGCCCGCCGCTACTTAGCAGCACTCAAAGCTAAGAAACCATTGACAAGAACGGCGCCCTCAACTGCTTTCTCGATTGATAACGGACTACTCCGCTAGTAGCGAGGGATCTAGCAGGCCTAGAATCGCAGATCCTACAGAGAGCGACAATCCAAGACATCATAAAAATAACTACAGATGCCCGTACGTTATTACCTCTCGGCTCGAATCCATCTGATGAGCATTACCCTACTATCACTATTACTTTCACCAACAGACACGCTTCTACCGCGCTCGGCAGCCTCAATACAAGCTCCACAATGGCCTGTCTTAGCAAGCACAGTACCTCCTCGTCGCATTGCCTGGAGAATGAAAGCGACATCCGCCCCGAGAAGCGGCAGAGGTAGGATGCTTTACAATCATCTCCACGAGCAACAGCCGCTACGTTGTTGTCACATCTTGCCCCTGCTCATCTAGCTCCGACTCCATCCACCGACAACTTTGCCCCTATCCTTCTGCCGCCCATCGCCCGCCGCGTGCTCGAAACCGTCAACTCAGTTTCAGCTGTCTTGAACGACGATCAAGCTCGCCCCGAAGAGGCGTTCGCCCCACCTGTCGTCCTGCTGTCAATTCTATGGGATTGGCTGAGCGGTGTTGGGTGTCAAGTGCTAGGTGGGTGTTTTAGGTATGAAATCCATCGACACCTTGCAACAATATTCTACACAAGTACCTCTCAGTACCCTTAACTGCCTTCTCTAGCAATTGACCAACTCTCCACCGGTAAAGAGGATTCCAGTAGTCTGAACATCATCAATCGTATTACTCACGACATTACAGCTGAGCACGTAAACTCCTTCGCATCCTCGTGAAAGTCTCCGACTGCATTTCACGAAGATACATCTTACCTTGACCCTAGGTTTCTCCATGCGCACAACCGTATCATATGTTTTCAAGTCCCAACGCTGATTTCGCTCGAGCCACTCCCACAGTGCATCTAGCCTCTGCATAAGAGCCGGCACATTGTAAAGTGAGGTATCTCGATTCCGGGCGATATCAGAAGCACAACGAGCCATCGCTAACTCCCAGTCCTGACGTTCCCGTTTGAGACATTCGCTGAGGGAATCTGCCATCTTTTGCGGACTCTGGTCGTTTTCGTTGTCGAACCTCACGTGCTTAACGTGCGAAGATGTTCCATGTCTGGCTTTGGCGACGGCATCGATACTGTTGACAGGGACTACACCAAGTCTAACCCCATCCTTTGTGAATTCGAATCTTGACATGATGGCAGAGATCTCTGGATGGTACATGGCGGTGTAGCCTCGTGGGATATTTCCAGCGCAGAATTGGCCAGAGTCATTGATGTAGTACCCCTGGTACCAGTCCCGGTCTCTGATATCCACCACCTCGATGATCTACCCCGCTCTGAACTCCAAGTCTCCCTTCTTGAAGTATTTCTCGAAGTGACTTTTGTAGCCATACACTGCCTCTACCTTATAGGGCCTGAAAGATGGTTTCGATGGAGACTTCGAGACCTTCGATCGCGGCGTACCGGATTGCTTATCTTTAGACTGCGTGGCATTGGCAGACGTGTGATTTGAATCCGTAGAGCTAAGAGACTTGGGTTGGCTTGTGATGGCAGTCTTGGACTGATTGGTCGAGACAGTTCTGATCGTCTCTGCGGTGGCGAGAGCGACTTCTCAAGCCATGAGCTGAGCCAGGAGTCAGACGCTTTGAACTGGGCCCTGATTTCAACAGACTCGCGATGCTTCCTACAGTCTTTTGATATTGGCACCAATTCGTGGGCCCCTTCGGTGGGACTATACCGACGGTCTCCATGTAAGCGCTGCTCAGCCACCCCTTTTCTGCTTCGGTCACCTCGTTCGATGTTCTCTAGGTACTTCCTCGCCCCAATCTCGACATCTCCAAGGTAGCATTTCATCTGCTTCATTCTTCTTCTCATCGAGGTTGGCTTCACCGGCATGTGGCGGAGGATTTGGATGCATTGCTGCTCGAGCGCATCGCTCTCTCTCGTCCGTCCTCCTCCTCCCTCRGATACTTTCGTCCACCAAATCCGCCAAGATTGCTCACACTCCTTCAATCCCCGTATCCCGAAGATTCCCACATCCAAATCTGGTCTCGATTCTTCTACAGCTTGCTCGTATGGAAGTGACATGCTGCCGGCGAAGAGCTCACTGATCTTCGAGCTGGTAGTCTTAGTCTGGCATGCTTCTGCTGCGAGTAAGCCGTATACCTTGGACATGATTTCCTCATAGATTTCGACTTTCTTATGAGCAGTCGCGCATTTTAGTCCATGAGTTTTGCAATTTCCCCGTCGAGTTGCGACATACTCCCGTGTAGCTTTTATGCAGCATAACAACGCGGTTTCTTATGCCGTGAATGGCGTCCAGGGTTACGATTTTTCAATGCCCGGACCGCTGGCTTCCTTACTCTTATCAATACAATTACTATCGGTGAGACCAGCAGGAGAGGTCTTTGAACTTCCGATCGGGAAGGCTTGGTGGCGCTGAACTTGCCATTGGAGGATTTGACAAAGTTTGCGACTGATTAAAGTTGCAGGGACAGTTGGTAGAGGGCACTTGAAGATGCGGGCTCACATGATGCAAAAGATTTGAGAGGCGGGTAGGTACCATGGTATGACTTTTAACGAAAAGGAAGGTGACCCAGTATCTTGATTCTCGGAGCCACGCGGTTCAGTTCTTTCGGATGCCAACGCTTCACTACACACCGTAACATTCTGATAGTGGCACGATGAATATCGAGAGCGCTACAACTTTAGTGTGAAATGTGTTGGAGGAATAAGCTGGATGAGTCCGAGTGATTAGCTCTTTGAACGACGAATCGATAGCTGTGCTTTTAATCAACCCCCTTCTCTGTACGGTTGTTCACAATTAATTCATTCATTCCCAAAGCGCCAAGCCGAGCTAACCACATAAAGAAGCAATCCCCGTCGTAAGCCTACCTAGGCCACTAAGGCCCGCTATAGAACCGCTCATATCCCAGACTTGCCATAACATCAGAAAGTTAACGACGTACATCTCTTTCCATCTAGCTCATCAGACACCCTATCTTCTATTTCTTCCACCCTCGTCCATTAACCTCAAAATCTCCTAAAGCGCAACATCCTCCTTAGTCCTCATTTCCGGCAAGGCGAAAGCGTTCGAAACTGCAGCCATATCGTCAATCAAAAAATTAATCTTCCGAAACTTCCTCTTCGACGGAAAAATTCAAATTCCACACATATCCCTAGAATATATTTACATAGCCACATCAATGCCTCACCATCCATTAGGCCCACGTAAAAGATCATTAAGATGCTGAAATCAAAAAATCTCGCATTCCAGAACCAATCTCGAAAAAAATCATCATCCGATCATTCAGCAAACTATCTTGCATTACCTTAAGTATTTCATCCACGACTAACAAGAGACGAGAAATCAAGAAAATTCGCCCGCAGCTCTGATAAGAACTTTTCTCCTTTCTTAACTAAGAAAAAAGCATGGACGGCTGCTACACTATTCTGTTTCTCTCTTCAAGAAGTACGGGGCGAGAACTACACAGTTACGGAACTTCCTCTCGAGAGAGAGAGAGCTCTCAAAGACGTACCTATTCAGCGTCAAGATCAAGAAGGAGTATAGACCGGGGGAGACGGGAGTTTGACAGGACTAGTGACCGCCGGTTATCAGTAGTCACAGGGGTTTCATTCACTGCGACGATTACCAAGACATGGAGAATTGCATGCTTTCTACCCACTTCTATCTTTGGACATTAGGACTATTTTCGAGCCCGGTCTGTCTATCTTCCAGAAGCTCTGTTACACGAATCAATATCATACACTCACTCACCCACGCACCCAATACTCCGCATATCTCTACTCAACCATATGCGCCTCCATATAAAGCGTCCGAACCCCTCGTTCCACCATCTCCTCATCCAAAAACACCCTCAAACTCCCCTCCCGAAATCGATACATGACCTTTTCCTCCCCAACCTTCTGGGGCAAAGCCCACAAATCCCACCTCCACTTCCCCTCCTCCCCCTCATCCACCAACTTAACTCCCTCCAGAACTCCCTTCCTCGCATACCACTCCCTCAACTTCACCCTCAGACTCCCACAAATAACATCCTTCATACCCTCTCCATCTCCAACTTTCACCACAACCCCCATAGGCACCCCGACTCCTCTCCGTGAAGTGGAATTGACGATCCGCACCGCGACATGAATTCTCATCCCCTCCAACCCCACCACTCCCTTCCCCACAAACGGCAAAAACGTCAAAGTAGGCAGAAAAGGCACACCCTCTCGAATCCCATATTCAAAAGCCTCTTGCCCCATATTCCGATACGCAGTTCTCGATTTCATGCCTTCACCCTCAATATCCTTGTATTTGTCAATCCAGATTTGGTTTTCTTGACAAGGTTTCTCGTTGACGAGGTGAGGGTCTCCAATCACCATGCCATTGATCTCACGACAGGGAATGCCCACCACTGGGCCTGCGGGAGGGAAGATTCGGGGGTAGCGAACGACGTGTGCGGTTTGGAGGGGTTGGAGTTGTACTTCCTCCTCGGGACCGAAGAAGGGTTTTTGGAGGGTGATTGTTAGGCGGGATTTGAATCGTGGTGGGGAGGGAGAGGGAGGGGGTGCAGTTGCGATGCGGTGGTAGGCGTAGACTCTGTCTTGAGGAGACCATTCGCCTGAATCGTAGGCATCTTCACCGGGAACCAGATCAATGATGGAGATTTTGATGGTAATGGGGATTTCGGGGAGAGATTTGAGGGATTTGCGGGAGAGGAAGATGTCGCTTAGTTTGGAGATTCGAGAGGATTGGGTGGAGTCTCGAACGAGGTAGGCGTCGCGTTCGTCGGAGAAGGTGGTGGTGCTGAGCATGTGCAGGCCTTGGTTGGATTCCTTCAAGGTGCGCATCATTTCGAATTGGGCGTTGCGGAAGTAGATGCAGGCGTGGCGGAGGACGTGGGCGCCGAGGTAGTAGGGTGTTGCTGCGAGGGGGATGTGGTAGACGCAGCGGCCGGAGAGGGAGTCGTTGAAATCGGGGAGGGCGGTGGTGTCGAAGTCGACGAGGATGGTGCACTGCGGTCCGTTGCCGGCTGATTTACACGGGAGGGACATGACTTGGACGATGGAGGCGCTGCGGGAGGAAGAGCTGAGGTCGGAGTCTGGGGTGATGATGGAGGATGCCGAGTCGGATTGGGATTCGTCGCTCAGCAAGCCTTGATCGATGTCGTCGGGTTCGGAGTCGGAGGCGTTGATGGTGTGTTTGGAGAGTATTTCTGGTGTTATGGCATGTTTGGTCAGCATTTCCGAGGTGATGATGGGTGCCAGACGAGCTTCGAGGTAGAGTCTCCGGTCGTTGGCAGCGATGTAGGCGGCGCTTAGGAACTGGCTGAGGGGACCGCTTTGCCAGGAATACAGCTGGCCGTGCTCCAGTCCTTGCGGCATAACCCAGAGGTGGAGGGTAGGAGGGTTGGACGCATGCTTGTCGAGGAGTTGTGCTTGGGTGGTCAGGGGAAGCTCTTGATGGAACTTGATGAGCAAGGCGTCGCGGACCTCGTCGGCATTCAAGTCCTGATGCATTGGAACGGTGAAGGAGGGAGGAAGACGCAGGAGACCTCCGAGATCGTTGACGAAGGTGACGGCGGCGTGGACATGATCCGGCTGGGAAGCATCATCGTCGACGTCGACCGATGGAGCGGGATCGTGCGTGGTGTAGCTTGCAGCAACGAGTCGGGCGGGCATGGGGATGCTCCACCGCGGACTGTCGGAAAGTGGCTTCTTCTGGCGGGTCCAGTGCTTTTGGACTGTAGACTGGAGCTCCTTCAAAGTCCGGCAATGCTGGAGAGGGTCGATGAGGTCGCTGGGATCTGGCATGACCAAGTCCTTTGCGCCATCATAGTCTCCAATCTCCTGGCCATCAACTTCACGTGTTGGAAGGCTGAGCAGTGCGGTGACCATGTCACCTTCCATGTGCGCGACATAGGTCTCAAAGGCGGCCATGTGCTGTAGACCATATGTGGGATCTAGCGTGGTGTCTGGCGCGGGCTTCTTGCTTCGCCCGATGATCATGTACGCCATGATTGCGAGAAGATGGACAGGAAAGTGTGTGCATGTATGATGAGGAGGAGAAGGATGAACTGGAGGTATTGACGTCAGTGTTTGCTGCGATCCAGAGCTGTCTGACGGGAGAAGCGAGTCGGTGAGAGCGTTTGTCRAACGAGTTCGAAAGGGTCAACAGACTTGGCCTGCATACGGGTACCTACAGCATGATATTCGGGCAGCCACGTTTGTGATGGGGAGGACGGCGTTGGTGGTGGTGCTGTATGGGAGCCATTTCCAGACGATGAACATGTCCTTGTACATCATCTATGGCCTAGCCTACCTTCGTGAGCCGACTGACCCATATACCTATTGATCCTCGGATGGCCGAGTGATGCTCAGCCTTCATAGACACACCTCTTCCACCTCGACACTACGCAGGTGAGACATGTTCTCCATAGCTCCCATCGCTTTGCTACCATTCTCACCCTCCGCGGCTGGCTCTCCCTACATGGCCACGTAGTCTGGAGGTGTGGTGAAAAGCTCATGACACTCCATCATCTCCCCACTGAAGCTTCCCGAATCGCTTGTCGACGAGAGATCATGACGTTGTTGCAGCACAGACCAACAAGTGGTATGGTCACACTCACAGCAATAATAATAATGCAGGAGAGGTACAACACACCTGCAACAAAGCAACCTGGTTGTGGAAGAAAGAAATCCAACCTTCTCCCGCGAGAGAACAAGAGGGGCCTCGGGAACGGAATCCTTCCGGATGGCGCTGGGTCCGACAATGCTCGCACCCCTATTGGCTGAGCGCGTTCGGAAGTCGGCGGACCTGCATGATGAGATTCACGAAATGGTACGATCGCTGCATCGTGCAGAAAGAGAGTTTAAGATTGTCATTGACCCTTTCTGCTGGTGGTGTGGTGGAGCAGGTGATTATCTTATTTCATTTATTTCCGTGCTCTTCACCTTGCCACTATCGTTCCATCGTCGGCCTCTTGCTCGGAGTGGGTGGTCTTTTGCATGCATTGACCGAGGGGAATTCAGCATTGCATTGCATTGACATTTGATCTGGTTGGCAAGAGCATTGGTAAATTTCGAGCAAAGCACGCGACAACACCGGACGACACTCGACGACACCGACAAACATGGCGTCGGTCATGGAGACGTTCAATGCCACGAGCACCGCCATCCCACACACCGTCTACGCCAACATCGCCGCCGCGAGTCCCGGCTTCCTCACCAAAGCCCTCGACAGCGCCACGCTCCTCACCATCTTTACCGCGTTCCTGGCCCTCTTCCTGGCCGCCGTCGTCTACGATCAATGTAGGTGTCATCCTCAATCCTCCTCAAGAAACATCACTGACCACATCCCCCTCCACAGTATCCTACTGGACACACAAGGGCCCGCTCGCAGGCGATGCCTGGAAGATCCCCTTTGTTGGCCCCTTCCTCGAGAGCGTCAACCCGCAATTCAGCAAATACCATGAGAAATGGCTCTCCGGCGCCCTCTCCTGTGTCTCCGTCTTTCACAAGTTTGTCGTCATCGCCGCCACTCGCGATATGGCGCGCAAGGTGTTGAACAGCCCGGCATATGTCAAGCCTTGCGTGGTGGATGTGGCACACAAGCTACTACGACCCGAGAACTGGGTCTTCCTGGATGGAAAGGAGCATGTCGAGTACCGCAAGGGCCTCAACGGTCTCTTCACCCGCAATGCTCTCGAGACATATCTGCCCGGTCAGGAGGAGGTCTACAACGAATACTTTGAGGATTTCCTCCGCGAGAGTCAGGCGGCGGGAGAGCCCAAGGCATGGGTCTACTACCTCCGAGAGTTGATGTGTGCCGTGTCATGCCGGACATTCGTGGGACACTACATGTCTCGCGAGGGCGTGAAGCGGATTGCGGACGATTACTACAACATCACCGCGGCGTTGGAGCTCGTCAACTTCCCCATTATCCTCCCATTCACCAAGACATGGTATGGCAAGAAGGCTGCCGACAAGGTGCTGGAAGCGTTCGCAAACTGTGCCGCCAAGGCTCGCGTTCGCATGAGGCAGAAGGGAGCGCAGCCCGAGTGCATCATGGACCGATGGCTCATGCAGATGATCGAGTCGGACCAATACCGCGAGCGCATCGCCAAGGGCGAAAAGGYGCCTCAAGAAGAGAAGCCTGCCATGTTGTTGAGGAACTTCTCCGACATTGAAATCTCCATGACCGTCTTCACCTTCCTCTTCGCTTCCCAGGATGCCACGTCCAGTGCCGCTTCGTGGATGCTTCAGATCTGCGCCGACCGTCCCGACGTTCTGGAGAAGGTCCGAGAGGAAGGTCAACGTCTTCGTCCCGATCCCAACCAGCCAGTATCGCTGGAGACATTGGAGAAGATGGTGAGTCTATTCCATTCAAAAGGTTCTCTCACAGTCACTAACCCTCTTCCCAGGAATATACCCGCGCCGTCGTCAAAGAAACCCTCCGATACCGCCCACCCGTACTGATGGTCCCCTACCTCGTCAAGAAAGACTTCCCCATTCCGGAAGCCAACTACGTGGCGAAAAAAGGCACCATGATCATCCCCTCCACCTGGCTCTCCCTCCACGACCCGGAAGCCTACTCTTCACCCGACGAATTCATCCCCGACCGATGGATCACAGGCAACGCGGAAGAGCAGGGCAAGAACTGGCTCGTCTTCGGCACCGGCCCACATTACTGTCTGGGACAGACATATGCCGTGTCGAATTTGATGTTGCTGTTGCATAAATTGAGCTCGAGCTACGAGTGGCATCACAAAATCACGCCGACGAGCGAGGAGATTAAAGTCTTTGCGACAATTTTTCCCATGGATGATTTGTTACTGAGCTTTAACCGCAGGGAGGAGGCGCGGGTGTAGATTGGAGGGATTGATTGGTTGGTTGGTTTTGTTTTGATTGATTGGGGGTGTTTTTTTTTTAATGGGAGTTGCGTTGCACAGTGCGCAGGGAAGGGGTTTAAATATGTAGATTTCCGTCGCGAGGCCTGTCCTGTCTGGAGGTGGACTTGCCGGCTGCATGGGCGAGGCATAGCATTCTGAGGAGAAGCAGAGAGAGTGAGAGGTAGAAATTAATGGCTGTGGACWTTGTTCATACAACTTCAGTTTCCACGATTTTGATTCTTTACTGACTGACTGGCAATCTAATGCCGCTTCATTATTGTGTGGGCGGGATTCTTAGGATTCATCGGATTTGAGAGTTCCATTACCTTAGTAGAGGTTTGGCATGGGGATTTGGTAGTATGGGAATGGGTGACATTTATGGGTGGTAGACAGAATTTTCTGGATTCAATCTTCCAAGCTCTCTCGTCTCCTACATTAACTATTCAGTCAGTCAGCTCTGTAGCAACTTTCTTCCAACAAAAGATGAGCATCTGATAGGTCAAGCAACAAACAATATTTAAACTTTCCACTTAGCGCCGGCAGAATCCACTCACCGCCCGCCCTCCAAAAAAAGATTCAGAGAACTTCCCAATCTTGCCGCGCCGCGCAGCTCGCTTCCTCACAAAGACAAAGAAAAAGAGGGAAAAAACTCACCACATCGCCGCAATTCCTCACAATGGCGCCCATAACCACACTCACCGCGACAACCACCCCTCTGGACCCCTCCCAAACCCTCCGCGCCTCGACCGCACTCCTCAAAAAAATCTCCACGGACAGCTCCACGAAATCCAGCACGGCGCCCAAAACCTCCCTGCTCGCGGACGCGGATGACGGTCTAGATGCCATTTCCGACCTCGTCCCCATCTGGCTGATCCTCTCGACCAAAAAACACATTTCGGATAAAAAACGCCTCAAACCCGCTCCCATCTCCCTCCCACATCCGTACCTCTCGATTTCGGACCCGGGATTGCGCATCTGTCTCATCACTGCCGATCCGCAGCGCAAATATAAGGAATTGGTGGATGTGGACGCGGGATTTCCGGCTGAGGTCGCTGGGAAGATTAAGCGGGTGATTGGGTTGGAGAAGTTGAAGAGCAAGTATAAGAGTTTTGAGAGTCGGAGATTGTTGTTCTCGGAATATGATCTGTTTCTGGCGGATGATCGGGTCGTGRCGTATTTGCCCAAGGTTTTAGGGAAGGTGTTTTATAAGGGAGGGAGTAAGAGACCTATTCCTGTGTCGTTGGAGGGCAGGAGGGTGAGTGTGGAGGATGGGGTTAAGAGGAAGAAACTCGCCGAGGGTGGGGAGAAGGTCAAGAAAGTGGAACCCAAACCTCTGGAAATCGCAGAGGAGATTAAGAGGGCTGTGGGGAGTACTTTGGTGCATCTTGCGCCGAGTACCAGCACGGCGGTCAAAGTTGGAGTGGCGACTATGACTCCGGAGGAAATCGTTGCGAATGTGGAGGCCGTGGTGGAGGGGCTTGTGGAGAAGTTTGTGCCGCAGAAGTGGGAGAATGTGCGGGCGGTACATATCAAGGGACCCGAGACGATTGCGCTACCGATTTGGTTGACCGAGGAGTTGTGGGCCAGTGAGCAGGATGTGTTGGAGTTCAAACCGGAGACGAATGCGGGGAAGAAGAGGAAGCGGAGTGCGTTGATTGAGGAGGGCAAGGCGGAGACGATTGAGGTTCCTGGACCGGATGGGAAGATGAGGGTGTTGGAGAAGCCGTCGAAGAAGGGAAAGAAGGTCGAGAAGGCCGAGGTGGAGGTGGATGTTCCCGTTAAGAAGGAGAAAAAGAGGAAGAGCGAGGTTGTAGAGGAGGATGCGGTTGATGATGCTGCTGAAGAAAAGGCCGCAAAGAAGGCGGCCAAGGCGGCGAGGAGTGCGGAGAGGGCACAGTTGAAGGCTGCTGCGTTGGGCGATATCCAAGCCAATGTGGAGGAGGACGTCAAGCCGAAGAAGAAGGCCAAAAAGTCCAAAGCCTAAGGATGAAGATGGAAGATGTGAAGGTGGTAAGAAAAGTTTGATGGTTCGATTACATTCTACTCAAGGCATAGCGAGGCGTTTGGGCGGGCAAGTGCTGTCTGTATGTGGGTGCTGTGGAGATTAGTGGTGACTTCTGAATACTGTCGACAATGGGTATCAGGTCAATCTATTGTCTACTCTGCCTCTTCTTCATCGACCAGCCGCCCTCTCCGCTTCTATCAAACCCCTTAACTCCTCCAACTTGGCCTCTCGGGTCCGCAAGTGTCCCTCCAAGCCATCGACCTGCTCCTTGACCACCTCAATCTCACTTGTAAACTCTTTCAAACTCTGCCCCGTCTTGGCCTTTCCCTCTCCATTCTCCAAATCTCGCAACTCCCTCCGCTTGTAATCCAACATCTGCTCCAGCTCTCTCTTGACCAACGCCGGTCTAGAATCATCCCTCCGTCCCCCTCGTTCCCTCCTCCTCTTGGCAGCCTCCTCCATCTTCACCATCTTCTCGTCCAATTCCTTCAATTGCTTCTTCAACCTCACCTCCTCCCACTCCTCATCTCTCGGCGCCGAACTGAAATCCGTCCCCTTGGGCTTCCTCTCCCCACCAACCCCCAAGCGTGAGAGATAAGTATCTCCAAACTTGGCCTTTTTCCCCGTCGACGTCTGATCATCCCTCTTCGCACCCCACTTCTCCGCAGCAGTCTGCACTCGATCCACCTGATATTCAATCTTACCCTGCTCGAACGTCGCCCTCAAACTCGGCGGCACACTCCTCGGAATCCTATACCCCTCATGCCGATTATTCAAAATGTGCAAAAACGCCAAACACGCATCCTTATTAATCCCCTCCTCACTCTTCGGATTCACCAAATTCCACGCACTCCGCACATCCGTATCCGGCACATCCAAACTCTCATACAGTTCCGCCAGCGCGGTAAAGGAAATTCTGCCATCCCGCAGATTCCGCGAATTGTTATAGATGTCTTCATATTTCCCCCTCTCATTCGGGGGCATGTACCAATCAAACCCATCCTTCAATCCCTCCGTCTCATCATCCACATCCCAGTCGCGATTAAATCGTTCCCCACCCCCAGTCACCGCTCGTCCCGCTTGCACGAGATGCGCTTTACTCTCCGGCACCAACCAGTCTGGGAGAGTGGCCGGGACATCCAAGTACTCGCCATTCATGAGATCGTAGATTAAGCGCATCGCGACGCAGAATTCCTCGAAGTCCAGTCGGCCGTCATTGTCGACGTCGGCGAGATCCCAGATGCGCTCGAGTTGGTCGTCACGGAGTTGGGAGTTTTTGAGCACTGAGGCGGCTTGTGTGCCGTCGAGGTGCGTGCCGCCGGAGGAGAGGGAGGAGAAGATTTCCCAGTAGCGTTCTACTTCCCATTGTTCGATGCGTTTGATGGGTGCCATGGTGGTCGGGGTGGAAGTATGGGGGAGGTGGAGGATGTAAGTTGGGGGGAGGAGTTTGGGAGCTGCCCTGTTGTTTGTTTCAATGTGACGTTGTCGGAGCCCGCCCTGCCACGCGTTGGCCGAACTTTGCACGCGAGATGGAAAGTGGACTTGTGGACCTTATCGGAACAACAACCTCAACGCCATCACATGTGCTCGGCCTTCATTATTTGATTCTTGCCTTAGTTGCATATGATCATTCCATKCACAAATTAGGCAGCCATGGTCTTGAGCCATCGGTAAATTTGATCGTAGAGTCATACATCCACAGCCTCTCTTGCAGAGGCCATTTTTCCTTTGTCTCACAACTTTCATCCCCCAAAGACTTCTCCCGACACAGATTCATTCTCTCGCTCTCCTGCAGTCCGCCTGATGTTGCTGTTAAAGCGGTCCCCAGCTGCTTCAACCAAACCTTCAAAGTGGAGAGAGCGGAGGCGGTACCATACCTTCACCTGAAGTGAAGCTAATACCCTCACAACCCAATTCAACCAGGCGCTTCACTTCGACGCGTTGCTCTCGTGTACTCATTGCTGCTCTTCCCTTGACCTCACATCAGAGTCCAATCTTCAACTCAAACAACATTCCATCGACTGTCACACATCTCACCCAAACACCAATCAGCACACTCCATGTCCGTCCAACACCCAACCGAACTGCCCTCCGAGGTAGAAGCGTGGCTACAAGAGCAGACCACGTACCCGCGCGAAGAGCTCTTGCGAGGTGATGGCAACCACCCGGACGAAATTGATGCTATGCGGAAATTTCTCGTCGGAACCTTGACCGCACATGATGCCGCTGCAGCCATCATCCATTCCATCACTTTAGAAGACGACCCTCCACATGAAGTGTATCGCTTGTGGGGTCTTCTTGCGGCCACGCTGGTCGAGCTAGGTCGAGAAGTTGGTCGGAAGTCGCTAGATCTGTTGGCCGCAATCCAGCAATTGCCAGACGCGACGACACCAACAGGCACGATCAAATGGTCAGATCTCCCGGGATTTGGCAACATGTGGTATGATAGCCACAGCATGCATATGGATGGATCACCTCCATGGGAAAGTGGCCGAGAGGGTATTTTGACTCGGGAGAGAGAGACTGTGCTGCGCGATCTCTACGAAGACGGCGGCGCTGCTGAAGCGTCTATTTGGCTTCGCATCCCCAACGTCATAAATCCGAATCTAGGGTATGAGGTGCTCAATTTGAGCCGCTCTGGTCGCGCATGTTTGTTCATCAATTTGCACCAAGTTCACGGCTGGCTCAAGATTGCCGGGCCGCAACTCAGACTTGATAGACCTCTCGATGAAGTCATGAGGCTGGAGAGAAAGGCCTGGGGGGAATATGCCGACGCTACGATGGAGGAGCACTGGCATGACTGGGAGAAAGCGCTGGCGGAGCTCAGCAAAGACGACAGTACACTTCCGCAGGAGAGCAGAAAGGTGGCAGGTGAATGTCTTGCTATGATGCAAGATGCGAGACTTCAAGACCCCAGGAATGTCTCTACTGACACGTAGTCACCGGACAGGTGCGGGAAAGATGAGTCGTCTGTGGGTGGGTGGAGTCCTTGCTTTCCACAGATCCGGGTGAATTTTTTGAATTTCTGGCATGCGAGCACGATATTTACCACTACAATTCCGTCTCTTCAAATTGCTGTCCTCTCTCAAAAATATCCTCACCAAGCATCTCGCTCAAAAAACACAGCATCCAACTTGTCAGCAACACACTACAATCACCATGTCCGTCACCTCCATCCCTTCCAATCCATCTCCACTCACTAACCAGCCAATCCCAGGAAATTCTTTCTCCTCATCGTTCTAGCCGCCGCGGCTCTAGCCTCCCCACCCGCCTTCAAAAGCGCCATCATCCCCAACTCCAACTCCAACTCCAACTCCACCATTCTCACCAASCGCGTACGTACCTCCAAACCCTTCCCTATTATCTTTCACACACACTTACATTGATGTGGTCCACAGGGCCAAGACAAAGGCGACTACTGCGACGACATGGCTCTCATCTGCGACCCTCCCATGTCTTGCTGTGGAGAGTGGATCATGCATTGTACGGATCAGCCGGGCAAGGCTTGGTGTATGTATAAGTATGATKAGAATGGGAATAAACTTAAGGGGAAGGATGGGAAATTTGAGGAGCCTGATGATGGTGGGAATTAGAAGTGCTTGCTTGCTCTTTTTGGGGGTTGGTTATCGGGGATTATTCGTTGGGGGAAAAAAAATGGGAAATCTGGAAATGAAAGCTGTCTTCTGAATTGAAATTGTCGTCATCGCTCTGCACCATTTTGCTGCTTTGACGAGTAAGTGCTCTTTGTCGCCAAGGATCCGTCAAAGGTATGGAGTTCTCGGGATGACAGCTGTCAACGATGTGAACCGGAAAAACTATCGCTCTACAGCGGGTCACAAAGGATTGTGATGATGAGCAGATCRACAAATGCGATAGTATTGAACAGAGTGGAATGTCCGGCTTTACTGCTATATCTACCTGGGCAGCTGCTAGGACTGCCATAAGATTGATTGGTATGTCCTCGAGTAGTAGTACCATCCGACTTTTCGGTCATTGTTGAATAATCTCCACGGTCGTCGGTAGCAGCGACTCGCTGGTCTCTCTCTCTCTACGCTCCTGTTCGTCTTGGCGGCGCTTACGGAGATCTTAGTGGTCAAAATGTGCTGAAATGCTTGGCGATCATGTGCTTGTAATTCTCGCTCTTTTGGACGGGATGGTCCTGTGAAAGATACCTACAATCATTTTTCAAATGGTGGTTGAGTGTCTCCTGCCCTCATTTGTAGTTTTTCCGGAGATGGTCCTTCCAATTCAACTCCTTTTGCCGAGGAAAGGAGGACGTGAGGTGGCCTTCCTCGCTACATGTACTTTCCTYGCAGTCTTGATGTGCAACATACACCAACATCTTCTTTCATCACATCGACAGCTTTTCATCAAACAGCCTCTTCCAAATATCTCACGCCACGGTGTTATCCATACATTACTTCATCAATCCTCTCCTCAGCAATGTCTACCGAGCGAGAGTCTGATGCGGTCGACCGTGACGACCACGACATGGGCGACAGCTCCGGCCATCAAATCACTCCTGAGTCGGAGCAAGACATTGACAGCGACGGAGACCATGACCCCGATCCCGACATGTACATGAACTTTGGTGGATTTGAAATCTCTCGTTCTCTACCCCGACGCGACGAGTACCAAATGACCATACGACACATGATAAAACTTCTACATTCGGGACTTAGGATCAGGGTTAGCCCATTGGGTGAGAGGGAAAAACTCCCTTGGAGCAACGAGCGACAAATCGGACTCATCGACAGCCTTTTCCAAGATCACTACATCTCCCCCCTCATATTCGAGAAGAGGATCATGACGATATCCGGTGTTGAGAAGGAAGTCATGATTTGCGTAGACGGGAGGCAGCGTCTTATGTCAGTCAAAAGGTTTATTAATGGTCACATTCCCTGTCACGATCGGCATGGCAAGAGGTGGTGGTTCAGACACGTAGGTGGAAGGCCCATAGAGGGACGCAAGTACCTCTCTCAAGCCGCACAAGGAGAGTTTTGCAACAAAGAATTCTTGTGCTACGGGTATTTCGACATGACCGAAAATCAAGAGCGCGACTTGTCCGAAAGGGTGCAACGTGGGAATCCTCTGACGTCGGCAGAAGGAGCTCAGGCTCAGGAGGGCGATTGGCAAAGCCTGGCGAGGAAGTTTCTGGACGACTTCCCGCGTGTTGTAAACCGTAAGTACCACCGCAGAAGATGATGACACAGCTGACATCAATAGTGAGTGACAATCGGAGAGGAGCCGGATTTGACAAAATCATTTCATCATTCGTGCAAATACTCGAAGCTGAGAAACTTTGGCAAGGCCAGCGCGTTCCTCTCAGGGGCACGAAAGCCTGGGTGAAGAAGGTCTGTATGACGGATGCATCAATGAACCCATGTACCACGTACCTGAAGAACCGCATGCAACGCACTTTCGACCGCTTCGAAGAACTGGTCCGGAAGAACAAGCGAGCGTTCGAACATGATGATCTCCCTCCGAAGGCCACAATCGAGCCGGTGGAATTYGTCGCAATTGCCTACGTAATCGACAAATATGGAGGAGAGATGAACAATGACCAACTTGAGCAAGCAATCCGTGAGATGAGAAGGCATGTCCGGAGATGGCATCCAAACAACATGCGGAGGAATACCATCGTGTGGGATGATCTGATGACCGTGTTCGAAAGTCATCTAGGCGGTGGTGAGAACGGTCATGGCRCAAATGGTGAGAACGGTCATGGTACAAATGGTGGGAACGGTCATGGTCCAAATGGTGAGAACGATCGTGGTACAAAGAGAGAGGCCTCTGAGGAAGCAGCAGATGATGACGACAGGCATCGGACACTTCGCCCGAGGCGTTAAGTGAAGGGTGCTAGGCAGGGATGTTGGATTGATTAATGTGAGCTGTTGATATGAGAAGGTATCGGAACACTCGCTGGAGGTATTGATTGAAAGGTGATGGGCAGGGATGGTGGATTGATTCATTCGAGCTATTGATATGGAAAGGTATCGGCATACAGTCTCCGCTTACTTTCATGTCGTCATTGTAGACCTTCTCGGTCATTCTAATGATCTAACTGTTCAACGCCTGTTTTAAGTAGTGTCGTCAAAACCCTTCCCACCAGCGAAGTCGTGCGTCAAGTTCCCGAGAGAGCTGTTAGGGATGTTTGGCTGCTCCACATCCACTAAAATCCCACGCAACAAACCCCCTCACACCTGAACCTCCTCCTCCTCCTCCTCAGAACCCAACATAGACAACCCCATCAACCCCCTCTTAAAAAGTAAAACCTTCCACAACTCCGCCTCCTCCTCCCTTTCCCTCTTGGCCAATTCCTTGAATCTCGCAGCAGCGGCAGTAGCGTCTTCTTCTTGTGTCGTAGTACCGAGCTTATGACGAATTCTCTCCTGGGGAGTTTGTTGGAGGAGGAAAGCCATTGTTTGGGCTTCTTGCTGGATTTCTTGTTTGGCGAGAATTTTGATGTGGTGGGATGATGAGGGGGTGGATTTACTTGTGGGGAGGGGGTGGTGGAAGGTTGGTTTTCTGGTGGGGAGGGCGGGGGGAGGTTAGTGGGTTTGGTTTTGATGGAAGGGGTTGGGTTTGGGTTTGAGGGGCGTTGTGTGATTAGTAGAAGGTTGGGGAAGAGAGAGAGAGAGAGTTTGTGTGTGTGTGCATGCATGGGAGGATGACGGGGATTGCGGAGAGGGACTTACGAAGAGCCGCGTGACGGCTTCTTTCCGGTGCGAAGGATGCTGGTTGGGTACATTGTAGCACTGGGTGGGTTGTAGTATCGTGTTATCGTGGAATTGTAACTTGGCGTGAAAACTGTTGATGAAATATGTGAATTTGAGGTTTGTGGAGTTGAGAGAAGAGGAGAAGGGGATTGTGAGRAATATAACGACTTGGGAGGCTCTTTTTTGGTTTAAGCATATTGTGGGTTGGCTATACTTTACCATTTCCTTGTCTTCTAGGGGGGTTATTCAGCAGCCGGTCGAGGCCGAATTTCAGTGTCTAGATGGAATCGAACGGATGAAGTGTAAGGTGTCCAAATGGATCTGGTGGAACCAGCGACTCTCGAACCGCTTCATCACTATAGGTTAGTAAGCCAAACCTGATGTCGCGAGGGTTGGACCGTAGCAGCATGTGATCACTTGCCGTCAAGGATTATACATTTCCGCTGCATAACCAGAAAAGTTACCGAACCAGCCATATCTTTCGATCCAAGGTACTGTGAAGCGAGAAGGCCACGTCAAACTTGGAATGTCGCGGGCTTTGGAAATCTTGTTCTGACTTCATGTTGTTCTTCGATATCGTCACGTCAGTCCTTGATCACTTCGCCTGGTAGTACTTTCTCCAATCATGCACGTCCTGGAACCCCAGGACCTCCCTAATCTTTCGATTGCTCAATGGCGCCTCCCACTCTCCCATCTCCCTCGTGAGCTTCGTGTTGGGACAGTTGTCCTTGAGGAACTGTGCGGTGGGAATCTTGGTGGTAATGATCGAGTTTGTCGCATTGAACACCTGAAAGCCCAGTCCACTCTTCTCAATGGCCAAATTGCAGATCTGGCCGAGATCCCTAGCGTCGATGTACGACCAGGCATTCCTCTTCCTGGTCATGGGATTGTTGACATAGGCTTCAAAATCAGTTGCATACTCATGCGGCTCGATGACATTGCCGATTCTGAGAGCATAAATGTCGGTTTTGAAGCGACGTGAGAAGGTCCGAGCAGTCTYCTCGCCGCAGATTTTGGAGAGAGCGTAGGAGTCCATGGGATCTACATCGTAGTCCTCCTCGAGTGGGAAAGAGTGATAATCCGTGTCACCCTCCGAGAAGCATACGCCATATGTAGTCTCGCTGCTTGCAATGATGATCTTCTTGACGCCAAGCTTACAGGCTGCTTCGATGACATTGTATGTTGAGGTCACATTGGCTTGGAAGCACTCGTTGTCTGGGACCAACATATTGCGAGCGTAGGCAGCGAAATGGATGACAACATCCGGTGCAGGCTCTGGATATCCTTGCTCGTATCCATCGGTCATGTCGTAGTGAGTGGTGAGAGCATTGAAGACTTGGCCAGACTGGGTCAGATCTGTCTTCAGAGTGTAGACATTTGCTGCGGGATCCGGGAAGGGAATCAGGTCAAGATTGAGCACCTATCAATGATTAGATTGTGATCTTGACGGTGAGTGTGGTAAATATGAAGGTACCTTGTGGMCTGCTTTCTGGAGAGCAGGGATGACATGTCGACCAGCCTTGCCGCTACCGCCAGTGAAGACGATCCGTTTGCCTGTGGAAGTCATGTTTGATGGTTGAATTCAGTGTTGATGTCGAGGAGGGAAGGAAGGATTCCGACCTTTGAAGGATATTGATCTCAATGTAACTAACTAGTTACCTTACAGCCTGCAATCATTCAGGCTAATGTTTTTCACGCTGGTCAACACGACGTCATGGAGATTTTTCCGTGAGGACGGCGGCGCCTAGCTACTTAGTAAGCTAGACTGCGATGCTCCATTTGTAGGGTGAGGTATTCTAGTCAGCATTGACATGATCCCGCTCTACCCTGCTGTTAGACTTTTCCAGGACGCTGTTGACGAGGCGGACACCCCCACTTGATAGGTTTCCATCGCATCCCAACAACGTAGGAGGGGAGGGTAGGTACATGTAAGGTATGTCCATCGATCGCATCGGATCTCGGCAAGCGGCAGGGAAGTGGACCCCTGCATGCGCGTCGGGTGCCTCACTCCTCAATCCGGCGACTCGACTTCCAGAGGCTCGACTTCACATTGCTGACCCCGCCATCCTTTCATTTGACAACCCATTCTGCTCGGTTCTTGCCTGCTCATTCACTCGCTTTAGCTGCGACGTCTTCAACCACTTCGCCGTACTTCCACAGCCGACTCCTCCTCATCAACGCCATCAACACCAACACCACTAAGAACCTCGCGACATATTCTACAATATCAGCAACAGATCAACTCGACCTCCCTCCTCATCGGAATGGATCGTGATGGTCCCCCTGGCGGACCGACGATATCATATCCTCACCGCGCCGACATCTACACATACCGCGTTCCCACCCCACCGAGAATAGTGGTGCCTCCACCGGCTCTTAACAGCGACGCCATACCGGACATCCACCTTTCAGCACTCCTCCAAACTCATCACTTCCTCTCCGGCGTCAACTACAACAACCTGGTCTCGACCAACGCGCCCCTCGAATGGACATATGAGCGCCGCCGCGAAGCTCAAACAGTCCTGCCATTCCTCTGCCTAGGTCCCATGACGGCCGCCAAAGATGAAGCCTGGCTGAAGAAAGAAGGAATCACCATGCTGTTGGGTGTGCGACAAAAACATCTGACATTCCAGAGCAGATTGATGGATTCAGCCCTGGCACTGGCAGACCGGCTAGGAATTGAACGACACACCATCGAACTCGCCAACAATCAAGATCTCATCCACAGTTTCTCCCACAACAACCAGCTCATCAATCTCCACCTCGCCCGGAACTACGCCGCCACGGGCAACACGAGTCTAGGAAAAGTCCTCGTCTTTTGCGAGTCTGGGAATGAGCGGAGCGCGGGTGTCGTGGCTGCATACCTGATGGAGACACACGCGAATGTGGATCACATCAAAGCCATGCAGTTGGTTCAGGCGCAGCGGTTCTGTGTCAACTTTGATGATAGTATGAAGAGGTTGCTGGAGGGATACTGGGATATTCTCCAGGCGAGACGAAGTGTGGCGGATGAGGCCACGGCAGCTCCTCCCAGGCCAGAGTTCAATCGAGCAAAACGCGGGTTGGAGAGGGATGATGATGGGGACGAGTTGATGGGCGCCGAGGAAATGGATGATGTGGCGAGGTTTGGTGAGAGGAAGGCCTTTGCGCCCTTCAGGGACAATGAGATATGATGGCGTCGGTTGGCTTTTTGACATTGAGCGATGGAGTTTAGGCGTTTACAAAGGGACGGGAGGCATGACTGCAAGGTCCTCGCTTCTTACGCGGAAGCGAGACTTATGATACCCATTTGCTTTGCCTGCTTTGATTGGCACACAGCGATAGCATGGAATGATAGAACATAATCGGAATGATCTCTGCAAAACGAGAAAAAATGCATGTCAAGTAGACTTGGGAACAGCATCATTTAATTGTTCTGTAGAAAGTTCCGTCTTCTCCTCTCCAACTAACCATCTGTACGTCTCCAGGCTGTGGATTTCTCCCTTTTACATCGTACACATGTAATACATAAATACATCCAATCCCCTCCAATCTCAGCTCTACCTTGAGAGAGAAGTACTGTTCAGCTCAAATTCAAGGGGGACTTTTTCCTTTCCCCCATTCTTTTTTCCTTCTCTGCGCGCAGCAGTGGGTATCATTTCGAAACAGAAAAGCAAATCAAAATTGTATAAACTAGACAAAGCAAATGGCAAAAGGTTGCGGCAGCAGTAATAGTAATAGTAATAGTAGCAGTCATCTTCGTCATAAAAGTACCAAGGAGGGAGGGATGGAGATGTTCAGCATTTGCCCGCAGCGATGGCGGCTGCGACGCGGCGCTCTCGAACCGTCATTGGCATGGGACTCTTGCTTCGACTTCTTGCTCCTGGAGGTGGGAGTTCTGGAAGTGGAGCACGAGGAGGTGGAGCTGGAGGACCGAGTGGGACGCTGCCGTATCCCGGGATGATGGAAGAGCGTGTGCGGGCGCCGGAGAAGATGACGGGTAAGGAAGGTCGACGGTSGCTGTATGGTGCACCTTCATTGGTGGACATTAAAGAACTCTGTCGGTAGGGATTGGTCTTCGATGGCGCATCCGATGGGAATGTCTGGAATGATCGACTAGGTTTTAGCCTCTTGATGGGCACGGTCGTGGTGGAGCGCTGCTGTGAATTGGTGCGAGGAGAGGGTGGGTATGTTCTGGATGATGAAAGGAAAGCTGCTTGGTCGCCGGTACGGACCTGTAGGCTAAAGGGTCGACGGAGCGTTGGGCTTGTGATGTCGGGTTGACGACGTTGGTTTGCGACGGCTTCTGTTGTGGGGAACAAAGACAGTCGTCGGGTGTTTTCGAAGCTTGAGCCTCTTGGAGGAATGTGTGTCGCGTCGAGCGAGGTTCGCTCTGCAATGTCGACCTTGGCATTAAGTGTGTGCACTGCCGGGATTGGGGAGAGAACATCTTCATCTTCAGACGTCCGCCGAGGAAGCTCTATGGAGGTGGTGCGCAAAGCGGGCTGACGCAATTGAAGGCCATATGTATGAGACGAACTCCTGCTAATCGGTCTTGCTTGTGTGGCGACGTGCATCTCACGGACAGGTGAGTTTTGTGCAAAGGAAGTCCTGTGGTGGCTCGGCGAAGTCCTGGTCATGTAAGAATTCGCATCCGGGAGAGCACCTAGGAAGGAGTCCGGTCTGTCGCGGGTTGGGGAAACGGGTGATGCAACTTTGGAATCGTGTCTATCCAGCTTGATGCGAAGGTTAGGGACACTGTGCGCCATTGTTAGGCGTTTGAGAGCTGGAGGTGCGAGCTTGGATTTCGGCGACACTCTTGGTGTTTCGGCCGAGTGACTGACCACGCCACTCGAGTGTTGCGGCAGTGGATCTCCGGAGGCGCTGAGAGTTGGGGACTTGAGCGCGATAGGAACCGCCGTACGTCGCTTCGCCAAGGTATAAGAAGATAGACTGCGATACTGAGGTGTCGTGTGGCCTTCGCTAAACTCTCGTGCCTGCTCAGGCGGCGGCGAGGATGTCAAGGAGTTGCTGCGAGATGGAATCGTCGAGACCGTCGCAGCAGTGGATGTGTGAGATATGCGCGTGCTGTCACGAAGCGTCTCCAATTGGTGATGCTCGACCGACTGGCCTGTCGACGAGGCCAGTGACAGCGATTCAGACGGTGCTCGTGACCTTGTCTGCACAGAGTCTGTTTCACTTCTCGATAGCGGTTCTTCAGCAAACGGCGAAAGCTTTCTTGAAGACGCGTCTGCCGGGCTCGCCAGTGGAGTTGGAAACCAAGCAAACGTGTCGCTAAGAGGAGAGATGACGCTGAGCACTTTTGTCGGATCTCTTCTCACTTGATAGCGATGACTTTGGCTTGGAGTCTTCCGTAGATCCAACTTGGGAAGATCGCCGGGAGTCGGGCGCTGTGGAGGAGGGGAATCGGAACGGGCCTCTTTTCCTCCCTGCTTCTGAATCTCCTGTCGGATCGCCGTCAACCATTGGCTCAACTCCTGAGCGCCAGGCATGACAATGAGGAAGTTTGAAACCATTCGTTTTGGAGCGTGACTGCGCAAAGAGAACTTGGAGAAGATAGATTGTCGGTCGTTTATCAACTCTCCCTGGGAATCCACAGCCTGTGACACTTGGAGTACATGATGTCGCCCTGGTATCAGGTCAGAGGCAAAGGCGGCAGAATCTTTGTCAAGTTTGAGGATCCTCTCGGGCAGACGGTCGCTGGCTGCGGTGTCTGCGTATTGTAGCAGATAACCAGATGTGGTGAGGACAAAGACCTGATTGGAGACTTTCGACGAATCCTCACTTTTCATTGCGACGGGGCCCGACTTGAAGGTTGTCCTGGCCGCTGCTTTCGAATCTCCGCTCCTCCGAGGGGTTGGGTCGTTGTCTTGCGCACTACCACGACGACCAGCAGGGTTGAGCATGCTTCCAGTCGTACGCTGGCGGTTCTTCTGCAGCACGACGTCCGGGGCGATCATTGATGCTTCAAAAGTGCCGTATTGGATAGCTTGCGGCAGTACCTGGAACCAGGGGAGTGGTTCAAACGTTCGATCATCGTTGGGTGTTTGTAGAACCGGCGGAGGAACTGGCTTTCTCGTGATCTGTGATGCTGATGTCGCTGGCCTCGTTGGGCCTCGTCCAAACCCTCCATTGCCAATGCTACCTTTCCTAGTCGGCGGTGCCACGCTGTGCGATGATGCACGTGGTGGGGTCTCCAACCCGGCTTCGGCATACCCACGCAACTTCTCGACCTTGGGTTTGCTGAACAGGCTGAAGAGAGACATCTTGGACGAGCGTGGACGCAACTCGGGTTGGCTTGCGTAGGTTCTCAGAGGCAGCGGGGGAACAGCATGTTGCTGTTCTAATAGGTCGGTAGGGCGCGCACGCAGGCTTTTGCGTTTGCTTAAAGTGCGTGACGGAGGCAGAGACGGGCAATCTGAGCCAGATTGGGAGGGCGACAATTCTGGTAATTCGTTTCGTGCATGCCGGGCATCGCTGTCCAAGTCAAGCAGCTGCGTTTCAACAGGCGCATCCATGTAAACGAGAGGATGATGATCCTTGCAGCACGTCTTCCAGATCGTTCGCAGAAGTCGGATACCAGTTATTGGGTTCGTGGCCTTGTTGTGTCACCATCGATTGACACGCAGCGCTGCTTCGGGGGTAAGATGCAATCTCAATCGGATCGGACCTCGCTGCTCCGCGATGGCTTGGTGTTGGCGGACGCAAGCGAACTGCGGCAGCATGAGTATCTGGCACTGGAGTGTATAACGGGATCCCGAGCGGGGCGAAGCAGGAACAGTATCGTGGTCGGGGTGAGTCGCGATGATGCCAGACGCTTTCCAAACCCGTTCGCCCTGCACCATGGGAACGAGGGGATAGAGGTTGGACATTATTGCCTTTTGCTTGGGCCGCGCTTTCGGCAGACCGCACAGAGCAAAGGGGACGGGGCCAATGACTGGCACGCAATGGGAGGGATCGGCATAGTTGGAGCTTGGMTGTGGTAAAGTTGGTGTCGCGGTATCATCCACGCGGGAGTCTTCCGTCTGCCCACACCGGCTAGTCCTCCTCACCAGTGGAAGGGGTTTGGGAATGGTGCCGGTGCCAGAGAGAGGACGTGCACGTGCGTGAATCGCGCCGTCGGTCACAGCTGGCCCGGGTCGGAGGTCCGGGATAGATGGCACGGCAGAGGAGGAGCGTCGAACGGCAGAGCGATGCAGCTAAGTTACGCGAGCGGTGCATCTAAGTTACTCGGGCAGGACATCGCTCGAGCCCAACTGCAAACTTGCACAGCAGCGCGCGATGGACCGCCCTTCCTGGCAACAAAAGGACCCTGGATGGCGAAGATGTGGAAATTCCTGCTCCGCCAATTAAGGCAATCTTCTCACCAGTGCATGACCACGTCGGCTCTTGTGCTTTGCCCTCAATTTGCAACGGCTGTCCGCCCGTTTGACTAATGTACACCAGCACGCGTGTGAATGTGATGAGTGGTGTGGTTCCCCCTGCGGAGAGGGGTGATGGGACTCGAAAATGGACATCGCATTCGTTGCATTGGGACAGGCCGAGGTCGTTCTGACACGGGTCACTCGCGTCGACAGCCGTTGACATCTCAACGGCTTTGCCATGCTGTTGTTCGTCGATGAAGGCGTTGATGAGGATTCCTCTTCCGACCGATGTGGTTGCACAACACAACACAGCCGAGCCGTTATCGATAGCAGGGGTCGTAGCTACTAGGCGGGCATTCTCAGGTAGGCAATTGGAAGCAGGGTGGGTGTCAGCTGTCAGCTGATGACTGGCACAATTGGATGATGTCTCATTCCACCGTCAACATCTTCGTTGCACGCCGTCATCGGTCCTACATGTCCACTTCCCCATAAGAGCGAATGCCACCAAGCCACAGCAGCAGCATGTCGCCCGACCTAAACTCCCTCCCCGCCCGCCGGCCCTCGATGACTTCCTCCTCTCCGCTGGCTGACCGGCCCCGCCGCATATCAATCAGCACGACTGACGCTCGTGCCAGTCCGCCGTCCCCGCGCTCGCCTTCAGTGTCATCCCTCGCTGCCGCTGCTACCATCAATGCGGGTTTGCATCGTTCGCCAAGCCGTGCATCCCCAAGCTCGGAACGGAGACGATCTTCCCTGTTGAACACCATCTCCCTGAACGATCCCAGTATACCTGCCCCGGGAGAAATGCAGCACAGCAATGGCGGCTCTCCGCGTACGAGCCGGAGGTCGTTCAGTTTGAACACTGCCGATCCACACCACGCTCGCACACCCAGCTTGGGAGAGCTGCACCAAACGTTGGAGAATGAGCAAGAGTCACAGGTCAACCGCCTGCTTCATATGGTCAGTCGGCTTGAATGGAATTCGTCGGATATCACTGCTGACTATTCACAGATTCGTACACAGCAACACGAGCTCGCCGCAGTCCGTAGACAACAAAACGATGCCTCCCCAACAACTTCAGACACCAATGGCTTTCCAACTCCCCTCACGCCCGCGAGCACTGCCGAGCCTTTCTCACCTACAACACACCCAACAGCAGGAGGATATCCTGCACACGTTCCCCGCCGGCACTCCATCTCCCGCGATTCATCTGCTCGCATGTCCTTTACTGGCTCATGCAGTAGAGGTGTCTCGCCAGCTCTACGACCTCAATCGGGTGGTTTAGGACCCCTGACGGAGGATTTGTTCCTGGGTGGCACGCGGGATGAGTGTTCCTTCTACCAAGCGGAGACCTCGAATCTCACACKCGAGAATCAAATGCTGAAACACAGAATCGCTGAGCTGGGTATTTTTTCTGTATCTATTGATTCCAACGATACACACTGACCAAGTTGCAGAACGACAGATTTCCGAATTGGGAGGTTCGGGGACGGTGCATTCGCCCTTGGCCGGCCCGCCTACATCTGCGAATGGCGAACCAGCTCTCGTCTCTGGAAAAGGGGATTGATTGCCATGTGCTATTTCTCTCCGTCTTTATTGCGTTTAGCGAGGCGTTAGAACTCACGGGAACGGGAATGAGAATGACATGCTTTGCCTGATGTCCTGGCCTGTACGATAACGATATGACGAGCATAATGAAACTGATCACAGCTATCCTACCTACAGCATTTTACCGCTCGCTAAACCATTTCGCAGCTGTTGTCATCTGCTGTTGATCGCGGCGGTGTCCTTTACATTTCACACAAGTCAAAGCCAAACAGACACCATTCTCCTGTAGCTACCTCGTCATACAATATGGTTCTAGAATACTTCTGCGCCCGATGGGAAGGAAGTATGAACATACCTGCCTGATGTGACATGACCAGAATAGTTTGTTGGTCAGGTGCGATACGGTCCATCGTGAAACTCTTGATGGACGTCGCTAAGTTGTTCATCTGCCGAGAGCAAGGCTCAAGATAGTACAACCTTAAGGTAGGTAGAAGAGATGGAATTCATCTCATTCCCTCGCCAGGAATAGAACCAGAGCCGGGCGTATACAATCCTTTGGGTTGTTCTAGAGATTTAAGCAGGGTGATAAAGTACCTTTGACAGGCGCCAAATATAGCAACACTGCTTGAAAAATGTGGCAGCTAACGGCACATACATACACAAAAAACTCTATCGCTAGAACCCGAGACGAGGGGAGAGGAGGGGAGGGGAAGTACGTCAATCTGCAGCAGCAATGCTCTCTTACCTTAATCATGCAGGAGAGCAGAAGAAATGTCGGTTGAATCTAATGCAGGAGAAAAGGTATTGATCAAGCAGGATGATCCTTGTTGTTTGTTGTTGTTCAATAATGATGAAGTACATCATATTACAGGGATAATTGTGAAAAGTAAGATATAAAGTAAGGTACTGCATGCGCTAATAAAACACATCATTGCCATCATCAGAAACAACCACATCAGCCCAATAATGACTTGACACGTTTGTAAGGTAGAATCCCCTTTTCTTTCCCCCCGGGCGCCTGGTTTGAATCGCAAAAATCTATATCGCGGTCCCGTCCGAAAACCGTGGTAGAGCTCACGCGTTTGTTGATGTATATATACACTCAATACCTCAGTTTGCCGACCAAACCGAAAGTATATGCCGCTTCACGTTCCTGTTCAAACAGTCAGTAATACTCYCTCAAAAACGACGAAGCGATACGATCAAAACTCACCGACTTCATCTGCACCATATAAACAGTCGTCCTCGCACTCAACACGCCTCCCACAGCACCAACTCTCCCCATCTCTCCATTGGGTCCCATATTCTCCTCATAAACACTAACCGCGATTCCTGTTCTCGCGACACGTTCAAAAGCCGTCTCTCCAAGCGTGACATCAAGCAAAAGCTCTCCTTTACTCTTGCCATACACCAGTACTCTCTTCTCAAGACCGGTGAGTTTGGGGTTTGTGGTGGGAGATTCTTGTCGGGGAGGAAGCATGACTGTCAATCTCGCGGAACCTAGATCCTTCCATTTGCTGGCGTTCTCGCGGATGTACAGGCGGATCTTGGAGTTTGTGACGCCCAGTGGAGTTCCCAGGCGTGGATCCAGTGGGTTCGGGGTTGCGACACCAGAAGAAAGGGACTCGCTGTTGGTGCTTTGAGTGCCGTATCGTGACGTGATTGTGCTCTTGGCAATGTCGAAGAATCTGTTTCCACCACTCAGACGGCGGAGTGCAGAAAATGCAGAGTTCATGGTGCCAACTGAAGACTCTGTCACAGCCACTGATGCGGGCCGGCTTCCATTGGAACGGTAAGAGACACTCTTTCTCGACCCAAGATTCCACCAAGATCCGCTCGTCTGACGGGTGCTGTTGCGGCGGTCCATAGCTTCGCCCCAGTTGCTTTGCTGGACGGGTCCTCTGGCATTCTGCAGAGCCACGTAGGTAGGATTCTCAATCCGAGCACGGTTGATCAGCGCGTAGAGCCTCTCGCAGTCTTCAGGGCTCCGAGAGCGGAACATGACATTGTTGCTTGTTCGGATGAGCGAGTTATCGGATGGTGGCGATCGTACGGAGATGTCGACCGCAGTGCCGCGACGTAAAGGCACCAACGGGGTGAGTTCTAGTGCTACCAGCGGCCTGATGCCCTTTGAAGAGGGGGTTGACCCCTCACCCTCTGCACTCAACTCGACAGAGTTGGCTTGGGTGATGTCGAATGCCTCGATCAAACCAGGCGTGACGAAGATTTGGCACTCCTCTGGATGGAGGCTGTCCCACTGGCCGCGATCAGACCAGCAGAAGATACCAGCAATGCTCTGTGCTGGGGCAACGTTAGTCTGCGGTACACTACGGTACGGTCCTTGCGAGGCCGATTCTGAAGGTCCCAAGCTGGCGTCACCCATGGTGAACTGGGTTTCTGGTGGAGAGGACATTCTCAGTGGCCTCATGGTATAGTCCTGAAATGCTTTTAGGTCTCCCACTGTGGAGACTTCCTCCTGAAGCGTCATACCCTCTTCCTCGTCTTCCATTGTCGATTCGGAGGTGATGGACTCTCCATCAGTAAGATCCTCCGAGTACTCGCTCTCTGACAAGGAGTAGGATGCTGTGGACGGTGCATATTCATGCTTGAGCGGAGAAGATGGACGTCGATCCTTCTTCATGAAAGCAGGGGTGAAGGATGGCAGAATGTTGATTCTCGAAGCGAGAGACGCACGCTGTGAAGGCCGTGGTGCAGGGATTTCCTTGTCACCGCCTGGCTCTCTCGCGTTGGAATCGGGCCGCTTCTGCAACTTCGCTGGCGCCGACGATGGTTCATGTTGATTTTGGGACGGCAATGCATCTCTATCGGATGAAGCACTGTCCGGCCGACTCGACTTGCGTATCTTCGGAATGGTTGGCATATCAGATGATGGCACTGAGGATGTTCGCCGCTCCATTCCAGGTCTTTTCTGATGGTACTCCTCGGGTTGGTCGTCTGCCTCAGTATACGCTTCTGAATATTGATCATCAGACGGAAGCCAAACGCTATAGTCGGTTCTACTGTCTGTTGTCATTGATGAGGTTGTCCAGTCAGATTGCGACCTCCCGTGGCTAGTATTCGGGCGTTTCGTCGCTGGTTCGCCACGAGGCCTGTCGTAGTAATACTCAGGTTGGACTGAGTGTCCCTGACGCTCGCGTTGTATGCCTTCAGTATACGTGGGCGCGGATGAGGTTGATGCAGTGCTGCTACGGTACCGACTTGCCTTGATCCTCTGGGTGTCGGTATGTACGCTCTCACTGTAAACGCTGTTGACCTCGCTAGCATCCCAAGTCTGGGTCGCTTGCTTCGCGGGTTCGCCAATAGGAATCTCAATCTCTCTAGGAGAGGGTTCCTGGCATTTGAAACGTTCGGTAGTGTCAAGTTTTGGCTTTGCGACACCTGGTGAACGTGCTCCAACATCGTTGAGCATGTTGAAACTCGACTTCCGTGATAATCTTGGCGGCATGGGCGAACTTCCAAGCATGTCAATCCAGTCCGCGCATGTCTGTTCATCCTCTGCTTGCAACGACATGACTTCGCGCCATTGTCGCGCATTGGCCAAGAAGCCCCTGACCATGACAACAAGCTCGCCTGGCCGGTCACCACTTCGTGCGGTAACAAGGCTGTGAGGCAAGGGCGGAAACAGAAGCCATCGCCCAGTGGTGGAAACCTCGCAGAACAGCACATCCCCGGCCTTGCCCCGATTGGGCGCATCATCTCTGTATACAATCTCAATCTTGCATCCCAGCTGCTGCCCACTCGAGTGGAGAAGCTCCATGTCGAAATAGTCTCTTGCGCCGACAGATCTTGTGGGATCGATGGTCACGCCGGTAATGGGTGCCAGGCTTCGGGGGTCCCGCGCTCTTGTGGCATCGATGCTTGAAGCAGCTTCGTCTTCGAGGCGTGCTTGTTCGTTATTGACACGGGTTTTCGCGGCTGCTATGAGATCCTGGTATCTCGCTGTCATATCCTCTGCATTTGCGGATGGTTGGAGCTGATTGATCGCCTTGAAAGTCTTGGCCAGATACTTGAGTCTCACAAGTGGACGTTTCAATAGATAGGCCACGTCCACTCGCTCGCCAGTTCCGTCCAAGAGGTCGCCTTCCTTGTTGCGTGGCAACCCATCGTCGGCTGGTGCGAGATTGACGACAATTCCAGTGAACCCAAGACGCCAGCATMTCAAGTACTCGGAATAGAGCTTAGAGGCTCCTTCAGCCCAGGTCAAGAGCTCGCTCGATTCATGCAGCGGCGCTCGTTTGTGGCAAGTTTTCAGTCGCTCGAGCGCGATACCCATGTCGATTACAGGCTGCGTCACCGAGGGATCAGTCAAAGGCCGGGGACCTGGCGCTGTGGGCGTCGAGGCCWTGGACGAAAGTGCATGCTGCAGCAGCACCGGCACCACACCGTCAACCAAGGTGCGCAATTCACGCTGATATTTGAGCTCTTCTGCTGAGAGATCGTTCATGACTTCTCCTAACGTGGTAGCTTCTGGCTTGGCCCGACGGGTCCGGGTGCTTCTTCGCGCTGCCGGCTTCACATCGACATCATCTCTTGAAACAGACAGAACAGACATCAGATCCGAATGATCTTTCACTCGGTGGCCGCGCTTAGTTCCCGTCCTTCTGGGCGCGTCGCCGTCACTCACACGCGACAGCACACTGCCATCCACAGAGGTAGCTTGGTCCTCAGAAAAGTGCAGCGGTGCCGGCTTACTTCTCTGTGACTTCACTCGCTGCTGCGGTGGATCGGCGGGTAGTGCTGTGGATACTCGCTTGCCGCCGCTTGGAATACGTGCTCTTTCTGCAGACCTCACAGGGGTGGGGCGAAGAGGCTCTGGGGGTGATCCAAGAAGCGCACCACTCATCATCGCTTCGCCAGCGGCTGGTGAGGTGCCACGAACAAATCGGTCCTTCACTGGAGACTTACGACTTGCACCACGCCGCTTCAAGGTACTTGAGGGTGAAGTGGATACTTCTGACACGTCGTCTGTAACGCTCCGCGACGCAAAATCTCGGGTCTCAATGCCCTTGAGATCCTGTCGAAGGCTTCGCGTTCTGTCGCCGCTCTTACGTGTCTCTTGGTTGTCCGTTTCATCAGATTTCGCTTCCAGCCGAGTTCGCGGTGCTTTTTTGGTGATTTCCAATGGTTCTGGAAGGAGCGATGACGCCTGTAGTTCCGTGAAAGGGTCCGGCATGTTTGCAAGCCATCCATCGATTCGCGTTGCATGCACTTGCGGCTGTATTTGCACAGGCGCTGGATTGTGTGATTTCTTGATGCGTTCTGTGATCTTTCGAGCATAGCCTTGTGCGGTAGAGGGTTGCCGTTGCAGATCTTCATCGAGCACGTGTGACTCTGTCCGCCTACGATCCGAGCTCGGTCGACGGAGTGCATCGTCATAGTCATCGGCATTTCTTGCCGTCCTTGGGCGCTCATGCTCTCTGCTGGGAGGCTTCTTCTGAGTCTGACGAGGTTCCGAGTGAGGTCTCGGCGGAGATAGGCTGGGAACTGTAATGTCTGTCGTTGCGCTGCGTTTGTCGGTAGAAGAGGTTGCATTGTAGCTGCTGTCGGACCTCCTGTAGTCATCTTCCTGGCGTGAGCGCCTCCGCCGCTTGATGTACACTCTCGTTCCGCTGCTCTCATAGTCGGGCTCAAGCGGCGGTTCTGCAGACTTGGAATGCGAGACCTTGCGGGCATGTCTCATAGGACGCGCTCGGCGCGACTCGGGCTCTGGGTCCGATTCGATAAACTCCTGCATTGAAGGCGGCACCTTTAATCCAACGCTGGCTACGCTCCGCCGAACGGTAACCGGTTTTGGAGTTATGTCCTTCTCCGGCGTAGGAACTTCCTCCTTCGCAGTGCGATCGCGACGCCAGTGTCCATCGCTGATGACGCGCTTCTTAGGCGCACCAACCTGTTTCAACTCGGCCACGGGAGGAGGTGGTGGAACCGGCTCCACCTGTGGTTTGCTCTTCCGCCGTACCCATGCCTTGCGGTCGAGATCCACCTCTCGCCCAGTCTTCTTCGCGCCGGACATCTTGGAAGGTGGTGTTTCCTTTGGTTGTGATGCGGGTGTTTGGGGCGTTGCCGGCGAAGGGTCATTGTCCTTGTCCGCCAGGTCGCTGTCCAGAACCGAGGCCTCCGTCTCGACCACAATCTGCACAATGCCTTCGCTCGCGCCTGCCGCTGTGTCCGTCTTGCCGTCTTCCTCCAACACCACCACCACTTCGTCCTCCTTCTGCACCACACCACCTCCTGCAAGATTCCATCCTGATATCTTCGTGGCAAAGTCCTGCGACCTGCGCCGTGCGAGTCCTGCACCCAGATCGACCTTTTTCTCTGCTGCCTTGCCGGTCACCGGCATCTGGACAGGCCTGGGGCTGTTTGCCCTCGAATCCCAGCTATAATGCTACCACAGGTCGTCCCGTTTTCCACTGAGTCGCTACAGTCGTTTCCACAAGCTTCATTGCAGGCGGTCGTCTCGCTGTTGCATTGAGATAGTCGCGAACGCAGTGGAAGATGTCGGTTGCTATGCAGTGCGGCTGGCGTAAGGTCTCCCCAGTGCAACGATTGTCAAACGCTCGATGTTCTGTCTCGCCAGAGTGGAAAAGAAGTTGAAGCTCTATGATGCTATATTCGAGTTGTACAACCAGAGCCGAGTTGCGGGAGTGACTGTGTGGGAAAAATGCAATGTGTCTTGGTGAACCTTTGCCGGTCTGTGTTTGTTTTGGTTTGGGCGTCGAGCGTTGCGCCGATCGGCTTGACTAGTTGGATCTTGATTGGAATCCTTGCTGCCTCCTTTTTGCATACAACACGCATCCTACGCTGCACTGTTCGCAATCGAGTGTCGTTTCGTCGTCTCTTCGGCTCTTGGGCAGCGGTGGACGTCGAGATGAGGTAGGTCAGCACGAGTACTCGACTGCACCCGTTATCTCATCGGGTGTCTCGGGAGCTTTGGACGCCGACCCCGGGCAGTCTCCAGCTCGACCGTCCTTACACTTCCACCCAACAGCCAGCGATCGTGTCCAGCAGAAAGGCCAACCTGGATCGTGGCTAACTTACGGATTCATGTTGGATCTCCGCCGCACTGGCAAGTCCCGAGGTCCTGCTCCCCATAGTACCGTCTTTGCGCCACATGGCTGGGATGCGTCCCGGCGCTGAAGACTGAAGATCCGATCTGGGGCTCCAATGTCTTGAACGGCCCGATTTTGGGAAGACTGGGCATTGTTCCTCCAAAAGAGCCTCATATGGCACAATACTTCTCTGCTCCAGCAGCGTTGGACCCAAACGAGTTGACTGGGACGTTGCATCGTTTCGCCTTGGCCCTGCCTCCCCAGAATATCCTTAACACTGCGTATAAGCTTTTGTTTCAATGCAGCTTTGATGTGCTCCAACGCTTCTCGTTGCTCGCTGCGGACGGCTAGCAGTTTTCACTGTCCCGTTAGCAGTGACTCGCTACATACTTGATTGTGGAAGAAGCATACAAAGCGATCTCAGACGGAGCATCATACGGCTACTTCTCTGKCATGCAAGGACTCTTCGTATATCCCAAATCAACCATTGTCGCAGCATTCACTGCGCGATATATTCTGCTATTCCGGAGGCTTGCAATCCAAGTGAAGCACGCTCGTTTTTCTTGAGGGCAATCCCGTCACACTCTCAAGATCGGCGGAAGTAGATTRTCCAATGCTCGAGCACAGAGCTGCAAAACTGCATCCTGCTCGTGTAAACTCCGACAGAATAACGCTTAGGGTTAGGGTTTGGGTAGTGCGACCGGCTGCCACGCTCATCGTATGGCTTTTCTACTTCATATAACGTACAATGTATGTATGGAGAGCAATCTGTGTCGTGCAAAGGGTTAGAGATGGAGTCTTGTGTAAGTTGCGGCACTTCAGCACTTTTTCAACATCCGGCTAATGTTTCAACGGTGAGGCTTCATCGCTCCGCAATGGCGGAGGTCGTTCCTCCCTCAAATCCCATCCATACCTAACATTCAGACGAGGCGATCTCCTACTCACACCAAAGCATTTCTTTCCTCGTGGCCTATTCCGCCCGTCGATCCGGTAGAGACGACAAGCACGAAGTGCCGAACCCGTGACTCTCACTATGCGGGTCGTCATAGTCGCCAAAAAATTCATACAAGCACGCGAAAGTGTTCCGATGCATTGCCTACTGCTTATCCGGCTCTGTCAACATCTGCAGACGTCACCAGACGTTCGATGCCGGCGTATGTACGAATTCACAGCCGCGGGGTGACTGCCCCACCTACATTAGGAGGTAAATGGAATACAGTTCCCATGTAACGTTTTGCACCTCTCATCGAACATCGATTCTTACGTCTTGGGCACCGTGGTCTCCTTCTACAATGACAGAACTACCAAAGTCGATCGGATGGGTTGGGCTTGGGCTCATGGTATGCTTGACCATGTTCATTAATGCTATACGCACTCACTAATGCATCCGTAGGGACTTCCCATGGTAACAAATCTTCTGCAGAAGATGCATACCGACACGCAGTTTCATGTGTACGATGTCTCACAAAAGCTGGTAGAGAAGTTTGTCCAAGATGGCAAAGGGCGAGTACATGCTTGCGGGAGTAGTAAGGAAGTTGCAGACAAGTGTGTATGCCATCGTCCATAACCAGACCCATCCAACATACCAAGGTTGGCTGACATCAATCGCAATGTAGGACGTGATCCTCTCCATGGTACCGGAAGGATCTCATGTTCGATCCGTCTATCTCGATGCAGCAAACGGTGTCCTGGCCAGCTCATCCCTGGACAACAAAATCCTGATCGACTGTTCCACCATCGATACCGCTTCCTCTCTAGCCGTTCGCGATGCATGTGCAGAAAAGCACCCGAGTACCCGCTTCTACGACTCACCAGTCTCAGGGGGCGTCATGGGTGCAGAAAAGGGCACTCTAACATTCATGCTCGGTTGCTCAACCACAAACTCTGATCTCCCACTCCTCATGGAACTTCTCAGCTTAATGGCAGGCAACATCTTCCCCTGCGGCGGTCCTTCGCTCGGACTAGTGAGCAAGCTGTGCAACAATTACTGCTCAGGCCTCATCGCAATCGCCGTAAGCGAAGCCATGAACATCGGGATTAAATCAGGCATGGATCCGAGGGTTCTGGCGAATGTCTTCCATACCAGTACGGCGCAGAGTGCGATTTGTGACGATTGGTGTCCTGTACCGGGGATCTGTCCGGAGGCTCCAGCGAGTAAAGGATACCAAGGAGGATTTYGTGTGGAGCTTATGAAGAAGGACTTTGGACTTGCGGTCGATGCTGCTGAAAGAGTCGGGGCGAAGTTGGCGTTGGGGAAAGAGGGTCTTGGGGTCTATGAGGGAGCAAGCAAGGACGACGGGTGTAGAGGATTGGACAGTAGGGTTGTGTATAGGTATCTCGGGGGAGCTGAAGATTGGAAGGAGAAAGGTGAGTTTGATGAGGATGTTGAGATGAAGAGAAATGAGACTAGAAGGCTTTTGAAGGCTGGTAGGGAGGCTGATGAGAGGAAGAGGAAGAGCGATTAGTGGTACGGGTAGCTTGACAAAGGAACGCAGGTACGTGAACCATACGTCCCAATGCGGCTCCAATTCGACCACACTTCCTCCATGAGTCAGAAACTGCTGGTCTTACCACAAGCGAAAGCGGCGCGCGTCTCGGCAGGGCCCGGTGAGCATGGATTCTTCAAGATGGATTCTTCAAGGTGAAATGCCCTTTCGTGCACGACTGAACTCAACTTTGAAGCGCTTGTCCAGCACTTGTGCGAGGCCTTCGAGCCGCTGTCATGGCATCAGCTCTACGAATAGGCCAGGCGGTCAAGGGTGTAAGAGACGTATATGTCGTCGCGCAGAAGCTTCACGACCAAGTCTGGAGCGCAAGGTCGGTCACTCTCCTTACTCCAACTTCAGTACTCTGTGCCCGCTAAACATACATCCAGCACTACGGCGCATAAACAAGTCGTGCTCAAATGWGCGCCTGAGATTCGTCTTCAACGCGAAAAGCAAATTTTGCAACAGTTTGAGGGCGATTCGTGCATCAGAAACTTCATCGACTATGRCAAAGAACCTCCTTTTCTAGTATTGGAGCACCTCGAGCTTGATGCACTGAAGTGGTCAAGCGAAGCAAGAGTTTCGAGGCAAGACATCAAACTCATCGCTCACAGCATTCTTTCCGCATTAGGATCCCTACATGCAAAAGGAATAGTCCATACAGGTATTATGATCCGTCTTTGTCCTGCAAGATAAGACTTGGCTGAACCCTAATGTTGCAAGACATCAAACCAGACAACATACTCCTCAATTTCGACGCAAACGGCACGAGAGTTGTGGAGGCTAAATTAGCCGACTGCGGTAAGCTCGAGCAACTCATAGCTCCGATTACATCGACTCGACGCTTACACCACATCTCACAGGCGACGCTTGCAACGTCGATCTAGAGACTGGTCCTCGCGGTACAGCCCATGCAATCGGAGCTGCTATTTTTCGAAGCCCAGAAGCCTTATTGGGGCTGAAATGGTCGACTCCAACAGATATATGGTCTTTCGGCGCCACGGCAAGTCTTTTATGGATTCACCATTACTCTATGGATCTGGCTAATCGTTTGGTAGCTTATCAGCCTTATTTTTGGGCGAGGTTTTCACATTTTCAAGCCTCTGAAGGTATCGGCCGATGACGCCGAATTTCCTGCGCATGTCCTGATACAACAAGCGAGATACTTTGGACCCTTTCCATTGAGCTACAAGACGCTTTTAGACGAAGAACAGGAACAGATCCTGGCTGCGATTCACATCTACATAGAGGAGCAGGGTATTCGGAAGCCGTTCTCCCAGGTGGAAGACAACGAGATGACCTCGGAAGACAAGGCATTTCTCTGTGGAATCATGAAATTAGACCCGAGGGATAGGCTAACGGCAAAGGAGTTGCTTAAACACGATTGGTTTGATATGCCGTAATGTACGAAGCGATTAAAGAAGTACTTAGTTATTAATCTTGTCTTTATTAGTAACTATGTTGTAATTGTAAAAATCGCTGTCCGCTTCTAGCCGTACATTACTAAATATAATATTATGCAGGGTATAGGTGCGCTGMCGTTTGTAAACAGAAGCTCGACTAAACGAAGTACTATTGCATCTCGTCCTATTGCTTACGCTCCTTACAATCAACAAATTTACTTAGTTACCTCCTGTGCTCGAGGAGTCGTAATAGCGTTAGTAGACTACACGCGACGGGGAGGTAGTAATGTGTTGATCAAGTGTTTCGGCGGAGTCTCGGCAGTTGCAAGACAGTACATATCTGAGTCAAAATTTGCAGCACCATCAACCGCAATGGGTTACACCCACGCAAGTCRGGGTAAGAAATCTTTCCAAAAGCGGTTCCAACCTATTCTGACAGTACATAGTGGTTGGCGCAATGGTAGCGCGTTGGTTTTCGGAATGAATACACCAAAGGTTGAGGGTTCGAGCCCCTTGCTGGTAAGTCAAATTGGACTCATAACTTGAACATCTCAATACTCATCTTCACCAGCTCGTCACATTCAAATGACTATGACCTTTKGCCTGTCTCAGACAGGCAAATATCTTTTTTTGCCCTTTTCTTCACATATTTAGACCGTCCCAGACCAGCTCAGCTCAGCTCTTGTCGTGATCATTTTGGACCGATATAGCTCATATGAGCATTTTCACCTTTTGGCCTAGTTGCAACTTTCACAGCTGCACGCCGACGTTGGGTATGGCCGACAATACATTGGAAAAGTGAACACATACCTGTCATACCGAATATCCCTATGTACTGTCGACCACTAGGCGTATTCTCGCTCATTGGCATATATGGACCCAATAGTGCATATATACGATCAAAGCTCCATGGTCATTTTGGACTAGAACACCCAAAGGCCTATCTTTGGGTACTCTGCTACTATTGTACTGCACATGCTTTCTTTGGGCTATCGCATGTATCTCCCAGCCGCAGGTAGACTACTTACAATGACCCAAGACAGGCCAGTGCAAACTCTGGGTTGAACGAATGGATCTTGATGACGGGCCATGTAAGCGGCAGCCGTTATAGACGTCACAAGACGAAGAAGATGATTAGATGCCTTGCTTGTTGGACCGCAGCCATCGTGGAACACTTATCGTGAACCGGAGCTGAGAGGCTTGTCGCTCTCCCCTATCCAGCTCGAGTAACTTACTTGGATTGAGCCTTGAGCCGCCGTAAATCAGCTCACCAGACTCTCTAAGATCTTCATAAGACCGCTGGTTTTCTTCAAATGCTCTTACCCGCGAGCCTGATTGCAATAGCCACGGATGCATCGGCATAATCAAAGTACATGTATCCTCGGAGACGCTTGCAGCATACTTATCGTGTTTTTTCGAAAGCGGTATGGGAAAGCTACGCCGAAGAATTGGCCACCTTCGCTTGTCTTTGAAAAGGAATCTCACCTCTTGAGAGTGTATGTCAGCTGGAACGGGGCGACTGAAGTGGTCGTTGAGATTCCGGACGGGTTCATGAATTTTGCATGCGTGATAGCTGGGGCTGTCCAGGGTGGTCAAGAAGTGCGAAGGTCTGGATAAAGCGTGTTGGAGCGACTACATGTAAGTCGTATTCAGGGAACTATCCAAGATATTGCTAAGCCCACCAATTTGTGCCTTTTTCTTCCGGGTCAAGTTGGCGTGAGCTTCAAGTCATAGGATTGAGTAGCTGAGTCTGCCCTTGATACCATCAGCCTTCGCAAACCACTTGCAAGCTGACCTCGCCACTTCATAACCGGCACATCCGAGGGCATGACAGCTAGKATCTTCAGAGTTGTCTCCCCTTGATCGATCCTATGCCTCCTCTCTGCAAGCCCATCGTGGCCCTTCAGCATTCCATTCAAACGCTGAAATGTCTCTCAGTCATTATATTCTGATTCCGACCAACGTCGCTCGTATCTCGGCGATTCTCACCACACTTCGTCCACTCATGGCTGACTGCAAATAGCTGGATCTCTCGGGTCATGCTCCATAAGACAAGCATATGGTACCGACGTCTCGACGGACATGGATGACAATATCTTAACACACGCAACTCCAGCCAAAGCTACCGTCAAACTCCCAAGGCCCACGGACTTCATTCAGGCTAGGAACCTTGTCGGGCGCATAGCTCCGTAGAAGTCCCTCCATGTCCTCTTCCGACATATCACAGAAATCCTCCAAGCTCCAAGCCAAACACACCTTACTCATCCACATCATCCTCTTCGGCCCCTCCTCAATATTCGGCGCCACCTTCCGCAGCTTTTTCCGCAACTCGCCGACCTTAACAATCGCCTGTCCAATATTCTCCGGCAAAGTCGCAGCGATTCTCCTCCTCACAATATTCGCCATCTTCGGCCCGTTCCCATTGGTCGACACCATGATCTGCAGCGGTCCATCTCGGTGCTCACTTCCAAAGTAAAAGTCACATTCGGGGGGCACATCGGCAATATTGGCATTGATGCGCTTCTGTTTGCACAGCTTCCAGATCTGGGAAGATGCGACCGGGTCATCGATGGCCGTCATGACCAGAGCGATCTCCGGGTCATCCAGATCCGTCGTCTCGAAGTTGCGGTCAATGTGCGTGATTTGCTGCTCCGCGACGCGATGGGCGACTTCGGGATTCATACCCGAGGCGGGACAGATGACGGTCACGGCGGCATCGGCGTTGAGGCCTTTTAAGATCCGCCCGGCGGCTACCTGTGGGGGAAAATGGACTGGGTCAGGTCAATGTCAATGGATTGTGGGAGTTGATGCTGGAAGGTAGACTGACCTCGCCGCCGCCAATGATGAGTACTTTCTTATTGCGGATCTGCCACGCGAGAATAAGGGAGCCACCGCCCTCCACTGGCGGGAATTCTTCAGTCGTACCTGCCATATTGTCGGTAGTTCAAAAGGCAAGTGAATGTCTTGGATGTCAAGTGGGAACAAGTCCGTGTGATAAGTCCGGAGCTGCATGTGAAAGAACAGCGTGATGTCAGCAACGGCTGCCGGCTAAACCTGCCCTTGTGATGATAGTAAGTACCAGGGTTAGGGTTGGGGTAGTGAGCAACGACCTGGTGTCGTTGAGGGCGATGCCCTACACCATTGAGAAGGCAACGAGGCCCGAATCTGCTGTGTATGTTGTTTCATCAAGTGTAGCGGAGCGCTTGATGCGCAATCAGTATGTAAGTAGTAGCTAAATTCACATTGCCAGTGTCTCCTCAGCGATAGCCTCTGGACAGTATGTTGTGCAAACAGTGCCCCATCATTTCCCGGACACCGATCCACGTCGAGGATATAGCTTACATCGTTGAAGTATTTACAGTGCTGACCATGAGCAGGCATCAGGTATATGGAAAGGAGACGAGGCACAAAAATGGCAGAACTTGGCAGAAAAGGGGGCCGTTAAAAAACCACACGGCCGGTTTGTCAATTGACGAATCACAATCCGAGTACTTCGAGCCCGGACGGTCTACTAAGTGACGTCTTCCATCATCAGTCATTAGCCTTCGCAACTCCAAATTTCCTAAAAGGGAAAGATGAGTGATCAAGCCAGCCACTAGTGATCAGTAAACAGTGAGTATAAGGTACCCACATAGGCATTGAAATCATAGAAAGCAAACACAAAAGCATCCCCATCGCAGCGAAAAGATGTTCCTACCAAACCTCCTCATCACTCTGCTGATAAGCATGACATCCGTGCAAGCCCAAGAGACCCAGCAATCCTGGGAAGGATTCGTAGAAAACGAAGGAGTCCATACCCACTACCGCGCAACAGGTTCCGGCCCTCTCCTCCTCCTCGCCCACGGCTTTCCCGACAATGCAGACACATTCTACAACCAGATCCCCGAACTGGCGAAACAATACACCGTCGTAACCACTACTCTCCGAGGTTTCCCTCCCAGCGACGTTCCCAAAGACGACGATGCATATCTCCTTCAAAACGTCGTGGGGGATTTCATGGCTCTCATCACGCATTTCAAAGCCCGGAAAGTCTTGATTGGAGGACATGATTTCGGCGGAGCAGCGATTCAATTACTTGCATTTTCGCACCCGGAATTGGTCTCTGGGATGATTCTTATGAATGCCCCTATCATTCCCCGACTCTCATATCTAGTCAATTTCGACCCGGAACAGCAGAAGGCTTCCGAATATACTTTACATTTCATGAAGCATCAAATTGGCGATGACAAGGATGTAGAAGAGAAGACCAAGTTCATTCGAGACCCCAGACGCCGCAAGGAGATTGAAGAGTATTTGACCGCTTCTCCCATGAATGGTATGATGGCGTACTATAAGAAGAACTACCCTGCTCCTCCTTATGGGCAGACTTCCCCGTTGCAGAACATCACCCTTCCAGTCCCTACTCTGATTATTTGGGGAGTGGAGGATGAGTATTTCATTCCGAAATTCGTGGATGGGATTGCTGGCATCTTCCCCAACTCCACCCGACTGGTGACAATTCCTCATGCGGGACATTGGGCTTTTCAGGATGAGCCGAAGAAGGTTAATAGGGAGATTTTGTCTTGGCTTGGGGAGCTGGATTATGTGGGTAAATAGGGGCGGCAGGGGGCTGGCTTTGAGTGGAGTACTTTTTCGAGAAATTTCTCTCGTTGTACATGCCAGAGTATGGAGACTCGATAGATTCAAAGATATCGTGATGAAGCAGAAATGTCTTTATAGTAATACTTGGAGCGGGAGAGACTTTATGCCTCCCAGAGAGAGATAGAATTAGGAATTCATTCTTCTAACAAAGCACTTCGATCTCCATGGTACTATAGTTCCATCTCGCTACCTGCTCTAACAAATTACTCTCAAGCGAGATCTGTTGCCAGCTTTACTTAAGACTGACCTCTTGACGCAATGAGATAGCTTCCAACATACACGCAACTCCGCCTGATTGTTTTACCAGTTGATTGCCGTCGCCAAGTTTCCTTACAAATTGTTGTCAGTCTGATCCCGAACGCTATACCCTGCATCGCGTGGCGAAACCATACAGTATTTTGTCTCACATTCTTTGCAATCTATGACGCCAATCACACGTTACTTCGAGGCTACCGTTCATTCTGCCCTTCTCTTCATAATCGACATGTCGTGTGAAGTTCGTGATTAGTGATCAGTGATCACTCCATACACCTAGTGCCGGTATGTCATATTGGATCTGATCGCACCAACCCCTAACAGATCTGCCAAGCCTCCTACACGGGCAAAGATGCTACACAAACCTCAGCAGTACCGCGTTGGGGAATGTGACTTCGCGAGGATCACACACGGGAGCTAGTAAAGGACAAAGGTGATTAGTATTCAATATATCCCAAACGACATGTTGACTGAACGATTCGAAAATGGTCCACATTGCATAAAAGAATACGATTCCCTCATCATGATTCCATCATCGCAAGATAGAGAAACCATACCCCAACAGCCAGAATCCAATCCCCAGAAGAACCATGAAATTGATCCTCGTCATCGGAGGCACAGGAGCCCAAGGCTCTCCCGTTGTCCACGGTACGCAACAAAAACCACATAACCCCATCACAACACATCCCCAAACTAACAAACCCTACAGCCCTCTCCCAAAGCTCCCGCTACACAGTCCGAGTTCTAACCCGTAAYACAAACTCCGCCCGCGCCCAAGAACTCGCCAAACTCCCCAATGTAGAACTCCTCCAAGGCAGCCAAGACAACCAAAAAGACCTCCACCGCGCCTTCAAAGGTGTCTACGGCGCCTGGGTAAACACAGACGGCTTCACAATCGGCGAGAAGAATGAACTCTTCTACGGCATTCGAGCGTATGAAATTGCACGACACGAAGGCGTACAGCATTACCTCTACGCTTCCACGGATTACGCGCTGCAAGATGCGAATTGGAATGAAAAGTATCATTGGGGACATAATGATGCCAAAGGTCGAGTTGGGGATTTCATCATGGCGCAGGGACAGAAGGGGATTACGAGCTCTTTGCTTATTACGGGGCCTTATATGAATATGTTATGGGATGGGATGTTTGTACCCAAACAGCTGGATGATGGTTCTTTTCTCTGGGCTAATCCTGCAAGTAAGTCCTACATATCTCACGAAACCCGAGTGAATCGATCTCCTACCCTTACTGACACAAATTTGCTTGTACCAGAGGACGGCAAAATCCCCCTAATAGCCCTCGAAGACATCGGCCTCTACTCCCTCTGGATCTTCGACAACCCCACGGAATCCTCAGGTCTATCCCTAAAAGTCGCAACCGACGAAGTAACTTTTACAGAAATCACCCAAACTTTCACCAAAGTCACCGGGAAACCCTCAAAACATCAATTCCTAGACTTGGAAACATTCTTACCAATGGCGGAACCTTTTCCCAATGCCCCGTCGAATTGGGCCGCGGGCCCGAATGCTCATACGGATGAATCGACTATGACGTGGAGGGAGAATTTCGGGGCGTGGTGGTTGTATTGGGGGGAAGGGCTTTGTGAGAAGAGAGATTTTGCTTTGTTGGATAGGATTCATCCCGGGAGGATCAAGTCGTTGGAGGATTGGATGCGTAAGGTGAATTATGATGGGAAACCGAAGAGTGTTTTGAAGGGGGCGGAGGATTTGAAGAGAGCTGCTGCTGAGATGGCCAAGGGGTCGACGCCTTCAACGGCATAGGCGGCCGAGGGGATGGTTCCATAGCGTGGAGCGAAAGAGAGGGGATGGTATCAGAGGCCGGTTGGTAATGGAGAACGATCTGGTCGCCTGCGGGTATGAATGCGATGATTTGGATATAGTAAGGAGACGAACAGATAATCGAAAATAAACAGAGTATGTCTTGAGAACGTATCGAATCAGCCAGTGTTTATACAGCCTTGAAGTTATATGCACATGCGAGCAATGTTGCTCCCCAATCCCCTCTCGATTGTCTCCTCGTCAACTCGTGCAGCCACTCCATGAGTGGAACGTAAGCGGATCTCTGTCGCGCAGCTAATCGTTTGTCACTCTGAATGGCAATAGCGACACTAATCCTCCAAAGAGGCTCCAGGGATGACCGGGGTATCCGCCTCAGTAGCAGTGTTGCCTTGGTTTGTCATAATATCATCAGCGTCGTCGTTCTCATCCGCTGTCTCGTCACCGCCATCCTCTTCAGCGTCGTCTTCGTCGTCGTTCTCCGTGAATATGATGTCGTCTTTGGGCTCATCACCAGTGGCATCGTCGATGGGAGCAGAGAATTTGACCTTGAGGTCCTCAAGATCACCGTCAAGGACCTCGCTGAATATGCCATCAGCGGCACTGATAGCTTCATCGACTGCCCTCCGCACCATTCGCTCCTCCTTTGGCATGGTGATCTGGCCCACAACTCCTCCAACGATACCGAGATAGTCGCGCTTCATAGCGAGGAAGACGTCGTCCATCTTCTCGAGGTAGAACTTTGTTATTCCCTTGCAAAGCGCCTGAATAAGAAGAAATGGGTTAGTATGGTGCATCGGATAGAACAGGCGCGGAGATGTGCTGGCATACCCTTAAGCTTGCCTTGACCTGTTCGGAAGCGTCCTGGAACATGTCGGGACCCTTGCCACCCACGTGGGCAGCCATCGCGGCCTTCATGCGCGCAAACGAGCCTTTGCCGCTCTCTTGGTTGCATTGCTCGTAAACGGGTTCCATAGCGGCAGCAATGACCGGCGTGAATTGGCGGCTGAGTTCTCGTTGGCCTTCATTAAGCTTGGTGACTGCTTCTTGACAGATGTCGCCGAAAGCACTCGAATGCGTTGGGAGGTTGGCACCGAGCATACCTAGTCAAGCAGGCAACATTAGCTCGCCATTGACCAAAGGTGTTGTGATATGATGCACCTACCCATTCTCGCCAGACCATGACCAGACTTTCTGGCTCGGTCCTCGACGACGACGTGGAACTGTTTCAACACGTTCGTAGCCGAGCGCTTCAGACTCTGCAAGATGGTGGGTATGCGACGCTGAAACGCACGTTCCCATACACCCCCTGGAAGAAGTCAGTATGCTGGTCCTGATCTGATGGGAAGTGACCCACCAAGTGTCTTGTAGATTGGCTCTGTGAGATCTGCGTTGAAGTCGCGGGCACCGCTCGACCCGGCCCACACTCCGTTTCGACGTGTGGTAGCCTTGTAGCTCGACCAGTACAAGCCGCCATCTGCCTTTGGGGCCCCCATGCTTGAGACCTCGGCAAGGCTTCCTGAGTGGCAGCATGAACGGCAGGAGCAAACTTCGCAAACAGCTGGTCATCAATGGTTTCTGCCGCATCCGCCATCGTGTCGTTGACGACCTTTTCGAGAGTCTTCTCCAGATCCTTGAGCTTCTTCGACAGGATGGCCTTCTCCACGTCTTGTTGCGTTGCAGTGAGCTTAACGCCGGTACCGTCGTCGCTAGCCCAGAGCCCGAGTGACCCAAGCAATTGCTTCATACTGTTGAGGAAACGGCGGCAGCTAGCCTGGCGTCCTTTTTCAGTGAGCTTCTTGCAATGGGCTTGAAGCTGCGGGATCTCAGTCTCTGCGAGCATGGAATAGCCGGGAACATTGCTATCTTTCTTCATGCGACCAGAGAGCTTTTGATACGCTCTGCTGCTTACACAGAAGACAGGCAAAGACTCTGCGACGGCGTTGTAGTCCTGTTTATTCTCCGACGGATCGAAAGCGTCCGGATCCTCGTCTTCTGCCGCTTCTTGGTCCAACTCTCGGATACCAGCAGCGAAGTCCTGCTTGATCGCAGCGCGAGAATAGTCGTTTCTTCCACCAATCGCAATAGCAGTCTTGTGGGTGTCGATTTCCTCCAGCTCGTCGTCAAGTGTGCGGAGTGACTTGCGAATCTCCACGACGCGCGCCTCCAGAGCTTTCTTCTCCCGTCGGGCCTCCTTGTACATTTTCTTGAGTTCATCAAGCTTGGCAGTGATTTCGTCTTCAGTGAGAGGTTTCTTGGTAGAGTCACTGTCCTGGTCGTGTGCCTCGGCATCGCTGTCTGCTCGATCTTGGTCTTGACCTTGATCTCCATCTCCATCTCCATCTCCATCTCCATCTCCGTCGTCATCTGAATCAATCGTACGTCGACGCCGCTTTCTGGACACTGGAGACGAACTTGAGCTTGATGACTTCCTCTTGCGGTTGTTTCCGCCCTTGCTGCGCTGTTCAGAGGGAGCGAAGCAAGATCTACCTTGCGCGAGCCTCTCCTCGAGACCTTCCCAAACCTCCTCCTGGTCTTCAATAGACTTCATTGAATCTTCGTAATCTCCAATGCTTTTCTTGATGTCTTTGATTTCCTTGGTCAAATTCCGGTGGCGAGACTCAATATCTGCAGCCTTGTTATCGAGATCCGTCATCTGGTTCCCAAGCTTGAGACTGTCAGTTGCTTCGGTGAGAGAAATGTCATCCGTCTTGGAGCAGATGAACGTGACAGCACTATAGGTACCGTCAAACTTGAGCTGGCGTTTGAATGTGTCTCCCAGGAGAGTCTTTGCGGATTTGTCGTCGACGGCTCTGTTGATAGGCGCAACAATCCAAAGACCAGTGCACTGTTTCATGTAGCCTGACGCGACAGCAGCACGCGCAGCATTGGAGTCGTGTACGCCTGGCAAGTCGACAATGACGGCACCCGTGGCCAGCGCTGGGGATTTGGTGTAGATCTTGACGACCTTGATAAGAGGCCATGACTCAAATGGGCGTGGTTGATTGATGGCAGGGTTACCATTCTTGTCAAGTTTTTCGGTACCCTTCTCCTTCGAGTCGACATACAATTGCAGTTTGTCGTAGAAAGCTCGTGGTTCGCGGGTGCTGAACGTCTTGCAGCTGCCAAGGAGGCTTCGCACTTTTTTGTTGTTCATGAGCTTTTCAACACTGGTGTGGGTGAGTTCCTCCCGAGAGAGCTTGTTATATACAGCGCGGACCTTTGCGTATGCAACACCAGCTTCCGAATCTGCAGAGTGGACCTCTTTCGACAAGTGTCCGTTCTCATCGAATATCTCTCGGAAGAGCATCGTCAGTTCTCTTCTCCAATCTTCAGGCTTGATGAACTCGATTTCAGCGCGGTACTTGGTGGCCGGATTATCGGAGTAATTGTAAGAGAGCTCCGTGACAACAGCAGTGCATGCTCTCATGCAATTGGTGGGCACAAGACGCTCCTCATCCAACATGGCGTTGATGACAGAGGATTTACCCGCTCCGGTGTTTCCAACAACCCCCACAACGGTGCGTGTCTTGATGGCAGCCTCTTTGACTTTGCCGATCTGCTCGAGCCATGCGATGGTGTCTTCGTTCGCCGGCATGTCTTTGAGGGGAGTCTCCAGAGACGTCAAGACCTTCAGACCTGCTTGCACAGCAGCCTCAAGCCGCTCTGGGGTTTCTTCATTCGTGAGCTGAGAGAGTGGCCCGCCTCGGCGGGGCAGTTCCGGTTCGGGCTCGTCCTTGACGAATGGGTTGGCCAACTCGCGAGGCTGATATTGATCCTCAGCAATCGGAGGTGCTTGAACGACCGCAGGCTGGGCAGCTTCCACAGGAGCATTCGCCCTTGAGACCGATGGAATTCCGCCCGCTACAGCAGATGGCTTTCCCGCCGAGAGCGGTGCGCTTCCGTACTCTGGAATAAATCTCAATGGCTTGCTCCCCGACCCTGAAGCCCGTGACTGCCCATTGGCGTGCTGAGGGCCCAAAGGTGTACGACGTGGCTCGCTCTTCACATGTGAGCTGCGTGGAGGTGCCTTTGACGGGGTGGAGTACATTATGCTAACACGAGAGGCCGGCTTGCGGATCGCAGTGAGCAGCAGAACACCGTCTTTGGGGGCAGGCAAGTCCTTGAACTTGGTGTCACCGCTCCCGTCGATCTCTGTCTGATCATCTCCCGCGGCGGTTACCACAAATTGATCATCACCTTCAGGGCATCTAGCTCTGTAATGAGTGAACATCTTGCGGATCGGTAAGGTGGGCTTGGCACAGAGCCATAGGAAGCTCTCAGCATCGGGTGCTGCGAAGTCGAACGGCGTGTCGTGCTTCTCAACCACGCAAAAGAACTTTCCAGCAGCGATGGCCTCCATGTAGTTCGAAGCAGCTGTGGGAAGTAGGGCGAGAACATGGTTTCTCACGGAGACTGCTCTCTCTGGACCCGTGGGCTGGCGTTGGGGATCCATGTCTGCAAAGGACGTCAGCGAAATCCTCCGATTCATTCACTTGACCATTTCAGAACATCAGAGGCGTTGGATGGGGAGAATTGATATGGTGGGGTATGGATGTCGGTGGAGACGCGACAATGGAAACACTGCCGAAATGCGTACCTGCGGCCATGGTGGCCATACCACAATGTGCCTGTCAGAATAGACGGTTAGAAGGGCGCGAATCAACAATTGTGCAGTCAGTGTTGTGATGGTGTGAGGAAGTGGTGTGATGTTCAAGTTCATTGTAATCTGGTAATTTGGAAAGCGCGTCGAGGACGCGACTGCCCAGAGAAAGTGAAGCGAAGGTTCAACAAGGGTCGTCCATCAACAGTATTGAAGACATCGTGAACTATTACGACCAAGGTATGCGAATTACTCTCTGACTATGATGATGAATGTCGGAATACAACATCAAATACCACCACTTGCTTGCGATCCAAAAACATGTCAGGCACAACGAAGGATCGGAGTCAGGTAGGTAAGTGATCAGTCAGCCGGCTAAAGTGGAGCCCGCCCCCACTAGGGGTGCTGTAGCCTACGTAGGGAATTCATTCCCTACGTAGCCTACGTAGCCTACGTAGCCTACCGTAGGCTACGCGCTAGCTTAATGAGGAAGGCGCTAGACCTAACGGGTAGTTCCCGGAGAGCTTAAGTAAGGCATACTAGTATCTCTAACCTCTCGAAATAATCTTCGAATATATATAGGGTTAGGGTTTAGGTAGTCGTTAGCGATAGTAATATCTAAATAACACTACTTATATGTACGATTTATAGATCGTTATAAAGCCCTAATTAAGAGCTTTAATCTAATACTAAAATTATAGTTATACGACGACGAACATACCTCGAACTAGATAGTAGATAAATAACTACTTTACCGAATACATCTCTAAACATAAGACGAAGAGAAAGCGATATATCTATTACTTTAACTTTACGATCCCCTTAACTATTAGTAATACGAAGAAACTTTACTACCTTAATAACTATACTGCCTTTATTACCTACTAATAGCGTAACCCTACTACGCTAATACCGATACCGATACTATCGCTATTATTACGGGCGAGTAACGTATATATAGAAGCTTAAGTAAGGTTTTAATTAAATAAGTTTAATAGGGAAGAGAACTATCCTCCGCGGATTCCGACGTAAAGTACGCGGATACTAAGCGTTCTATATAGGCTACGCCTATACTTTAGCCTTAGGGCTTCGCCTATTATATTACCCCCCTCCTCCCTCCCCCCCTCCCCTTTCGATACGGAGCGCGGAAAAAAAATTCCCGGACTCCGGCCGCTTACTTTACTACCGCCCTCCGCTTTATAATTAGGTAGCCGTATACGTATATATACGCTTCCCGTCCTTCCCGCGTTCCGCTCTTACTTTACTTCCTCTCTCCGTACCGGAATCGTCGGACTTAGGCTAAAGAGCGCCGCTAACTTACGATTAGAGTTGTTTACTACTACCTTACTTCGCCTTACTTTACTATTTACTATACCGCTCCGCTACGTATATATAGCGGATTCCCCCCCCYCCCCTCTTTCTTTCGTTAGCTATACCTTTACTAACGTACGTATTATTACCCTTTCCCCCCTTCCCTTCCTCTTAGGAGGTACCCCCCCTTTCCCCTACTCTCCGATAGTTTTTAACCGGTTTCCTTAGATATCTAAGCTAAACTATATCTACTATATTAGCTACGCTAACTCTAGGGTTAACTATATTACTTAGGAGGTAAGTCCCCGGACTCCGATACTTTTCCTACGCTCTCCGCTAATATCTTAGTCTTCTCGTACTCGAGCCTATAAGTTATACTCCGACCGGCGTTAACCTTATAAGGCCCTATATATATACCCCTAGCTCCGACCGTTTTACCTCGCTAACTATAGTATTTAGCCCCTCTCTCTACTATATCGTATACGCTACCTAGACTAGAGCTAAGGATAAGGAGGAAGCGTAAGATATAGCCCGCTTCCCGATCGTTTTCTATCGGCTTACGCGCGTTTTAGCGAGATTACCTTTAAGGACCTTAAGACCGCTATTAAGGTTATTAAGCCTTTAGAGATTCTAAAGCTCTAGATACTACTCCCTCCGTAAGTTCCCCGCTCTCCGGCTCTTTTCCGTCGCTAACCGAATTTTAGTTATATATATAATACTCTAAACATTACTATCGATACTAAGGCTATATAGGCCTCTCTTACGTAAGTTTACCCTATTCTCCGCTACTTTTCTATTACTAACCGTAATAGTCCTAGTAGTCTAGTTCCTACCTTATAGCTAGGAAAGCGCCGTTCTTAGCCTAAATAAGTAGTATTTCGGTCGGGCTCCGTAGGAATAACCCTAGAGTCCGTAAGTCTCTCCTAGTATATCTAAGAAATAAAATGTTCCTATTATAAAACGTCGGTTCCCGTCTCTTTTTCGTCGGTTTCCCGTAAGTTCTATAATCTCTAATAAAAAGTCCTAAAAGTAATCGTATAACGCCTATATCCGTAACCCGTTCCCTAGGGGCCGTTAAGTAACGGCCGGAATCCTCTAAATCGCTCTAAACTCTAGTAATCTTATACTCTATCTTTTTATTCCCGTAGTATCCCTTCCTAAGTCCGGTATTTAGTCGTCGCTTTCCCCTATTTTTCCTTAGGGCCGTTATTCTCCGCTACGTCGCCGTATTAAGTCTTAAAAAGGTCTAGAGCTACGGTGTCCGATAAGTTTTCTAAGGGTTCCTACGTAAGCTCGTAGTATCCGGCCTATTTTACTAGTACTTCCCTCCTCTTTCCTCTATTTCGAGGTTTGTTCCTTATATAGAGAATTTGCTCTACCTCCTACTCGTCGTAAGTCTTAAATAGTACTAGGTCCGGCTATTTATTATCGGACTCCTATCCGGGTAGAGGGTCGCTACTCGCTAGCCTTAGCTTATCCGGGTAGAATACGGGATAGATATTCTTAGGGAGCCCTATTAACCTAAAGGATACCGGCGATAACACTTCGGAGATAGTATATTTTACGTATCTCTCCGCTAGACTCCTCTTCGGCCGGTTAGTATCGTAGTTCCTTAAGTCGAGCTAGACTTTATCGCCGACCTTATAGACTAGTACTAGTTTACGTAACTTATTTACGGCTTCCTCTTATTTCTATACGGAATCCGCTATACTAGCTTAAAATAAGGTAGTAATTTCCTTAATCTTTTCTACGAATTAAGCCGCTCGTTCTACGGCGGCTAGCTTCGGAGAATCGTCGTTCTCCGGCTCTAGCGCTACGGGYRGTAGCGCCTYRTAGCCGTAAGTAGCGAAGAAGGGGCTTATYCCTAGTCCCGCTTAATATCTCCCGTTTAGYRCTAATTATACTACGGGGAGCTATCGATTCTAGTCGGATTACTCCCTATTAATATAGTTCCGAAGGTAGGCTTATATTTCCTAGTTTATYCTTTCCGGGCCTCCGTCCGTTTAARRATAGTAAGYRGAGCTTAATCGCTAGGTTACGCTAGTAAGGYRGTATAGGGTCCTCTAAAAGRTACTAGTCTAATTCGTTCCTCGATCGCTAGTAATCGTACGTAGTAGGCYRTAGTRKCGTAYCTAATAYTYTATAAAGTTCTATACGTAGTCCTCCGCTTTTATACCGGATATCGCTTATAATACGACGAACTTACTTAAGCGGTCCTTAATTACCTATAGRTAGYRGTTACCCTACGAGTCTAGTAGATCCGTTATAAAGTCTATAGAGATCTCYTAGAAGAACCTTTTAGGRACCGGTAAAGGCTTTAGGAGTCCGTACTTATACTCTCGCTATACCTTATTCCTTCCGTAGTAATCGTAATTACGTAGGAATTGCCTTACGTATTTCGACTATAGAGGCTARTARAACTACCTTYCTACTAATAATACYRTAGAGTCCYRCYTAGRGTAGCCGTATAYCGGCGAATYRTARAYRGACTAGATTAGCTTCGTCCGGAGCGTATCTCCTYRTAGCGTATCGTAGTCCGCTACTTTATATTCGGATTCCGACGMGATTAGTACTCCGGGYACCTATAGTTTACCTCGGTATTAGAGCCTCCCTTCTTTATCGAGGGAATAGTCGCTAGCTTATACTTTTAACTTAATATYGCTAGGTAGCGTTCGGTCTCCGTCTTAAACTACGCGGCGTACGGCTTAGTAGACGTAGTCGCTCYTTTCCGCTTCCTYCTATAGGGCGTTTAATTCGCGTTCYTAAAACGGTCCGTTAGTTTCCGAYRGTATCTCTYYRGAGGTCGGCTATTCCCTAAYRGGAACGAGTTCTTATCTAGCTATATCTCGGAGGGAGCTAGTCGTARCTATAACKRCGTCCGTAGCTTCTTCTACGGKTTTAGGCTAATCCTTTAYRGAATCCGGGTTTAAGAATCGGCGGAACCTCGAACGTTTATCGTCTTACYTAAGRGTATCTTATTCTCTCCTYRATAGGGCGTCCGGTATAATTACTTCGACTCCCGGCCGGTATACTAGAGTAAACTAGAATTACGCTATAAATTCYACCTATYTAATTTAGCGTTCCGATAACTACCGTTTTACTATAAAGTACTCGAGGTTCTTATAATCCGTCTAAATCGTAACGGACCTATACGCTTTAAGCTCGGAAGTTTAGAATTTTAAGTAGGAGATAATTGCTAGTATCTCTTTATCGTAGATGTCGTAGTTAATCTCCGCTTTATTTAGTTTTCGCGAGAAGAAGCCTACGGGGTATAGGACTCCGTCTTAAATTTATAGGAGGGCGCCTCCTATCGTAAACCCGCTATAATCGGCTTTAAGGAAGGTCTCTCGCGTCGGATCCTAGTAGGAAAGTACCGGAGCCCGATAGTACGCTACCTTAAGTTTCTCGAACGCCTCTTCCTCCGCTTTTCCCTAGGAGAACGGCGTTCCCTTCCCGATAAGCGCCGTTAATAGAGCGGCTAGCTCTAAATAATAAGCGATAAACATGCGGTAGTAATTCGCGAACCTAAGGAATCTACGGGTCTTATTCTAAGTTTTAGGTCTTACCTAGTTTCTTACTACTTCTAGCTTTTCCGGGTTAGGTCCTACTCCTTTTCTATTAGTATAGATAATAAACCCGAGGTACTTTACCTTCTTAGTTACGAACTCGTACTTCCCGGGGTCTAGGTATAGGCCTCTGTCCTAAAGTACCTAGAGTACTTAACGAACCTTCCGGAAGTAGTCCTCTTTTATTCCACTAGAGTAGATAATTATATTGTCTATATATATAGAGTAGAAATCGTCGAGGAACTTTCGTAGTAGCCCGTTAATATACCGTTAGAAAGATACCGGAGCCCCCGATAAACCGAACGGATATACTAACTATTCGAACGAACCGAACCGCGTACGGAACGCGGTTTTCTCCTCGTAACCGCTAGCTATACGAATATAATAGAATATAGCTACGACGTCTACCTTTATAATCTACTTAGTACCTAATAAGTTTCGTAAGGTCTCCGGGATTAACGGTAGGGGGTACTAATCCGGCTTCGTTAACTTATTAAGTACGCGATAGTTATAGTAGAACCTTAACCCCCCTCCGGGCTTCCGTAGAAAAAGCACGGGGGCCGCTACTAATAAAGTAGAAGGACGTATATATCCTTTCCGTATTAAGTTATCTAAGGTCTTCCGTAATATAAGAAGTTCGTCCTTCGATATACTATATAGCGGGCCCTAGGGTAGTTCTAGTAGGGACCCGTCTAGTTCTCTTCGGAGTTCGATCCGATAATCGTACTCCCCTCTATATAGAGCTAACTTGTCCGCTTCCCGCTCGAAGAATAGCTTACGAGCCTTAGATACTCCCTTAGCTAACTATAGCACGATTACTAGCTAGAATTCGACGGACTTCTACTAAGTACCGGCGGATAGAGCTAGGCCGACGATATAAAGATCGGATACCTAAAGAACACCTTCTCGAACCTAGTACGTACGTATACGGCCTCTATATAGAAGTTAACGGACTACTACGACTTCGTAGAGGAAGTAGAAAGGATTATAACTAACCTCGAGGAGATAGACTAGTTTAAATCCTCGAATAAGAGGTAGAGGGAAAAACACTCGGATAGCGGTACTACTATAACGGTTACTACTCGTTCTTACTCGRGACCCGCGACTTATCGCGTCGACTCCGACGGAGACGTAGTAATAGCCCCTACCCGACCGGGCGGGAACCGACTAAGAACTAACGGAGACCGTAAGGAAAACGGGAAATAGTAAGCTAAATAGGTAACCTAGGCGGAGCGAGATAAACGCTAATAAGTAAGGCTCTACTTCCGTTACGGAGCGAGCGGGTACCTAGTAAAAGATTATCTATACGCCCCGGCTATCCGCCCCGCGACGTAGATTAATACGATAGCCGTCGGGCTAATATTAGAGTCCGACTATAAAGGGTCGGACTAAGGAGGAAACGAGTCGAGAAAAGAGTAACTCCCGTTTAGAGTTAGGAACCGGGAGTAAAGGAAGTAATAGTAGTAGAATAGAGCGAAGCGAAGAAGATAATAGACGGTTGCCTAGTATATAGTAACGTAGTCCTCGAGAGAACCTTCGGAAGCTTCGCTCTTATCGATAAAGGCTACTAGTGCTATACTATAATTTACGGAAACCTTATAGAAGGACTCGGACTCCCCTTTATAAGTCGCGAGAAACGTAAGGTAAAAGGGGCTACTTTAAGTATAAAGAAAGCTAAGATAGAAGGAGTAGTCGCCCTCCGGATAGAAATCGACGGATATAGTTAAGTTATATACGCGTATGTCGTACTAGACTTAGACTTCCCGCTAGTTTTAGGAAATCCCTAGAAGGCGTAGAATAAGGTTAGGACCGCGCTAGATAAGGGCCGGTTCTATTATAGAATCCTACGGAAGTAGGTAAAGGAAGGAAGGAACTACCTAGAGGTCGACGATATTACTACGTTAGCCGCTACTTATTTAGCGGATATCGAGAAGGCTCTAAAGACTAAGAACCCTCGGACTCTCGAAGAATTAAAGAAGAGTATACCTCCGGAGCTTTATAATATACTCCCGTTATTCTTCGAGCGGGAAGCGGATAAGTTAGCTCCGTATAGAGGGGAGTACGATTACCGGATCGAACTTAATATTACGGGCGAGCAACGTATATATAGGAGCTTAAGTAAGGTTTTAATTAAATAAGTTCGATAGGGAAGAGAACTATCCTCCGCGGATTCCGACGTAAAGTACGCGGATGCTAAGCGTTCTATATAGGCTACGCCTATACTTTAGCCTTAGAGCTTCGCCTATTATAGCTATCGAAGTAGCGGAGGATTAACGATAATAGCATGCTTATCTACCGTATACCGAAGGAATAGCGCGATATAGCGTACGCTTACGCGCTATTTACGTCTAGTCTACTATTTATAACCGCTAATAATACGGCTTATCCTAAGTAGAACGCTTTTATCTACCTCTTCGATAATAGCTAGTCCTTTCCTAACCGTAGCGCTATCGTAACGACGCTACTCTCTAACGACTACTATTAAACCCTTACGCTTATTTAGAACTATATAAAGGGCTACGAATACCTTAATCTCTATAGCGACGAAAGCGACTCGAATAGCGGTAAGCGATACTATAACCTCTACGTAAGTACGTCTAAAGGATAGGCGTTATTCCTCGAGAACTACTATATAGAGGGTAAGGATTAAGATAGTAGTATACTTACTAAGTTACTTATTAATTAAGCTACTATATAGGCTCCGGATAATAATATTAAGAGGTAGAATAGCTATACGTCTAATATATACGAAATAATGCGAAAGGTCTATAAGCGCCTTTAAGCTAATCCTCTTATAAGTTACGTTTTCTGCTCGCTCTACGATAGTTACGGCCTATAGCTATTTATTAAGGACTTTACGACGTATTCGAAGACACGCGCTAGTATCGAATACTACGTAATTACGCTTACTAAAGTTACCTTCCTTACTACGTTACTTAAGCGCTCGAAAAAAACTATAGGGATCCTCTACGAGTACGCTAGCGATAATAACTAATACCTAAGAGCTATCGCTATCGCTGTTCTTATACGATAGGGTTCTTACTTTATCGCTACGGACTCGCTCGTAATAGGGCGTAAATGCCTCCGTAACGCTACATTTAATTATAATAGGCTATTCCGTAATAGCGACGGTAAGCTCGTAAAAGGTAGATTACGAGCTATCGCGCTTCTAAAGGATAGCGGCTTTTAGAGCCGGCTAGAGCACCTTTATACGCTCTTAATAATAATATACGAGTTCTACTTAATAAGCGAAAGCGACCGTTCTTATATCGGCTAAGTGCTACTACGCTAGCGTAATATACGTATAGCTATCGCCGAGAGCGGAGTTCCGTATATTAATAAGGTACTCGAGCGGCTAGATAAGCGACTAATTAATTAAACTACTAACATCTACTAGGCCTTATAGGCTCTTAATATTAGTAATCTAGCTATATTATGCTCGTAGAGCTTAGAGTAGTAGAACGCTAGAGATCGGTTTTTTACTACTTACGTAGCTACCGAGCGACTCGTACGGTTCGAGTAATAGTTTACTACCTTTTACCGTAAGACCGGTGTTTTTAGTAAGAGCAACGCTAGCCTTATTACTTACCGCGACAATCTACTTACTTATTAGGACCGTATCGAACACGAGGCGCTAGAGCTATCTAATATTGCTATCTAGCTATATAACATACTAGCTAATTCGGTTCCCTTAGAGCGTACGTTCTCGGCGATAAATTACGTCTAAGATAACTACCGTATACGGCTCTCTATCGATAAGCTCGAGAAGCTTATCTTTATCTACTTTAATACTAAAGCGCTCCGTAGAGCTATAATCCTTACCGATTAAATACGCGAGAAAGAGCGCTCGCGCTACGAACGGCGATATAACGTACTTCTCGCTACGAAGAAGTAGTAATAGAAGGAACTAGAGTTTTTAAAGGATAAGGAATAAGAGCTAGTAGTAGCTAGATAATAACTACGCTAGCTTAACTACGTAGATAGCGATACGCTCTAAGAGCTAGCGGCAGCGGTAATATTAGGTCTTATTAACGAGGATAAGGAGCTTAAAGAGGATGTAGTAATACTACTACTACTACTACTACTACTACCGGCCGTAGCGGCCGTAGTAGTAATAACGGCTCCTTAATAGTAGTAGTAGCCGTAATACTACTACTTATAATAACATAACCTTTAATAGTACGCTTAGAACGCTATTAACATCGGCAATATATAGTTCTATTAACTACTACCTTTCGAAGTGTTATAGTAATCGAATAATAGTAAGAGAACATACTAAGAGATAGACGGATTAGACGGATAGTAAGGGTAATAGTAGGGCTAGCGATAGCAATATATATAAGGTTAATAGAGGTTATTAAAGGTAATAGTTCTAAGAATAACTACGGATATCTCTTACTTGCGTAAACGACTCGTACGGTCGTGGATTAATCGAATAAGAGCATATTAAGTAATTATTAACCGGCTAATTATAGGTCTAAGAACTCCTTTAATATTTAGATCTACTATACTTACTAATACTTCTACCTTTCTAAGAAAAGCTCATATCACACGCAATATACGGCCGTGCGTGAAGCCTTGGCGTAGGGAATAAGCGAGAAAATCATTCCCTACGTAGCCTACGCTAACCGTAGCCTACGCCTCAGCATCCCTAGCCMCCACAGCGCGGAACGGCTGCAGGCGGCCGCGGATCAGCTGCACCACGAAGCTCGTCATCCCTCATCTTCACTCCAGACGATGGAGGAGGTGCAGACCACAACGACCTAATAATTCCGACAGACCGGCGACATGTGCAAGGGCCGGGTTATGGGCGAGCAGCTGCAGCACACTTCATGACATGGCCGCGCGAAGGACCTTGGGCGGTGGAAGGGTGATTGGCAGTGGAAAGGGCGTTACGGCTTTGGCCCAACCACGGAATCCCAGCACCACCAACACGATCAATCACAGCACCAACAGCACCGGTCTGCTATCGCCCTCATCCAGCTCCCTGTCGCTGAGTTCGCACACGTCGAGTACGCCCATCTCCACCGATCATGAGGACCTCACATCCCGCATCGCCCTCGATGCGGCACAGACGACGGCCGTGCAAAATGCCAGCAATCGCATGGTCTGCCCGATCTGCAACGAGGAGATGGTATRCTTATGAGTGGGGTGTTGAGGAGAGGGAGACGGGTCTGACATCGTTTGCAGGTCACATTGCTTCAGCTGAATAGGTAGGTACGGAACATGTCATGCCACACGGGCTATGGATGCCTCGACTGACACCCGACTGTGTGCCAGACACATAGACGACAATCATGCCAACCTGGAAGTGATTGAACAAGATGAAGCCAAGACGTGGTTCAAGCAGCAGATGACAAAGGCCAAGAAGTTCCAGCCATTGGCGTTGATCAACCAGAAGCTACGAGGGTTGGAAGTATTTGAGTCTAACAATGAGATCCTGGCCTCCATCCCAGGCTCTCAAGCTAGCGCCGACTCCAGGGGAGCATCTTCTACGCCTGGGCCGTCCAAACAGCCGGAAACACCAGATCCCGACGAGGTCGTCACTCGTGCCCACTGGCARAGACCGCACGTCAACGATGCTTGTTCAGATCCCATGTGTGGGAAGCGGTTGGGTGCTACAAATGGACAAGTGAATTGCCGGCATTGTGGGAAGCTATTCTGCGAGGAGCATACCATGTATCAAATGAGACTTTCCCGAGCTGCACAGCATGAACCCGTGCGAGGTCTGTGGTGTCGAGTGTGCGAAACTTGCTACAAGAGTCGACCAGGGTATATGGATCATCATGGCTTTGAGCGGAATCACACCGAATTCTTCAAATCCGCCAGGCGGAAGACGGTGGACAAGCAAAATCTGGAGACTAGCCGGCTTGAAACGAGATTGACCCGTTTGACCCAGCTTTTGGCACACCCACCACCACCCGACAACAGCCAGACCGGGTGGCTCGGGGGTATAATACAAGGTAACAAACCTCAAATCCGTGCTCTAGAGCAAGCCATAGTACCATGGGAGGACGATGCAACTGTTGCGGAATGTCCCTTTTGTCAGCAGCCCTTTTCACAATACTCAATGCGGCGTCATCACTGCCGGATATGTGGGAGAGTCGTATGTGGCGATCCCAGCACCTCCTGCTCGACGGAAGTTGGACTCGATGTGGAGGCAAGCGAGAAAAAGGGACGYGGGAAAGTAGCAGTCGACGTACGTATGTGCAAGGACTGCCAACGTACCATCTTCAGCAAGGCAGACTTTGCTCGAGAACTTCATGCTGAGGATCCTGCTCAGCGAGCGTATGGAAACTTGAAGCAGTTCGAGCAAGGCATTCGTTTGTTATTACCCAAATTTCAGCGATGTCTTGGGCCGTTACAGGACCCTGAAAACCCTCCATCACCGGCTCAAATTGCTGAAGCTGCCAAAGTGAGGAAGCGGCTGACGGATGCTTTCACACAATATGATGTTGCGGCGCGCCGGGTACGAGACATGGCTACGGAAAGTCCTACACAGGAACGCTTGCAAAAAGCGATATATCAGCAAGCCACCAACTTTCTGCATATACATATGCTTCCTCTCAAATCCTTACCAAAGATCATGAAGCATGCACATTCCGCGCCAAACGGAGGACGAACACCGCCTGGCATTCCTGCCAACGGAGCGGGGAAAGGTGCTCTGGCAACCATCAGATACAACTCAACACTTACTCCCAACGGGAGTAATCACAGACCCGGTAGCAGTCGAGCCAGCTCCGCTTCATCTGCCGCTGTGACGGCGTTGGAAGTGGAGGAGAAAGAGCTGAAAGAGAGATTGATGATACTTGAAGAGCAGAAGTTTATGGTCTCGGAAATGATCGCGGAGGCCAACAAGCGAAGGAGATTCGATGAGGTGTCGGCACTGAGCCAGAATGTGGAGGACTTATCAAGGGAGATCGACCAGATACAGGCGCAGCTGGCTGGTATGGATTTTGCTGGAGCGTACGCTGATCAAGGAGCTATTGGATGAATTAGGTCTACGAGTGGCGGAATCACTATACAGAAAGGATGGTTACATCCGCAAGGTCCCTCCTTGCAGGATTGGGAACCGCTATGCATGCAGCGCCGGGAGTATCACACAGGATGACTGGAAGTGCGTAATCTTAGGCCTTGACTCTTGTCGACCATCTTGGAACATCACAATCAAACTGATATTCTAATGAGAACCTGTGAATTGCCTCAATCTTTGGCTACGATCTAAGCAGGACGTTTGATGAGAATCTTCGACGAATAAGCAGATTAGGCAAAGATGCCCCCTGCCTGAGGCTTCTGCGCGATTTAGCTGCATTATTCTAACGTGGGAACAGACAGGGGTGGRAGGGTTTGAAGACAGTGGAAAGAAATCATTGCATGAGCGTCGCATTGCATTTAAATATGTCATTACATGTTTTTTTTTCTTGATTTTGGTCATTTATCCCATCCTCATATATCTCCTCCTTTCCACTACCCAGGCCTGAGTACTCAAGCAACGGCTAGTCCACACCTACTCGATATCGACCTTCTTGATCTCCACATACCCAGCATCAAGCTTAGGTACCTCCACAGTCAACACCCCATCTTCCATCCTCGCCGTGATACCATCGATATCAATGCTCGCCGGGTTCGCTCTGCTCCCCAACCGCACTTTTCTCTCAAAAGCACCGACCTTGCGCTCATCCAACGCAAGCGTCTTCAAAAACTCTTCATCGCCAGGTCGGTGCACCACACCAGCGATACTGAGCTCCGATTTCTCGGCGTCCCAATTCACGCCCACGTCTTCCTTTTTGGCTCCAGGGAGGGAGACGTGCACGACAAAGGACTCGGATGTATCGAAGATGTCGACATCCGGGTGGAAGTCTTCGCTGTTGTGCTTGTTCTCGTTGCCTTCCGGTCCGCCGAAGACTTGAGATTGGAACATGTCGGCGAAAGCACCAAAGGGTCCGGAGGCGTATGGGTGGAAGCGCCCGCGACCACGACCGCCCCATCCACCTCCTCCACCTCCTCCTCGACCTTTGCCGCTGCAGGGACCGCCGCGGGAGCCGGGTCCGCGGTGGGGACCGTGATGCCCGTGGGCGTGAGAGGGGCCTGCACGGGGAGCCTCGTCATGCTTTTCATCTGAGGGAGGTGGCGGAGGGCCTTTGGGCTGAGAGGAGCCTTCCTCAGGATCGGAGGCTCCGGCGGCGGGGCCAGGTGGTCCATGGCGCCCGCGGTGTGGGACAGGGCCCCATGGGAATGTAGCCCAACCACCTTCCGACCAGGGATTGGCACCGCGCTCGTTCTCGTTGGTGGAGGTCTCTTCTCGGCGGCTTGTGTCGTCGTTTACGTCGTTGTTGCCAGTAATTCCTTGCTCCTCGAGGCTGGCGATGAAGTCCCAAAAGGGAGCTGTTTGATTGTAGTATCTGACTGAAGGCGCCATGTTTTGAAAATGGTGGATGATATAGCAGAGGTAGAGGGAAAGAGAGCAGTCCACAGCCAGAGCTTTATAGAGAATCACTCACAGCGAGAAATCTACCTACTTGTGATACCACAGCAAGGCAGCCATATTCGTCGTCAGCCCACGCGGACATGTTTCGTACCAAAGGTGTGCTGTGGCGTGGAAACTAGGTGAAGGTGCTGGAATCGGAGTCATCACTGACAATATGGATGGATGAGTAAGTAGGCAGATGGAAGGTACGCGTAGGAGTTGAAAGCAGGTTTGAGAAGGATGTACGTATTGCTCAGCGCCTGGGAGTGGCGAGCTAGTAGCCTGGAGCTCCGATCGGGTCGAGGATTAGTGCTTGTGATTGGATGCTTGTGTCTTTATAGGCACTCTTTGGTCTGTCTGAGTCATGATGGAGGCGTATCGTGGTGTGAGAGTTGATCGTTTGTTGAAAGATGTCAGATCGACGTTGACGTTCATGCTAATGTTGGTTAAAAGCTGAGCGAAGACTGTGCTATTGGCTCGTTAGTAGCCGGCGCTAATTGAAGTGAAGACTATGCCAAGTGGCGTCCATGCAAGGGAGTCGCCAGACACTCTACCTCCATTTCTGCCATCCTCTAATTCCGTTCACGCCTACCTCCCACAGTGTTCTTCATCATCGCTATAAAGTTGCCTCCTCTCAGGCCAGCTAAGTTGATACATCAGACGATGTCTCAAAGTCTATGGAGACCCGCAACTTTCTCATCGTAGCGCCTTGTCTGATCATCATAGAAGTTGTATTTCTCCCAGGGCTCCTCCGGAATCATCGACAGAGCTTCCAGTTTAACCAAGTCCTGCGAGAAGCGCAACAGTGCATTGTTGCAGATAACAGTAGTGGCTGCAGCTTGGTGTACTACTGCATGTCAGCCATCAGCCGCCCGAGCGGCCTGCTACGATCAAAGTGGTAAATGATTTGCGTAATTCAGCCTCACCTGATCTACTAGAGTGTAGCATTGCTCTCCTTCATCTTTTGCTTCATACCACCAAGAACATTCCTGCGAAATGTCTCGACCACCACCACCGCCTCCAAGGAGACCGCTGCCAGCTGCCTACAGATTTCCCGACTATGGGTATGGCGATGAGGAGCGCAAGGAGCCTATCACGCAAAGGTGTTATATGGGCAACAAGATTCGAGTCACAGTGTCCAGCGCTCAGGATGGCTATCAAAACTCGGGTACGAACTACCCTCCAGTAAGGCGGCTACCACGAGTGGAGGAACGTCGAGTGCGGAGCCGCAGCAGAGAGTATTTCGCGCATCCTAGAAGGCGCGGATCATCTGCTCGCAGCAGCAGTAGTAATGCTCGTGCGCAAAGAGAAGCCGACAGGATGGATAGTAGCAACGCTCGTGCGCGAAGAGAAGCCAGCAGAGTGGATTATGTGGAGATTCGACCACAATACCCTTCCTCTCGACGTTCCCGGGCCAGCAGCAGCGCAAGCATCATTTCCAATTCTGATGAGGTATCAACACTGGAGTTTGAGTTCGACCTGTCAGAGTCAACAGCCTCTAGTAATTCCCACTCCACCTCTACTATCCAGGACGTTCAGCCTGACTCCAAACAAAACGCTGGGTACGGACTTACAGCCGGACCTACGACGAATCTGCATCTCGCAGCAACAAGATGGTTGGGTAACACCTTTGATGATTGGGATCTTGGTGTGGAGCTTACGACTGTACCTGCATCGCCACACTTGCGGTCACAGATGGACTGGCATCATATGGAGCGATCCATGCCAACTTTCGACGAGTTCATTGCTGTGGCGCGAAGAAGTCTGCAAAAGATGCCCCAGAAAAATCTACGTCGTGTCGAGAAGATGCTCCGCAAGGTTCAGAAGGAGAACGAGAAACAGCGCCAGTTTGGCCGTGAGATGGTGAGTGCATTCCGTGTCAATAAATCCCAATTCCTTGAGATTGAGAATCGGCGGCCTCTTCCAATCAACGACTAAAAATGATCATCTCTTCTTCTAGATACCAATATGTGTGAGCGATACTGAATATCAAGATGACGGAATGGAAGACAAGCAAAACTTCTCCGCCTGCTTCTCAGCCTTTCCATTTTTCTCGTTGGAGCGATTGGCTGAGGAAAAGTCGTCGACATCAACCACAGCCTCCCACCAGCCCAGACCACTACTACAGACTTACACTCGCACCGTCAACAGCAAGCGGGAGCTCTCGCAGGCAGTTACAACAAGGTCTTCGACTCCAAAGGATCACAGCTTGCATGTATCTTCTGTTTGGTGCTTGGTCGTAGACGATACAATCATCACCTGCAGCAGGATGGGTTTAGAGGAGTTGCGTAAAGACTTCTCCAGTATGTCATCCCAACCTCAAAAAACTTCGGCGAGATCGGTCCGCGTAAAGGTTGGAAATGATCGAAGCTGGTCGTTCCCCCTGGATGAAGTTCGATCCTGGCCTTCACTGCTTTCGATATTCGCCGACGACTTATCATCCATTGGCARTTGTGATGCTAGTGCTAAGATCACGCATCAGGAACGCACTGTCGATGCGGCAACTTGGCATCACGTCGTTGCAAACGCCACACAATTTCCAATTCAGTTGGTCTTGAAAGAAAGTCTCAACACTGGATCCGGACTGCGCTCGAAGTTACGATCTGTCAAGCAAGCTTTCGGTCCTCAGAGCCAGATAAAGAGGTCAGGGTCACCGAATGCCGTCGATGTCGCTGCTGCAGATCACGGAGGAGCTGGCTCAGCGGCTAGCCCACGGGACATTGTCAACCATCTCCAAGGTATTCAAGCGCTCCACATCTTCGGACTCGACAGTAAAGCGGCAAGCAGTCCCCTTTCTCGTCTGGCAGAGTCCCTGCACGACAAGTTGGCAGCGCACTCGAATGAGATGGCAGCTTCAGCATATAATTCGTGCCCCGAAGCCTCTCTTGAAGACATTCAAACATCACTTTCCCAAGACAAGACTCCCTCCAGGATTGATACCAGCAGGACAGATACCTCCATGGCGACTGGCAAGTGTGGACAAATCGTCATCCTTGCAGAATATGTATTCGCTTTTTTCTGGCCTGTTGATTTCGATCATGTCATGACAAGACGCTTTTGGGGCGCTTTGAAAGGGCTTCTCAATTCTAGCATCGGGGTACGTGGTGATTAGATAGGACATCGACCGCACAGCTAACATGGTCACAGGAGAGCAAGATGTCAAGACATAACGCTGAGCTGGCAGCAGAATTCTACCACATCCTTTACAGCCGCGTGTTCGCTGTAGTATCCACACTCACTACAAACTTCGCTAGCGATGTACCTCCTACACCACTCCCTACTCAGTTCTATGAATCTTGGCTCCATCTCCTCAGCGCTTTTGTGCTTTTCAACCAGGCAATACAAAAAGACGCTCGGCCTCGGCCCAGACTATTGCCTACGCTGCAACTAAGGTGTGCTGCGACAAAGCTTGAAACAGGAGAGCGGGAGCTCGTCAATAAACTAAGGACAATAGATGTGGAAGATCACGAAATCTGTCCACCGAGAGGTGTAGTCGCCTTGATGCTGAATCGATTCAGTCAGGACATGATCAAGGAAGGTCTTGATGTGGCCCAAATATACGGCGACTTCTATCAGCAACTGGYGAGCTTCGAAAGAAAACCATCAGAACCGCGTCACCTCGATTACTGACTTTGAGAGCAAAGGACGCAAAGATTCTCGACAACCCTCTCACCCGAGCCCATCAGGCAAGCATCAGGGACCTCCAGCAAGAGCTTGAAGCAGTTCTCAACATCCTCACATATCAATTGGATGTAGTCAACGTCTTTGAGCGTAGCATTCAAGCTCAAGATGATGGTGGTCGACAACGCATGCCATATCTGCCCCTCCTCCTCCTTGATTCTCGCCAAGACGCCATCTTAGGCACTTGCAAAAATTCTCTAACAGCACGGATCGATAAGATCAAGGCTCTGCAAGGCCGAGCCACTGAGCTTGGAGAGTGGCACTTAGGGGAAATTGACAGTAATAAAGATCGTCAAGAAGCTRCCATTATGGTCTTTACGATTGTTACAATCATCTTCTTGCCGCTTTCTTTTGTGTCTAGTGTTTTTGGCAWGAACTCTTCTGATATTCGAGACATGGAATTCGGACAGTGGCTTTATTGGGTCGTGGCGCTACCATTGACGATCGTCGTGATTGGTGGAAGTCTGTATTGGGCGGGGGCATTGGAGAACTGGCAGGGATGGTCTCCGAAATGGGGGAGGAGCAATGGRAACTATTATCAGCCTCCTGTGGTGTCGCAGCAATCGACGAGAGTTGTCCCGGGGGTGAGGAGAGATGTGGTGGAGGAGATTGATGGAGAGAGGCCTAGGCGGCGGACTACTTATCCTGCGAGGCGAACGGCAAGGCATTATGTATAGTCCATATCTGGCCGCGAAGAAACTGCCTTTTTTAAGGTATCACTGTAAATTCCCCTGGAGCCTGAAATTTGCGAAGCAGATCCGGGGCAGTCCTGACCTTTCGTTCTGTAAAGTGATCCTGAACAGCAGATTCTCCGTCATATCGAGCAATAATGCATTATGGGTTATCGAACAGAAGACTCAAAGTAAAGCCCGGCGTCTCGCTCATATATAATACGCACGCACAACGATGCTGCCCAGCGAAAATTGCACTTCAGGGGCAGGTAGTATAGCTTGGTCGAAATTCTCGTCCTGTCCTAGCTACTTCTATCTATTCACACCTTATGAAAAATCTCCCCGGAGCGGGAAATGAAGTAAACAAGCCCATTCATTGATGCCGACTACCTTACTTATTAGATGGTAGTCAGTTCTCGCTAATACAATAGCTTGTAAGGAATTTTAACATAGCAGGAAAAAATGCATAGCCCAGCTGTGGGCTTCCATCGCTCATAACATAGCAAGGTTAGAGGAAAGTTTAGAATTGCGTGAAGGGGAAGAAGTAATAGAGAGCACTACTCCATTTAGCTGAAAACCACTCTCTTAGTCTAAATATCGATTTCGAAAAATAAGACTATCTGTTGTCACCCAACCATCTTTCTTTCCTTCCTCCTAGAGGAGTCAAAATCTTGCCCCCCGCTCGTGATGTAGAGATCACGGATAACGACGACCGTACAACTCATGTGATTTCGATCGCTGGGTCATTGCAATACGTATATACTAGTCRTAATCGATATTTGCGTCTGAATCACTACAAAAGAATCATTTCTGTGACATAGTATGTACATTTCCCACAACCGAAAGCCACATTGATCACACACAATAGCCTGCCTCGCTGATACAAGACTACTATGATAACACCCCCTTTCGTGCATCTATATGTTTCAACAGGAGGCCATGATGATTACAACATCCGCCATAGACTTGCCGTGATGTTCTGCGTAGTGCAACCCCCCCCCGGCGAGCCTACATATCATGCCGCTGAATATATTCAGATAGGAAAGACTATTATTCCCATCCAAGGTCTTCTCAAAATTCAACCCTGCTCTGAAGTGGCTGGATTTGACCCCGAGTAGCATAGCAGCAGCCCTCGCCATGTCGAGACCTTCTAGACTTACAGTGCAACTAACTGCCTGATAATCATGCAACTTCACGGATGTCTGCCATCTCCTTCTTCATCATACAGAGTAGTACCCTCGATACCACTCCACAAAGCGCAAGACTCCATCCTGCACAGAAGTCTTTGGCCTATATCCCGTAAGACTCCTCAGAAGCTCAGCATCCGCCCATGTCGCCTGCACATCGCCAGCCTGCATTGGCAAGAGTTTCCGCTTCGCCTTAAAGCCCGTAGCATCCTCGATGGCCTCAATGAAGTCGGTAAGTTGTACTGGCTCGGAATTTCCTATATTGACCACCCGCCACGGCGCCACTGGTGACAAACTTTCGGGGATGTCTGTTTGTTGTTTGAGAGGATCTCTAGACGAGCGACTCTGATGGTTCGAAGATTTGGCTACCGTATCCCAAATATCTGATCTCTCTGGTATGGCGTCAACGAGAAGACAAACTGCTTCTACGAGGTCATCGATATAGGTGAAGTCGCGCTTCATGTCGCCATGGTTGTAGACGTCAATTGGATCGCCTTGGAGAATGGCCTTGGTGAATTTGAATAATGCCATATCGGGCCTTCCCCATGGACCGTATACGGTGAAGAAGCGGAAGACGGTGATTGGCAAGTTGTATAGATGGGCGTAGCTGTGCGCCATGCTTTCCATTGCCTTCTTAGTAGCAGCGTAGAAAGAGACTTGATGATCAGTCCTGTCGATCTCTCGATACGGATTGTCCATATCCATCCTAGCACCATAGACGGAAGAGGAAGATGCGAGTAGCATGTGCCTTGGAGGATATGCGCGGGCCGCCTCCAGCAGCTCGAAAGTTCCTACGACATTACTGTCCAAGTACGAACGCGGATTCTCAATGGAATGACGCACGCCGGCTTGTGCGGCCAGATGGATGACTATGTCGAAGCGCTCTCTTTCGAATAGATCCTTGAGTATGCCAGGTGTCTCGAGTAAGGCATGAACGGCGTGGTAATTGGCAAAATCCAGCAGGCGGGAATTCCGTCGCTCTTTCAGTGACACCTCATTTTCAGTCAGCCAAACAATTTCCAGTGACTGACTTGTGATGTGATACCTCGTAGTAATCGTTCATGGAGTCCAGCCCAACGACCCGATATCCCTCACGCAAGAGTCGTTCACTGACAAATGAACCCACGAAACCCGCCGAACCAGTAACGAGAGCTGTGCGCATGATCGAGGCCGGTTTGGTGATGTTGCAGGTGAGGCGTCTYCACTTTGAAACCAAAGTACAGCATGCATGCATTGATGGATCCTGATATGCACAGGTGGGTTGTACTTGATCACTTTCTAGGACTTTCGGCATGTGATTGCATTGGTCAGATATGGCGTAGCAGGTCGAGACATTTCTCCTGCAGCAGCTTGCATCAACTTCACATTCCGACCATTGTCAAGACAGGCGAGATGGTACCTGCTTTAGTATCCGCCCGCCATTATGCGGATCTCGCTTTCCCCGAAGACTTCTCTTCGGTTGTGGCGTCGTGGCTTTGCCCATCACAGGGAGGTCCAGACTGGGTGCGGAAGAGAGAGAGTTCTTTTATCAATTACGTTACTAGCTTGTAGCCAACTACAACCGTCTTAACGTCAACAGGTCAGCAATAAAGTGGTTCTGGGTATGTCTAGCTAGGAGAAGAGTGCCGTGGAGCAAGAACATCAAAATGACGCGAAGAAGGAAGGAGCTGACAAAGCACACAACAGACTGGCAACCACAGCACAGCACAGCACAGCTCTCCCTTCGATGGAGGCGATGAGAAGCACACTTCTACGCCCCAAGACAATACGTATCGCCATAGCATCGCTGTTCACAATCGTCGTCGTGTTTCTGCTTGCACCCGTAGGTCTGACTGACATATCTAATGTGTTGAGGGAACCCCACAGCTGATGCCATGCTTCATACAGACTCAAACTCGGAGTCCATACAAGCCAGACTCATGGACAGGAGAGTCCACCATTGGGGTCCCTGGGCATATAGACAGTAGTAGTGTTCCTCAACCAAAAGTCCACATCCTGCTGCTCGCCACCAAAGGAAATGTCAAACTATGCAAGACACTTCTAACATTGGCCATCCTGGGATATCCAACTCCTCGAATAATCTCATGGGGTGGGACGGATAGCACCGATGCTATGTTAGGCGGTGGCTCTCACTTTGGCAAAATCACCAAGACGATCGAATACATTGACAAATATCTCAGTGAGCCAGGTTCCCAGGATGATCTTATTCTCATGTTAGATGCGTTCGACATTTGGTTGCAATTACCGCTCGAGGTACTCCTCACGCGCTACAAAGCCATACTGGAAGAGGACGATGCTCGAATCGCACATCGAATGGGCCGTGCCTTTGCACTTGAGGAGATAAAGTCTGGAATTGTATTTGGAGCAGGCAAACGATGCGGTCCCAATTCCCTCCACACAGTAGCATGCTACCCTGTACCCGAATCTCCTTTGCCAAAAGACCTATACGGAATCACTACAGACACCCCGATAGGTCATACCGATTGGAGTAGTTTTCGAACTCGATATCTCAATGCAGGCACCACCATCGGACCCGTCAAAATGTTACGCCCTGTCCTAGAGCGAGCTCACCAGAAACTTCTTGAATGCAGGGGCCGCCAAAATGCGGATTTCGACGCTGGGACTGGTGTTTCAGATTTCTGTTATCATGGCAGTGATCAAAGCATATGGATGGAGATTTTCGGCGAGCAAGAATTCCAACGAGAAGTCATGCGTCGTCATCACAGATCCAATTTCGACACATTCGCTGAGAAGTTCAATCCTCACAGAGCTGGATCACAACCGCCGTCCACTCAAGTGTACGGTGTACCAATCCTCGATTATTTAGAACCTGGATTCTACCATCAGCCCGGCGAGAAGAAGTATCGACCTGCAAAACCGGATGAATTTGGGATTTCGCTTGATTACTGGTCGGGGATCAGCCATCAGACTTCGAATACATACTGGGATGCCAATTACATTCGTAAAGATCAGCTCTTGGAAGATCAAATTGGGAAGCGGAATGGCTTTGATTGTCAAGCGAAACCCCCAAATTGGAGGGAGTTGTCCGATGACCTACTCTCTACATTTCTACCGGGAGAGCGCGATCAGTGGAATTCAATGCCTTTTTACACGGAGTACTGCGTGGGTCGGATTCCTCCCATTATTCACCATAATTCTTTCGACAAGACTCAGATTGATCTACAGTGGAACAGGACATGGTGGCATGGTCATTCTCGCGCACTTTTAGAGCAGAAGAGAAGTGCCGGTTTACCAATGTTGGTCGATGGAATACCCACTGATGCCAAAAACACGACTTTGCAATGGGAAGAGCTTTGCCCGGCGGAATACGACGCGGCACTGTTTTGAAGCAGCAGTTTCGGAGAAGAAGAAAGTACCTGCAATTTGATACAACTATGCGATTGCAGTCTGTTCGACTTTACTATAACCAAACCGAGGCCCGTGCAAGATGTTATACAACGCCCCTTTCCGCAACCACCTCGAACACGCCTCCCGACTCAAAGCGCCCACAAAAAACGCTATAACCAGAGTAATAATACTCGACCATGGCAACCCCCCATGCTGCTGCTCAGAGACAGGAGAACTCTCCCAACTAGGCGGAAGCTCCGTCAATTGTATCTCAGACCTCGTAAGACTTCCACCATTGGAATCCAAAGCTTCCACACGAACGGTCTCATGAAATCCCTCACAAACAACCAGCGTCTCAAACCCCGTCCTATCCATCTCCCCAATAATCTTATCTGTAGAATCTCTCACCCTCCAAGCCCGGACTTCCGTCGCTCCATTCCAGCTCACATAAACCATCGTAGCCAACTTCCCATTCCTTATCGCAGAAGCGAAAGATTTCAACACAGGTTTCTCTTTTGGCTGCGCGACAAAATCCATCTTGAAGGCTCTGTAGGTATGATATCGATCCGTMAACCATTTAGCTTCATACAGGACTTCGCCAGTAGGTGCGTGTTCCGTTACATGGCCCGCTTCAACCCAATTGACGAATCGATTCCCATTATCCAAAAACTGCGCGTTCCCAGCATGTCCCACGAAAAGGCCATCGGGAGCTGGTAGGCTTTCCAGGACTTTTGTGGTCATTGCGGATGTATCCAGCGCAACTACCACTACTGAGGAGACATCGGCAGTTGCGGGGCCCATGAGAATTCCTGCGTAAGCGTTGTTTAGGAATGAAATTACCAGACTGTGGGAATCTGGATCTTCGCTGAGGATTCGTGCGTCGTGTTGGCCTGAGAAGATGAAATCGCCTTGATTGAAAGAGGAATTTTTGCCGCCTAGACGCCATAGGATGGAATTGTCCTTTCCGGATATCAGGTAGATGGTGTTTGTATGGCGAGCAGAGATGAGAAAGTCACCGTTTCGAGTCTTCTCCACTGAGTTCGCGTGCCTGTCAAACAAAGAAGTCTTTATTAGCAAGCTGTCCAAATTAATCAAGAATTCCAGCATAAAACACTTACATGTAATCCCAATCATCTTCCACACGCTCAGGATAAGGCATCACACTATCAGCAATAACCTCTTTCGACGACCACTCAAAAAGCGTCTCCCTAGAATTCAAGTCGATTTCTCGCGGGATATGATCCCTCCGAGGACCAGGAAGATCTTCAGGATTCAAATCATCGCTGCCCACAGGAATGGTGGATTGACCTATTACCAAAGCCGAGCGACCATTATCTATAATTTTGAATTCGTGGAGATCCATGACGACATTCTCGCCTTCAAATGTCACGTTGTGCGTGAGTTGATAGGAGTCATCGAGGATGATTCCGGCGCCTTTGGGGAAAATGCATTCGTCTGGCCACATGGTGTGTAAGAAGGAGAGATGAGGTTTTCCGTTGATGAGGGTTGCTCGGAAATCGTGGGTTGGGCGGTTGGAGAAGAGTGCTGCTCCGCTCCATATGAGATCCTAGTAATGAATGAGTTGCATTCCATAAGTGGGAGGAAGGAAGTAGCAAGGAGGACACTTACGCCTTGTAGGTCATAGATATGTGGTCCTACTTGAGCAGTTCGAAATTCTTTACGGGGTCTATGGCCGTCCGTCTCGGCATAAGGTGCAACGAAAAGTAATCCTGGACCAGTCTTTTGTTTGTCGTGGATGGAAACATTAAAAATCGGGGCTCGTAGATCGGGTCTCTAGAACGTTGTGTCTTCTTAGTATACGGAGTATATATATGTGGAGGAGAGCATTTTGCCGCAATGACTAGGTAGTTCCATACCGTTATGAAGTGGTGGAGGTCTGCATCGGGTTTGGCCAAGCCGTATTCATGTTCGCAAGAAAAAGGTAGGTCTTGACTCCATGCCAGCGAACAGGAAGTCAATAATATGGTAAGGAATGTGGCCGGCTGTGCTGCGTGGCGGCAGCGCATTGTGTGAGTAGTAGGTGAAAGGGCTCCTGGACAGTAATCACGCAAATCAACGATAATGTCCAGCAGGGAAAAGTCGTGTTTGCAGAAGCAAATCGTAGAGAGATAGATGCACGTGGAATACTTCGATGGGCAAAAAGGCCAATCGTCGCCTCCGCAAACGGATTGAATCGCGCAGTTGCTGGAATAGGATAATGGACGCATATAGGAGATGCTGCAAGGCAAAAGCGGTTCATTGGTCGTCTGACACAAGGCTTGGCAGACGGTACTAGTGGCGTTGCCCCTGAACTTAATCTGGAAGCTGGTGTGGCTCTACCGGCTGCGCGGATCAAAAAAAATCTGGGCAGGCACCAAAACAAAAGTGTTCATGGAATGTCTCAATTAATGGAGAATTGGCTATAAATGCTAGCGTGGTACTTGCTGTACCAAAAGAATATTTGCCGAATAGCAAAGGCATGCCGAAGTGGTCTGTACGTTTTTAGCGATCTATTGACAACTCGATGACACTGTCTGGTAATGGAACATCTTGCATAAGGAACACGGCAAAGTCGCCGAGCATCGGACCATGCTAAACATCGCTCCCGATGCAGCGGAATAGACTCCGAAGCGATAGAGACTTTACTTTTTAGCCTCGCAGACCAGCGGTTGACTCGATTGAACACACCACCCGGATGGCGTCGGTCCGCTCCTCCCCCTCAACCTATTAGCTCCAGGCCAAAATGAAAACAATCGAGGGGGCGGTAACTCATGGCCGCAACGCCGCAACTGCCACTCATCAACTCGTCGACTCGAAGGACCAAAGCCGGATTCACCTCTCTCCCCATGCCAAGAAGCAATCCCTGTCAGGGGCTTCCATCCGAGCGAGTCCACGACCAGTCGGCTTTATGCTCTTCTCCTTCAACCACAACATCGACTGGCTCGATAAAATCTGCCAACTTCTTACATTGTAGATGCTTCACTCTGTCACCCAACTTTCTTTTCCACAAGGAACCTGTTCCGCGATCCATGCTTCTACTCGCTCGTACATCCAGCCTGAGATGTATCCTGTATTTGGTGCAGCATCACCCCATCGAGCCTCGCCATTCAAGTGGCATCTGCTCGTAGTCGAGTCAAATCGCCACTGTAGACATCTTTCTACCGTCTCGCAGAGGGCGCGGCATGCATCCATAGAGGGCAAAATGCCGTAATCGTCGAGACAGTTGTTGTCCCATTGGTKCTGAGTGTGCCTCATTTTGCCATGGATATAATTGATGAAAATCTCTCGGCGTTTCAATGCTAGCTGACCCGAATCAACGGCCAGAGAAGCTTCTTTTCCTCCAGATTGACTCCCAGATCGATACTCCGACTCTATCCATTCCTGCTCGAATCGCCAGAGATCTCCCACGACCTCTGGCGTTACGTGGTGATATGATATCGCAGGGTAGCACCAGAAACGACGGTCATCGTCTGCCCAGTAATATGTGTCATTTCCAGGAGCATGAGGATGGAAGTGAGGCCAGGCCGGGAGGAGATGCACTCCTGCGGCATTAAAAGCACGGCCCAGAACTATGTCACCAGCCCAGTGGCGCTCCGTGAAAAATTCCCAGTCCTCAGAGTGCACCAGGTACTCATCAACGAAGAGTTTCATCGCAGCTTGAGAAACCAGAATGCCGGCACCTCCATGGGCAAATAAAGTCCAGTCAATGAAGAGATCCGCTCCGGCATATATGGGCTTCGTATGATCCATGGATGCTTGGTACTTGAGCATGTTTGACCAGAACATGTAAGTATCCGCTTCGATGAAGACATACCACTTTTTGCCTGGATAGAGATGGTATCTGCAATAGAAATGATTAGATTAATGGTATGATCACATCGTCGATTGTTGGGAAATGACCTACGTGTGGTTGTACATTGGTAGGAACTTCCACTTATCCAAGCGCCATCCTCCCATACCCATCTTATCAACATCATTGGGATGCCGATTAAAACCAGCCTTGTTGCTGAGTTCATTCTGCTTCAGTGCAGCCCGACCACTCTCCTGCACTCGTAGGTAAAACTCAAAGTCAGAATGCTCATACTTCATCTTCGGAGACACTGGCTCCAGAGAGTCAATAATTTCGACTCCTCTGAAAGTTTCCGCATGGTCGCTGAAGATGAGATAGTTCGGATAGCATCTCAAAGTTGTATCAATGTGAACCGGAAGCTTGTGTTCGAACTCCGTCACTCCCGTCTTGAGGACGACAACAGTGTCATTTGCGCCTGGAAGATCTCTACAACGAAGTCCTCCGTTCTCGGAAAATGTATCTCGAGCGGCTGATGTGCTATGGTCTGGCTCCGGTTTTGATCGAGACCAGGGTCGAGTATTGTTTAGTATGAAAATGGCAACCAGGAAGATCAGAAAGTTGCGAAGATTTGCAACATAGCGCCGTCGAGATGAAAGAAGCCTGCCGAGTAGAGACATGTCATATCTTTGGCCTCGTGGAAGCTGGTTTCTTGGAGCGGAATTGATGAGGTGAAGTGTGTTGGTGTAACGATAAACTTCATCGCTCGACTGTTGGGAAGGCCCCGAAAAGGGAGCCATCGCTGTAACTTTCCCACAACCCGGTCAGTGGACATGTGAAACTGCGGTCTGTGGTTCGTCAAGCGCCTCCGCTACCGCTTGTCATTAAGCTTTGGAGCTAGTGTGAAGCAAGCCTCAACGCCAACCCGTCGCTTACTTACTACTAAACATTGTGATGATTTGGATCTGCAGACTCACTTCTTCCTCCCGATAAGAATACGCGCTTTCACGATTGTGATGAGACCATCGGTTTGGGGTCGCCAGTTATGAAGCGGTGATGAAGTGGCATGATGAGACCGCAGGACCAAGATCGTTTTCTTGACGAGCACCTCCTTTACGATCAATCAGTCGGATCGCAAGACCAAAACATCTCTTCCGGTCAGCACTAGACGCCGACGCCCGTGGCACTCACACTACGTTTGATGAGATCAAAAGGAGTAGAGTTCTCAAGGCGTCAAGCCGCACCACATGTCCGCCACCACACACGGCGTGCAATCAGGCCACCAGTATCGCCGTCGTGGGTGACGAGTCAATTTCACTCCCCGACTAGAGTTCAGCCTTGCAGTCCATCTGATGCCTGGAAGCGGCATAGACAATGTCTACTAGGGGAGAGGGAATCGCACAGACAAGCCGGGCGAGCAGTCGATCACATCAAAGAGAACGAATCCTGTCTCATCAAACCATCGGATCATCATCATCTTCATCATCGTCGTCAAGCTTCGTCAAGTCTTTTCTGGGTTTTCTTCCCTTTCACACTCTTTCATCCACCTTTCTCACTCTAGCAACAGCAAAAGACCTGGTTCACTCGTTCACCATGTTCTCCCGCTACGTTTCCACAGCCCTAGTGTTCGCCAGCGGTACGACCGCTCTGTTCGGCCGCCGTGGAGGAGATGTCTGCTCTCAATCTCCCTACGCTGCCATGCAGGCGTACGTTAGCTATGCTCCTGCCCAGTCCGCTTGCTGGGCTAGCTACCCTGGCACAACTTCGACCGTCACAGTAACCGGAGGCCACTCCACCATGTGGGTGACGGAGACATACCACCAGAGCATGACCATTCCAGGTTACGTCTCTCCCTCAGCAACATACGGAGCTTCCACGACCGACTCGGCAACTGCTCCCGGTGTCTACCCAACAGCAACCTACAGTGCATCCAGCTCTTCCTCCGATGTACCAGCCACCCCCACAGTCGACCCACAGCCAACCTTTACATTCACGCCATCACCTACAATCACCCCTACTCCAACCCAGAACGGCGTAGCATCCCGCAACAAGCGCCGTGCAGTCATGTCAGACTCCTACGCCCAGTTGATGGAATCCTACAGCGCTATTGGTGATGTCTGCATGTCCACTGCTTGCTCATGCATTCAGAGCCCCAAGACAACTACTGTAAGTCAACTCACAGCCTCGATCGAGCGAATGAATGAATGAATGAAACTGACTGGAATGAATAGGTCACCTCTGGATCCATCACCGCCTACACGAGCACAATCACAACGACTCTTACTGCTACTTACTCCGCTTGAGTAAATGGTTATATTTCACGGGCTTGTGTCAATTGCTGAAGCTCGACGATAGACAAGACACTTTTTATTCCGATTCATGACCCGGGCTGGCGTTGGGGACTACTATGGCCAGTCTGTGGAAATTTCTATAGCAAGATAAAGGCTATGGCCACATTGAATGTTCCAGCATCATTCCATCTTCCACTGTCTCCGAATGCACTCCTTGCTGCTCCACTGTAAAGACATCCAAGGGTGCAGCTATTCCTCCCTTCTCACAAACACCCCGAGATGACAAGACCAACGAGTCTCACACCGTATATGAACATGAGACCCTGTGAATCGTGATGGCTTGCACAGCAGGTTTGGAATAGACCGCGAAACCRTTSTACCATGCGAAAGTAAACAGATCGCCAAGATTGTGGTGCGCAAGAAAACTGCCGCCAACGCAGAAGCTTCTTTGATACTTCATGGTAGTGATGAACTCAGTAGTGTTGAGTTCTCTTGGTCCAACGTTGCGCAAAATTCCAATATATTTCCCGAGGTGTTCATCGGAAGTCGTTGCCGGGAGTCGAGAGAATGGAAGCTCTTTATCGTTCGAGCCATCGCGGAAACAAACCATGGAACCAAAGAATGCTCTCGTCGAGTGGACCCTCAAGACATCTCGGACAAAAATCCTTTCGGTTGCGATCATGTTCCATCTCCAACATACCCAGCAGCTTCGGAATCCATGCAGTCCAATCGCGAAACCCAACAGCAAAACACCAGAATCTCAATCATCCATCCATCCATCCAAATCCAATCTCATCATCAAACAAACCCCCCATTCCCAATCATATTCCACAAATTATCATACCTCCACCACATCCACTCCCCCCCCCTCCCCCTCCCTCCTCCACCCCAACTCCGCAACAGCACTCAACCTCAACCCAGGTTTCATACCCATCATCTCCAATTCCAAAAACACCGTAGCACTCCTACTTCCCACCGCAGAAGAAATATTTCTTATAACAATCTCATCAAACCCTTCCAATCCACTCAAAGCATCACAAACACCTTTAAAATCGAATTCTTGACCAGGCCAGCGTGCGAAACGTGCGGTGAAATCTGCGGCGACGTGTGCTGTGACTTCGCGGCCTGGGGGAGTTTGGAAGGCGAAATCGTGGGTGTTTATGCAGTTGATGCATTTGATTGTTAGGCGTTCTAGGTAGGCGCCTGTGACTGACAATGTTGTTGGATTTGCTTCTGGTTTGGGAGTTTCTTCATGGTCTTGCGGGGGCGCCATTTATTTTTTGATCTTGTAGAAATAGAAGGCTGTATATGGCATATCATCGCTTAGATTGAATATATCTCTGCCGACAGCATCTTTCGCTGGTGCGCCTTCTCATCTTTTATGCGCGGTATTGCGTATTAAGGCGAGAGACGCCCTTGTTCTCGCGAGTCGCGACCGCCGCATTCGTGTCGGACGGGAAGTGGTATGGGGAATTTGAAGTGGCATGAGGATGGAGGGAAGCCTGAAGGATTGTGGAGCATGCAGAATTGCTGCAGCACAGTTCGAAAAACTGGAGATCTGAATCATCTGATAGGTTGTGCTTCCTCCGATGCTGTTCATTGCAGCCGAGGCTTTTGAAAATGTCCAGCTTGAGATGGGTGAGGTTGCAGACCTGTTAAGATCTGAAAGACATCGTTCGATGCGACATTACAACGCTGCTTCCTACTGTGCTCATAGCCATCTGCCCACGAGCATTCCGTCGATTCACTAGTAGAGTCGGCAGACTACAAGGTTTGCGTAACAGTTTTCTTTTTTTGGAAGCGTACGTACAGATGTCTGACCTACGCTCCCTTGCGCCGTATTGCGCATTCATTCGCATCCTTTCACTTCCACTTCCGCTTGTACACTTCCATGTACACTTCCATGTACACTTCCTATGACTCACTCACTTTCACTGCCTGCCTGCCTGCCTGTCTGCCTGTCTTTGCCCATCCGCCACCGATGCATGAAGAGGGGGAAAGCACAATCACACAAACTTACGTTGGAGTCCAGGTATGTTCGCATCAGTTCGGAGCCTTGGGAAAGATCATGTTGTAGACCGCGTCGACGACGTAGGAAGCCGTGAGCTGCCTGCCGCCGAACCAGCGACCGTTGAGGCCCTTGACGGCGTTTTCGCCACCCTGTACRCGGTCAAACTTGACGTAGACTTCGCCGTCATTGTTGTCCAAAGCAAGGCCGAGGTGGATGACCTTGCCATACTTTGCATCGCACTCGACGCGCATCTCGCCTTCGAGTTCTTTCTGCCAGCCTGGCTCGGTCTCCCTGTGATGGTCATGAGTATTGCAACAAGAAATGTGGGTAGGATTAGGTCAGCAAACTTACGTGGCTTGATCGTAGACGTTCTTGATGAGGACGCAGCGAGAGGCGGTGGGTTGAACCACGGCGGGCTGTTTCTGTGTCTTGGGAGCGATCTTCTGCTCAGGCTCGTCAGTGCGCGCAAGCTTACGCATAAGAGACTCTCGACTGTAGTTGGAGAAGTTGACACCTCCAACATCGGTGTCGTCTAGAGCGCTGGCTCCACCTGTCTTGTCAGCATCGCGTGCCGCTGCGGGGCGGTCGAAGCTGCTGGCGCCACCCGCGTGAGCGCCCCGACCACCCATTCCGGAGAATGAGGAACCCTGCTGCGTCTGAGCGTTGTGAGCCTGGGAACCGAAACGTTGAAGCAAGACGGTAGTAGACTCCGGCGTAAACTTATCGTTGCCCAGGCCCACGCGAATTGGACGTCCGGCGAGCTCGAATCCATTCATCTTGTCGAGAGCATCCTTTGCTTCGGTGGGATCAATGAACCTTTTCAAAGTCAGTATTGGTATGGTAGAGCTGACTGATCAAACTTACTGAACGAAGCCGTAGCCCTTTGAGCGACCAGTGTCCTCCTTCTGGAGTTGTACAAATTCCAATTCGCCGAATGGTGCGAAGACGGAYCGCAAGTCCTCCTCAGTAATACTGAAGTGGATGTTTCCGACGTACAGGCGGTGGAATGGAATTCCGTTGGATTGGGTTGGCTGGCCTTCGGTGGTACGAGCCTGGCGGTTCTTTTCTGCCTCTGTGAGCTGTGCGATGATGGGAATACCGCATAGTTTCTGGCCAGTCATCTGAATGGCCTTCTGCACTGACTCTTCATCTTTGAATTCGACGTACCCGACACTGTCGAGTGTTAGCATATGATCGCAATCAAGCTGTAGTTTGCATGCCAAAGCACGAAAGACTCACCCTTTTGAGCGCTGGCTCACGCGATCCTTGACAATCTGTGCATCAGCAACTGGTCCCGCCATCTCGAAGAAATCCTTGAGCTGCTTGGTGCGAAGACGAGCAGCGAGCTGCTGCACAAAGACTGTGCGCTTGTCGCGTTCATCCTCGGTCGGCATCTGTGGTGGGGAACGACGGCGGTGGCCTCCATCACGACCTCCTCCATCACGTGGACCACGGTCGTCACGTCCATCGCGGCCTCCACGTCTTCCATAGCCGTTGCCGCCTCCGCCGCCACCGCGGTAGTCGTCGTCATATCTGCTGCGCTCATATCCGCGACGTCCGTCGTGTCCACGATCTCCAGGCCGATAGCTGTCATCGCCACGACGGCCAGAGTTGTGATAGTTGTCACGAGATTGACGTTCACGGGAGCGTTCGACACGGCGGTGCTCGCGCCGGGGTGAGCGGCTTCTCGCCTTGCTGCGTATGGAGCCGTTAGCGCTGTCCTTGTCGCTGCCGCCATGACTGCCGCGACGGGCAGCAGCCGCGTCATCGTCACCAATGTCCCTGGACCGCCGAGCACGGCGCTCGTTGTTTTCTTCGCGCTCATTCATGTACCTGTCGGTCGAGGAGCGTGGTGGCCCCATAGGATGGCCGCGGTTGCTGCTACTGCTGCTTGGGCGGTAGTAGTCGTCGTCAGTCTTCTCAACCTTGATCATTCTGTCGGTCTTGGTGCTCGGCTCGATATCCATGGGACCGCCGCCATTCTTGTTCTGACGCTCGCGCGCGAGTTTCTCGTGGACCTTGGCAGCCTCGGTCTCGATGAGCTCGTCAATGTTCTGGTAGGACGCCATATTCGGATATGGTGCAGGCAGTGTTGCGATGTGGAATGGGTGAGGTCGGTGCGGTTGATGCGCGAGGAGGTGGAAGTCTGTTCTCGGAGGTAGTGTTCTGAAGGTTTTGTCGAAGTGCGCGTGATGTCGCGGAGCAAACTTGGCGGCGGAGCGCTGGTGACCGAATGTGATTCACCGAAGAGCTCTCTCAGCCTTCACCTGCTTATGCTATTGTGGTAGAGTGTCGAACAGCGAAGTGACCACGACGTGCACGTGGAAGTCGGTGCGAAGGAGGGACCAAAAGGTTGAACGTGGTCGAGGCCGCGGCTAGCAGGGATTTAGAATAAGCTTTTCTTCGCGGCTCAAATTCTGGCAGGCTCCGTACCAATGTTTGATGGGGCGGATTCGGTGGTATCAAAGATATAATGCCGCAGGATGGAATGTGATGTTGCTGTGGATGGTGGATAAAGCGTGTTGTTGATGCAATGTACAGTCTTCCATGATGTAAGATTCACTGTAATACACGCAGTTGCTCCACCACTTCTTCCTCTGGCGGATTTGATGGTACCTTCATAGTCAAAGATATAAAATGCCGCATGTCATGTCATGCCATCCATCGAGTGTGTGTATATCAAATCGAACGCTGTGACCAAGTGGTCGGCATTATAATTACTATCATCACAATGGGTATCTATTCTACGATGCGTAGTTGCCGTTATGTTCCCTGCCATGTCGATGTCCTATCGATGCTGTGTGTTGTTCTGTCCGAGTGCATTGCACCAAACTCATGTCGTCTTGAGCACCTTTGGCGTCGGCGGTGGAGCCAACTCTGTGCCGAAGATTCTGTCCCAGAACCGGCTGGTGACACCAAACCCATTCTCATAGTCCATGAAGTGATGCTGGAGATGGTACTTCTTCAATTCGCGCCAGTAGGCCGGAAGGCTGCAAAATAGGTTAGCGAGGGAACTGATTGATTTGGACAGGGAATATGCTTACGTTTTGTGGTGTAGGAAGTAATGAGTCAGATCATAGCAGATGTATCCGAAGATGCCACCGCAATATACCGCGGTCGCAGCATACCAATTGTAGAAGAAGACGGTGTGAGCAAGCTTCCAAAAGGGTGTTGCCAGCATAATGAAAAGTGTTGGTGGCATGACAAGGCGTAGTCGGTCCATCGGAAGGTAGTGGTGGATTCCATGAAGTAGGAAGTGCAGTGTGATGGCAACTCTGTTATCTGGGAGGTGGTCGTCAAGGTGGAAGAGGCAGCGATGTAGGCCGTACTCGACCAGCGTCCATATGCACAGTCCAACAGCCCAGTACAAGGGGAGCGCGGGGAAGCCCAAATGGATGCCAGATAGCACTGTTCCGAAAGCCACGGGAGGGAGCCATACCATGGGGACAACCCACCAGGGCGTCTTGGTGAGAGGCTCGAGAAAGTTGCCAAATAGTGGTGCACTCTCCCCACCTTTGTAGTGTCGTGGTCGATGCACCTGCTCGAGGTAGAACTTCTTGCTGAAGCCGCCGAACCAAACCTGCATAAGCAGAGGCTTGTTCAAGTCCAGGAACTTGTGCTTGGTGTAGTCCTGCGTCAAGTCGGTTTCCTTACTGAGATCTGCCTCTGAACTCATTCCCGTCGACTCGTACACTGCCTTGCCCTCTCCCTTGCCGTTCGCCACAACTTGATCCCGGGCTTCCACTTCTGACACTGCACCATTGTTGCTCTTGTCCAGCTCCTTCATTCCCTTTGAATTTGGCTCCATGGGTAGTACGCTGAACGGGTCGTCACTGTGCTTCACCGCTTCCAAGACCTTCTCTGTCGCAACGAAACCGATCAGGTAATCGTCGAGAATCTCCCATGCGCTCTCGCTGTGTGCATGTGAGATTACGTCTTCCATCGCCTCTTTGACATCCTGTCCAGCATAGTCCAGAATGAGGTCGCCGCCACCGGGGTGATCGTCCAGAAAGGGTGTGATATCGTACACCTTTGTCCCAATCGTTACATAGCACGACTTTGCGGTGTTGTGTGAAGCGACCTCTGCACTGGGCAGTGTCGGTAGTGTGCGGCCTGGCATGATTCTCAGGTTCCTGTGGCGTAAACTATTGCTTAATGTTCGTAGGACCGACAGAGAAAAGAGTCCCAAATATTTGAGGAGGACAACAGAAAACAAAGAGCGTGAAGAAATGCTACGATGCACCCGTCTAATGTAGAGATCTCCTGAGATCTTCCGAGCCGTAGGGTAGAATCTCGCCACCCACTGCATGGCGCGTTTCGGCAAGCGCAGAAACCGGGTGTCCGACGCGCTTGAGACACCAACTTCACCCATGTCACACCATTTTTATGCAGACCATCCCGTCCATCTTGAAGCAAAGGTCATCTCTTTTGCCTGAAATCCGTCTGGACTGTCAAACCTCAAGATGAGATCCTTGGCATGTGATGGTGGAGGAACGGAGACGGCAGGTCATTTCAAACAGACTTTAACGGGCGAGAAAAGGGTTGTCGTGCACAATTCGTCGGGCAGGCCATGCCATGGTGGGAATTGGCAAAGGCGCATGAAAGTGGCGGCGGAAATTCATGTGCAGAACAATGTTGTCCAGTTGCTGCCGCATTGCTATCGGCACAAGTCCACGAACATAGATGGTGTTGTATGAGAGAGTGGACAAGACGAGTAAGTAAGTATGCATTCAAATCTCTCCCATGTCCATTTATCTGAGCGTGCTCGCATCGTTCTTGATGCATTACATTCCTCCATCAAACATGAGCTGTCGTCGCTCTGATCATTCACGTGAATTGGGAAGAGATGTATGCTGCTACTGGACTGTCGTGGAAGCCACGCCTGCCCTCCATCAGGTTTCGGCGTTGGCTTCACCGAGACAAGGACTTCTTCCAGCACCATCAGGCACGCGACGGACACGACATCATTTGTAACCATGAGCGCACCCCAACCTCCGCGGCGCAAGCCCTCCAGAACTCAGTATTCTGCAGGCGGCATCGTGGACCTTGGAGACATGGCAACACCGCCTCACTTCCCACCGCTGGCATATCACCCAGAGTCCGACTTGCGATCCAAACCCAACGACTTTCTTCCTCATCACCTGGTGGAAGCGGACCATCGTACGCGCAGCGATGTAGAGCAGAGCCTCGACGATCTTGAGTCGGCAAATGGGGATGCTTTCGACTACCCTTCTCAACACGAGCAGCATTCTCCTCTGATCTACCCAAGCTGGACACCAATCAATGACCGATCTGTGCGACCTCGAAAGCTTCCACTGGATTCTGCTACCTTCATGCAGCGGAATGGCTACACAGTGACAAACGGGGAGCTGCGCATGAACGAGATCTTCGAAGACGATTTCGAGAAGGTCGACAAACAAGACGGCTTGGTCTATCACCAGGGTCATAAGTCTCGCGACGTTGATGGACATGGGACCTCATACTCGATTGTCTGGCTGGAGGACGACCCTGATCAGCTGCCCTCGCAAGTACAGCTGTGGGAGGATCGGCAGACGAAGCAGCGGCGGTCAATGGAAGGTCCCGCGCTCGAGAATGCTGTGCGGCACATGTTGGAGACGGGTTCTGCTCTTGTTTTGGAGCGCACAATTTCCGAGACGTCATGCAAAGATAACTACGAGTGTCTACTGCCAGGTATGTCTTCCAAACATACACTCCGGAGCGCTTCAAACGTCTCCTCACGACCTGCACGTGTGAAGTGGTACTGACTTCTGATAGACTGCCAATACACCAAAACTTCGATGCCATCCGGCCACTTCTACCTCACCCTAAGACCTGGACAGCAAGTATGGCAGCTGTCGAAACCATTCTACTTCTGTCTAGCGTGTTTCGAGAGACTCTGGACAGGAGACTTCAACAAGACTCCCGGATCTCCGGGCATCAGGATTCACCAAGACACAGATCCACTCGAGACACAGGCCGCAGAATCAAGACACGATGAGCTTCGCTCAGAGACGCCAGTGGACTGGGACTATTACACGAATGAGCTAGCCCTAGACGGAGCCATGAGAGAGCTGACAGTAGACGATGCTCTACGCATTCCCTCACTGTGTTCATCCCGCCACGCACCGCCTGATATCGCCAGCAGTCCATTGCATCAAGTCCTCTCCGAGCTCGAAGACGTACCAGACGACTCACCCAACTCTGTCAACTCGCGAGGCGATTGGATCGCACCTCCGAACCGAGTCCAGCACATTGCAGGATTCATCAAGCCCGGCAAGTCTCTGAGCGAAAGCGAGACTGCAGCCGTGAAATTGTGGAAAGCAGCGAGTTTGAAGCAGCTGGCATGGGAAGCTCACCAGCGGAAAACCAAATACAGGCGGGAGTTTGAGAACGGAGAATCTCTCGTGGATAGAAGTCTCAACATGATTAAATATCAGATTGCAGATGTGGACGGTGAGAAGATCGATGAGGCTGCGGCGGAAGCAATCGTCAAGTTGCCAAAGCGTCGTTTCCGCGGTTGTTCTTTGGCGGGAGTTTGGCTGGTGATGAAGAATGAAGCAGTCTGGGAGAATGAAGCAGTCTAGAAGAATGAAGCAGTCTAGAAGAATGAAGCAGTCTAGAAGAATCTCGCTTGTCGCGATTGGGAATGCGGGTTAGAAGGCTCGTGAGTGTGATCAAGGCCTGAGTGTTGTTAGCTCCTGCTTCTTCAACTAGAAGCCCATACATAGATATGAGAATCCGGGGCAGAGCACCAGGGGTTAGCATCGAGAGAAGCGCCATGCAGACAACAGTAACGTATTGTATCCTAGCACAAATAGATCTTATCATCTTGACTTTGACAGTACCTCACGTGCAAAAGTCCAATGAACAATCCTGTAATTTCCCTACTCAAGCAAACGAAGAAAAGTTCTGTAACAATCCCAAAACTGCCGCATAGACATCTACACCCTCCCAAAAAGGTCCCACGCTCTCTCAGCCACGCTCAGGGGACTAATAAACAGCCCACTCACACCCAACCGTCGACTGTGGCCACAATATGTATGGTTCCATTCGTTTCTGCCGTCGGCGAATCGTTCCTCGCTCGGAAGTGTTTCGACCTGTTCTCGGCTGGCTCTGCGTCTTTTCCATGTCAGCAAATCTAAAATTCGACAAGCAAAGACGTTTGCAGCTGCTAGCCATGTCAACTCTTTAGCCACGTCACGGCGTAAATCACATCAAGAATACGTGCACACGGGTGGGATATCATGGGGATATTTGTCTTGTTCAAGGTCGATCAGCATCTTGTACGTCTTGGCGCAAAAGTCTATAGCATAGCATCCGACGGAGTCTTTGCCAGGATGGGATTCATTGAACTTTCCTAGTCCATATTTCTCATACCGGCGCCAGTGATTCCGTCACTTCGCTATGCATCCGTAATATCATTCGCTTGCGCGTCGGGAGGGTGTCAGACAATGGGCCAATGTGATGTGGGTATCGATGCGGGCTGGTGTCTCGTGCGTGGTGTCGTGCAGGTGAGCTATCATGTGTTGATACATGATATTGAGTGCTTCATGTAGGGGAGGATTCCCGATCCGTTTGACATGTCGGGGGATGACTAGGGTCGGGGGAGGTCGTCTTGGGGCAGGGAATTTGGAGCCGCAATATATGGCGGCAACACGGGAAGGTGCGGGCGGACGGGGCTGCTTCTGGTGTGTGCCGTACTGTTTGGAAGATCACCAGCATTGGGAGTGTTGGCAGGGAGTCCGAGGCAAGAATTCTGGTCATCGTTGGGTTTCCAGATTCGTTCATCGGGGCGCCAAACTTGACACACAGTAAGCCGGATGGATTACTCATGACATGACATGGCCAGGCATTGGGCATGGGGAAGGGAAGGTTGCATGTGATGCATGAAGATCTACATCTGCACATTGCTTGCAGCAGCTAAGGGGGAGTCAGTGATTGTTGAGATAATAATAGTCACACACTCGTCAATGGCGGTCAGGCTGATTCGACAGGCCAGGCGGCGACATCCCAAGTGAGATTTGATTTGTCGGCGGCACCATCACAGCGAGCACCATTGCGAATATGCGATTGGGGGTGTCAGTATCTTACCAGATTGACGCTTGATCTGCTCACGGGCCCAGCGTGCGGTATCCTGAGTTCGTTGAGAGAACTCCTTGTTGGCGCGAGTTTCGCGAGCCATGGCAGTGAGCCAATCAGCGCGGAAGTACTGGGCGACTTCGCCGTTGGGGAAGGCCTCGGAAATGTCCCTGTACAGAATGTCAGAAAGTTATCACAGCAGATAGAGGCTAGTAGTGACATACCCGAGTACACCCATGCTTGATCTCAGTAACGCCTCGGTGCGGTTTGGATCATTGTAGACGCTCTGCAGCAGCTGGAAGATCGACTCCACATATGGGAGAAGAAGTGACTCTGCGAAGGGTATTAGTAGGGTAAATTGTGGCTTAGATTGGAGATGCTTACGCTTCTCTGAAGCCCTCAGAGCCATAACAATGCCACTCCAGGCATCCATGATTCCCTCACGGAGAGAAACAATGTAATCCAGCATCTCAAAGTTCTGAGCGTTCTCCTGTGTGCTGATACCAGCTGCTTGCTGCAAGACTTGCGCAACGACGGAAAGGTAGCTTTCGAAAGCACCGCCGATGGCTTGGGCAATATCGCCGAAAGACTGCAGAATCGCGGGCTTGAACTGGTTGCCCAAGGTCGTGCTCTGTGAATAGGTTAGTTCTGTGGTCGATGGCGATGGTGACGCTAGAGGTTTGGAACTCACCCTCAAGTTGTTTAGCAGGCAGTTCATGAAAGCATCGCAGAAAGGCTGAACCTTGCTGTCAAGCGCACGGGTGATATCCGTCACCAAGCCAATGGCAATAGAGCAMAGCTGAGGCTCCTCCTGGTTCTTCAATGCGTTCGTGAGGAACGGCTCAAAAGACTGCATGTACTTCTCAAAGTCACCCTCAAGGGCATTGGCCAAGGAGCCAATCGTTGCAAAGATGGTGTCTGGGACGCTGGACTTTGGTGGGAGAGCCTGAAGAAGGCCAAGCATGAGATTCATGATGCGGTCAGCCTGAGGTGCGATTTCACGCTCCAGACGCTGAATGATTGCCATGACCACAGAAGTAAGAGATGTCTGAATCTCATCAAGAGTAAGACGATCCTCAACAGAGACGACCTGGGTCAGGAGTGGAATGGTCTTCTCGAGGCGGTCGATGATGACATCGCTGAGGCTGGCAACCATTTGGACGGAATCGTTTGCGGCGTTGGTCACGAAAGCATTCAGGACTTCGTATGCTGCAGTGCGGAGGGTGTTCTCGTTGGTGCTCTCAGTCAGCTGAAGCAGATGCTGTACACTGGCTTGAAAGTGTTGTGACAGAGCGTTAGTCTGACAGCCTGGCTCACCCGCAAATCGGTCCGCAAGGTTCATCAGAGCCCAGCAGCAAGAGCTTGCCATCTTCGGGTGTGATGCGAGACCTGAGAAGAGGGCTGTGATGRGAGACTGAAGATGCTCGTTCGGGTCAATGGAATCCGAAACTGCCTCGCAAATGCGTCCCAGCGCAAAAGCGGCAGAGTCCCGAACCTGGATGTGCTGGTCGGCCATCATGTTGATCAGGACTGGGAGAGCCTGCTTGACAAGCGGGTCGAGGACCTTCTCGTCGGGACCTTCCATCATGGCTCCAAAGGCAGAGACAGCGGCGTCCCGGTAGTGCCAGTCCTCGCTCCTCAAGTTCTTCTCGACGAATCCGAGGACTGGTGGCACAACCTGGCTGCCGACAGCCTGCGACCAAAGCTGCACGCACTGATACGCGGCACGCGAAACGTTGTATTMATCGTCACCTGCGTCCTCATCCTGCTTCGCTAGCAGTTCAAGTAGCACGGGCACGACTTCTTGAGTGGCCACGCGGGCGAAGTTGAAGTACGGGCGCAGCTCAGTGCTGCCTTCGGACTGTGCTTGGGCGTTGTCGTCTTCGATGCTGATTTCCTCCTCGCAGACTGTGCACCAAAACTCGACCGCAAGCTTTGCAACATCCTCTTCCTCGTTCTTCATGCCTTGAATTGTGAGACCGAACAATGCCTTTTCCATGTAGAAACGCATCTTCTCGTAGTATAGGCCCATGATACGGTTGAGGCATCCGTATGCGCCTTGCTGAATGCGATGATCGTCTGCTTGTGTGGCCTCGCAGATGACCTGCATAATGTAGTTCCGCTCGCCTTCGTTTTCGAAGTTGGTGCGGACGAACTCGAGGGAATCTCCTAGTGCTGTGATGGCAGCGTTCCGAATTTCGGCGTTTGGCTCCTCCTTGCGGGCTCCTTGAACGACCGCAGTGAGGATGGCATTACTGTGCTGGGCAAGGCTGTCTCTGAGATCCTGCTCGTCCGTCTCGCACACGAAGCCAATGGTGGTGAGAGAGGCCTGTTTTTGGTGATCGGTGCCGGATCCCACATTCTCCACCAGTGTTGTCATGAGCTCTGGCCACTGCTCGCGTGGCAGCTCAATGGCCGCGATCGAGGCAATGAATTGTGCAGCGGACTGTGCAGCCCGTACATCGTTGGTGTTGAGGGTCTGCAGAGCAAATGCCTTGATCTGTGCCTTGACCTGTGGGTCAATCTGTTCGAGCCATCGCTGCTGGGCGTCGCGCAGGCGTGCAAAGTCACGGGCTGCAAAGGCGTTTTTGAGCATGAGCCCCGCGGCCATGCGCACTGAGGAGTCGGCCTGATCATTGGCGAGTTCGCGGGAGAGGGTGACGAGGTAGCCGGGCTAGCATAAAATCAGGCGGTTAGCGGAGTGCTCCGAAGACCGAGCAAGGGAGGACGGGGGAGGGGACGTACAAAGTCCTGGTCGGCGGCCTGGTTGAGCTGCTGCTCGGCGGCCGCGCGCACGTTAGCGTCTGAGAGAGGGTCAGCATTCAGGTGGCCGTGGTATGCAGCGCCAAGGGCGCGCGTGACAGTGCAGCAGCAGCGAATGCATTCGCGGTCTCGCGGGCGGGGGAGGGCCGTTGGAGGCACTTACCGGGGGAGATGGTGCCCGTGAGGACGGCGTTGACGTCCATGTTGGGTGGTCGGGTTCTGAGGCGCACTGGGTGTTTCGCTGCGAGCTTCTTCGCTCTTGTTGGTGGTGGGCGTGGAAAAGTGACTGGGGAAAGTTTGGAAGGTAGGCCCTGGTAAATGCGGTGCAGGGCAGAGCGATCTGAAGTGGGACCCTATGGCGAGTGGGTGGATTCCCCGCGACACTCGTTTTTCGGGTCACTTGCGCTTTGTTTGGTCGAGGAACAGGAAGAGACTGACAACCGACACGCGAAGTGGTAGTTCACGAGGCTAGGTGGAACGGAGAAAGTGATGTCGGAGATGAAATGAAATGGCGAAAGTCTTTTCTTGCATCGCTTTTGCGTCGTTGCCCAGGTGAATCTCCACCAGGACTAAGTGACTAGTCCGCAGATCTCGAATAGGGTCAGCAGAATGCAACCTGGAAAACTCCACGTCCTTTGAGAAACAGCATGCGATGGCTGGAATGACCTTACAATTGAGTCAGTAGCGGAAGGATATATCGTGCACAAGCGTTGATCAACAATGGTGGTTGTACAGCTATATAGAACACTTCAATACGGGTATCACTCAAATCCTTCCCAAACGCCTGAGGGATGTCCACCAACAGTGATAACTCCAACGCTTTGTTACGCCTTTGACAGTCCCTTCACAAATTCTCAGTACGCTCTTCTTAGTCGACTTCCATGCCCTCAATCGGCGCCAAGAAAGCGGCTTCCTCAAAGTCATCCACATCCAGGATGCGAACAACACTGTTCTGAGCAGTCTTGGTCGGACTAGAGCCCTTCAATCTGGCAATTGGCCTTGCTATGTCACGGTGAGCAGCAGCATCTCCAGCAGCCACCTGGTCAAAGAAGGCGTCCATGTCGTCTTCTACGTCATCCTCGTATGATCTTTTCTTTGCGCTACCAATGGACTGTTGTGATACACCCACGAAGCTGTTGTTCGAAGAAGAGGGTGTGTATTGCGAGAATGACAGACCGGGCATGTCCTCCTCCTCCCCATCGTCATCCCATTCTGCCGGAGCCGAGGATGTGACTTCTTGCGCCGCCCAGCCTCCGACCTTGTGTAGTACACAGAAAGGCGCGAGCTCTCTCGTGTTGGTCTGACTGAGAGTTGGCCGAATGGGCGCGTTGTAGGAAGGTCGCTGTGCAATCGGCGCGGAGCTAGGGAATGGAAAGCCGGCGTGGCCTACCGTCTTGTGGGTACGATAACCCTCGGGTACGGCCTTTCTCACCCTCATGCCGACACTGAGAAGAGATGCCTGGGTCTCCTCCGGAAGGGCTGGAGACATCGGCGAGTTTGGACTGCGTGGGTCGCCATTTCGGTTGAAGAAAGAATCGAGTGTTGTTTGGTTCGAAGGCTGGAACTGTCGTTTGCGTAAATGAACGGAATTCGCCATAGTGTTTAATATTCGAGTGCAGCTCTTCGTCAGGTGTACGCTGTGTTGGCCGATGATGTCGTTGCCATCTATCTACAGTATCTGCCAGGTGCAGGAGATTGCGAAGCATCTGCCGTGCACTTCCGGAAACTCAGACGCGGTCGACGCGCGTGGTTTGGAATAAACTTTCGCTCTCCGTCATGTCTTGACTGATCATCCGCATTGCATCCATCGACAAAGGATCCATTCTCATTGTCTGTTGCAAAGCTACACGTGTGGCTCACCTCGAACCAACAAAAATGCTGCCAGTACTGAAAACCAGCGCATGAGAATTCATGCAGGCTATCACGACCGAAACGTTGATCGAGAGTGAGACGCCATCGTACACGCATTCTGATGAAGATATGTACACACATGTCGCATGCTATTCCACGCTCTAGCTCCTATGACCGGAAGATAAAACCAGGACCTCAAGTTAATTCCTCAATGAAAACCTGCCATCCACCACGCTGGGTCTCGTCCGCTATTCACCTGCCTGCCCAGGCGGTCGCCGATGGACACCTTACAGACCGGCGGCTTGTGCCTCGCTGTGCTTCAATAGCACGGAGCGTACTTTCGGGGTCAGAGCAGTTCGCAACTCCGCATGAGCTGCGCCAAATTGCCCCATATTGGTGAGCTGCATACCCTTGGTCACTTCTCTGATTTTGACYGTGGCGGCCATTGCCTCTACCAGGCAAGCTAGATCATCGGAGCGTTCGGCGTGGCTCTTTTCCAGTATTGACCTCTTTCTCTCGAGAACCCAAAGACCGTGACGCTTTTCATGGATCAGGACCGCTTCGCTTACTGTGAGCTCCTGAACCTGTTTCCGGTATCTTTCTAAAGTGCCAGTGAGATCTTTGACCTGGCTCGACAACACGTTGACGGTAGACTTGATCACTTCAAACTCTTGGGATCTGTCTGCAGCCCCTTGGGCTTTGAGAAGCTTGGCCTGCAGAGCTTCAATCTGTGACGCGTGTTTGCCTTCGTCCTCTGACTGCTTCTGCGCAACAACACTCAAACTTTGTTCATTTCGGCGTTGATACTGTCGGAATGAATCCCGCACGCCGTCAAGTTGCAGCTTCTGGTTCTTGATTTCTTGGGCCTGTGCGACAATGGTCTCTCGGTCCTGCTCAGCCTTCGCCGCCGCCTGCTTTTGCTGCTGCTCAACCTCTGCCTCCTTCCGCCGAAGTTCCTCACCGAGCAGATGCAACGCGTTCTGGGTCTCTTTCCAGGCTTTCATTGACACATCGATCCTAGGTTTCTTGCGGCTGCCATGGTCGGATGTCTCTGCTGGACGCTTGGGATCCATCTCAAGGATTGAGGTGAATATGGAAGGTGTTGAAGTGTTATCGTTTGATGTGATGGTGCTGGAGAGGGATGGAAGGAGAGGTGGTGGTGAATAACTGCTGGTTGGTCTAAGGTCAGTTGTGAAAGTCCATTCGACTGGCATGTGATATGCTAACGCCTCACAGCGAAGTGAGAAGTGAACTCATGCAGAATGGCACTCGCGCTGTGTCGACCATCTTCAATCAGGCTTCGCCATTGATGTCTACCATAACAGCACATGCCCATTCGCATGAAATGCATACCCATTCACAGGACATATATGCCCATTCACAGGACAGGCAGATGCCATCGGCGCCGCATACTGACAACTCCCTGCGATTCACTCTCGACACACTCATGCTGCTGCCTGCTCCGACTGCCATATCTTCTTCAGCGACAATGGCCACTTTCTCACAATACTAACAAACATTTCCATTGTCATTTTCCGACAATGACAAGCCCAGCTCCTCGACGCTCTGGCCGGAAAACATGGGCAAAGAGTCTCTCCTTTGGTAGAGACTTTCTCGCCAATGCCCTCGGATTGTCCAGACCACAGCTCGACAATTGGCTGCTCTCCGATAGCGTCTACCCACACCTAGCCTTCTGGCATAGCATCTGCATCCAAAAATCACGCCGGTACAACGAAAGCATCCAATGGATCAAGACCGGATACTTCTTCGAGGGCCACAACCTCGAAGAAGACGTCATCCTGCTCTGCCTGGAAGAAGGAATTCATGGGAGTGACATGGATGCTAACGGCATTGCTTGTCAGACCTATGGGGACTGCACGACTCGAACATTCAAGTGGTCGACTGTTGAGCTATGGGCTCGCACTGTATGGAGGATTGTAAAGAGCAACAGCGGCAAAGGCGACATCTTCGAGAGAGCCGTCAAGTTCCACCCAGCCTCGGCCTACGGCATCGTTTTCGRCATGCTCAGCCTCGCCTTTCACAACATCGCCTGGGTGAAGGAAGAGTCTGTATGSTCGACACTCATCAGATGCAAATTCACCCCAGTACTGCCCCTGACACCGGTCGCGACTGCGGCTCCGTGGTACGAGGACCATGAGATCGCTCACCACATGGACACTGATGCCAATCCGGATGGCCCGAGCGAAGAGAGTCTTGAAGAATTTGAGGAAGTGACCGATGATGATGAGATCTACGATCTTTCTGATGATTCAGACTTCAGCTCAGACTCCGAGGTAGACACAGAATCTGTTTTTCTGGAGACTCCGAAGAAGGCGCGTGGATCGAACGGTCGTAAAGTCTCTCCTTCAGCCCCGACCAAGAATGCTCGAGGCAACAAGCGGGTGCGTGACAATGTTGACGATGAGGATAGCCCGTCCAGGAAGATCAAGAAGTGGGCTCAATCTCTACCGCCGCAGAAGGCATTGGAACACGACTCGAACAACATGCTGAAAATCTTCGACGAGAACGGTCGTCCAATCACTGGCTATCGCCCGGCTWCCATTTCGTCGCTGCCGATTTTGCAGCACACTATCGCCAAGAAGCCGGTCATCGAGGAGGACACAATAGTCCTGCGCAGAGACTCGGCGATATGGTCGAAAATTGGGAATGAAGCAACCGCAGATGGAGCGGCGGAGAATCTTGCTGTTGTASTGAAGGTGAACAAGGTCAACCCATTTGTCAGCAAGAAAGCCGACGGCAAGGCCTGTGCTGCTCAGTGATCAGGGAGAATGGGAGTTGAAATTCCTCAAACGGTGAGTACGATCTGCTCGCAACAGGTTCCTGCAGAGAACGCTGGACTCTCGAAAAGAGTCGCATGAGCTTCATCGTAACGATCATCTTGTCAGAACGAGCAGACCGCCTGAGTGGTGGTCTYGCTTTGCTTGCCTTATTTCTGTGCCACAGCAGGCCAATTCAGCAGGTCACTTAGCATAAAGTCGACAGAAAATAAAGCGTCTCGAAACTTGAATACCTCAACCCTTGTGAAGTCCTGTGTAGCTTTGTTGGATGACATTGCCTGGCATCCGGTCTCGCTTCTCGTCAATAACGAGAAAGTTGAAGCTTGCCGACTCCCCTTCGACGATATCGCTCGCAAATCAATGGCTACAGATTCAAAAGAAGCAGCCTTACGAAGAGCCAAATGTCTCATTCGGTGGCAAACCGAGCCTCGTCCCAATCGCCGGCTCAACGATTAGCCAGCCAGCCCCTCACATTCACTTCCACCCCGCGGCAACTTCTCATCGATTCAATAAGGTAGCCTCAAAAGAACATCCGAACACCAATCACCATCCCCAGAATCATTATACCCCACCACAAAATGTCCGAAAATTTCACAAGACCAACCAGATCCCTCGCCGGCCGCGTAGCAATCGTCACGGGAGCCGGGACAGCAGGCGACGGCATAGGCAATGGACGAGCAGCGGCAATTCTTCTCGCTGAAGCGGGATGCAGTGTAGTCTGCGTAGATGTCCAAGAGGAATTGGCTGCGAGGACAGTGGAGATGATTGCTAAAGATGGGTTTGGGAAGGGGATTTCGTTGAAAGGGAATGTTGCAGTTGAGGAGGATTGTAGGAAGGTTGTGGAGGGTACTATTGGGGAGTTTGGGAGGGTTGATATATTGGTTAATACGGTTGTAAGTTTTCATGCTGTGTTGTTTTTATTTGCTGTTATCTGATCGATTTTCAAGGGTATTGGTGGTGCAACGGGGACTGCTGTTGAAGTGGATATGGTTCAATGGACCAAATCTATGGAAGTGAATGTTTCGTCCATGGTTATGATGGCCAAGTATGCTATTCCAGAAATGGTAAAGAATGAAGGACAGTGGAGAGGTGAGTCGCAAATCCCCTGATTTGACTGTGGTCTGATAGCTTCCAAGGCAGTATCGTGAATATGGCTTCCGTAGCTGGAATCCGAGGTGGCAATCCTCATCTGCTCTATCCAACAAGTAAAGGCGCGATCGTAGTAAGTCTAATCGGATCATATACTGTAACTTGTTCTGATCATTCTCCCAGAATATGACCCGTGCAATGGCCGTACATCATGCTCCAGAAGGAATCAGAGTAAATTGCGTTTGTCCAGGCATGGTGTACACACCACATATGTATTCCGGTGGCATGAGCGAAGAAGCCCGAGAGTCGCGGAAGAACAGGAGTGTGCTCAAGACAGAAGGTACTGCTTGGGATGTCGGTGCCGCCATAAGATTTTTGGCTGGCGATGAGGCACGCTGGTGAGTTCTCCATCGCAGGGGTCTAGAGGATCTTGTTACTAATTTAATAACAGGATGACTGGTGTTATCCTCCCTGTCGATGCCGGTGCTACTGTTGCAGCTGGTTCGGAGGTTTCAAAAGAAGCAGCCACACACCCAAAGACATGAAGAATGTTCTGCTGAGCAGCAAGACGAGAACGAGACGTCTGATGGCCCTGGCTCCATAGAATCATCACTTGTTTTCAGATCTTGAGGGACGTTGGTGCAATATAATAACAGCAGCGGTATGCCCCTCCAAGTTCGGATGATATGATACCAAGCCCTGCCGTAGCTGGGAGAATGCAAATCCGAGCATCCAGGGCTCCAGGTACCAATTTCGTGCCCTTTGCTCTCCCTTGACATGGCGATCACCTCAAAGCCAAGTCGAGCTTCCGCAGCGGTAGCGTAGACTCCTATGAGATCCTCTCCCAAGTCTTGGTACTTCGTCAAACTATCTCGTGAAAGTGGCGTCCCTTGACCAGATGTCGTAGCATCTCCAAACATTGAAGGATACCCCACAAGAAATACCCTTGCTTGGGAAACAAGTCTTTGGATCTTCTATGACTGAGATGACTTTTCCTGTAAGCTCTCCGCCGTCTATACTGATTTATTCGGCATTATAACACCATTATTTCCTTGCTGTAGCATATGTCGTTGCCATCTCCAATCAGCGTGACGATCTCAACATCTCCCAGCAGCGAATTTAATTGCGGCTCGAAGCGACCACCTCTGATATCCTGAACTTCATTGAGGGCATTGAGAAGAGTTGCCCCCAACCTGGTAGGATCTATCCAGTCCACATCTAGTTTTCCAGAAGTCTGGCCGCATCGCGTTCTCATCAATGATGTGCTATGCCTCGGCCTGCGGCAAAGGAGTCGAGAGTAACGATATGTAAGCGGTGATATGCCATGATGATTGTTACGGAAATGGAGCAAACCRAGGCTTGAAGCTTGAAAAAGGCATGCCCGACTGCCAAATAGTGCTACTTTGATCAAATCTTCATTTATGCGCTGAAATCTGAGATAATGTGGTACCGCATAACATTGACACTCACCAACGTTCAAATCAATCGCCTTCGCAAGCCATACCCTTCTAAGCATGTACATTCTGGTCGTGTCAAAACATGCTCTGGCTGTAGCAAGATGTTCCCGTCTAGAAGAACTTTCCATGCACTTTCACCACACTGCTCTGCACTCCCCCATGAATCTCAGAAGAAGAGTCAGGACGATCCATGCTGAGGCGTTCCGCGTAATCAAAAGCAGCATCGGGTGCCGCTGGGCGATCAAGCGCAGTGAATGGATACCCTCCAAGCTTTGCCGTGATCCACAGAACGCTGATCCTGCCAACAAAAGCAGCAATGGAGAACAGAAGCCCACCCACTGGCGCGGCAACGAATGCACCAAAGGCGGACCAATCGCTTGCGTAGAGGCCTTCGCTTAGGATCAGGAGATTTCCGGCCCGAGAGGCATCGCCGTCGTAGTATACGAGTCCGAAGAAGAAGACGGCGAGAATACCGCCGATACCACCAGCGACGACTTCAAAGCCACGCCAGAAGTAAGCCTTTGAGCTCAAACCAATGACCAAACATGGAATGATCGATGCGCTGATCAAGTCTGAGATGAGGTAGATCTGCAGCACGCTTGGAGACTTGAGTGCTACAACAACAGTCGGCACAATCACAACCACAACGATCGCGCGGATGATCCAGATGTTGAGCTTGTTTCGGAAGAGATCATTGGAGCCGGTGGAAATGAGTGCAGATTGGAGGGAGTCAAAGGCGGACGTGCTRAGGGTAACGACCATGACAAGAACGATGCCGACCACCCAAGCGGGAAGCTGTTCCAAAAGGTTGAAGAGCTCAATTCCCGTGGGGACTGGCGGAACACCGAGTACTCCGGACCAGCCAGCGAGGAGACCAGCCACACCAATGACCGTTGTTATGATGACCACGACAACAGCAGCAATACTGACGCCAACCCAGAGATCCTTGTCGGTCTTTGCGGCGAATGCTCGCATCCAGAAACCAGACAGGAAAAAGTCGTTTGTCAAGATTGCCACAGGTAAGATGTACAGCAGCTGCCATCCAAGGAGATTCGCTTCGAGGTAGTTGGATTCCGCGATCAAGGAGCGGTCAATGTCTACAGTGACACCGACAGAGATCAGGCCAATGACAACGAACAGAAGAACCATGGCACCTTGAATGTTATCGGTGACGAAGGATACGCGGAATCCTCCGGCGGCGGTGTAGATGGTTGTGATGGCGCACTGAACAATCACAGCTGGCAGACCATTGAGGCCGGCCAGCAGATTGACCACCTGCTGGAGAGCTGAGAGCTCAGCCACCATGTACAGCCAGATCGTTGCAAGACTGCTTCCTGTCAGTGTGGGGTCTAGGTGTGTCAGGAAGAGATTGGGACTAACGTGAAGAAGCTCAAGTAAAGCGCGGTGATGGAGCCATAACGTTGGCGGGCCCACTCCGTCAACACAAAGCCTTCAGGACACTTCCTCCTGATGATAGGTCCCAAGGCGGCGAAGATGAACAGAGCAAAGCCGGACGATAGAGCATAGACTAACAATCCGTGCACTCCTGCGAGTGCAGCGATGTTGGGGTAGGTGAAAAGTATGCCAGATCCCAAACCTGATATTGTTAATCGGGATTAGTATTTCCGTCAGTGGTAATGGGGAAAGGGGAAGAAGCGGCAGCACATTTCCCACGCAAGCATTAACTTGATCGAGTCATAGCGGTACATCTCAGCTTCATGCTCAGTTCGCCATGTGCCTCACATCGTCTCTCCTAGGAGTTGGACGGTGGATTGCTGCATGCYAGAACTTGCAATCGGCGCCCGCAGTGCTGCACATCGTGCTCTCGGAGCCTCATCTAGATGCGTTTCATGGTATGATAGAAGTCGGACCCGAGAACACGATGCCGAAGAATGCATGCGTACGAACCTTGTATAACTTCGATGGTGTAGGAGGAGCGATGAACCTGTCGTTCCAAATGCCTTGCCGCTTCAAACCGGTCTTGCGACCCGACGGCTACACTCACCGGCTGCGATGAAGTTCAAGGCGAGCGGGATGCCTATAGCGAGTCAGTGAGTGAGTGGTCTTGGGGATACGTGGATTTGCAGGCCCCGATTTCTGCAGCTGTACCCGTTTGAGTTCTGTTTGCTGACAACCATTCCCCTGCCGATTGTCCACGAAGTCTCCATGCGATGAAGAGCCCAAAGACGCTGCTATCCGTCAGTCGTGTAACGTGGGGTATTGATTGTTGCACAAAGCTCACAGAAACGCCGCGTATGTGCAGTATAGCAGGGCGTTGGACGCCTGCTCCGATGGGATTCCCATATTGCCGCGTGTCGATGCTGATATGACGATCTGCTGTGATGTCGATGTCAGGAAAGAATACATCGCCGTCGTTGGTGCGGTGGACGAAATCCTTGCACGGGATCTAGAACTGATCAAGATGGTGGCCGAGCAAGCGAAGTGCGAAGTCGGCGTCACTTCCCGCCGCCACTGTTCTTGCTCACCTCACCTCACCTCTCTCTTCACACTACCTCAACCACGTCGCCTCGAATCATGGTTTTCAACACAAGCGTCGAATGAAGCATGTCGCTTGAGAGTACTGCTGATGGACGTGACATCAATTCAATGGGGACTTGTAATTACTGAAGCGCTACCTTATCCTCCTCCGCCAGAGCAGAGATGGAGCATTGGTGGCAAATCAAACTGAACGACATTCAGTGTACCTTCCCCTTTTGAGTAATGTGCCTTTCAGAGAGCTGCGCTGCCTGTTGCCGGATATTGTTCGTTGTCGATGCCCGACATTCTCCGCCATCCAGTTGTGCAGGAGGAGCCATCAAAGGCTTCCTCTTCAACTCTCCCGGGCTGATTTTGGGTAGAATACCATGCTCGCAGCGGCTTCGCTATCATTGGTAGCTTGAATGTGTTTGTGGGTGGTTGTGAGACCTTCAAAGCCCTGGCGCCTTCAGGTCTTCACGGTTGGCGGGGACAGAGAATCTGCTGGAGTCGCCGAAATGGGCTGAGCTGCTGCCTGTTCGGGGACTGTAATCGGATCAGTACTGTTCAGAAGGCTCTAGTACGAATCATGTACTCACCCGCACTTGAGTTGGAAGCAGTGGTGTCATTCGTCCGGGATCCCGTCTGGTCGCCCTTGTGCTCGGTCTGATTGTGCTTATACATCTTATTTCCAGAAGGGAAGGTTTGCTGGCATAAATGAAAGTAGTGCGATCTCTGCAGTCTCTCGCGACCATATGTTGGCAAGTTCTGGAGGTTCGGGTTGCTGGGTAGAAGTGCGAGTCTGGCAAACTTGCGCTTCCGCTTGTTCGCGGCCTCTCTTGAACGACGCAATTTGGCTTCAGCGCGCTTGGCTGCACGCTTCATGACTCTGTAATGGATGCGCATTCGCCCAGCCTTGCGTAGCATCTGGTCGCTCTTTGCCACGGAAAAGTCTGGTGCGCGTGCTTCCTCGGTATGTGCTGCGCAAATAACTCCGATTAGCCATACTTCGATTCGTGGTCGTTGAAGGGGCACATCGGCGGCGACCTTACCATGAGAAGCTGCTTGTATCCTTTGTAAATTCTGCACCCTGGCCTCCACGGTCTCGAGTCTCGTCCTCGTCGCGATCATTTGCTCGACAAGCCGCGACAGCAATCTGATCTCAACACCTTCCAGGTCTGCCAGTCGAAGACCTATTCCCTCCAACAGCTCGAGGTCAGCAGCATCATCTGGGCCGAAAGCTACTTTCCAGATGACGTCGCACAAGCTGCCCACGACTCCTCCAATGAGAGCCCTCGTTGACACCTCCACCACCCATCGCATTTGTTGTTTGGCCAGTCTGCCGATTATCGACTCCATACTGAGCGCGGAGGAGTCGGAGGCAAGAAGCAGATGGTGATGTGCAATGCGTGCGGAGAGCAAACGAAGCTTGAACTTTGAATAGATGACGATGCGGCCCGCAAGGATCGTGCCGACACACTAGCTTATTCAAGACGGCAGGCCAAGTGAATGTTTGATTTCGCCGAGCGAATTAGCGAATTGACGTACTTGGATCATTTGAGACTTGCTGTTGTCGCCTTCGGGTACTTGGCCAATGTGAGCTTCCATCACTCGGGCGCACATCCAGAAAATCTGGTCACATCTCCCTCTGCCACTTTGTAAACGATAATGATCCTTTCAAGTTGAATTGGTAGTCGGGTACTTGTCACTCTTTCACAAGCAATTGTGTTGGGGTGGCCACACCTTATTTTTGCTTATTTTGCTCCTTCCTGCTGCCTCTTTGCAAAATGCTTTACGTTATGGTCCTTCGTGCTGGGTCTCGCCGTTACTCTATTTATTCGGGATTTCTTGGCACCCGCTTGCTACTTTGTCACGTGCCGAAGCAATACCTGCTTGGAGTATCAACGGAACCCAGAAATCCGCCCTGGACTATCCAGCGTTCTCGCGCCTTATATATGTGAGACCATAGACAGCGTACTGAAAGCATGCAAAATCAGACATGCAAAAATTCAGCATTGAATTGATTGTGGTGGAACCCCTGGCAGAGTCCGGACTAGCTTCCTTCGACTCAATCCAATTCCACCTGAGCCMGCGCAGATTTCCAATTCAAACTTTCGAAAACATCGCTTTTCATCTGAAATCAGAAAATCATCGTTTCCCACGCGTACGATCGCACCCTGCACCAGAGCTGTCGATATGAGAAATCATGAACAAGAGCAGCGCCCTGAACTGATCTCTCGATTAATTGACGGCCACTCTGCTAGTAGCAGGAATTCTAATAGGCTTCAAATCATCGAGCCTGTAGAGAGCGAGGCCTCAGGACATTATGGATATGACTGAGGATGCCTTGTCCTGATGAATAATCCTCATATCGACAAATCTGCCCTGCACCAATCCATGGCGATGCTTCAAGCCACGGTCAATTGCACAACTTGGAACACATGAATTAGTTGATCGGACGAGCCCCCGAGGATGATCATTTCTTCTCGGACTCAGTCGTCCCAAAGCCGTGATTCAGACTGGAGACTGGCGAACACGCTTCGGCGGTGAATCGTCTGAGCGAAATGATTCCACAGAAAGGGAACAGTATGGCGGGATAGGTAGTGCTGCTTTCGTGTCAGTAAACTTGATGCTCAAACATGGCTTGCTGTTGTACTTCTACTCACGTGTGCTTGAGGTCCTGGAGCGGGAATCGTTCTTGCGAAGACCGTCTCCCCCAATTTCGTGATCCTCTCGAATGTGCTGGTGCACCTTGTTTCCGGAAAGAAACTTCCGGTTGCACATCTGACAAACGAGCTTCTCATCGCTACCCTCACATGAGGCGTTGTTGCCTTCGATCAGTCTATGCTTTCGCTTGTTTGCCTTGCGCTCGAGGCGTCGGCGGTCGGCTTTGGCAAACTTCTTTTCGATCTGCGCGCGCTTGCGGTCTCTCTTGCTCTCGACATACATGACTCGCGCCTCCTTGTATCTGAGCTCGCGCTCGACGTCTGAATCCAGTGCCTCAATGCCATCAGCAGGCTGTGAGAGCGGGCTCGAGCTCCCATGCGCTGGGCGATACTCGTTGGTCGGCTCCACGCGCGATGGTATTGTCGGAAGGTCAGCTGAAGTTTGCGCTGCGCCAGTATCTTGCATTATGTATTAGCGAGACTGTAGTCTGACGAAGCTTCTAGGCGTACCCATCGGATCCTCCTGCTGTGGTACAACTTGTTCTCTCTGCAAGCCCTGCGCTTCTAGTGCTACGATCCTCTCGGACATGGCACGGAGAACGCCGTGCATAGTTGCAATATCCTGTGGGTGCTCTTCCGCGACGAGTCTTCTTGCCTCTGCGCGAGCAGCTTCCTCGATCCATTCGGCATCTGCGGCGGGAATGGGACCGTAGGCCCTCATCAACAAGATGCAAATGCCCTCGATGATTGCACCCATGGCGACGCGCGTGGTATATTCTGCAAACCATCGCATTTGACCAGCGATGATTCGGCCAATGGTCGAGTCCATTGTGGCGGATGAAGGTGTTTGGTAAGTGGACGAAGCGCGCTGGCTTGGAAGCTTAGGTTCTTTGAGGTGTGTGATTCCTTAGTCATCAGGGTCAATCTGGAGCTAGGCACCTTTTAGGAAGGATCGAAGTGAATCGACTTCCGTGCCACTCCGCACCATTCAAACACCTATCATCCTCGTCAAACCTTCATCTTCAGACAATTGGGTCTACTAGGACTCTTCAGTGAAGGGTAGGTAGTGTAGTTGAATACGTGGATGGTTGAACTGATTAGAAGTGGAATCGTGGGCATACATTGTTGAGGATTGTTCGCGACCACTCTAGGCAAATTCTCGCATAGAACCCCGGCTGAAATTGGAGTTTGACATCCTCAATTTCTGAATACACCTTGACATCCCACTGTTTGGCCGATGACTCTCGGATTAGGAGTATCTGGCTGTATCATCTATGTTGAGCGTGCCCCTGAGATGGTCGCGGAGAAATGCAGCTGGCAAGAATAGGAATGACACATTCATTTTGATCCACCTTAGCGATCCTGACCTCAGGGTATTTGGCCAATTTGAAGAAATTCGTATCACCCCCCTGCTGTGCTTTCGAGCGCAAGTCTGGACGCAAAAACTTCATGAAAGCGATCGTTTACGGCGTTAGAGTTATCTACCTTTGAGCATCTCACACACCCAACCGTGATACCCTCAAACTACCCTCTGTAGAGGGACTTTTTTTTCCTTTTTTTTTCCTTTTTTTTTTTTGCCGTCCATTCTACTTGGGCTGGAATTCGCGCTTCTGTCGGCAACTTTTCAAGGGTATCCTCGAACGCATAACAATCCTCGTTCAAAACTAGCAGTAGTATAGTTCATGTAGTGGAGAGCGGTAGGTGGCACCGACATTCTCAACTCACAACGAGACGCTATCCGCTAAAAGACACCCATCTACTTATTGAAATTCGCATGAATCATCAGACAAACTTGGCTCGAACCCGCTTCGCAGACGGCGAACATTCTGGCGACGAGCTCTCCGATTCATCACACTTGCGCTTGCTTCCGCGAGGCGCGATCGCAGCCTCTTCATCTCCGATACCGTTCCAATCAATTCCGTCGTCATCCATTCATATCTTACGCTTATGAGCTGCTACTAATCTAGAGTTAGCRTTATCGAGGCGTTGATATTCYAACGTGACAGTCCTTACCCGACTTCAATCGGCTCTTACGGATGGTTTTGAGTAGCGCATGCACAGCAAGGAACCTACGGCGACACTTCCGGCGGTACACTGATGTATGCTGTTTCTGGAGGCTTGAAGTTGTGCGAGATCGCTTGGCTCCTCGCTTCCTGGTCGAGAGCGGCGAAGGATCTTGGGCCACGGCCGAACTTGAGTGGCTCTTGTCTGCGTGACATTAGTAAGTACAACAGTGCTCCGGAGTTGTTGTGATACAAACATGTGATTTTCTTCGATGCCAATAGGGTCTCCGAGGGCGTCTTCAATCCTTCACGCTTATAGTCATTCGGAAAGAAGGGCAAGGGAGACAGGCTCGGCGCAGATAACGAAGATAGCTTCTCCTCGTTAGAGAGCCAGAGATGGTCCTGGTTTGGTGTGATTGCGAATTCGCCGTTGCCCATACCATGCCAGTGCTGGGACATGGATTGGGAGAATTGCTCCATGTGCTTACTGGTGTCGTTTGGTGCGCTGGCGGCGGAACTTGTGTTCCGAGCGGAGGGAATCGCGTCGGATGGAATCGCGTCGAGGAGAATCGCGTCGAGGAGAATCGCACCTTGCATCATGGAAGCTTCTCTATCAGCAGAAGGCCTGGAGTCGTCCGAGTTGAGTGCTAGCATGTGGTTCTGGGTGCGGATCGCGTTCGAAGGTCTGACGATGCGTAGCCTCGTCGCCCACGCTGTTGCGCGCTCATCCCGGGCGATGAACTTGATGAACCTATACATGTCGCGAACAGCTTCAMCACATTCTACAAATGTGCAAAGAGCCTCGCATATGCTCAGCAGGCTTTCGATATCCATCTTCGTGACTGTTCGAGGATCATCGAACGCGTTGGATGGAATGGCGAAGTAAGAGACGAAGGTGGAATCTTTTCGGGCTTGACTTTAACTTTGAGACAAACGCCAAGACCCTCGTAAATGAGAAATAAAAGTGACCAGATGCGATGACGCAGTATCCGCGTCTTGCCAACTCCTCGACCGGATGGTGTACGGAGACAGGCGGCAGAGTCTTGTCAATATATACCATATATTCWAAAATCAGTCATGGGATGGCCAGGGAAGCGTGGCGGGCGCCTGGCCGGAGTAGAACGGTCGTGAAAGCTGGGGGATGATTCACTCACGCTGAAGCTCGAAAGTAGCCTAGCGTCTTGGCATTCGGCCTGAACGAACTCTTGCAAACGTTGAAAGTTCAGCTTGGACTTCCCCATCGACACCCAACGCGCAAAATGGATTCGATCATCGACGCTCTCACCCGTGCCTCTACGGAGCCGATCCCTGATTCCACGAAAGCGAAGCTCCTAACCGTCGCAGGCGAGCTCTGCAAGTTGAAAATCGCGACTGCAGGCATCCTCGAGCAGGCGCAGATGAACGACGATGAAGAAGTGTCTCTACAAGAGTTTGTCGGACAACTGCATGCGATCTCGAGGGTTGCGGAGGAGCCGATGAGCTGCTGGTTGGTTGCGATTGGAAAGGCGCTGCTGGTTCTAGGAGATGTGATCGCGATGCCGCCGCCGACACTACCAAGCACTCGTCAAGCTTCATATTTTCAAGCTTCGCCCGCTCCGCGACCTGCTCATCCTGACCTGCCCGCGCCGCAACATCAGCCCATGCGCCAAGAAGTGCCCGCGCCAGATCCATCCACCATGGCAAACGAGCCAGAGGCTGAAGACGAAAAGCTGTCCGCGCGCAAAGATGGCGAGATCTTGGACGCAAACGAGAACGACGAACCCGCCCTCTTCGGCTCTGACGCCTACAACAACCAGCCCCCATCTCTTCTCAACACTCCCACTCAACCTAGGGCAATTGTCACTGCCCCTGAGTTCAAGGAGAATGACCATCACGGAGGTATCACCACCGGCAAACCTTCTCATTGCCAGCGCTGTCGCCTGGACTTCCCCTCGCGTAAGCGGTTGATTGCTCATGACGCGAGCGTTCATCACGAAGATTCTCGCCGTTTGTGGAATGCGACTGGTCAGACGCCCTCGAACAAGGAGGACACATGGAAGTCGCGTGCCGCTCATTGGCGTACGCGTACGCGGGAGCGTAAATAGACGGAGAATAATCGGCTCAGGCGCGGAGATGAGATGAGGATATGGTGGGTCGACAACGTTGTGATGACGGCTAGCGTTCTTGAGGTTTTCGAGGACTTTGTATCTGCGTATACTCCCGGTGCTGTGGGGTTCATGCAAGCTATGCGCTTTTGAGGTTCTACATAAATATGTCCAAAAAGAATCCAGTCCTTAGTAGCTATGTTCTTCCATACTTTTCCACAGCCAGGTTGTATTGTCCGAGGTGGAGTGATCGAGTCTGCTTCATACAACTTCCGCTCATGCAAAGTTTGGGCAAGATAGGCGTGTCAACGATGACAGCTCCGCCGAGGACCGCGACATCCATCGTTTTCATAGGAGCTCTGCAGTTAATCGGGACATTGACGACGATCGAACACATAAAGCTTTGGGTGAGCCAACAAAGCCAGATCAAAGTGGCCGTCCTGGAGTACTTCCCTCCAGCGTTCCGCGTTGAAAGCGAAAAGCATAACGAGACGGTTTGCATTTTCCTCAGTGTCCAAACCTTTGGCTAAATAATGTGCTCTTCGCAAGCGAGCGATTCCTAGGCGAACCCATAAGCATCCTCATGGTAAACCTCTAGATCTCACACCATTGCTGGAGCGAATATGATCCCACCTGGATCTGTCAATGTCATCCTTCTACTCGCTGATCGGAAAACGGCGACCTCTTCTCATCCGCTGCATCGGCCACACGCTCGAAGGCAAGAAGTTCGGAGCTTGGGATCGTGTAAGTAGTCCCAGCGAGGGCCCCCCAACTCGAAACAAGGAAGCAAGTCACGAAATGGAATTACTGTTAAGGAGATGCATGCGTGTCATTAACGACGTTAAAAGAGCCGAAAGCCATGCCAGCGTGCTTCCACCACCATGCTCGAGCCATCCCCTTCTGCCAATCCACCTTCGCCAAGACAGGCAAAAAAAAAGAACGTGGAGCTCAGGATTTTGACAAATAGGACGCTCCGGGGCGTCCTTTCGAGGAGAAACCCATAAGTCACGAGCTCATGGTAAACCTCGGATCCCCCTTGGATCTATAATCCTCCCCTCCCCTAGGATCCATTGATCCCCATCCCCAACCGGGATCAGGCCAAATCGACCAAACGCCCGCAGGCGAGAAGTTGAAATTTTAGAGTGTTTAAGTACGTACGTCACAGCGTAGAATCTTCCATCTTGAAACAGAATCTCGGCAGGTCCCGGTCGAGAAAGGGGCTCCTGGCACGAGGCAGTTCTTCCTACAGCAGGGCAGCCTCTGACTCTGGTGCAACGCAAAGTAAAAGGTCTCAACACTGAGATATAGACTGCAAGCATGTATACTAACTGGTCGTATAGCTGTCAATGTGATGCCTGGTAGAGAGGGGATTTAAGCGAATTGTCTAGATACCGACGAGAAGATGCTATGCGAGACATATCTCAGCCCTATCCATCAAAAGGGACACTGTGCAGAGGGCAAGACCTTAGTAGTTGTGCAACTATAGCTTTTTGCGTCTCTCTACAGCTGCTGGGATGGAGATCGGAGTACATGCAGCAGGAAATGCGCCTTCCGGATTGGGAAAGTCTTGGCAGCGGGTTGCTCAAGGTACGTGGTCATTTCGCGCGTGCTCTTCGCGCTCCGCATTTCACTTTCCACTCAACTTCGTGGTCGCGTCGTATTGGCGGCAAGACAGGTCGACAACATGATGGACGAAGTGCTCCTCGAGGAGGGTACGAGGACGCTTAAGAAGATGGGGACGAGGTTGACGCTGGGGATTCGGGTGATTATACGGTAGAACGAGCCTTAAGGCAAGTTGAGGGGTCTTGTGAAGCGTGCGAATGACTACCAGTGTGWGTTCGTGCTCCAATCGCGTGGTCTGCTGCCATGATGGAAAGAAGAATAAAAGAACAGAGTTACGGAGTCAAAGAGTTACAGCGATAGTGGAGCGGAATAATATGCTGCACAATATGGTAGCGGTGGAATAAATCGAGCGGAATTGGTAGAGTTGACAGGCAATGATACAATGATAAAGTCATTACCTTCGTGAACCCAAGGTATCACGTCCTGTTCCTATGCTTCCCTACCTCTCTCGTGCTCATTTCACCATGCGTTAGGGCAAGATTCGGAAAGTGGTCAGAACGGGCGATGCAGACGTATTACTCGGCAGTCCGCCCAATGGAAGCTATACCGTCGAACATCCGAGCAAAAAAATACGTTTGCTGACCTCCATACGATTGAAGGTGCATCTCCAATCCGAACAGTATGGTGCATCTCGTCGAATCATGGTTCTCATCATGATATTCTCTCATCTTGTGGCGTGCGCATGAAGAGTTCGAGCCCCTTTTCCAGCTTCCAAGTTGAGAAATAGCCTAGCGGCGGCTACGTCCGTAATGGTAAAATACTCTGACTTCAACTGCCATCTTCTCCACTCAAATTCTGATAGTGACAGCTCACATCATCGGTCAAAATGGACACACTCGTCAACGGGCGGATTCAAGCCTTTCTCGGCGCAGAGAACTTGGGCAAGACTATGCTGGCCGCCGCAGCAGCCAAGTTGAGTGCGCTGAAAGCAGTGATGATCTCCTAACTCATCCATGGGGGAGATTTGAGCCCTGCTACGGCGCGGACTCAAACGGGTTCCGAGCTTGCAGCATAACGTGGACTCTCTCTGGGGAATTTTGTCGAGCAACTCGAGACCACCTCGGCGATGGCGGAGTAGCAGCTGAAGTCTTGGCTAAGCGGGGTGGGAATTGATGTATTTCTTCTTGCTAACATGGTGGCTACACCTCGGCCACTACTTCTCCTCGACGTCAGGCTCTTAGAACCTACCTACTCGGGTAGTTTCTCTCGACTACTGCGCCCTCACAGCTTCCGCAGTGCCGCCAACGCAATCGCAGCCACTGCCCTAACTCATGAATGAGCTCCAGAAGCGTGAAGCCACTGGAATCTCTATGAAGTAGATCGTCGAAGCTGAATCCGAGGCCTTTGGACGAATTTCCAAGAAGCAGCGGGGTGTGTGTTGCGCATCCCACCAGACCCTCCATTGCTTACGATCCATAGAGCTAGCTTTTGAAAGCCGCCATCAAGCACCGATCGACACTCGCGATTGGCCAATCGTCAAGCGCAAGCCAGCCGCAGAAAATGAGCTCACGCTGGGAATGCACCAGAGTCGGCAAACGCATCGTCAAGCCCTCTCCTCATCAACAATAATGACGGCCATAWTGTTGTGAAACTACCTCGATCTACTACTTTCCAACTTGAGCAGGAGATCCGAGAGTCAGTCCAAACCAAGGTTCAATGGCGGTAACCCAGGATTCAGAATTGGCATGAGACCTCCCTCCTTGAGCCATGCCACCACCTTCCGGCCATCTATCGCTCATCTAACTGCGCACTGCAACGTAGTCACCAGAACGGGGACCCTCCTTGTCGCATGTACAGTCAGGAGTTCTGTTCAAAGAACCAGAAGCAGACGCTCCAACATGTTAGGCAGCAGCATCTGGCGGATGCATCAGAATGCCGTCAGAAGAATGCTCATCGATCATCCAGTACGCCAGGGCTCAAGCATACGGCCGATAGCTCTGAACAGAAGCCGCTGGGAAGGCGAAGCCGCAAGCTTCAAGAATGAGAACAATGTGTCTGACGCTGTGATGAGAAAACTGCGCCTATGGCGTCTTGGTAGAATGGGAGCGATCATGAACAGAATTGAGCTTGCCGACTTGATAGCGGATGAAAACTTCTTGCCCTTATCGTCAGGAAGATTGTAGGTGCCTTGGAACGAGACGGCAGCGAATCTCGAAATGGTTGCCGGCATCGGCATATCTGCTCACCGTTAATCATACAAACCACAAATGGGAACGCACCACGTTCTCACATCATACTCTTCTGTATCTTTCGTGTTTACGTTGAGGCTTGGCTCAGTCCAGTCAGCCAGCTGATCCCAGCTGGCCTGCACTCGGCCAATTCAACAAACGGACCGAAATCGGAGCTCCCCGCGAGTGCGACAGTGAGTACTTCACCCACAACACCTTGAAACAGCACAATACGGAGCAGGTGAGGTCAGAAAGAGTGCCAAGGGCGCCTCCACGATCAGAATGATATGCATATCGGGCACGACCGCGAGTAGGGATGAACGAACGGGGGAAGTCGGGGACGCTGATGGAGAGCTGGCTTCCGGTATGGCTTCGTGCTCTCGGTTGACGGGTGCATCGGGGCAAGACGGACTAGCGGTATAGAATCGAAGCGGATTGGAGCTGCCGCATGAGCCGAGGGTGTTTCTGGCGGCCGATATAGAAGGAAAGTGTTGCTTTTTCGGATTGAAGTTGTCTATCGTCGTTCTCGGCTCGTGCTTGCCTGTTTACGTCAGATCTCTGACCCTTGCCCCTCCAAAAAGCTGCGCTAAAACCACCCCACCTTGATCAAATCTACGTCTCAGCAAAGCCTTCCTCTCTCTCAACAACAACACCCAAACAAAGCGTAGGTGCTATCCCGCAGACCCATCTTCCTCCCTCTCACTCACACCGTCACAGCACATCACCGAACTACAACAGCAAATATGGTTGTCAACGTACGTACCACGAGCAAGAGATGATGCAGGAGGAGCATGGCGGGACAATAGACTTACCTCACCGCAGGTCGGTATCAACGGTTTCGGCCGCATTGGACGTATCGTCTTCCGCAATGCGTGAGTCGCTTCATCATGAGCATGAATCAGAAGGAGACATTGGCTGACAAGGACATGCAGCGTCGAGCATGGCGACGTCAACGTCGTGGCTGTCAACGACCCTTTCATTGAGCCAACCTACGCCGTATGTCAATCCATGAACAATGGCCAAGACAATCGCATTTAACATCCATTCAGGCCTACATGCTCAAGTATGACTCCACCCACGGAGTCTTCAAGGGCACCATTGAGGTCGACGGCGACAAGGGCCTGATTGTGAACGGCAAGAAGGTTCGCTTCCACACCGAGCGCGACCCCGCCAGCATTCCCTGGGGCGAGTCCAAGGCCGACTACATTGTTGAGTCGACCGGTGTCTTCACCACCACCGAGAAGGCTTCCGGCCACTTGAAGGGAGGCGCCAAGAAGGTTGTCATCTCTGCTCCATCCGCCGATGCTCCCATGTTCGTCATGGGTGTCAACAACAAGACCTACACCTCTGACATCCCCGTCATCTCCAACGCTTCTTGCACCACCARCTGCCTTGCTCCTCTCGCCAAGGTCATCCACGAGAAGTTCACCATGATTGAGGGTCTCATGACCACCATTCACTCCTACACCGCCACCCAGAAGACCGTCGATGGTCCTTCCGCCAAGGACTGGCGTGGAGGCCGTACCGCGGCCCAGAACATCATCCCAYCTTCCACTGGTGCTGCCAAGGCTGTTGGCAAGGTCATTCCAGACCTCAACGGCAAGCTCACCGGAATGTCCATGCGTGTGCCAACCGCCAACGTCTCCGTTGTCGACTTGACCTGCCGCATTGAGAAGGGTGCCACCTACGAGGAGATTACCGCCGCTTTGAAGGAGGCCTCCGAGGGCGAGCTGAAGGGTATGAATTTGTTGAGATGCATTATGAGATCGCAATGCTAACATGATGTTTCCAGGAATTCTTGCCTACACCGAGGATGATATTGTCTCCTCCGACTTGATCGGCAACCCAGCTTCCTCCATCGTCGACGGCAAGGCCGGTATCTCCCTCAACAAGAACTTCGTCAAGCTCGTCTCGTGGTACGACAACGAGTGGGGTTACTCTCGCCGTGTCATTGACCTCTTGGCCTACATCGCCAAGGTTGATGGCAACGCTTAAATGCAACAAAGAAATGTGGAAAAAAATTAGCGATGATGCATGAATATGACAATCAGAGCAGCAGCGAGGATGTCTCGATGGGAATGAAGAGGGCACATCAGAGATGGTGATACCACTTGAGAAATCTCACAAGGCAGGCCGTTACGGATCATGAACGAATATAAAATGATGGTGGCTACCTCTTTGCAGATAGCTGCTGCGAATGAAAATATGATGCGTGCATGACACCAACTTTGATTTCACTCTTCTTTTTCTCGGCGATCGAGTGTGAAATTTCCCCATACGATTCGCTTCATTAGGTGGGTGAAGTCCCAAAGTGGATATCCTTCACCTCTTTGTGCGGGTAGGAGAATGCTTTGATCGAAAAGATGGTTTCCAACGCAAGAGGGAGTTCGCTGGAATCTCCCAGTCGATACTGCATATGATCAAATGATCATCTGCTCATCCCATCTATCCGTGTTGTCCTCCTTCTATTGGCAGAACAAGCACACCACCCTACCTCTAAACCGGCAAATAAACCGGCTTGAAAGCCCTCTTCCTCTTCCTCTCCTTCAACTCCCTCTTCGCTCCCCCTTCCTCCATCCTCTTCTCCGCCACAGGATTCGGCCCATTCAACGTAGTATTGTACGTAGAATTGCTGGGCAGCACTTCAAACTGCATAGTTGCATTTCCTTCTCTGTACAAACTCTTCTCCGTCCCAACACTCTTATACCCTCCCTCGAAACATCCATTCTTCCCCTCCGCAACATCCATTCCTGCGATGCCTCGTTCAAACATCTCCAACGCGACAACGGGTTGGTAAAAGGGAACTTCGTGGCCACTTTCGTAGATTCTCGCAAAAGCAAAGTTGCCGGATTGTTTAACTTGTCCGTGGACGATGGCATCGGAGGTGGAGATGTTGGTGTATCCGGCGTCTTGGAATCCCGGAGCGGATATCCTTTCGGCAATGACTTCGTTCCCCAGCCAGTTGCAATTGTAATCCGCATCGCCGGCGAACATGATGACGTAGATTCCCTGCTCTACGAGCTTGCGCATTGCGGAAACGGTTCCGACCTCACGGTCATCGTCGCCTGTGGAGCTGAATGCTGAGCTCACGGTGCTTGAACCCGCGGTAAAATTCACAAAAGCTCCCACAGCATCTTGGACTTTGGGTGAGTTGAGGTAGCGTTCGTAGTATCTTGGTGGGAAGGGATCGGGAGTCAATTCACGGATGTCGTATTCGTCTCTCGTGGGGATGTTGTCCAATACGCTTTCTACTTCGCTCGCACAAAAGTTGTCGGCAGCAATGCAGATTGAGTTTATCCCGCGATTCGCGCAATCGACGGTTTGGTCGTAGCAGTTTCCAGGACCGTACATGTTATTGTAGAGCATTGCTTCGATTGATTTGTTGTAGGGTGTGTAGTCGTAGGTGTTGCCTGGGTAGACGGTGAAGTTGTAGAAGGCGGCATACTGGACCAGAGGATCATACCAGCCGTTACCGATGAGGAGGGTCTTCAAATTGATGTGTTTGGCGCCTGGGAGGGATCCTGAGTCGACGAGAGCGTTTTGTGATTCAAGATAAGAGTTGAAGATGGGACCGTAGTGACCTCCGTAGGATTCGGTGGCGAAGTTGAAGTCGGAGCGGGAGTATTGTGGGAATGCACCCATGAAGCCCTGAAGGGTCCGCCACATGCTGGGAGCGGCAGAGAGGGTGGAATTGGCTGTGTTGGTCGTGTTGGGTGCAGAGTACGTCCCGCATGATCCCGCTGGTGCGTAGTCTGGGCAAGTGGCGTCTGGGAGTTGAACGATGCTCCCTGATGAGGATTCGTAAGCTGGGATTGGATTGGAGTACGAGAAGCCGACCTGAGCTGGGTGGTCAATGAAGAGCCTAGATTGGTGTTAGTTGTTGGAGTTATGCATACAATAAGGTTAGAGCTGCTGTTGATATGGGCAATCATCAACACGAGCGGCGTCGACTCACATGTTACTCTTCCGATTCCACGCATGCGGATTATAAACAACACTCCCATCCTCTGCGATCCTGCAAGGCCCCAATTCTTCGAAAAGACCAATCATCGAGCTCGAACCCGGCCCGCCGTTGATCCACACGGTCAATTCGCTCTCCTCTGGGGGCGTTTCGCGAGCTTCGAAAAACCAGAAAAAGACGGATTGCGATGGTGCAACGTCGACATAGCCCGAGTATGACTTGATGCCGGGTGTAAGTTCACAAGTTCCATTTGGAACGAGTTTCCAGCGAACGGGAATGTCCAAGAAACCTGTAGCATTGCTGAGAGACGTAGGAACAGGGACGAATTGCGAAAGAGTGGAGGGGAGGAGGAATGGGAGGAGAGRGAGGTATGTTTGTCGGAGGAACGACATGGTGGGATGTATGTCTTCCTGGAGAGAAGGAGGCGAGGATGAATGAATGATGGAGAAGTTGGAGAGATGCGTCAAGGTTGCCTTACCTTATCATGCGTGCAGTACTACTGTCGAGCTAATCCGGACAGCGTTGGTTTGAGGTGGTAGGTACGGCATCCGGACCGCTTTGGGCAGGTGGGGAGGGAGTCGTGGTCGCCCGGATGGGTCTGAGCTTTGTGATGGACAAGGCTCAGCAAGGCTCAAGCCAGGCACCAAAGCTTAACATGGCTTGATGGGAGAAAGGCGCAAGGGAAGGAAGGTTTCGTCATCTTTCTTTCTTGATCGTGTCCAACACATGACCTGAGCATGACGAGTATCGATGACTGAATCCTACCACGCCGGAATGCCTCTTGGCTGATCTATCTCATCTCAACTCATCTAATCTGATGTGAGTCGTAAAGACGTGCCGGAAGCGGATTGATCTGTTGTGCATTGGTCGAAGACGGGACTTGTGCCAATCAAGCGGAGAGGGAACACGAGTCAAGGTTGAAGTGCTGTAACACTTGGCACAGACGAAATTTGTGTGGGTGGTAGATACAGTATTGCATTCTGTACAGTCTTGTCCCACGACTTTATCATTCAAAGCTCCTTATCGCCGACGGAGATTAGCGAGGGGAGCTCAGCTCTCTTTGTGACGATGCGGAGGTGAGGATGATCAAAGGCGCTTTTCGATTCGTTCATCTTCGGCCAACCACGCGACCTTTTGTTATATTGTTGAAGTCCACCATCATCCAAATACCAGTGCGAGTTGTATTGTCGAGCGGTCAAGAGGGCGCTGACAACTCGTCGGCAACTAAGTGCACCGCGTCAGGCAGCTAGCCAGGCATTAACTTGGGGATTCTTTGATCACGAGCTTATCGATCTTGGATCTGCAAGTGACTGTGATCATCCACCGACTCCAGTCATCAACAATCCATCCACCCTCTTCCTACGCCCTTATCTTCCACCCTACGCATCGAAATCTCATGAGAGTGTAGATTATTGTTGCAATAGACGGGCAGCACATCGTCCAACCATCTGATCTCAACGGACCTCTTGCTAGAGAGGAGCTTCCACTGCACCGCAAGATCCGGATCCGRCCATCCATCGTTGTAACTTGCCCGACCTTCACTACTACCTTACTTACCTGCACACGACCGACTTCACGAGCTCGGACACGGTCACTTCCACTTCCATCACCACTACCACATCGCACTCCGACTCCAACCGTCCATTTCTACGTACGCATCTGGCTGGCAGCATGTTTTCCGAATGTAAGTCCCAACACTGCCGCCATCCTCCGCACATGCGCCGGAGCTCGCGTGACTGACATGCGCGGATAGATGCCTCGCGCTTCCTGGCGCAGAGCAACGTGCAGGAAGATCAGCGGAATCCCTCCCGAACCCCTCTCGATCGCCGACGACGCATGCCCTCGAACTCCTCCCAATCGCGATATGTTCAGCGACCGGGTGCGCAACATTCGCGCGCTCCCTCACGCTCTCAATCTCGCTTTCCTTTTGCATCCCGCCTGGCCCGGAATGATCCGCAGGCTCCGCTCTTCTTCAGCGCCACGGCCGACTACGAGGACGAAGGCGATGATCACGAGCGAGAAGTGGAGGATACGTACGCTTTGCAACGATCGAGGCAGCAGTTTGGAGGACCCAGCAACATGTCGGAGAGTTCCGAACTGGAAGATGATGGAATCGTAGGAATGGAGACGCTGGCCGGCCAAAACCACGACAGACAACGGGCGAGGGAAGAGAGTGAGCATCCCACCACATCCTCCGACGACGACGGCAGTCCGACAAGTCGTGCGAGCGGCAGGGGAAAGGGCAGATTGGTCGACATTGATCTCAACTCCACCATTCATGAGGAACCGCCGGAGTCTCTGGCCCGTCTACATTCCACTCGAGACATCGACGAAGAAGACGATCCGCCACTACCCTTCCAGCCCTTTCGCTCCACCACCAAACCCCAGCGATACAGCGCATTTCTCCCCATGGAGACGGACGAGGCCACCCAAATGATGCATCCCCGACCGGCATCTCTGGCCGAAAGTGTGCCCCAGACCGTCATTCTCCCCACAGAAGAAGTGCCCAAACACGACGCTTTCTGGGCCAGCTTCTTCGTCATCTCTCACTCCGCCATGATCGCCGCCTTTGTCCTGGTCTGGTTCCAAACATCCACCCCAAAGACGCCCCTCGGCGACACCATCTTCACCGTCATCCGCGCCAGCACCAACATGCTCTWGTGGGACACTCTCCTCGCAGTGGTCATATCCCTCCTCCTCTTCTCACTCCTTCGCAATTATGTCCGACCACTCGTCTTCAGCATGCTGGTCATCGTCCCCGTTCTCCWCGTCACCTTCTCCCTCTACCCATTCATCAGCAGCTTCCACGGCGCTGCACACGGCAACTCCATCCAAGATCGTCTCATGCGTTGGTTCTCCGTCATCCCGGCAATCATGGCCTTCTTCTGGACATGGTCCGTCATCCACAACCGCCACTCCCTCAACAAGGCCATCCAGCTTCTTGAATTCAGCGTCAAGATCCTCGCGGCATCCCCATACCTCATCATTCTTGGATTCACCGCTCTCGGATTCGTCATCGTCACCTCCTGGACTTGGCTCCTCATGTTCGAGCGCGTCTTCCTCTCCGGCCACTTCTCCTCCTCCGGTCCGAAATCGTTCATCCTCTCCGCTAATTCATGGTGGCTCGGCGCTTTCTTCGTCCTCCAACTTCTCTGGGCACTATCCGTCATTGCCGGAATCCAACGTACGACGACTGCAGCTGTCGTCTCCCAATGGTACTTTCACCGCCTCGCAAGTCCCCAACCTTCCAGCGCCGAAGTTGTCAAGGCTAGTTTCCTTCACTCCACGGGCGCTTTGTTTGGGTCCATCTGTCTGAGCACATTCCTCTCCCTCTTGATCCGCTTGCCGTTGATTATCCTGCCGGGAAGAGTCAGCGGTTTGCTAGGGATGTGCACGTATTGGATGATTCCACAGGGACTCGCGACGTTGACAAACCCGCTGACTCTGACGTACGCGGCTATCCATTCTCAGCCTCTGGGAATCGCTGCCCGTGGCCTTTCAAGTTTGAACCTCACAAGTAGAACCAACCCAAGTAACACTCTCGGTCGGGAACATTTCAACGGCGCCGCAGGTCAATCTACACTCCTCCCTTACCGCTTAGCAAAACTGATCCTCCAAGCCTCCCGCTGGTTGGCAAGTATCGCTCTCGGTTTTGGAGGCTGGATCCGAGTCGCTCACAATCTACAATTCGAAGGCTTGAGGGGAAGCATGTATGCATATGTGGTGGGATTGATGGCCGCAACGATTGGATTCGCCGTTCTCGGTGCGATTGAGAATGTCTTGGGAGGTGTCTTGGATGCTTGCGTTGTTTGCTGGGGAAGTGAGAGTCTGGGAGGTAGAGGGGAGGCGAAGTTCTGTCGASAGGCAGGAAACTTGTTTGGTGGTGAGGAGGATTTCGGAGAGAGAGAAGGTAGGAGGGGCATGGTCTGATTTTGATGCGATCTGGTGTGGTGTGGAAGATACCCCCTTTCGTGATCTTCTTTTCTTGGGTGGCGTTTCTCATGGGGAGGGATATGGAATGGGATGGGATGGGATGGGATGGGATGAGGGGAAGTCTTTCTCCTTGTAGATGAGCTGTGATAGGCTAACCTTCCCTTGTTTCGCCCTCGTTTTTAACGTAGATTATGATTATTGACGATTAAAGTGCTATGATATGAACAAAACAAGTAGAATACAAATCACTTACATTCAATTCCATTTCAGTCTCAGCGGTAGCGGCTTCCTCCTCCTATGGGCAGTATCGCGTTCGTTTACAAAGAAGGAAGAGTGTAGTGAAATGTATATACTCTTTGTGTTGTAGGCGTTATAGTGTCCTTCTTACGCTTGTTATACGGGATTCTAATGCAGTCTATCTATGTAGCATTATACTATATCTTAATACTTAGTAACACCCGACTACCCCGATCCTTGTTATCTATCTTTCATAAGTACTTAATATAGTCAGCGTGCTATAGAAGCTTCCTATCGATGTACTAGTAAACAAGCCTTTGTATAGTTTAGTCGGACATGGAGTTCCGCGACTCTAGAGCCATCTCCACCTGCTTTAGGCTTTAGAACCTGCACTGACACAATTCTCATATGCGATTTTCTGGGTAACATAGCAGAGGTTATGAATGAGAATTCAGAGTACTTCAGTCTCTTCGACGAATGGGACTTTTTTGCTTTTTTCGCTTTGAAGCTTGATTTGGCTACCTCCCCTTTTCCCCTTGGGATAGCTTTTGTGGATTCAAGCCCCTTTTTGTAAGTTGATGGACATCTCTGCCATATAACGCAATAATATCCATGCCGCAGCTTCATGCAGCAAGGGAAAACATTTTGCAGCTTATGCGTGTGTGGCCAGGGGAATATTTGGTGTCTTTGCCTATGTCTTTGGCGCCCGACATTCGTTTGTGTTTTGCGTTGGATCTGCTCCTTCTCACTCTTCGTGGGGGAGTTAGTTGGTCTACCTCCTGAGTTGGCAATATACACTGCGATTCTATTCAAATAGCGACGCTTTGTATAGTCAGGCAGTACAGCGTAGAGCAACATCAACGCAGTTTCTGCTTAGGCCTTCTCGAGATCTCCTAGACATCTATCAATTACTTCCGGCATGACGCAGTTTCGAAGAGTAGAAGAATCTCGCAATGCAATCTCAGAGACGTTCGCTGGATCTCTGTTTGATGCACTGAGTGTAATCTCCTATTTGGGAAGTAGCCGGCAGGAAGAATTATAATCCGACGCTTCGTACTCGTATATACAGCAGTCTCCTCCCGCGTCCAAGCTCCCCGCCGGCACTAGTATGATGCCCAAAGTCCTTCCGCCCAACTCGATCAACGAAATCAACACCTCGTCTCGCATCCACAGACACTCGTCAAGGATGGTTCAACGCAGGCCGAGCACTCGCAAGCGCGATGGGAGTGCTGATTCATGTTCGCATACAGGCTCACGCACAGCGCCAGGTTCAAGAGCTCGAGTTGGCGAGCAAGATACTCACAATGCAGGGTCGCGCCACAACCCAACCCGCGGAGCTCGCGCACCTCGACCATCGCAGGCGCTCCAGAGTTCGCACGTAGACCTCCAAGCCATCAGCTCGCAAGCCAGCAACTCGCGGCGCGCGGACATCGTCGCCGCCACCACGAAGATTGCGGGATCCTTCCTCGCCCACAGTGTACCTCGAGGCATTCCGGCGCCACCACTCGAGGTTGCTACTCCCTCGCCGCCAGCCCACGCACTATCACGCGGAGGTCCAGCAAGTATAGGCCGCCCGCGCATTGAGACAATCTCAAAGGGGTCAGACGATGCGTTGCATACGCGGCCTACACTGAAGGCACCTAAGGTATGTGTCTCTTTTGACAGGATGTGATGTCGGACTGCACTGATAAGAAGCYCTAGTCACGCCAACTGTGCCACCCTAGCACCCAGGCTTACCAATCCCATCGCGCGCGTGATGATGCTCCTTTTCGTCTCATGGATCTTCCTATGGAGGTTAGGGACCAGATATTCGGATACTTCTTCTACGAGCAGCGCCATGCCTTACGCAAGAGAGTTGGAGCCTCCTACGCTTCATCCTGTGGTAGCAAGTATTCCCGCGGTGATCCCTTCACCGCTATCATCAAGATCCTCAAGGACAACACTTTCCTCGTCGTGGACGAGTCCGGCATTGTCACTRTCAGTAAAGAGGTGGCAGCCCAGTACCAGAAGGCGATGGAGCTGGTAATGTGGAACCAGGACACATAATTCTTCTCCAGGGTTCGCAACTTCAACTTCGATGGCATCTCGAAGTTTCTGTCGGGTTTAACACCACGCCAGATCGGACGCATCAACAAAGGACGCGGCAAGCACGCCAACTTCACCCTCGTCCTCGGGTTCACTCAGAACTGGGAAGTTAGCGATGCTGAGTACCAGTGGAACCCAAACTACAAGAAGCCAGAGGAGTGGCAAGGAGATCAAGCCGAGCAGCGTTTGAAGCGCTGGTTCGATGCTCGCGCGGCAGAGAAGGATATTAATCCGCAGGAAATCGTGCACGATTTGGAGGGTTCCCCCGCTGTGAAGGGCCATGACCCCGAACTGCTTGCTGGAGATCTTCAGTACTGGGCGCGAACGAGGCACTGGATCGTACCAGGTGGAGCCAGCAGCACATTTGATTACCACGAATTCCACAGCAAAAAGCTTGTTCCGTGGGACGGCTTCGTTGAGGTCGACTACGCCATCGATCTCGAGCTGCCGCCAGAGTCTGAAGATGCGGCCGAACTGGCTACGCGCGAGGGAGATTACGACATCATCGAAGTCTTCAAGCAATGGGACACGGACCCAGACCCACTGTAAGTAGGATTTGCACACGCATGTTCAGGAACGACAGGCTGACATTGTTGAAAGTTTTTCAGAGGTGTGGTGCTCTTATGCCCGCAGCGGCCGTGCTGTGGTAGATGAATCCGACACGGTCGCCCCATTCCGGTACGGAAGGGGTAAGAAAGCGGTATGAACGTCGTTGCAATCGCGTAAGGGCGAATGATCGAGAATGGGATGACCTTACTGAGACAAGCGACGCATTGTTCGGGCGACACATTGCATTATGCATGATGTATGTACCCAGTGGAGAGCACACTGTAAATAAATTTGCCATGATAGAATCGATTCGTCGCTCGGCTGACAGTCAGAGCATTCAAATACACGCGTCTCGCTTTTGAACCCTTACTGTAGGTTTGCATACCTTGGTGTCTCATCGAATATCGCCCCATCGCGCCATCTGCGAATCCKACAGACGATACGCTCGAATCAAGCGGTATGTTGCACTGTAATGAAAGTGTGTGTCAGCTTTCGTCATGGATATCGCCGAACTGGATGCTGAAAGGCGGCTCTGGGACATGCTCAATGCCTTTCTCTCTCCCGCTTCGGTTCACTCACTAACGGGCCGCCCTAATGCCATATTTTCTGGGGTCCTTCGGTACCCTGAAGCTCGTGGCTCGAGGTCGCGAAAGTTCCGGGTCTTGAGAGGAGTGGTTCGTCGCGACAACGGGAAATTTAACGGGAAAAAGCCATCCTGCAAGACTCCAATCAGCAACAGTCTTCCAGTAATCTTTGCGCTTCGCCCGAATGGAGATAGATCAACAGAGCTGTCGACATGAAGAATTGCCTGATCGCCCTCTCCTGTAGTCAGTGTCAACGGCCGCGAAGCCCTCCCTAGTACCGTCACCCGTGGCGTGGCTTCATTTCAAGTTGCTCGTATCGACAGCTCCGCATATCCATCACACGACATCAGATGTGACTGACCCTCATATAGGCACTAGTGAGCGTAAGCACAACCGTCTGACCAACTCCTCCAATGGCCACCTGGTGGATGACGCCTTCGCAGCCAAGGCACATCATGACTTCTCCCCTGCCAATAGTGTCGACATCGGCGCCCTCAGCAGTGTCAGTATTATCTGGTTGCGTCTACAAACATTGTAATGAAAGACTTACGCATCTGCATGCTCTGTATGAAGATTGCTTGACGCTGTCTCTGCTCCGCTGCTTCCGCACGCTGGCTCTGCAAGTTTGTCCCTTTGCATCACGGGCGATGCCGCGCAGATACGCATCATTTACGTCTCGCCTCGCATAAAGTGCCTGGAAGAGAAGTGCCAAGGTCAGCACGGGCTTGGGTACTGGCCAGCGAGAGGCTTGAAAAGCGCGCCAAGGCACTCTAGATGGCTTCCAGCGTCAGCACTTCGATCTGCTTACAGCAACGTGGTCCAATAGATCCTGCGTCGGGTTAGTTCGGCAGATCTATACGAGTGCATTGTCGGGACGACTGGACACCGCTGGAGAACAGAGGACAATACCTGTCTGCACCGCCTTGGTTGCAGGTGACTTCTTATGTCTGATGTCGCTCCATCGATTGAAAATGAGCACGTGCAGGTGTTTCGAGGCCTTGTCGTTCGCAAGTCAATTAGTCTTGATCCGAGATCAMAGTGAGCTTCAAAGGTGATGCATACCATTGATACGCGCTGGAGATGGAATCGATCAGCGTATGCCTCGCCTCACACATCAGCGACTTTTATCTCCTCCCTATTGACGACTTACCCGGCGGCTATAGAAGTACCAAATCGACGAGTCTCTTCCCACCGGTGACCGGCAACTTCAGGGGCGGCCGCAAGGGCCGCCGTCGAGCTATTACGCATGTGCTGAAGATACTTGATCTGCTCGTATACTTCACACTGCGAGCACAACCCAGTCATAAATTCGCGCCACGTGTTTGGGGGTCCTAGTCCGCCAGGCGCGTGCCATGCTACACTTCCTCCAGGCAACGGTGTCGATGCATTGATATCCAGGAGTGCTTCCACAATTTGTGGCTCGGCTAAAGTGTCATCGTGACAGCTACTCGTGAGATTAGGTGATGATGCTCGCAAGTATGATTTAGACTGTGACCCACATTCCGCAGGTTACATGAACACCGTGATAGGGAGAAGGATTTGGTTGTCTGCACTAGAAGCGGAGGATGAAAGAGTTAGCGATGTCTCAGATAATTGCGATGCCGCCAATGGCATATTGTAGCTTGTGAAACAGGGTCGAAATACCCTACATGCCTCCCGCCCTCCCTTTACTTACTCTTTGCCTCTYCCAGTACCCATATCCATGTGGTATTGAACTGGCGTTGGAGCAAATCTGGGCAGCAGGGATTGCTGGGTGATTTACCCTCTCGTCGCAAGGTCGATATCCACGCCCAGCTATGTGGGTGGTCATTTCCAAGGTTGGTGGGATGCTTTAAAGATAAGTGCACGCGCGTGTAAAAGGATGATGGACCTCACGGGGTAGATGGAGATTGAAGATGTGCGAATAAGGAAATGCAAGAGTCAAAACAAAAATTGAAAGCACACAAAGCCGACCGGATGCAGATTGCAGGGCATGAAAGAACTGTCGGAACAAAACCGTGTGTATGTAGCTTCCCCATTTGTGGCATTGCCCGCACGGTCGGCGGGAAGCGACCTGGTAATGATAGCTGGTGCTGAAGGACGGGCATGGCCGTCACAGCGACCGCGGGCTTTTGCTAGGCAGCATTTGCGTGTATAAAAGACTCTGTGTGTCACTCTTCAACTTTGGTCTCGGTCGAGGGTTCTCACCTCGACATATGACGAGTGATACTCCCGCGCTGTCACTAGGTGAGGCTGAGGCTACCGCCACACTTTTATTCGGCAGCCAGCGTGTAGCGCATACCTTCAAACGTTCCACCACCTTCGCCATGCTCATACTGCATACCTTCAAACCTTCCACCACCTTCGACCTGCTCACACTTCGGTCCCTTCAGCCTTCTATCCAGCCTCACGCCTCGCTCTCTCCGACACCCTCTTCGTCCCTCTCCTCTTCATACACGGTAAGTGATTGCAATCTAGTAGAGTGCCAATTAATCCGATCTGTCGGGTCGAGCTCCCCGAGTCGGACCTCCAGATCAAGAGCGCCGGCAAGCAGTGGGCAGATGAGGAATTCAACAGCCCGCTGCTGGCGCTCGGCCATTGGAGACAGCAGCCGCTTGAGTGAGCCAGCCACCAGGTACCAACGATCCGGCCGCGCAGTGTGTGTCATCAGATCTCGTAGCTGCAGATGCAGTGGCGCGCCACGCCTCCCGAGGTTCTTCATCGTTACCTGAACACGGACGAAGGACCCGACGGCGACCTTGACCTTCGAGCTTGCCTCGTGGCCAACAACAGATATCGCAAGTTGGACCGACGGGCCTTGAAGTGCACGGAGGGACTCTGGCGACAAGTTCGGGGTTTGCAAATCAGCAACGCCGCTCCTTGCGCCCGCCTCCCACTTCAGTCGGAAGCGCGAGAGGAAACGCTGGCGAGCTTTTTCGACATCTACATCGAAGCTGGCCCCATCTGTTGAATCAGGCATTACTTGATGGACACGACGTACTTCGCCCGGCGCGAGATATCCTTTTGAGATGGGGCATCCATCGGCCGAGGCTTCCTCGTCACCATCGAACTGGCACACATACGACAGAGATCGCGGCCAGGCATTTCGAGCATCAAGAGACACTTGAATGACACCTACGGGGTCACGAAGCGAGCGCATAATCTCGACGTTTTGCACCTGGAGTGCTGCGTTTACCGTCATTCCAAGCGAGACAGTCGTGACGCGCGCATGCTTGGCGCCCTGGCCACTGGCAGCGTAGTAGAAGTTAACTTGTGTCGTCGCAATGCCGGCCGTTCCATACGCCTGGAAATGGAATGGGAAAACGGCGCCAGGCGGCACAACGAGCTCCCTCTTGGCAGCTTCGTCCCTCTCGAGCCTCAGCACATCTGCACTGTCGACGACTTCAAAAACAGACGCCGACACCTTGGAAATGTTGCGCAACTGCAGTGTCAATGAGTGCAGCTCACCCTCGAGAAGCATGAACCCCGAGTCGAGCTGTGGATTGGGCTCGAACACCAGCGAGGGCATGCCTTCGATGACAGTAACGGGTACATCCGCAAACTCAATACCCAAGCTCCTGAGGTCGTCCTTGGCGCCATCGACATTGCGTTTGGGCCGGGCATCGAGTCCGATGTTCTTCGTGGTGAGGGGTGGCCTAGCAGCCCAGGACTTTGTCACAATTGGGAAGATCTGTGAGATACAGCCTTGCATCTTGATTCGACAGCCGGTGATCTTGGTCGATCCTACACCGGCCGCATCGACCATGAGCGAAACTTGCTGGAATCGCATGGGACCCAACGTCGTGGGCTCATGTTGCGAGGTGAGTTGCAGGCCATCCGTTACGAGACTCACCTCCTCAATGTCAAGAGGAATGTCAAAAGGATTCTGAAGAGTAATCACACATTCCGATTGCTCGCCGTGAATKAGCACTGAAGCCTGCTTAACGGCGGTTCCAGGTCGACTGGCATTCGGATCATACAATAGAGGGTTCCCCGGGCCCAGCTGGTCGATGGAAGCCTCCAAGCCATTCAACTTGGTGCGATCCAGGACGGCCCTCGTGCCGGTTGGCTGTATCAACTCGACAGCACGAACCAAGAATGAGTCCCAGTATACAGCCTGGACATTGGCGAGCCCGAGGTGCTTGGACACTGCTACTGTGCGGCTTATCACGGTGGCAAGATGCATCTGCTCCTCTCGGGAGAATGCGTTGCACACGGGTTCCGGAGCAGCGTCAATGGCAGCGTTGGGTCCGGCAGCTCTCAACAATGCCGACGTCATCAAAAGCACTCCTTCCGGGTCAGGTGCAGCCTCGCAAAAGCCGGAAAGTGCTCTGAGAATCTCAAACTTGATCGCTGGATTGCCGAACGTGTTGATGTCCGCAAATATTGGTGAGTCGGTCCGTGAAGAAGGCAATGTTGAGGCTCCATATATGTTGGAGAGATCGATCATGAGGTTGCCAAGTCCGCTGCCCTCGGCAGCGACGGCAAGAAGCGTGTCAGCACCAGTATCGATGGACAGACTCGCAGCCGGATGTATACCCATCTCGGCTGCACCCAACTTTCGTGCTTGCATGAGTGCGCCGGTGAGACGAGTAACGGCGTCTTTGATGGCCATGGCTTTCTTACGGTCATATCCAATCACCGAGTAAGCAGATGCTATACCAGCAAGGAGCCTGATGTGGTCGCTAGTTGCCAAAACGTCGCCACCAAACGGAATTGCCTGGCTGAGTATCTCAGTAATAGAGGCCTTTGAGTATGGCTTGTAGATGTCAACGAAAGGCACAGCAAGCCGCTGTGCGTTGCTGGAGCTGGCATCCCTGTCTGATACCACGAGGCCTCGCACCTTTTCATAGGTCAAGTCACCGTTTGTGGCGTTCAACGTAGCCAACAATTTCGCAAATCGAACGCTCGCTTCCGCGAACACAAGAGAGGGCAACTCAAGTGATCCCTCTGTGGAGCGCAAGAGGGACAAGATCTTCCTCGCCAAACCGGGAATCACCACTGAAAGACGATGTCCCTGCGACTTGTCCTTGGCACTTTCTGCAGACTCCCGAGAAACTCCAGGTGGGTTCGAAGCGCCCCGAGAGAACTTGGATGCGCTGGCTTTGTCCAACGCGAGATCACACAATTTTGGAACTTTGAACTCTGTGCCTGACCAGAAGAGAAGCACCATGCACACTAGCATATTCTCGAGGCCTTTTGCATGCCACAGATGATCGGTCAACGCATTTGAGATCGTGGTGCTTTCGGCGAGAAGCCGCAAAGCTTCCTGCCATTGTCCAGACATCATGTATATCGATCCCATCACGATTCCAACTCTTGCTTTACCCCTCGCGCGAGTCTTCTCTTGGGAACTGCTTTGTCCGAAGCCTTGGGTTTGGATGCGATCTTGACTAAAGGATCGCGCCCTGGTCTTGCTCTTGCTGCTTTGGGTGCTGATCTCACTCTCTCGTCGCTGATAGTTTGTGGAGGTGACGTTGTTGGCGCTGGGCATTTGATCGAATGAGGTCGCTGGCAATGGTGGCAGCTTTCCCGTGGGAAATGAGTCTGACGTTCGGCCATCTTCAACGGGGCTAGATGCGTGGGATGAGTCCCCATGACCTGACCCGGGTCTCCTCTCACTCTCGCGAAGCGAGCTATGTCTGTGCAGTCCTTTGGCGGTATGACCGGGCGTTTGAATGGTGGGCGAGGCCTGCACTGCTTTGGCATACGTCGAGAACTCCACCAAGAAGCGAGCCGAAAGCTCGTTGACAGCTGATCGGAGCGAGGGATGGTCTACCTCATTGGCGTTGGTGACACGGATTTCGCTCGAAATGCTCTTCACATCTTCATCGTCACCATCTTCCAGCCAAACGAGCTGTCGGTGAACGACTCGGGGGTGTCGCTCACGCAGATAGGCAGTGGCCTGTGCCAGCTGCTTCTTGCTGTCCTCCTCCACGGCTCGCCAACCATCCACCACGCCCAAGATGATCAATGGCTCGCGGAAAAATTCATACGGGGATATCTTTTCGTGCTCCTCGGATGGCGCTGCTGCTGAAAAGCGGTACAATAGCGAACCCTGTGGGAACGTCGTGGGTGAGAGGGAGTTGACATCGCCATTKCCCTGATGCTCTACATTGCTCAAGGAGACGATGCTGGCTTCACTCTGTAGGCGGCGCACGAACAACGAGAATCGCGAGCTCTCGATCTGGCCAACGGGCAGGACCAGCACACGGATATACGCCGGTGCCACCGGCGAGAAGTGGTCCATGGATGCGGCATCTCGCTCACGACATTTCGACAGGTCTTTGTGTATCTCGAACCACTGCCTCTGGTCTTCTATGCAGTAGGATGAACCTCTTCAAGAATGTGCGGGCGCGATGTCTGTGAGAAGAAAGCCCAGCCGAGCAAGCCAAGGAAACCACCATGCTGGCTATCAAGTCGCGGCAAGGAGTCCCCGGGGCGAGATCCGCTCCTGGTTCCGTGCCAATCAGCTTTCACGTCGAGCTTTTGAACGAAAGTTTTGCTGGACTTCAGGTCGTTTATCCCGCCATTATGCGTGCTCAAACCGATTTGCTCCTCTGATAGCAGAAATTTCGTATCGTGTGTGGATGTGCGCTGAGAGGGTCGCTGAACCTGTAGAAGATGATCAGCGCGGATTGTTGGCAACACTCTTCTCTGAGMAGTCCCGTCAAGTATGAGTCGGACGTCTGCCATCAACGTTCATGGACGATCAAGATGTGCCGTCCACGCCCAGGCCGTCCTCGAGCCTCTCGGAGGATACACGTAGAAGGTACGACTTCTATCCCTTCCTCTGCAATAAGGATGCTGCTTTGGTCGTGTTCCGCGCGTTGTGGGGTTGAGTTGGCGGGCCCTCGCGGAGACGGCGAACACGAGGGCAATATCAGAATAAAGGCGACTGGGCCGTCGTGGTGGAAGCGTGCTTGTCATTTCATTGCGATGATTGATGGATGGATGGAGTGTTCTGTTGTTGTGTCGTGTACTGACGTGTCATCGTAGCAGCATGCTGTCGGCTGGACTGCAACCCCAAAGCGTCGTGGCCGCGGGCACGGGAACACTGGGCGGTATGGACTTCCGCCAGATTGAGCCCTTCGAAACAACCATTTGCGAGCGCCTGACGCGGGAGATTCAACTCTGTGACAGTCCCACCATTCCCACCGGACTGCGGAGTCCCTCGGGGCCGGCGGCATCGACCACGACATCGACATCGTCTTCGCTGGCGCACGTGCTGCAAGGAGCCTCCACCGCTGTGCAGTTCCATGCCAAGTGGTTCCTCCCATCCGCACTCACTGTCCTCATCGAGACCTCCATCGATGTAACCAGCCGATCTTCGGCAACAACCGATCTTTCCGCCGCACTCAACTTCATCGACACCATCGGGACGTACTCACTGATCCCCACTCTGCTGCCTGTCGTGCGCTTCATCTCCTACGCCTTCTATCAAGGCAGCCGCTCGAACCGACACAAACGCATCAGCCAGCACGCGTGGGTCGTCGCACAGCACATTATCGAATCGCATCTCGGCGGACAATTCCCCGGAGCCCTTCTCACCATCATCTTTGACCACCAGCAAATTCACACACGCTTCAGCATCGGTGCCACGATTGGAAGCTTGATGCTCATCACCCAAAAACTGCTTCCCGAAGACAATCACGAGAACGCGATGGAGGCGACAGACCTTCTCATCAGCATCCGGGCGGCTGCCATTGAGCACGACCYGATCTTGCGTGAACAAGTCGGTGTCATGCTTGCCAGCATGCTACGAACCACACGCATCGCTGCCAGCATGCAACAAGACGGCCTCATGGGTATGTACCTCGAGCAAGTCCAGCGGTGTGTCACACACGGGCTTTCCAGGAGCGATCTTCAGCCCATACTAGGAGCTTTCATGCTCAACTCTCGGTATTTCGAACCCTATCACCTCTCACCGATTGCGCTCCTCTTCGTCGAGGCTCGACAACCACTCCCTGAGGAACTGTCCAATCAGCTCCTTCTTCCCTGGAAGCAGTCTCTGATGCTGGACGACCATGCCATGTGGGAGACGAGCTACCGGAATCTCATGATCAACCTCTGCGACTCTACCTTGTACACTCTCCAGCTCGAAGCATTTGTCGATGTCAGTGTCCTGGCATTCTTCCAGACCGAGAGCCGTGCTTTGAGAGAGGAATATGTCGCCACACTCGAGAGTCTGCTCGCCAACCCCAGCGCTGCGCCTTCTATTATGGACACATTGGCCAAAGGTATTGTTGCCATATTCACGCACAAGACGCACAAAGTAAAGTGGGAAGCGCAGCGGAACTGGGTGTTCCCAATATTGTGTGATGTTGCCAGCCGCAGTGTCGTCGCCATTGAGTTGCTGCTCAGCATCCGTGCAGACGCCGCAGGCGAGGGCTATCTGGAGTTTGAACGTACATCTGACATTCATGGCATGTCCACCATCGCGCTCAGTGTTTGGGTCAGTGCTATCGACGACATGCTTGTTCACACGCCGAGCAGATGGGACGTTTACAATACCCTTCTCACAAGACTGGCAGCACAGATACGTAACCATGCGCTCTGGCGCTCCAACTACACCGGGATTGGCTTTCTACGAGAGTCCATCTGCGAGTTGCTCAATGCGGACTCATACGTTGAACCTCCCGCCGACACAGGACTGAGCAAATCACACATTGTATCGCAGCTGGTTCAGATCTTAACGGCCATTATCAGTTATCATCGTGTGCTCATGCGTGATGACTTGAGGGCAGCTGTTGTCACAATTATCAATGTTGCAGGATCCCGCGATCCCGCTGTCAGCATACACTGCATTCATGCTTTGACTATTTGTTGTTACGAGCTTCCCGAGCTAATGGCCTCATACATGGACGCCATCATCAACAAGATGACCAGAATGGTAACTCAGCGACAATTGGCCATCTACGTGCTCGAATTCTTCGCAGGGCTGTCGCGATTTCCGGAGCTACAGAACAGATTGCGGCGTGAGGACTTCAAGCGGATCTTCGGCGTGTGCCACAGCTATCTCCAATCCATCCGCAGCACTTCCGCTCTGGAACGCAAGCGCACTCCCACAAGCGAGCAGAGCGCTGGAAACGGAAGCACATCTCACAACGATATGGCGCCGTACGTCTATGCCCTCACACATCACGTAATCAGCTTCTGGTACATGGCGTTGCAGAGTCACAACCGCCATGGTCTGAAGGATTACATCACCAGCTGCTTGAGATACACAGACCTCGATGGAAACCAGCACATCGAGAATCAAGGCCTTGTGACAATCGATCTGATGGATCGTGTCGACGCGGAAGAGCAAATCACAGCGCCATTCGTCCAAGTTTTCGACGAGACCGACGGCCGCATCATCACGCGTCATCGCGTTACTGGAATACTCCTCATCACAACGGAGACATCTCTCCGAACCGGCAAGACGATAGTCACCATTCGACGCCCATCGGGCACAGCTCAACATCTCATATCGGCCAAACAGGACCACAACCACGAGAACAACCAGCCCCTCGACGAAGACGGAGTAGAGTCGCGTTTCACAGCATCGGTTACAGTCGAGAATGATACGCAAGACTACATCACAGTCTTACCAGATGATGTGACAGGCCGCATCTACGGACGAGTCGCCATTCCACGCCCATCATCAGCGCTTGGCTCGATGGGCATCATCACACTCCCCGAGAATGACGAAGCTGTGACACGTGCCATTCAGGCGTTTGATCGAACGTCAGCGCTGGACTCCCACAAGGCAGGCGTCATCTTCGTCGGTGAGAGGCAGAAGACTGAGGAAGAGATCTTACTCAACATCTCCGGCACACCAGACTACAGAGAGTTTCTCGAAGACATCGGCACCCTCCGCAAGCTGAAAGGTGCCACCTTCAACTCTCAAGGTCTCGATCGCGCCGAAGACGCAGATGGAGAGTTTACGATCGTCTGGAACAACGACATCACAGAGCTGGTCTACCACATCACGACATTCATGCCCAACCACTCGGACCCCAGCCTCACCATCCCTAACAAGAAGCGTCATATCGGAAATGACTTTGTGAATATCGTATTCAACAATTCCGGCAGCGCCTTCGATTTCAACACCTTCCCCTCGGCATTCAACTACGTCTACATCACCATATCGCCCTCTGAACGCACCAGCTTCGTGCAGGCTCGAGAGATCACCGCCAACCAGCCAAAGAGGGACCGATTCTACAACGTCCAAGTCCTCACCCGCCCAGGCTACCCGAGCCTCTCCTCGGCAGGGGAATTGAAGGTGGTATCAGGAGAGTGCCTGGGAGGGTACGTCCGGAACTTGGCGTTAAACGCCTGCATGTTCGCCGCGATGTGGAACGGAGATCTTTCGGGCGAATATCCCTCCTCCTGGCGCCAGAGGCTGGAGATGTTGAAGAGACTTCACGCGAAGTACACGCCCAAGTGGTAGCTTTTTCGCACCCGGGGTGATGGAATGATTTTATGTATAAATTAACGACACAGTGTAGAAATAGTCTACTCAAAAGTTTTATGTTATGAATAATGGATCCCCATCTCAGTTTTGTGTACGACCACTGGATAATAGGCCCTATGGCAGGCTGATAAAAGGTCGATTTGGTCATGAGAGCACATTCCATGTAGGAGACAATGACAAGGCGGAGAATGGCTTACTTTTGGGGCGTTTATTGCGATGTGTTTTGCGAAAGAGTATCCCTCTTATACCGCTCTCCAGATCATGCAGTAACACAATGCTACTGCACTTTATACCATGCTGTCAAAAATTCGATTCGATCGTGAGAGCCTATTCCATGCACAAGATGTTGAGAGGGCGGAGAGGGCGGAGAGCAGCTTAGCTCGCATGCGTCTTCGTTGCGCGAGACCGTCCTGGCGTTTGTCATATACTGCTCTCCACTGTATGGAGAGCTCCTTTGCTACCAATCTCCACGGCAGGCTACTGAAATGGCGATCTCTACTGTGAGAGCGTTGAACTGGCCGCATGCATGAGGTGAAAAGATGTCAATATCTCAATTACCTAAGATGTTCTGGCCATGCAGGCAATTTTTCCACCTGCTCACTGGAGCAATATCGTCTGTTTCGTGGTTCTGCACTTTTTACATTCATCATCAGGCATCATCATCATGACAAGACAAGACAGACGGACGGGCCTATTATGCCTTGAACAAAGCTTCCAGATCCTCCGCCGACAAAAGCTTGCAGACTCCATCGTGACAGAGCTGCACCATGGGCTTCGAAGTGTCAATATCCTTCAGCAGCGTATTACGACTTCTCAGCCATGAGTCGTTGACCCCACCGCCGACGCGAAGCGCGGTAGAGATGGGCCAGACATTATCTCTCATCTTTTGGAGGACTTGTTCTGCGAGTTCGCCATCGCCGACGACCACGAGGCCTCGCATGCCATTCTTTGCGGCGACGACTGATGCTAGCATGCCGCTGAAGAGACCAGGATGTTGACCGATCTCGACCTCAAAGCATGCTACGACCTTCCGCGCAAGTTTCTCGTACGTCTCGTCATTGAGAAGCGATCCCATGCGGAAGAGGTTGTGGGCGCTCACACCATTGATGCTAGGCTCGGCATTGTCCATGGCGTCCTTTACACGGATCAAGATATCTGGCTGATTGGCTGGCGTAGAGAAGAACCCATACTTCTCCTCATCCCAGAAAAGCTTAATCTGAGTCTGCTGCAGCTTGTCGGCAAACTCTAGCCATTGGCTATCCCAAGTAGCTTCGTAAAGATCAAGCAATCCGGCGATCAGGAAAGCATAGTCATCTGCGAAACCTGGAGTAGGCCCTGGCCCTTCGCGGTATACTCGCTTGAGTGTGCCAGTATTCGTGTCGAATAGGTGCTGCTGGATGCATTCTACAGCTTTCACTGCGCCATCCAAATACGTCGCGGCTTCTGCAGGCGCGAGATACTGCAGCGCAGAGCTCGCACGTGCCAATCCACCGATCGCCATGCCGTTCCAGGAAGTCACAATCTTGTCGTCGAGGGCTGGCCGAGGACGGGTTCGCTCTCTATGAGCCAACAGCTTTTGTCTGCCTTCACTGATTACCCGCTTTACCTCCTCCTCCTCCTCCATGCTGAATTTTGCGGCCAATTCACTAAACTCGCACTGCACACAGAGAGTGTTCTGACCGATGAGCTCGCCTTGTACGTCAAATCTCCTCTCCACATTGCCTTCTTGCTTCACTCCCCAGTAAGCAGCACAGACTTTCGCATCGCTGTCGCCAAGGACCGTATTGAACTCTTCCATGGTCCAGACGTAGTATGCACCTTCCCGCTTGTGATGATCCGAGGCGGTTGCGAGAGAGTCTGCATCTTCCGACGCGTTGATGCCTCCAAGAGGAGAGGACATTGGTGGGCTTGTAAGATACTTGGCAATGTCGTGGACCGTATCGAGAAGCAGAGGCGACTTTGTGAGCAGGTATGCATCCAGATATACCGGGAGGAGTTGTGCGTTATCGTAGAGCATCTTTTCAAAATGAGGCAGACTCCAATCCCGGGTCACAGAGTATCTTGCAAAGCCGTGGCCGATCTGATCTTTGATGCCACCCTTGGCCATGCTTTCCAAAGTCTTGACGGCCATTCGGCGAGCTTCAACACACTCATCCTCTCCGACAATCTCACGTACGTCGGAAGGGTATGAGGCGACCCGTAACAGAGGCCTGATGTGCACTGGTGTAGGAAACTTGGGCGCACCACCAAAGCCTCCGAACTTTGGATCGAAGCGRCCTTTGTAGTGCTGATAAGCATCATCAAGCAAATCGAGTTCAAGACCATCATTCTCGTCCGGCTTGCCATCCTTTCCGCCCAGCATCCCTTCCTGTGCATACTCGCGTAGCTGCCGTGTGATTTCGCTGGCGTTTTGTCTGCATTTTGCTTCCTGCTCCTTCCAAGCGGTGAGGACTCTGCGCAACACATCTTCGAAAGTGGTTCCGCCCATCTTGGTTCTCCCACTCTTTGGACCTGGCCAATAGGTACCGCCAAAGAGAGGCTCCAGCTCTGGGGTCACAAAAACATTCAGAGGCCACCCGCCTGAGCCACTGGTGGCCTGCAGGAAGTCCATGTATTGCCTGTCGATATCTGGACGCTCCTCTCGGTCGATCTTGATTGGAATGAAATGTTCATTAAGCAATTGGGCGATTCGTGGGTCGTCGAAGCTCTCGTGGGCCATGACATGGCACTGCGTGGTACTTTGTCAGTTGGTGCTGGTGGGATGTGGCCCTCTGTACATTTGACTAACCCAATGGCAAGCAGAATAGCCAATGCTCACAAACAGCAGCCGGTTGGTGTTGCGTGCAAGCTCCAATGTCTCGGGACTCCAGAGCTGCCATGCTGTAGGGTTTGCCAGGTGAGAGCGGACATATGGACTCTTGCTCTCGCCGCACCGATTGGTGAGYGAGATGGCTTTGTCAAACGCTGGAGGGCTGCTCATGGTCGGATGGGTTGTAGAAAAGGGCTTCACAAGGCGTTTGGGGACATGGAGCTGCTCAAATCTGTGGACGGCGAAGCGCAGCGGGCGTGGATTTGCTTGTGCCGTCGGGGCCCACCGACGGAGGTGACAACAAAGGAGCTGAGGTAGACATGAACCTTGCATGAGGCGCCCCTCCTCTACAGCGAAAAGAAAATTCGGTTTTGTCCGAACCTAAGTGCGTGATATTGTTATCACAGACTCTTCCGTCATAAGTGTCAGCTGATTGACGGGCTCGATAGGGCTGTGCTGACAAGATACCCGGTACCAACCTACGAAGCGGGGAAGAAACAGGGGTCGGAGAAAATATTTCTCTCGCCGGCATCCACATCTCGCACACGTTGGGGGGCCCAGGATGCAGACTTCTTTCGGAAAGCGTTTTCCTTGCAGAGAAAAAAACGCCCTCGGATCTGAATGTCGGCTGTTACACGTTCAACATTCTTTGCCTGTAAGGTGAAGCAGTAAAGTTGTTCGTCCCTTGCCCTCATCCAAGCGTGGTTGCACAGACGCCAGATAGGTCTGGCACTAGGGYAAGGGTTGGGGTAGTGAAGAAAAATCAAGCAGGCATGATACAACTTTCCGAGCTACATGTATTCCTCCATGCGTCACATGTTGATGGTAGTGAATGCCATTGTGAATAAATGTAAGCATAGGGTGCAATCGTGATTACTGTCCGGTGGAGTTGGCTTTGATTTGCTGATGCTGCAGCGAACTTCGTCTTGGAAAGTCAACGTTGTGTGGCAGKAGCAGACGACGTCGTTGCACATCAACTATCTCCATCCCAAACTATCTAGCCTTGGCGGTGCATAACCAACCACATGTACTTGCTGTATCGACTCTTCAGATTCATGTCGCTTCATCCCAAGCAGACCTTCACCTTCCAGCAATTGAATCTCTGCCTTTGCGAGGCGTTTGGGCAAGGGATCTCTCCCTGGCAATCTGGTCTCCCGCATATCTGCTTCTATCACCGCGTTCTTGGCTACGCGGACAATCGTTGAGAAGTTGGCGGTAAAGGAGGCACCAGTTTGAACTATCGCCCACAACCCAACAAGAACGTTCAGCGTCGTCACTCCAATTGCAATTCCATATGCCAACCAAAGCTTGTCCGAACCATATGAATAGACGTTGGTGAAGATCTTCAGCGTGACATCGGTAGATGTGGGCGCGAGCGGGCTTGTGGAGTTGTACGTCAGCATTGATGAGCTTGCCATGGAGATAGTGATGTTGAAAAAGAGTTCTTCGAGGGCGTCTTTGAAGGGCCGCCGTGGGCGATCTGGGATTGATGGGAGTAGGCTGACTGCTTGGTCCAAGGCGGTCCCGGAGTCGTTCAACGTCATGTTGTAGCCGTTGGACAATCCTTGGCCCAGAGCATGCATCTCTATGGTGCTACTACCCAGTACGGTACCAAAAACCTGCGTCTGGGATGTCCACATCACGCCCCTATCCGTCATCATTCGAGCCTTGCCTTGTGCTTTGGAATCTGAATTCCCAGCCCCGAGCAGCAGATTCATCATCGCCTGCTGGATGGCAGAGTATGAGCTTAGCCTTAGCGCTCGGGCCGCGAGCGAGGTGATGTTCTTGGTATCACGTTCATTGTCCGTGAAGATAGAGAGTTGATCCGAATGTCCATTGGTATAGAAGACTGTTGAGTTCCAATCGGGCTCGACGGCGTCTGTGGCAGATTCTATCCGGACATGTTGGTCGTGAGCCCCTCCATATTCGAAGTTGAGGCGGTAAGTCGTCGGAATCGCTCTACACCGCAGTGTGGTAGCGGTATCAAAATACCAATCAATGAGAATCGCTTTGTCCTCGGCGATTGCTCGATCGCCTTTGCGAACAGCACTTAGATTCAAGGGGCGGTCTGCCAGATTCTCGTCTCCTCTCAAGAACGAGAGCTCCGCGCGAGGGACAATGGTTAAGAATAGATCCACCCCTACGCCCAAGAAGTACGGTGTACTACCTTCTTGAAGGGTCCAGCCATTGGTCGCGCTTCGCCACTTGAAAGGCATGGGCGATGTATCGTTTGCATAGGCTGCCCAGGACAAATAGCTGAACATGATGTTGGTGATGTGCGGCCACGTGCCGTTCGCAGTGTAGTTATTGAACACATCAATCAGGTTTGATTTGACGTCTCTCAGCACGTCGGCCTCCAGAGGGCTACAAGAGAATCTGGGAGCATCAAGATCAAGGTTCCACGTAGCGTTTACGCCTGGTGGATCAATGGATAATATGTTTCCGGCCGCTGCTGCTGCGTAGGCAATCCGCGAGACCTCGTTATTCGGACCCATCTGGCTGAATCTTTGCGACCCGTTGTCGTCGGGAAGATCGTAGAATGTCCCAAACGCCATGCTGTCCAATGCCGGCTGTGGCACAATTACATTCAGCACTGGAGATGGATGGACCTGATCGAACACAACGCTCAAACTGGCTGGACTGATGATTGCCGCAATAGGCAGTAACCAACAAGTCAAGGCAACGAGCGTTACCAACGGATATCTCCAATAGCTTGCGAGACATCCGAGGCTCCAGAGATCGTTCAACCCTCCGAACCAGTTGTCTAAAGTGCTCAGCTTGAAACTCTTTCGGTTGATGGCCCTGAAAAGTAATTGCATGTAGGCCGTACTGCAAGCTAGAATCAAGCTAGCTTTCACGAGGAAAGCGAAGGCGGTTCCGATAGCAATGTTGATCTGCTGCTGGGTAGTCGTCCAGCCCACGACATTGATAGGATTTGAGCTGACAGCAGAGCCAGTCAGAGAGGAATAGAAAGCATGATGTCCCGCAGCTAGTCCCGTACCGACCAGGAGAGAGGAGACCATGACGACCGGGGCATGCCAGTGGAAGCCGAAGTGAGTTTCAAGGCCATCATGATGGCTTTGCATGTTAGGTGCGTCGGTATGATAAATGATATAGTGGAGGTGACCGCTACGACGAGACGAGAGGTGTGAGCAGCAGACATTTCAATCAGCGTGCCGTCCAGATGGTGTATATACCATAGATGTGGATCCCAGCGGCTAGAGGTTTGCGTACGCGCCGCTGTRCCTCTTGCCTGCAGGAAAGCGGAGAAATCTTTCCCAAACCTGCATTCAGGCATCCTTCTAGCAATGTGAGTTGCATACTGATGTACTACAGCGTCTCGTTACATCTGATGTTTTTGAATCCATAAAGTCCTCTCGATCATCCGGCGGTCGTACGTTCGTAGCGAATTGATTCCCCCAAAATGTAGCGAAGTGGGCTTTTGATATCAAGGACGACGTTCGATCCAAAAAGACACCGCAGTCTCTAATATGTTCATGCAAAAATCTGCGAAGGGTTTACCATAATGTTGGGTGACGGGTGATGTTGATTGTTGAAGCCATCAATGTCGCACAAATTCGACTTTGGCAGCCTGATCATCCAACACCACAAGGGTATGTTCGCGATGGCCATGTGATGAGCAGATACTGGGTGAGTTCGTGGTCGCACTGTTTTATGCCATGCTCGATATGCTCGGTATGTCAAGCTCGGTATGCCATGCTCTCGGTAGTGTGTTAAATTTCCTTCATATAGGGTAGAGAAAGAACTGCAGCGTGGCAGGTGGGAGCCCGCTCAGGTCAGGACGAGCGCTGAGAGTCGCCAGAAGAGCAGTAGCTAGGTAAGCGTCGTGATCAAATTTTCCATTGTCTCGTTACACGACAAGAGAGCATAATGGCTGTTACCTTTCCGATACTTCAGGACAAGGTCCAAACTGGGGTTGATGAGAYTGAAGGCAGGCGTTGAGTGGTATCCCCAGGCTGCAGGAGTACCGAGGCAGACTGTTGTGTCACCGAGCATTACAAGTAATGCATACGTGTATCGCTGGTTTCTCGTTCTGGCTGTCAAGTAATAAGTTGTTCAACACGGGTGATTTGTGAGCAAGCGAGTCCCGAAAGGCAGTTGCAAAGAATCAAAATTACCGCGCTTCACACCCTTGCGAATGGCCAATAGAATTCGGTGTCCACGCGCCAGGGATTCGAGAATAATGGAATCGCGACATCAGTCCAGTCAACACATCACATTATTGGCTCAAGCGCACATTTAGGCAGCGTGAAGACAAGGAGCTGACTAAATGGTTCGTAAAGACGTTACTCGTTGCTCGGATTAAAGTTTGTACACAGCAAAGCATGAAACTGGATATGGAAATAATGCAGCCACGCGAAAAGCCTGCCATCGAAGCCCGTGCGTGTGTTCTGTCCAGCAGATCTCACTCGACGATCCTGATATGCAGAACGTCCGATTCGGGATGCCGAAATTCGCGAAAGATGCTGGAGCTACTGTTGGAGGAAGGCTTTGACTGAGAGAGCGATTTCTGTTGCAACATTGAAAGGACGCCGTGATGCACATTTCTGAAAGCCGTGTCGCACTCAATCATAAGTCTCTGGTACAAGAAAAAGAAGACCCGTAAGGGCTGCTTGAAGACACTCTTCTGAAGAGACAAATGTCTAAACGTAAGCCGAAGCACTCCAATCCACGGTTGCCTCGCCCTTTGGTGCAAGCACGTTTGCGGCGTATTCACCGGCATAGTTACCTGAAAGGACGTTAGAAGTGATCAGATTGAAGGTAACCGGCGCATTGCTTACCTGGGCCCTTGTAGTTGCAGACAGTGAAGTATGGGGAGACACCGTTACCGGTGTTCGCAAGGCCGTTCGGGCAGTGCTGAGTGTAGCAGGCAACGTGGGTGGTATCCTTCCAGACAATTTGAGTGAAGTGGCCCCAAGCCTCGAAGTTGCTCATATCGGGCTCAGATCCGTAGAAAGCAGCGTAGAGAGGTTCTTCTCCGTTGTAGAACATGTCGCTGATGACAGCAGTGATGTTCTCCTGGGCGACACCAGCGGCAATGTTCTGGCCGTAACCACCACCTCCGGCAGTCCTGTGAGATATTAGTATCATGTCCGGATTCTGGGGAGACAGTGAGAATCATACACATCGTGCTTGTAGTCGCAGGACTCGGCAACGGTCTTGGCGCAATCGTAGAGATCCTTGTCCCACGCAACGGCAGGGGCAGAGTGGTTGGCGCGGTGGAGGTTGTGTGCCATGACAACCGCGTCGTTGTAGCCGGATGGCGCTCCGCCGTCGGAAGATGGCGAGCTGGAGACTGGGGCAGGGGCTGGTGCAGAGTAGACAGGTGCCGGAGCAGAGTAGACTGGCTTGGGCGCCTGGTATGCTGGCACAGTGTTCACTGGGGCGTGGGAGACGGCCTTGCTTGACTGGTGGCCGTAGTGGGGAGCCTTGGTGGCGGGCTCAGTTGGGGCGGGACCGTAGGCGGTGACGGTGACGACGTTGGTCACGTAGGCGACCTCGTTGACGTACTCGAGATCGCGCTTGTTGTCGGCGAAGGGCACGGCGATGGCACCGGCGGCAAAGGCCGCAATGGCGAAGGCGGAACGCATGTTGATATTGGGGGGATTGGTTGTTTGTTTTGGATCACAGATCTCCGAGAAAGGTTTGATATCTGAATTGGCAGAATTGATCAGTGGCAGTTCTCGTTTCCTCAATTGAATATATTTGACGGCCAACGAGCGAATGATTGCAGCGACAGAGACTGGGTGACGTGTGCCTTCGGGATTTGATGTTGCAGAGAATGATGCGGCCGCGGCCTGGTGACGGGGGTGAACAGCAGGGGAGGGATACGCACACAATCGGTCGGCTAGCGACTGTAATGGGTGCAGTTATTGTGCGAACTGGTAGCGCGTGTGGTGCTTGTGGTAGTGAACGTGTGGAGAGTCGGTTGTGGTGGTCGAGGGAGGACAAAGTCGGCGGCGACGGACATGTATTAAGTCGACTTGAGCCCCTGGTGCCGGAATAAACTTTCGTTTAATGAGGGATGCTCTGAAACGGCGTGCTGATCGCGCCAAGGTATGCTGTGATTCGTAGAGAAGTGGGCTTGTTGATGAAGCGCGAGATTATTGTAAGAGTACGAGGATTCAGACGTGTGATGATTCTGAACGAAGGTGTTGCGGTTTGCTGAATGCGCTCCGCTAGTAAAGATCTCTTGGTAACGTGGAATGCAAGTCGGCACCTCTTATGTACAACATCCGTAAGGCTGCGAGAATTCAGGAGACCTGCGATCATTCGTCGCTCGGCTCGACGTTGGCCCCCCCGGTCAAGAATACGAGGCCTATCCGTTTAACTGGGGAGCCCCAAGCTTCAAGTCGCGGGCCTCGTGGCAATGGACCAGTTTTCGCAGCATTTTATGATGATGACATGCAGCAGTCCCATGTTTCGGCGCAAGCGCTTGCGTTGTGAAGCATCCGACGCAAGTCACCTTCCCCGGACGACGACAACCTACGGATCACACGTCTTGTGGCAGTTGATGTTTTGCAGACCTCCGACTTCCGATTTCGCGCCAGCCCATCTCCGCATGGCGCCAATCCAAGCTGTTGATCAGCCGCCTGTAGGTCCTTTTTCACCACGAAAGGAAATTGGTAGATTCAGCACGACCAAGACAATCGCCAAGTCACCCTCCACCTGCTCCTTCGAGACCGCCGCTTTGCCAGGCGGCAAACGCACAAAGCTGTCTCAAACCAGATCCCGGCCTGAGCGCTGGTTGAGCGAGGAATCACCGTCCAACGAGCCCTACGGCCCTGCCTACAGAGCGCCGCGGTTTCACGGGTTCCACCCGAAGGCCTGTATGCTCCCGACGACACGCAAGCCCGCCAGCGATCCAGCTTCTGCAAGTTTCCCTGGTCGGGCTAGATCTCCGTGTCTTCCAAGCACAAAAGTCCGATCAGGAACCAGTGAATTTAAAGGTTGCCACCCTACTTTACCGGTTGCGATCAAAGACTTTTTCCTCTCTTCATATGATGAGAATGAGAAACGACTTGGAAGACACYATCTAACAAGACATTTAGCTGTCCGCAACACTGCTTGTCTTGGTRATCTTAGCTCACTGTCCGCGAGCGTGGTCGTTGCTCAATTGCTTCAATTTCTCCAGCCGAGTGCACTGGCGACGCTTCTCCATCGCGGAGGCAGTTTCAGTGAAACCACGCCGTCAAGTCACGAGCGCGGTCCGATGTTAGCGATCCCACGTTCCAGAATCAAGACCTGTCGTCGCAGCAAGCAACCTGGTTCCAGGCACAAACGCGGCAGTGTTTGAGTTTTCAACAACCAACCGTTTTATGCGACTTGCTTCATTTATGCCACCTAACCACACCTTGCACAGGTTTCCTGTCATTCGCTGTCACTGCAACCCAAATGAATACACAGTGTGCAAGTGCGAACACATTTGTCAATATCGAGCATTGCAATACCCGAAAGGCATCAAAGTAAGAGCTGACAGCAGACAACCTCGCTTCGTTTTCCCGCATTCCTCAGAATACGTTGGTTCCTGCTCCTGCCCTGCATCCTCGAGAAGGGCGACTGCAGACTTCTAGTGCTACCAAGTACCAGAAAGAAATGTGCCACCCGTGCCAGGATGAACCACATGGCCTTAACGGAGTAAATGCTTTCAAGTGCACACGACCAAAGGACCTTGCTACCCAATCGATCGCTTGTTTCAAACTTTCCCGAGACTCCTGTCACACCAAGACATGATTCACCATTGGTTTGCGTGACAGGTTTGTGTGGTCGACATCAACGGCCTAGGAGGTACCCACATGACTGCATACAGTGCCATACACACACGTCGTTTGTGGCAATTCTACAAGCAAAGGCATGGCACATTGTTGAATGTAAGACATAGCGCCACCTGTGCACAATGTTGAGCAACACGTGCGAGATCATCAACTTGGTCGAGACGGGCTTATCTTTAACACCCTCCTTCATGCCGCGTACACACATATCGCCGACTCTCTCGCTTTCAACGATCGATGATTCTAGAAAGTGATCTTTGGTGTGGTGATCGATGGTCGCAGCTTGGCGATGTCTTTGAAGATCGCGCTGAGCTTCTTACACTTTGTGAAACCAACGAAACAATTGGCTTCCATTCTTCTCCAGCATACAGCATGAAACTACATCGAATTACTCTCCCTACGAATTTAAATCGTGCATCCTCCCACTGAATGACGACTTTTTATTGATACAGAATATCGCTGCGATTGACTTCAGAGTTGACGAAAGGCATGCAGAGTGGTAGGACGTTATAGAAATAACGCCGGCCGATTGCCCTTCCTCTAACTTGAACTTGTGTAGGCTTCCTACGTAGCGACAACGCTTGATCAGCACAAGACACCGATGCGACTAACATCGAATGACGATGTCTGCGGAGTCGTCAGATGAAAACGGTTACGAGATGCCGTTGTGACTTAACTCAACGGAGAGGGACTCCGACGTTGGTCCCAGAAGAAAGTCCCGACCGGTGACATGACGCTGATGATGTATGACACCGATGATACCTCAGGACTCACTCAATCTGATTAGGCCTCTCAATTCTCTTCGATTGCAGCCCCTCGATACACACTTGGTATCAAATGGAAGGGTATCTATCTTATCGTTCTCCAAACTTTTGCTATCTTCATTACATCAAATCATCCCTCCCAGCATAATGCTCGTCTCTATCCCTGCATGACTTGCTGCAAAGCTACCTTTCCCTGTGCATCCAGCTTCTCGCCCACAAATTGACCGATGCGGCCGCTATGTCTCTGATCTGCCTCCCTCAATGTTGCTCCCACCCACGCCTTGACATCCTGTACATCGGGGAATGCATCTGGCGTAGGTCTCTTGCATGTGTTCAACGGAGTGAATGCTGCACCGAATCCCACGTCGTCCACATCGCGATCCTCAATTATGTTGTTGTCGGCGCTGGGCGGAAGAGGCGGGTTGATGAGAAGTTTGAGAAGCGCCTCGCATGTGATGGTCCAGCCGCGCTTGGCGTAGCGGTCGACAAAAGCCTGGCTGTCTGCGAGTGTCCGTGTGAGTGAAATGCAAGCAGTTTTGCGGTCAGCCGGACGACTGAGCTTCTGAGTGTCTGGGAGGATGATGCCGGTGTAAATTTGTGTAAACACATTCTCCTGCACGCGATCGGCGGCCGCGATGAAGAAATCTGCGCCAAGACCGCGTGTAGTCAAAGCGGWGACGAGGTGATAGAAGCGGACGAAACGCAGGGTGAAGTTTTCGGTCTTTGAGTTTGTGAGGCGAGTGAACATTAGTTGGAGGATGGAAGGCCAGAATTTCTCGAGCGCGGCGGGTTCGAAGCTCATGACAACAGTCTCAATCAGGTCCATGGCATGGCTCTCGTATGCTTTACTGCTGACCAGCTTCTGGAAGATCACCAAAATGGCCTCGGTTTGATTCGMAGCGGCCATTTGAGAAGCGCCTCGTGGGATGATGGTAGTGAGGAGCCGTGTCAATGCAGGAACGTTGCCTTTGCTCTCCCACATGCCGAGGGTCAAGATAGGTCCGACAAGTTGCTGGAAGTTTGCTGATAGCGTGCCAGATGGGTTCGTGGCCACCATCAATGCATACAGTTGGAAGATGTATGGTGTGAACTCGTCGACTTGGGCCCCCAGTACCTCCATGAACGGGGTGAAGAGGCTAGCCTCAATCTTCTCGGGCTGTACAGGGCCAGCGAAACGGATCAGTGCTCCCAATGACTCGAAGTGGTAGTAGTAAAATCCTGGGTTAGAAGGATTATGCCGAATGACCTTGGTTATGTTCACCAGATATGAGATGATCATGTCCACGATAGGGATCATACCATCGCGAATCACAATCAAGACCCTCATAACGCACTTCATCAAGAATTCGTTTTCCTGAACCTTTTCTGGTTTTGTATCCTTGGTGACCAGTGTAAAGATGTGCTGCAAGAGATCCTTGGCGAGAGGTATGATGCTCTCGCGAGGGATGATAGATTGGTGCTGGTCGTCTGTGAGGTAGAGTGCCCGATCAACAGCAATAGCCGCATATGTGTAGACGACATAGTTGCTCGAGTTGAGATGTTGCACCAGTAGCGGGAAGGCTGCCTGCCATTGCTGTGGCGAGAGGATGCTGCGAAAGATGTACAAGTATTTGATCGCGCCAACCTTGAGCAGTGGTTCTGCTGCCGCGTTCGTCAGATCTTCTGCAACGTTGTTCTGGAAGAAGTCGATAACGTCGACATTAGGGTTGACGCTCAAAACACCTTTGGCGGCGGTCGAGGTGCCTTTGGCGGCGATGGAGGAGAAAAGATGAACAGCAGTATCCTTGGCCTTCCAGTTTGCGCCCTGGTCTTTTGCGTACTCTGCGAGGAAGTGTGTGACATAGCGCATGACCACATCGGTCACGAGCTTCTCAAACTGCTCCATTAGCTTCTTCAGGAAGTTGGTGGCAGCTCGCCGTCTGGTATCCTCATCTGAGCCCTCCAGATCTTGGCGAATGAATTCAATCGGTTCGTCCTCGAATGTCTCGATGTCTGACTCTCGGAGCGACAAATTTGGGATCACGACCTTTTCGGTGACTTGCCCAAGCACATCTGGATTGTTGAAGTTCTCTGCGTGTTCTCTGATGCTCGCGACTGTCGTCAAGAATTCCAATGCCCTGCTGACAACCACGTCGTATTTCGCCTCCGGTCCGATCTGTGTGAGCAAATTCCATGATGTCTCGATGAATTTGAACTGTCCCAGATATGCCTTGAACTCCTCGTCGTACTTTCGCGTGTACAGGATCAGCACTTTGAATGCACCTGCTCTTACATGCTCCAATGGACCCGCCTCGGCTTCGTCGTCTGTGCTCAATGCCGCGTTCTCGTAGTTTAGGTATTTGTGTAGCAGACTAGTGATGGCAGGGAGTGCCTCTTCGAATTGCGGCGGCATATCATGCGTGGATAGGTCATAAACAAGCTTCATGATCAAATCCAGTGTTGAATAGTGAGCTTTGAGAACCTCGACGTTATTCTGATTCTGATCGATCATCCTGTCGGTACTCTCCCACAGCTGCAAAAACGGTGTGGCGAACTTGGATAACACGTGGTTGATCTCGGTGTATAGGTCGTCGGAGCGGTACAGCGGCTCCCATCTCTTGAAAATCGAATGAGCCACTTGCAGCACGCCATTGTTAACAATCGCGTTATCTGGAGTGAGCCGAGAGACCAAATCGTCCACCAAAGTGTCCCACCGCTCCCAAAAGTCGCTGTCTGCAATGACGCTGATAGCATCACCGAGCTGCGCCTGAATGGTCGGCGGGACCTTCACCATGAGCCCAATCAACTCGTTCTTGATCGTCGTGACTTCGTTTGCGGGGAGTACGTGGGCGCCATTTTCGTCCTAAGTAGAAAGTAGGCACATGTCAGCTGTGTCACCGCGGAGATGCCAACGGGCAAAAACGAAGCATACCACCCAGTTGCGCCGCACAAAATTCTTGAAGAAGAGCGCGCTCGCTAGTCGTGTGTTGAGGGGGAATGTGTCGGTTGCTACGATCTGTAGCAGGCTCAGAGAGAAGCCCGGCGTGCCCTCCGACTCCTTGAGTTTCGTTTCCGCTGTGACGGATGCAGTCAGTACGGATTGCGAGCATGATTTGAGGTGGGGTTAAAAGGGTGGATGGAGGACGTTGCTCACCTGCCTTGCTCTGGCGGGGATCAAGACTGGCCGAGAGCAGATCTGCCACTGCCTGCAGATTAGAGGCCATGATGATGTGAAGAGGAAAAGGTTGATGTAATAAGAGGTGTGGTGATGGTGGAGCTCGAATTCGCAGAACTGTTTTCGCCGTTGCTAAGGGCGGTAAATCTTAAGTCCTTTTTGTACTTTAAAAGCATGCCTGTCGCGCGGGTTAGCTTCATCATCATCATCCAAGCGCGTCCACCTCACTCGCCTTTGTACAACAGCAGAGCCTACAACCTTCTACGAATTCTCACGAATCTTCACCTAACGATCACTCACGACTAACGACGAATCCTGTGCCCTCTCCCGTCCCCCGTCTCCCGTACCCGCCAGTAAATCGCAGAATCGATCGCATCACATCCTCCGCCACCATCTGCGGAGGCTCAGCCGATGACGGGCAGCAACGACATGACATCTCCTTGAAAAGGCTATTGCGCCGTCTACATTGCATTTCAGTATATTCTACAAGTCGGAATTATCATGGCGGCTTCTCAGAATCTCTCGCGCCTGCGAGAGCAGACGATGAGCAGTCTGCAGGACGAGGAGGCGGTTACAGTCAACACACGCGCGTTGATTGACAAAGTTCTGGCGCGATACTCTGGTGAATGGACCACCCTTCGAGAACTTATACAGAACGCAGCCGATGCTCAGGCTCGCAAGGTCACTATTCGATTCGAGACGCTACCTTCGGCCACGGTTCCTCTTCCACAGACCCGGGATACTACGGCTCATTTAAAGCATACTCTCCTCAACCACACTCTGAAGACGCTCATTGTAACGAACGATGGAGACAATTTCAATGAGAACGACTGGCAGCGTCTGAAACGTATCGCCGAAGGTATGTTACGATCCCTTTGTTATCTTCACATGATTATTGCCTCAGCCTCGAATCTGCGTCCAGCTCGAGGCAGTTCCCGACCTTTATCTTTGATTTCAGTTCAGACTTCACAGACTCTCCGTGCAACTGAGTTTCTTCAGTCCCTTTTCACTGACGCTCCGTGACAGGTAATCCCGATGAAACGAAAATCGGGGCTTTCGGTGTTGGATTCTAGTAAGTGATCTCAGCTCTCAAAACTCAAGATGTATGCTGACTATTCGACCTTATAGCTCGACCTTTGCGGAATGTGAAAACCCATTTGTGAGCTCCGGCAACCAGTCCATCGCATTTTACTGGAAAAAAGATTCTCTGTTCACAAGGAGGGGGACCCTCTCCGGAGAGCAGGGCGCACAAGCAGGCACTACCTTCATGCTAGATTACCGAAGTCAGACCACGCCTATTCCGTCGTTGATGAGTCTTTGCCAGTTTCTGGCGACTAGCTTGACGTTCGTCGGCCTAGAAGCAATCGAATTGTGGCTTGATGACTGGAACATCGCAACACTGAGCAAAAAGACAGCTCCTAAAGTAGCTGTCAATATCCCCGGCGATGTCAATCCTAAGACGAGAGACGGGCTTATGAAGATCGTCGACGTGGAATCGCAGAACGCCCAGATTGACGCGAAATGGATGAACGTTTTGAGTTGGGACCGAAAGTCTGTAAGTCCAAGCATCCTGCGCAAGGTCTCGGGACATTGTCAACGCGAAGGGCATCTACGCATCTGTGGAGCCTTGCCGTCTCGGAAAGACCGCCCCATCTTTCTGCTAGCCTCTCTTAATCAGACAGCGCTAACAGTTTGTTTCGTTGCTTTTAGGCACAAAATCCTGCCGTACAGCAGAGCGACCCAGGAGGTATTAGCCTGCGTAGCTTTTTCGGCCGATTTGCGGCCAGTGCAACAAACTCGGCCGCTACACGTGCAGCCCAACGTGAAGAGGAAGCCTTACAGCAGAAGATTGCCGAGGACTTGACGGGTTACAGTACAGCGTCCGTGTTCATTCGAGTGAGCACAGTGAACATTGCGACAAATCTGAGCAGGCAATTGGCACAGGAGCTCGAGCGAGCAACGAAGAAGCCTCCTCCTAAGAGGACACGCATCTCCATTTTGACCTCCTCCTCCGACGAGACCAATGCCTCCCTAGCTAGCTATTCTGGGTCTTCAAGTCAGAGAGCGGGTGAGATCTTTGCATCTGTCATTCCAACCAAGCGAGGCAACGTATTCATCGGCTTTCCTACTGCTCAAACGACAGGATTGCTTGCTCATATTTCAGCACCTTCGGTTATTCCCACGGTAGAACGTGAATCAATCGACTTGAACGCGCGATACGTACGAGACTGGAACATCGAGATGCTGCGCATCGCYGGAATTGCGTGCAGAATAGCCTACACAGGCGAGATGGTGGAGCTCAAGAACAAGCTGAACCGACTGCTGTCTGCTGCTGGGAGACGGAAAGTCACACCGGAGGATGTATCCGCAGTGATGCCTTCAGCGATCCACATCTTTCGGCAGTTTGCGTACTCGGAGAGTACTCCCAGTGCCAAGGTCGGTCAGATCATCGAGGAGGCCTTCTGGACGTGCAATCAAAAAGCTAGTATCGATGTCTTGTCTACGCGAGGTGTGCTTCCGAGCCATCAAGTCAGAGTCGCTACAGAGGATCTAAGCTTTGTCGATGGTATTCCTGTGATTCCGGACGAGCTGATGGAGAAAGCGCTCCAGTTTCTGACAAAGCTACGCGATTATGGACTATTGTCTGACATTACCACTGGCGACATCAAGAAGGAGCTCGAATCTCAGGCGCTCGACGAGAAGCAAGTTAGAGAATTGGTCAAGTGGGCTGCCACCAAGGTCGCACGCCAGGATATGGACGCCACGGTGGTGCAAGGCTTGTTTCACGGCACCATTGGCGCGATCAGCGAAGAGTTTTTGGCTAGTTCATCTACCCCGGTACTTCAACTCGGGCATGTCAAGACATTCGTCAATGGGGCCAAAATCCCCACAGATCTTCCAACTCCTGCCCAAACGATTCCGTTCCGCTTCACAAAGGGCCTCTCGTCATCACAGCTGCAGTCGATAGGCTGGGAAGAGCTCCAAATTGTGCCATGGGTGCAATGGATCATTGAGAGCGATGGCCATGGCTTTGGCGACGGCAAAAGTCTCACTGCCACTCCTGAAGTTGCTTCGCAAGTCATGCCTGTCATTTCCAAGTCCTGGGACGGCCTGTCACAATCTTCAAAGCAAACCATTCAGGAGCTCTTCATCCCCCGGACAGTGATACCAACCAAGCTGGGCATGAAGAAACCGCCTCAGGCATACTTTGGCAATGTCAAGTTGTTCGACGACCTGCCTACCATTGTGGGACTACAGGGCGTCAAGGAGAAATTTTTGTCCACCTTGGGAGTGCGAAAGACCGTCGAGCTAGGTGTTGTCTTCGAGAGACTCATGGCGAAATCGAACTCTGCATCTCCTGATGAGGGTAAGTGGAGCCATGTGGACCTCATCAAGTATCTGCTCAGCGTCAAGGATGACATCCCGTCAGAAGACGTCAAGCGCCTTCGGCAGACACCAATATGCCCAGCTGAGAGTTCCGCGGCCACCGACTCAACGACTAAAGGCAAGCTGTATCGATTATCTGAGCTCTTCGACCCGGACGATGCAATTCGACGCCTCAAGCTTCCTGTCCTCCAGTGGCCAGGTCAGTACCGTGCATCATCGCCAGAAGGCCGGTTCTTGAGGTTGCTCGGTCTACAGGAGTACCCCGCCGTCCCAGACCTGGTTGGAATCCTCGCAAAGGCACCGGTAGGCAGTGAGCTTCAGCAAAACACGCTGACCTATTGGATCAACAACGCATATCACAATGGTTATACAAAGTACCCTCTCGCCGAGATCAACCAAGCGTTCCTGCCCACTCTGCCATTCGCAGGCGAGGGCAACAATCTGGTCGCTAAGCCCTCGCAATGCTATGCCAATCCGAAGGCTGCAGTATTCCGTTTCCGCACGCTCCGGGAGGATCTGCAGCAGCATTATGCTTTATTCGGAGTTGCATGGGATCCTCCCATTGAGGTCTGCGCTGAGCGTTTGATAAACTCTCCCCCAGCAGACAAATCCTCGGCACAGAGCCTGTATGCCTACCTCGCAGGCAGATTGAATGAGATTGGACCAAATGGAAACCTTGCCGAGCACCTGGGCAATGCTTTGATTGTGCCATTGAGCGAGAGGACTTCGATGAACAAAACCCCACGCTTACGTCTTGTTGCGCCTCGCGCTGTTTACCTTGGAGATGGACAGACTTATGGCGACATCTTCGACTTCGTAGACTTTGGGCACGAAGCAAACACATTTCTTCTGCGCGTCGGATCCAAGCATGAGCCTAGCGCTGCCGAGATTGCTGACATGCTTGTTCGCCAACCCTCTCGACTGTTGAATACCTTGRGTGTCGACAAGTACCTTCAGCTCCTTCGCAAGATTGCAGAGAGTGCTGCCACTCTCAAGAAGGACAAGGCGCTGTGGAAGCGACTGAAGAACTCATCTTGCTTACTGGCCGAAAAGCTGGTTCGAAGTCGAGGGGCAGCCTACGACGATGAGAAGCGCGACAACGACGAGGACGAGCCGACGATAAAGGAATATTCGCTGGCAAAAGCTCCGGAGATGGTACTGGTCGACGATTTCCAAACGTATCGACTATTTCAGGCCAATCTTCTGGCCGCACCGCAGGAAGAGGTGTTGGAAGATCTGTATGCCTCACTCGAGACTCCCTGGCTTGGAGGGTTGGTCGAAGACGATTCGCGTATGGGGCAATTGCTTAAAGATCAGTCCGCTGGCGGCAGGCTGCAGATGCTGCTCATCGAGCGCTGTCGCCTTTTCCTGCACGACCACGCTCCTACCGCCATCCGACATGATGCCAAATGGCTCGAACAGAACCTCTCGGTCAAAGTCGTCGAATTTCTCCAAATCACACGACGCCTGAAGGGCTACAAGATGCAGTTCGTGGAGAAGCGGACAGCATCGCTTCATAGCCACACGCTGTATGTGACGGCTCGATTCGACTTGTACGAGGTCAGCCGCGCACTGACTGGCCTTTTGCTCAAGCGGCCGAAACAACAAGACCTTCTGGCATTCGAGACGATCATGGAAAGCGACCTTCGTAGACTGAAGACCAAGGGATACAATGTTGACCGAATCCTGCGGGCGAAAGCAGCAGAATCTCGCATCGCAGACTCAGAGCGACAGCAGCGAGAGGAGGAGCAACGACGGCTGATAGAGGCCGACTCTGCAAGTCGTCCGGCCCAGGCACCAGCAGCGAGGAATGCCCAGGGCATGCCAGCGCAAGCTCCCCAGCTTGAAGCTCCTCCTGAGACACCTAAGCAGCCAAGCATGCCAGGCTCCTTCAACGACTCCCCGGAGACGAGCAGATCAGGTAGTATGGATCAAGACAAGAAGCCCWCATCGTTTTTCAACACAATCAGCAAGCACCTTGGTCTCAATGCGGGGAGTCAGGCCGGACAGCAAATGCAGAACTTGCTGGGTAATGGGCAGCAGAATGATGGACGGTCCTCGGATCTTCCTCCTCCGTACGAAGCCCGAGATACGACAGGCGATCGAAGTGTCACGCCTGGCACTGAACGTGTTACCTCTCCTCGCGATGTTCAGTCCAATTTGGAGTCCGCCATCAAGGCCTCTCGAGAATACAGCGCCTCCAATCTCTTCTCCGCTCCCCAAACAAAGAATGTGAAAGAGACGCCTTCGTACTGCGATCATACACCAGCACAGGATATTCAGCTGATCTCTGAACTCAACAACGGCTTCAGATTGTATCTATCGCGCGACAACCCAGACCCCAACACTTTTCTGCAAGATAACAGAGATGCCATTGCAGATTTCGTCTTTGTGCTGCGGGAGGTTTCCAACGTGTTCGAACTCCCGGCCAAGACAATTAACATCTACCACGATCTCAAGGGAGCGGCAATCGCCTTCAACAGTAATGGCAGTCTTTTCTGCAATCTGAGGTACTTTCTACAATTGCATGCAGCTGCAATGGGGAGCGGCGAAGGCAAAGTCGAAGCGATGGCATACTGGTGGATCACGCTTTGTCATGAGTTGGCGCATAACCTTGTGAAGGATCATTCGAGTAGCCATAGCTACTACACGGAGAGCTTCGCTGCGGCATACTTCCGGCGAATGGTCTGGCTTGCGGGGAAATTTGCGAATGATGGTGGAAGATAGATGTACGTGGTCGAGAAGGGGTCGATGTGTACCATGTACTACATACAGAACGTGTGATGCTACCTTAGACCTAGACCAATTAGACACCTATATCACGTTTGACTTCGATCAATGGGCCAGTTATTATCTAGTAAGACTTTAACGAAATGTGCGTCGTCGGTTTGCGCAGCTTCCTCTGCAATTGTCTCTGACTGATCGAGAGATCCCCCCTGGAGAACGCAGCAGCATATTTCATCGTCCGGTGGACTGTCCGAGACGTGATACATGTTCAATAGGCAAATAGGCGAAGTATAGTTTGTAAACGCGGGCAAAGTTGATTGTAAACTTGATGAAAGAAGCCGCCCGTTTCATTGTGGGTGCAAGCAGAGGAAGTGCCTGAGGTGGACATCCCCATCCTCTGCAACTTCCAGGTTAGGGTGTTACACGTCCAAGGGTCGGATCACATGGACCGTAAAGCTAAACTAGGGCGGCAAGGGTCTCGAGGCCGCTATATAGTTGGCTGTTTTACATGTGTCTTTTGGAGGATTCGATGGGCACTGCGAGTAACGATGCGGGTTTCCTGAACAAAGAAAATACAGGGGTTCGATAAGGGACTGGAGAAGCGGTAAATCGGCGGGGATTGGACAGAGACAAGACCCTCGAAATGTTAGGTGTAGGGAACGACAAGAGAGATGTACCTCCGTACTTTGTGATCACCTCTCTACTTTTTGCTGTACGCGAGAGACACGTACCTCCTTCAGCACACCCATTTTACCGCCGTCTTTTGACCCTCCACGGCCCATCACCTGCACGTGCGGCCGCCATCCTCGACTATAGTTCTATCCCAGCCGTGTCTTCAAACTGGGGTGGGTGTTTAGAGGTACGGAGTACCCGGCTAGTACCATCAAATAGCTGGCTCAAGCTGTGCAGTGTGGGTCTCTACGTCGAAGCAACATTCCACCGCCTTTCCCTCCTCCGCCCTACACCCTTCCCATCCACCCGATTAATTCTGCCGTGGATTGGACTCTTCCCCAAGAGTCCACGCTTTCACCATTCACTTTCCCAGCGGCAGCTCCAACACTCGCCAACCTGCCAACATCCCACTGCACAATCTTGCACGCAGATACGACGACGAAGACGACGACGACAACAACGAAAAGGGCGACCGGTCCCGCCTGACGAGGCGCTCCGGATCCGCCTCYTCGTACGAAGACGACGAAGACGACGACGACGACTTCTCCTTGTGGAGCGATACAGGCGATCTTGTTGACCAGCTCGAAGAAGATCCTTTAGCTGCTCGTCTCAACCCAAGCCTCGACCGCGGCCGCTCGCGCCAAACCAAGCGAGTGCGCTACGCTTCGAACGAGAAGCATCGGCAGCATAGTCACCCGCGCTATTCTGGCGTGCTTGTAAAGAGAAAAGAGGACATTACTGTTCCCACGCCGCCCAGCCGTCCACTGAACTGGGGACAGCGTCTGCTGGTCAGAACCATGGCTCCCAATGACTCCTCCTCGCGTATGCATGGCTTGCATGGCAAGAAGCTCATCTATTTCTTGTCCATTTTTGTTTCGCTGGGTGTATTTTTATTTGGATATGATCAGGGTGTTATGTCGGGTACGTATAGCTAGCTAGGCATGGTTGCGCTTCCATGTGCTTGTAGCACCTACTGATCACTGTGCTCGCATCAGGTATCATTACGGGTCCGTACTTCAAGGACTACTTCAACCAGCCCTCTCCCGCAGAAATCGGAACCATGGTGGCTATTTTGGAGGTGGGAGCTTTTATTTCATCCCTCAGCGTGGGCCGCATTGGAGACATGATTGGGAGAAGGAAGACAATTCTGTACGGCGCAATGGTATTCGTGGTTGGAGGAGCCATTCAGGCTTTCGCTACAGGCATGCCTACGATGATGCTCGGGAGAATCATCGCCGGTTTTGGCGTGGGTGCGCTCAGCACCATTGTGCCTGTATACCAGAGTGAGATCAGTCCGCCTCATAACCGCGGCAAGCTCGCATGCATTGAGTTYTCGGGAAATATCTTCGGGTACATGTGCAGTGTCTGGGTGGACTATTTCTGCAGCTATATCGAAAGCGACTGGGCATGGCGGTTCCCGCTGCTCATGCAAGTCGTGATGGGAAGTCTGCTGGCTGTGGGAAGCTTCCTCATAGTGGAGTCGCCGAGATGGCTATTRGACAACGATCACGATGAGGAAGGAATTGTGGTGATTGCCAACCTGTACGGGAAAGGCGATATTCACAACCCCAAGGCTCGGGATGAGTATCGCGAGATCAAGATGAACGTTCTCCTTCAGCGCCAGGAAGGAGAGCGCTCGTACAGGGACATGTTCAAGCGTTACGGAAAGCGAGTGTTCATCGCCATGTCTGCTCAGGCATTGGCGCAATTGAACGGAATCAACGTCATCTCCTATTACGCGCCGCTTGTTTTCGAACAAGCAGGCTGGGTAGGACGAGACGCCATTCTTATGACGGGAATCAACGGACTTACTTACCTGGCTTCTACAATCCCTCCCTGGTACCTGGTAGATCGCCTTGGAAGACGCTTCATTCTGCTAACAGGAGCCGTGGCCATGATCATATCGTTATCCGCCATTTCCTACTTTATCTACATCGATATCCGGCTCACACCTACATTGGTCGTCATTTTCGTGATGATCTACAACGCCGCTTTTGGATACTCATGGGGTCCGATTCCATGGCTATACCCTCCAGAGATTCTGCCGCTCAGCATTCGTGCAAAGGGTGCCAGTCTGTCTACCGCAGCCAACTGGGCTTTCAACTGGCTGGTGGGAGAGATGACTCCCATCTTGCAGCAGGCAATCAAGTGGCGGCTGTATCTAATGCACGCATTCTTCTGCGCCGTCAGTTTTGTAGTTGGTGAGTTCTCCCATCCTTCCTCCCGTGTATGTCGAAAATACTGACAAACCGTACAGTCTACTTCATCTACCCCGAAACCGCAAACGTTCGTCTAGAAGACATGAACTCCCTCTTCGGCGACGCAACCACCATCGCTCCCACACCCGAAACCCTCGCAGAAGCCGAGTCTCTCTTCGGCGATGCTCGATCCCCGGTCCCCTCTTTCCGACTAGGAGAAGGCGGCGAGCCCGACGACATGGACCTTCAACCTCCAGAAGTAGACGTCCAAGACGGCAAGCCCATTCTCAACGAACGCGGCGAAGGCGTCGGAGGCTGGATCAGCAATGTCGTGAAGCGTGCCAAGGGTGATGATCCAGATGGTAGTAGTGGGAACGGTGGTGGAAGTGGGAAGTATAGTCGTGTTGGTCAGGAAGATGATCGATGAGATGTGGTTCCCTTTTGGGACGATTGGATTCTTGGATGCGTTGGTGCGAGAGTCAATATAGAGGTGTTTTTTGCATCAATTTCATGCCGTGGATGTTTTTTTGCATTGGCTGTATGTACCACATAGCTAGACGGAGGAGAAGGATCAAGGACATATTGGAAAAATTTAGAAAAGAAGATGGAGCAATGTTGGATTTTGAGGAGACTTGGAGAGATCATCTTCCAAGTAAACCATCTCAGTACTCCCAACAATCTGTGCATCAACTTTTCTCTGCTCCGTCTGTTCGTGGCCTTCTGGATGAGGAAGGCAGATCTGACTCTCCGTAAGACTGCCTCTCTCTGTGCCTACAGCTACCTGTTCGCGAGCGTTGTGGTTGATACGGCTTCGTCCTTATCTGTCGAAACTAGAGGCGGTGTTGGTATTCTTTCTGCAAGTCAATGTCCGCAGGACATATCGATTGAGTGGTCATAACTACCAGATCACGGGCATGGCAGTGAATTTACTGCGAGAAGAGTGCAAATTCCTCGATTTAAACTTCGTTATGTGCAATTTTAGGGGGTCATATCTCATTGCTACCTAGGCGAAACCGCACTGCGCTGCTTGGATAGCCTCCGCAGCCGCTCGAGGCATCGAACGTGCGTGCGTGAATGGCTGAGTCCTCATATATGCACTCACATCGCGCTGAGATCGAAGAGTGTCAAGATAGATCGCCACCTGCGGAAGAACGTCCTCATTCGCCTGATCAGGTCTCGCCTCATATTCCTCAATCTTGAGCAGGTTGAAGGGCTCGCTGGCGGACTTCTCGACGCTGTCATCGAGGAGAATGGTATTCGATTGATCCCAGTGACAATTGAACACCGGCATCTTGGCCTGAATGYTCGGATCGCTCCAAACCCAAGACAGTTGCTTGTAGACCTGAGTATTCGACGTGTATGCTTCCGGACTCAGGCGGAGGTTGTCGCGGGTCCAAATTGCCGCCACACTCTTGAACTGCTCCGGGGTGAAGAACTTTTGACACATGCTGATTACATTGTACGGTTTTGCTGACGACCAAACCATGACCACGTGCTCTGAAAAGAGGTATTCCAAGAACTCGTCGAGATGAGGACGGGGCTGGAAGTTGGAGCCTTTGTTCTTTCGGAAGAGGAGAGTGCCGTTGAGATCGAGGATGACGAGCAACGGGCAGGAGACGCTCGAGTAGACCGGTGGCTGATGAGCAGTCATCATGTAGGCATGGGTGGGTATCGGTCTCGGGACCGCAAAGACTTTTGGCTGGCCAGAACGACGCCCGGGTCCTGGAGGAGAGGAAGGAAGTGGAGATGCTCTCTGAGCTGGCATGGAAGACGCTCCCTGAGGATGACGAGCTGGTAGCGCTGTGGTATCAAAGGCATGTGGTGGGGACGACTGCTTGGATGGACAGGCCAGCAATGCGTATTGCAGTGGCGAYGGTGCAACCAGTCCAGAATTGGGGTAGACCGGTTGCTGACAGCTCACCGGCGCCTGCTGTCCATGCCCTTCCATAGGCAAGTCGTCTCTAGACGCAACGGAGCTAGGATCGACGAGGTCCAGGATCTTTTTGCTGAAGTTCATAGTCTTGCTCTTCGACTCCATTTTGACATCGGCGCCGTTTTGGGTGGCCCTTGTGACCAAGCCCGTAAGATTGATGCAAGGTCCAGTGCGGACTCTCACGGTTGTACCGGCCACTATGGCCTCTGGTGAATCCCCCTCGCGGTATCTAGCTTGTTTGTTAACGCGAGCGCCGTTTATCGTGCGGATACCTTCTACGCACTGCAGCTGTGAGCGCGGAGCAGTCTTTTGCTGTTTTGGGATCGGTTTCTTCAGGGAACCTGTCTGAGACCGAGTCGTGGGAGCTGCATAATCTTCGCTGTTTCCTTGCCAGGAATCCTTTTCATCCGCAGCGCTCTGGCGTGGCGCTGGACAAGAAGCATTCTGAGTCAGCAGACAAATTTCCTGATAAGCTTCCCCCGAATGGTGAATCAGAGGGTTTGCATACCCATACCCATACCGGTCTCCTTTGGATCCTGCGGAGCCTTCACGCGGCGGTGTGGCGGGATGTAGCTGGCGGCATTGTCCAGGGCGAGGTTGCGGTCGAGGCGGCGGGTACGACGAGTCCCATTCCTATTGACACGCAGTTAGCAAATATCTTGGGACAATTAAGTAGAGTGGGCTGTGAATGGACGCGTGAAGAGAACAGGCGCGCTCGATGGGCTGAGCCTATTTCAAGTCGCAAGAACCCTCCCCAATTGCAGAGCCGCTCGAGATCCGACCTCGATGGGTCAAATCTCCTTCAGCAGCGCTCTCGGGCGGGTTTTATCGTGTGTCTCGTGCAATCTCACTCACCTGCTGTTGCCCTTGCCAGTCTGCCCATCCTCCGTGATACCCGTAATAGACGGCTGGATTCGGCTGGTGTTCGAACCCGTATCCGTACGCTTTTCCTGCGCTCCGCCAGTTGATTCCTCCTTTGAAAGCAGCAGCTTCTCCACCGCTGCACCAAGCAGATCGACTTCCGTAGGCGCCGCCATTTTCTTGGTGAGGTTGATGTTGTTGTAAAAGAACGGAAGGTGGGTTCTGTAAAGTCGGGTTGTGTAAAGTCAGGTTCTGGCTCTGCTGCTGGTGCATCTTTGCGCGGTCAGCATCCTCAGTCTCGCTGGGCGACAGCGGAGGGCTCAAGGGATACCTTTGCACAGCGTTGGGGAAGTTGGCGAACTTCATAGCGAGGGTCGAGGATAAGCGATGAATCTTGTGAGAATGAGCGATAATTCTTGTGATTATGTCGCTGTAGAGGCACAATCACGATGTGAAGATAAGGTAGCGATGGAGTGAACTAAGGTAAGTTGAGAGCGAGAGAGTCCAGGGTTGAGAGAACCGAGGCTGAGTCATGTGGGTTGATATTTTGCCTACCTACGGGTACCTCACTGCTTTATGTTTTACAGTCAACAGCACCGAGCGGGCGGCAGTCGTCTCAGGTCCCGCGCCACCTTGGAGAGAGGCTTTGAGCGGCTTTGCAGGTTTAGTCTTTTTCATAATCATTCATCATCAATCCTTCATTCGTCGCTCATCGCTCGTCAATATGTCTGAGACGTTCCGTCAGTACTCTAAAATGACAGACGAACCATATCGCAACGTACCATAGTTGGGCACGAGATGGTTTGGCGGCTCACGTGGTCCGCTCTCCGGTGGCATTCCATCTCATGATGAGCCCCTCAGGCAGCTCTGCCATCAGCGGAATGGACCCCGACCGAGTGTATTCCACCATCCAACCCCAACCTACCATCGGAAACGAGTTCCAAGAGGCTATCGTCGCTGGTATCACCATCGGACTCGTCTTGCCACTCCAAAGCCTTCCTCACTTCAGCCAACAAGCCGTTCTTCCTGAGCAGCTCTTTGGTGGCTTCAATCAGCTGCTCGTAATGAACGCGACAGATGCGGTTATTGCCCCTCTCCTCGAACTCCTTCRAGATCTCACAGATGTTGTCCACCAAGTCCGCCGCGCTGCACCGGACTACCGTGGTTTTGGGCCGTGGACAGCCACAGCCATCGTACACTTCACTTGGTTTKTAGCACATGATTTCAGGCTTCAATCGACCTCTCCGGTCGAGTGTTGAGTGGAGCCGCGAGCGCTCTGAGCTGCGGTATCAAGGTAAGAAAGTCGGTATATGTAGATGTCGGCCAACAAGCCGTCTTTTGATGACCTTCACGGCGCTGAGGAGCTCTCAGAAGGCTGATGTCGTCGAATTGCTGGAGCCGTAGCCATGTATTCCTTGAAGATAGGTGATCTTTCCCGCGGAGTCATCAAATGCCGTTGGGGGGTCGTTTTAATGATTGTTTCGAGGCGAAAGAGGACTCTCTCCACCGTTTTTCACACAGTCGCCAGAATCTTCCAATTTGATGAAGATGGAGACCGACTGAGGTGCCGCATCCAATGTAGTTGGGAGATGGATGTTACGAAACAAAACAAAACGCGGTTCGGGGTGTGATGGTATGACGCGTTTCGAGTCAACCTCACTTTGTTCGGGAGTCGCGGAAGGCAGGCACAACATGCTTTTGGCTGGGATGGCAGTCACGCATGGGACTCCCCGGGGAGCACGGAATTACACGCAGCTATTGTGCGACTGCGATGCCGGGAGAAGCTGCAGAGCTATCAATGCATCTCATCGAAAGACGGAGGCTCATGGGAATCCCGATCTCGTCGAGCCATTCCCACCTTGACGTCGTTCAGGATTGGAGAGAAACAACTCACGGCGCGACTCAAATTGAATGGAAGCAATTTCTCGATTGTGTGCTATGATACAAATCGAGCCAAGGTAGACACCCTACCGACTCGCGGACAGAGTGTGAATCTCATATATCGTGCAACCAGTGCTTTCCATGTGATAAACCCAACTCCGCCTTCATAAAATTCAAAATTTCTCAATATGCAAGCTTTTTTTTTGGTACAAGGTCATTCGGGCCCATGATGTTTCTTCGTTTGATTTCAATCCTGCAGTGTCATTGTCGTGCCCAAAATAAAACAAAGGAAATGCTGTCGAAGGGGCAGATACCCTATACAGTCAAGGGTGCGCCAGTGAAAATGCAATGTCGCCGGTGTTGGTACAGGTCAGGTTCATATGCAAGATCTTGTTGGAATGGTTCTTTCTGTCGAAATGAACACGATCATATCGTGTCAAAGGCCGTTATGATGATCATAAGCTCATGCCAGAGTAAATTTGAAGTGCATGCCGTTGATGTCGTGAAATGCGACAAGGTCGTTTCCATGAATGGGCCAGTTCCTAGCAGACGGGGAGTCGCCCTCTACTCACAGCCGTGACTCACATTGCGGAGACGATGTCGCGATACTTGATACAGTTGTTGAAGGTCGTGAGGTCATGCTTAGAAGTGGCTGTACTGCTGGTTGTCGGCAGCAGCAGCACTTCCAAAGCTGTGGTAGCTTGTGCCGTTCGACTGAAACTCCTCGCCACCTGCCACAGCCTGGTAGTTCTGGCCGTTGCTGGTGTGGTTGCCGTTGAACATGCCAAAGTTGCTCCGATGTGCAGCCGGAGACGGGATGAGCTCCGGAGATGTGAAGGCGTTGGAGAATCCGTTGATCCCATCGACATTGGCACCATTTGGACCTCCAGAGGACACCGCAGTACCGTAGTCGCCACCATTCAAAGCTGGAGATGCGTAGCCGTCGACCGTGGTGGAGGCGGCGGACCAGTTCGGTGGAGCACCAACCATTCCTTGACGGTTCGCGCGGTGGCCATTCGCCTGTGGAGGGGCCATGTCCAGCGCTGAAGGAGCGATGAGGCGATTGTCGTAGTCTGAGATCTTGGTCTGAATGCGACGACCGTGAGGGGTGTTGCGAACGGCCGGAAGGACCATGCGGACGTTCTCGACGAGGATGGCCTTGAGGTCGTCATCCGAATACTCCATGGCAGTCTGCACGACGTAGTTGGCGAAACCATCGCGGAGAAGCTTGTCGATATTCTGCGGATGCATGACTTCGGAGACCAGATCACGGCGGGTCTGGCCAGTGGCACACCGGATGCACTTCTCAATGACATTGGAGCTGAAWTTCTGGCGAGACAGAGTCAAAATCTGCCCGGCAAAGGATCTGCAGAGCGGATCCGTGAAGCTTGGCTCGGCCAGGTCGAGGATGTACTGCACAACGTAGTTGCCGAATGGATCCTGCACAAGGGAGTAGGCGTTACGAATGACGTGGTCGACCATCTTGCCCTTCTGCAAGCCATCGGCATGATCGATGCAGCGTTGGAGGACACAGCAGCCGTGACGATGGGTACCCACCGTCACGCAGTTTGCACCGACGGCCTCGAAGATGAAGATGGCGTCGTGAGAGGACAAGTGGTTGAGGCACTTCTGAATGACGTGGTTTCCATTCAGATCCTGGATGAGCACGACGACGTCGTTGCGGAGGGCTTCAATGATGAGAGCGGTTTGCTCGGGCGTAGAAACAAACTCAATCATCTTCTGCAAAGCACGAGTGCCGTGTTGATTGAGGGCGATCTTGGTCATGGCGGGCGTCGCGTTCTTGATCAAAGCGGTGCGCTGCTCGTCGTTGGTACTTTCCAAAAGCTTTTGGCAAAGGTAGTTGCCGAAAGGATCGACCATGAGCTCGACCATGTGCGTGTGGACTTCCTCGAAGATGATTTGGGTTGTCGCCTCATCGCGCTCCTCGAGCTTCCTCTGCAAGAAGCGGCAACCATGCTGATCCTTGCACAGAGTGTAGATCTCGSYG